TGGTGGGACATGTGCGAGGACCAAATGAATCCCAACCGAAATACGGTGAGTTGCTGTCGTTTTCGATTCTGTCCTTTTCGTAGCTGGTCTTTTTCTAGTAGTAAATGTTAGCTTCTTGTGGGGATGATCAAAACCAACAACATTGATTGTCTTTTTTGAATAGAAAATGCTTGGGTCTTGTGGGATGACCAAAGCAGCATAACTGTTGTCCTTTTTTGAATAAAAAATGTTTGGTTTTGTTGGGAATGACCAAAACAGTAGCATTGTTGCTCTTTGACCCTTTCATTTACCATGCCTGCTCTTTTCCTTTTGAACTAATAGTAGCATTGTTTTGGATGACAGGTGCTGGCAATGGAGAGTTTTCATTTGCGGTTCATGTGTCACACATATTGGAAGTGAAGGACGACAAACATTTCTTGACTGAGACAGAGACAGTCTATTGGGACTATGCCGATATCGATGAGCTCTCGGTGCTGGACTTGCCCGACATATACGAGGCATGTGGTGGTAGGCAGAAGAATCCGAATTTTTTTTGGAAATCTCCTTGCAATGAGGCAATGAATGAGCTTACTACGGACGAAGACATACTTAGTATGACAACATTTGCTAATGAGGAGCGACGAATCATAGAACTATTTGCCATCACTGAGGCCGAGTTATTGGAGTTCATGGAGAGCGGTGAAGAGGAAGCTGGTGCGAAGAAGAAGGGTACAAAGGGTGGAAATACTGCCAAGAAGGGTACAAAGGGTGGAAAAACTACCAAGAATGGTACAAAGGGGAAACAAGCTGTTGTAGTTGAGAGTGATACTGGCTATGAAGAGGAAGAAGACAGTGACTACGTGGAATCAGCAGCAGAAGAGGATTTTAGTGATGGTGATAATGCAATGTTTGAGGAACATGTCACTGAAGAGGCAGAAGCTGAATTGGGAAGCTTTGAACGTGGAAATTCGAGTCGCGGGCAGACCATCATAGATGATGAAGGGTCTGATTTTGTTGACTCTGATGATCGTAGGAGTATCTACAGTTCGGATGAAGACTATGAGTACCATCAAACTCATGAGTTTAGGGCTGATCGAGACATGGAGAGTCCTAAATTTGAGGTTTCCCAAAGATTCAGCAGCTTTGATGTTCTGAAAGACGCAATTAAGCAACATGCATTTGTGGAAAAGCGGCCAGTTCGTTTGAAAAAGAATGATAAAAAGCGGTTACAAGCAGTGTGTGAAGAGCCGTGTGATTGGTATATATGGGCATCAAAGATGAACATGACTGATGCTGTCCAAATTAAGAGTTGCAAGTTGGAGCACACTCCGGATTGTCAAATGACTTTCAAAGTCAAGTATGCAACAGCAAAGTTTCTGGGGGGTAAAATTGCTAGGAAGGTGGCGGCAGACAAGAGTATGAGTAAGGGTTTGCTGAAGCAAATTTGCAAGGAAGATTACAAGGAAGATGTGAGGGATACAAAGGCATGGAGAATAAAAAAGGCAGCCATTGAGCAACTTCGTGGAAGTTATGTAGAGCAGTTTCGAAGTCTGTATCACTATGCAGAAGAGTTGAGGAGGAGCAACCCTAACTCTACAGTGATCATTGAGCAGAGAAATCAACATTTTCATCGGATGTACGTTTGTTTCGAGGCTTCGAAGCAAGGATTCAAGGCTGGTTGTAGACAAATCTTATGCATAGATGGATGCTTCTTGAAGCATGAATATGGAGGACAACTTCTTTCAGCAGTAGGTGTCGACTCAAATGATCAGTACTATCCGGTCGCTTTTGCTCATGTTGAAGTGGAGAATAGGGAGAATTGGGAATGGTTTCTTCAGCAGATTGCTAGTGATCTTAACATCATGGATAATCCCGGATGGACATTCATGTCCGACAAACAGAAGGTATACCAATTTCTCATACTTTTTTGTTGCAATGGAGGAATTCACACTAGTTACATATGTTGACCTATATTGTGTTGTTTTATTTAGGGTCTCATTCCAGCCCTTGACCACGTCTTTCCCTCATGTGAGAAGAGACATTGCGCAAGGCACTTATGGACAAATTTGAAGTGAGCATGTAGGAGTTCCAAAATGGTGAAGGACTTGTTTTGGACAGCAGCTAGAGCATACACTGTGCCTGAGTTTCGGACAGCAATGCAAGAGTTGTCCGAGTACCATAAGCCCTCCTATGATTGGCTGGTTGAAAAGTCATTTCACCATTGGACCAGGTCCCATTTTCTCACCCTCACAACATGTGACATAACTACAAGCAATATGGTGGAGAGTTGGAATAATGTGATTCTAGAAGAGAGGGATTTGGGACCTATAAGCATGTGGGAGGGGATTAGGCGAAATTTGATGCTTTTATATGCCGATAGACAGCAGGAGGTAACTAAGTGGGCTGGTCCGTTGAGTAAAAATATTGCATTTAAACTTGGGAAGTTGGCAAAAGAAGCTGTGAAGTGGGTAGCTGAATCAAATGGTAATGGCGAGTTTGAAGTAAGATGGCACAACAAGCAAGTGGTGGTGAATCTAATCAATAGGACATGCACTTGTAGACGTTGGGAGTTGACGGGTATTCCATGTGAGCATGCAATTCAGGCAATTAATAGGGCAAGCCGTCGAGTGTATGATTATGTTGCTGAGTGCTACTCCAAGGAAACAGCAGCTGCAATTTATAAGAACTCCATTTCGCCCACTACTGGCAGAGAGTATTGGCCAATATCTGAGTTAGGAGATGTTGGTGTCCCTCCCCTACAAGAATCATCAAAGAGAGGAAGGCCAAAGAAGCAGAGAAGAAAGGGACTTGACGAGGATGAAACAAAGAAGAAGAAACCAAAGAAGAATGGAAGGGAATCATCAAACCCGGAAGGAAAGAAGCACAAGTGTAGCAAATGTGGGGTAGTTGGGCACAACAAAACCTTCCATGATGAAGAAAGGAGAAATAAGGTTGAGGAAAGAAAGAATGAGAAGGAAGAAGAAAAAAGGAAGAAGCAACTAGAAAGGGCCGAGAGAAACAGACTTGCAGCCCTACAGAAGCTACAAAAAAAGGCTGCAAACAATGCTTCTTCTTTGCCAAGGAGTCAGCCCCATATAGTCCAACTCATGCCTGATGTATTTTTCTTTGCACTTTTACACTTTCCCTACCTTTTTACTTCCACCAGCATACTAATGTCATCTTAATTTGCAGGGAACTACTCGGAGGCCATCAAGTCAGGTATCACAGCAAGCAAGCCAAAGCTCTCAAGTCTCACATATTGGAAGTCAAGTCACACAAGCAGAGCAGCTGTGAAGAGTAGTTTTAGCTTTAGTAGTGGTCGGTTAGGTCTTGGTGAATGACCATTTTGCAGTTTGAAGCCTCTAGTGGCTCTTGCAAACTACTTCCGATTTGCTAGTTTGAGTTTTGTCGGTTAGGTTATGATGCATGGCTCTTTTGGACAAACACAGCCTTTGCTTAATTATAATTTGGAACTTGTAGGTATTCTGGTTTATGAATGACTATCAGGTTTGCTTAAGTTTGTGATTCAAACCTTCTGTCTCCAACTCAAGAATGTGAACTTGATTCAAATTCAAGTGACTATATATCAACTTGAATTAGAATGTAAGTGACGAAAAGTCAAACTGTACTGGACTTTCAGTGACCAATGGTGGGCCTGAAACAAACTTTAAGTGACTAAATGCGAAATGAAATAGTACTTTAAGTGGCCAAACGTGGAAAGAAATAGTACTTTAAGTGGTCAAAAGCGAAAATTAATTTTACTAGGGTTAAACACAGACAGCAGTACACAGAACCCTTGATGGTTCGATTATAGCAGCAGCTACAGTTCAATAGATGACTGCTCATTTCATATCCAAAATAGAGAGAATACAAGGGCAATGGCAATGAAGATGGACACTATTTTCACATTAACATTGGACCCTTTCTGATTTTGCTTCTGCTCTTGCTCTCGAATCCGACGATGAAAGTTCAACACCACATATCGCATATGCTCCTCAAGGGCTGGGTCTCTCCATCTGAAGTAATTACAAGCTCCATTTGTCTACACATCATCAAACAAAACAAAAAACACTGAAAGATGAAGGAGCATAACATTCGAATCGTGAAAGTAAAACAGGAAACAAAGATGAGTGAAACCTTACCCCATATCTGCTGCACCCATAGAATCTCCTCCCTGGATTTGCCTCAGTCCAGCTCGTCTTCAGATCTGTTGGCTCTCCACAATGACAAAAGGGTGCCGCCATTGACAGAGGGGGAAGTGGGAGAATCAGATGTAGAAGGAGGAAGAAAACAGAGAGGTGGAGAGGGTACAGTTCACGGGTTGGGAAGTTGAAGAGGGTTGTTGCGTTAGGGACTTAGGGTAGCCTTATAAAGCAGACAGAGGGGTCGGTTTTAGGGTTGGGTTCACGGGTTTGGTTGGGGGATCTGACATGGTGGGTAAAAGTGACGTGGCGGGTCGAGTTCCTTTTTTTTTCGGGTTAAATCACGCTGACTCGGCCACACTGTTAGCCACGTCAGCAAATAACGGACTCCGTTAACGGAGGCTGACGGAGACTAACGGAGAGTGACCAATCGTGAACATTTAAGCACTTTCAGTGACCTGGGATAGAATAAAATTCTTTAAGTGACCAAACGTGAATATTTTAGCACTTTCAGTGACCAAACTGACCACAGGTGTTGGGTACAAACTGACCAGGTCGAGACAGTGAACTTCCCTGCGTCCCAGAAGACCCAAATACCTCCTTTCCGACCATCTGCTTCCACTCTAATAACATTGGGAAAACCCAACTTATCGCACACCGAATTGGCCGTGGCGCCGCTAATTTGAGGCTCAAGCAGGACAACGAAATCAGGGCAGTTCTTCATAATAGCTAACTTTAGAGAGCGAGCAAAGGCCTTACTCCCGGCTCCACCTACATTCCAAGAGAGGATTTTAACAGTAGAAGGACTAATCATTAAAAACAAAAAGAAGCGAAAGAGAAAGAGGGGAATGCGCAAAGAAAAGGGTCGAAACCACCAGATTAAGATGGCTGGGTGTCGCCGACGACCGCAACCTGACTAGTCAGAGGGTGCTCCGACATGGGGGTCACACCTTCCTCGCCAGATTTGAACATCCCCGCATTCTCCACCGCCCCGGTCCACGCGTTGATGTCCTGGAGCGTGAGCGACGCAGTCCGATTCTTTGATCTATTCTTTTTGTCCTTGACCGGCGACCAAATCTGCAGGGGCTTTGTCGGATTGCACTTGATCAGGGAGTGCTTTTTGGATTTCATCTTCGAGTTTTTCGTCTGCTTCAACCTCTCATTAGTCGTCGTTGTTGTTTTCTCACGTTTCCGAGAAGGTTTCCGCGAAGGGGATTGTATTTCCGGGATCTGTATGTGAGTTCCATTAGGCCCAATGACCGTATCCGACGCCATTGGCTGAAGTGAGGGTGAGTTGACAATCTTCGGTCCATCTATCACAAGAGCCTTGGAGGGTCCACTAGATTGCACCTGATGAACATCGGTTGAGAGCGAAGTAGAAGCCCGGTTTGCATCTTCCTTGGGCCGAGGCCCAGTAGCCAGAGGAGTAATCAGGGTTGGGGCCAAGCCTAAAAGGCCCTTACCGTTACCCGAGACTTCCGAAACCAATTTAGCTTTCCCCTTGTCCGCCGCTTCCCCTGTTTTCTTCGAGGGGTTTCCTTTCCCGTCCTGCGGCAGAGACCGTTGCAGGGTCGCAGCTTTGTGGTGGGAGTGAACTGTAGATTCCCCACTTTCCTTATTCTTCCCGACACTCTTGTTATTCCTCGAAACGTTGGCCTGATTCGGGTTTCCTGATTCCATCTCTGATTTACCTTTTTTGTGGTTGTCCCTTGAATTCCGCCAGTTTTTTTTGGTAACTAACATCCAAGGCCCAAATCCCAGGTTTGATTCTACCTCTGCCGGACGCGTCATCGTCGACGAGAGGCTTCCGGCTAGAACGATCTCGCCGGCCGAACCTTCCGGTCGGAGTGATGGACAAAGAGCCTTCATGTGACCAATTCTCCCGCATTCAAAGCAGACCAACGGGAGGTTTTCATACTCAACTTTCTGCCAGCGGCCGTCGAGAAAGATTCTCGGCACCAAATGTTTGGAAAGGTCTACCTCCACGGCCAGCCGGGCGAACTTAGCTCTTTGCTGGGTAAGCGTGTGGTAGTCCAATTTGATTGTTCGCCCAATCAGATTGCCTAGAACCGTGAGCACTTCTTTGTGGTAAAAGTGGACCTTGAGCGCTGGAAACTGCACCCAAACAATCATGGTCTTGGGAAGAGGATCGGAAGTACTAAAGTCGGGGGACCATTGTTGGACCACCAGGTAATGATCGAACATCACCCAAGGTCCGTCAGTGAGCGCTCGAAAGTAATCTTGCTCATTGTCAAGCTTGACCAAAAAGCAATCTGAATCCAGATCCAGAACTTCCATCGATCCAACTGGCCGCCACTGGGAGCGGAGGCGGGAGCAGAGCGTATTATAGCCAATTTTGGTACCCAGCAGGCGAACCACCAACGCTCGTTGCCATGGCGCACAAATCTTGTTCTTGAAAACCGCTGAAACGTTGAGAGCCGGTTCGCCGTGATGTTCTCCAGGGATTAGGTCGTTCGCACCCACAGGTGTCCATTGAAAGGCATGCGTCTGCTGCGATGCCGGGGATGATCTTCCTGTTAGAGCATTGGCGTAGGAACCACCGGACCCTCCCGGTCGAGAATAAGGACTCTGTGATAGACCGGGCGGAGTCAGTTGCTCATGGATCTGGTTCGCAGAGGCCGGGAATGCGAAAGGTTGCTCCGGCCTCTGAGGCTGTGGGATCATGTTAGCACCATCGATAGCCATTTCAGAGGAGGGTTGTTCAGTGTCCGGCGGGCGCCCGGATGGGATGGGCGCCGCCGTCTGTGGAGGATTCACCAAAGCAGTCGAGAGCATCGTGTCACTTATTACCAACTGTGCATTAGATTAATGATGAAGAAGAAGAGCCATAGATAGATCTTAGAGCATCATGAAAAAATTTGTGGATTTGTGGCCGACATTTTTTGAAGATTCCAAAAATTTAGGAGTAACCTATGAATAAAATCTATGAAGAATCTAGATTATCTCGAGGAATATGGAGTAAGATTAGGGTTTAGAACCAAGTTCCCACCTTTCCACTTGTCAAGAAAGAAAAAAAATTGTTGAAGAAAAAAGACGTTAATTAGAGTGTAATTTGAATCGACCGAGGAATTTCCTTTTTTATTTTAATTATTATTTGCTCATCGCATTTATTGTGAGCCGGGGCCGGCGGGCAGGCAGCAGCAGAGACGATTTTATCTAAACCCCAACTGAGTGATTGAGAAAGCCGAATTTAATTTTTTTCCCAGTTCCGAACTATTATTATCGTCCTTTTTCCCTTTTTATTTTAATTTTTCCATGCAACATAAAGGCGCAACGAAAGAAAGAGAGAGAAATCCCTCCCTCTCTCTCTCTCTCTCTCTCTTCCTTTTATTATTATTTGTTTTTCACCCTAATATATCTCCTTTAATTTTCTACCATTATTCATTCTCCCTCCTCTCTCTCTCCCTCAAGTTCTTACCAAAAAGTTTTCTCTCACTATTTTCCCGAGAAACAAACGGGAAAATAACCCTTCTCTCTCGCAGATTTTCCGGGGAGGAAGCTGAGCTGACTCACTCCGAGTCATCACCTTTGTCTAGATCTGTGACTGCGGAGAGAAGAGAGAGCGACGAGAGACGCGGCGGCGGCGGCGGCTGCCGGTTTATTGCTCCAACTGATAACCAATTTCCGGGTAAGCAAAACAACTTTCTTTCTCCCCCTTTGTACTTCTTACAGCCCAGGCATGGCAAACCCAATTAAAGTGGGAGGAAAGATTTACACCCAGAAATGAAAGTCGCGTTTTTTGCTTGCTTTTTTGTTTGTTGAGGGTTTCCGATGATCGCCGCCCACCTAACTTTTTTCGTCCGATGATATGTGTATGTCATCGCCGGGGAAATTAGATCTTTCACTTGCCGTTGATCTGTTGTTGTTCTTCTTTTGATTTTTGTCTTTTTCCTTCTTTTGTTGATTGGATGGTCTTCGCATTTGTTTTACTTTGTTTGGCTGCCGAGAAAACCGAGGAAAAAGGAGGGGAAAAGTTGGGAACATGGAGATAATCGTCGTTCTCCTTTGTTTTGACCGTTCTTTGTATTGGTTTTATCGATTGTATAATCCAGCTGAGGAAGAGAGTCCAGTGTTTTTGTTCAACCCAATTCCCTTTGGTGTTTGTTTGTTTGTTCGTTCTTGACTTCAATCATTCATGTTTAAGCAGAAATGAAGACTTCAGACTAGTTAAACCCAGATATGGTTTCTCATTTCTGTGCCGATTCTGATAAATTGTGCTCCTTTTTGTATGCTGTGCAGCTGGAAGAAGCATTCACCAATGACACGATGTGCTGCGATTTGGGGCGGTTAGAGCCTGACGAGTCTCCATCTCAATCTCCATCTCCATCTCCATCTTTGATTACTCTCGAGGAAAGCAGTAGAGACACCACCATGAACAATCATCACCATCAGCTGACGATTTCGACCGAAGATGCTCTGGCCAGCTTGCTCGAGCTAGCAGCCAATGACGACGTTGAGAGCTTCAAGCTCTCGATCGAGCGCGACCCTTGTTGCGTGGATGAGATCGGGCTGTGGTACTGTCGTCGAAAGGGGTCCAAACAGATGGTCAACGAGCAGAGAACCCCGTTGATGGTTGCAGCAACTTACGGCAGTGTTGGTGTGATGAAGCTGATTCTCGCCTTCTCTCAAGCCGACATCAACCAAGCCTGCGGAGTGGACAGCACCACCGCACTTCACTGTGCTGCTTCTGGTGGTGCCGCGAGTGCTGTCGATGCAGTCAAGCTCTTGTTATCAGCTGGCGCTGATCCTAATGTGTCAGATGGCAATGGCCTGTGTCCGGTTGATGTCATCGTTGTTCCACCAAGGCTGCAAGAGATTAAGCTGGCCCTGGAACAGCTGCTTTCCCCTGATCAAGGTTCGGTGGTCGAGAGGAGTAATCTGAGGGTTCTCACTGCCAACACCAATCACAGTAACTCCCCGCCTCTCTCCCCGTCCATGGAGAATAATGGTGCAGATTCTCCCATGAAGTACGCTAAGCTCGACGCGCCACCAGCTTTGTTCGAGAAGAAGGAATACCCTATCGACCCATCGTTACCGGACATCAAGAACAGCGTGTACTCAACCGACGAATTCAGGATGTATTCGTTCAAGGTCCGGCCATGCTCTCGTGCCTACTCCCATGACTGGACCGAGTGCCCTTTTGTCCACCCGGGCGAGAACGCACGACGAAGGGACCCTAGAAAGTTCCATTACAGCTGCGTCCCTTGCCCCGATTTCAGGAAAGGAGCGTGCCGACGTGGAGACATGTGCGAGTATGCTCATGGTGTGTTCGAATGCTGGCTTCACCCTGCTCAGTATCGCACCAGGCTGTGCAAAGATGGCACCAACTGTGCCAGGAGAGTCTGCTTCTTTGCTCACACCGTCGAAGAACTTCGACCTTTGTATGTTTCAACTGGCTCAGCTGTTCCTTCCCCTCGCTCAACCGCTGCTACCGGGATGGATTTTGCTGCTGCCATGAGCATGCTGCCGCCTGGCTCTCCTTCGTCGCCCTTCACTCCCCCGATGTCTCCGTCTGGTAACAATGGCATGTCAAATCCTTGGGGGTCACAACAGCAACAGCCGAATAACGTTCCTGCATTGCATCTGCCTGCGGGAAGTACCAATCTCCAGTCGAGCCGGCTGAGATCGTCCCTTCACGCGAGGGATATCCCCAATGGAGGGGACTACAATGGCATGCTACCGGATTTCGACATGCAGATCTTCAACGAGCTATCTGCTCTCAACAATAACAACAACTCATTGAACCGATCTGGACGCATGAAGATTCTGACTCCATCAAACCTCGACGACCTCTTCTCCGCCGAGAACTCATCCTCCTCTCCTCGGTATGGCGATCAAGGGCTGGTCTTCTCCCCAACTCACAAGTCATCGCTGCTGAATCATCAGTTCCAGCAGCAGCAGAACATGTTGTCTCCCATCAACACCAACTTCTCCCCGAGGAGCGTCGTTGATCACCCCGGGGCAGCGCTGTTGCAGCAGATGTCGTCGCCACGCGAGCCCATCTCGCCTATGAGCGCTCGGATTTCCCTGCTAGCTCAGCGGGAGAAGCAGCAGCTGCGGAGTCTGAGCTCGAGGGAGCTGGGGTCGAACATTTCCTCCTCGCTCCTCGGTGGTGGTGGGGGGTCACCAGTGCATCTGTCAAGGTGGGGCTCGTCCAGCGGGAGGCCTGACTGGACTGCTAGCGCCGACGAACTGGGGAAGCTCCGGAGGTCGAACTCGTTCGAGCTCGAGAGTGGGGACGAGCCGGACCTGTCGTGGGTTCAGTCGCTGGTGAAGGAGTCCCCATCTGATATGAAAGAGAAGATGATGATGTCAATGCCAATGCAGCAGGCTGGTGGCAGCAGCGTTCCTTCTTCAGGTGAGAGCAGTTCGAACTCGAACCTGCAGACGATCGAGTCGATCGACAACGCCATGGGAGCGTGGATTGAGCAGCTCCAGATTGATCAGCTTGTGGCTCAGCAGAACTGAGAGCTATCGAGCCACAGTTTTTGAGGGTGTAACGTAACAAGGAGTTGATCAAAGTGAGAGAGTGGTGACTTTGGACTAATGGGCTGGGTGATTTGGATTCTTTTTTGATTCTTTTCTATCCCGGTAAGCTCGTTCTCTCTTGTTTTTTTTTTTACTGTTTCGCTATTTTTAGTTTTTACTGTTTACAGCAGGAATTAGCAAAGGTTAAAAAGTTTTACCCTTGGAGGGTGGGGGGAAAGACAAGAAAGAAAAGAAGGTTAACAAGAGGAACCAAAGGGGACGTGAGATAAACAAGAACTATCGATGGACCCTTGCTCTAGAATGGATGTAACTTCTTATTATTCATATATTTTTGTCCTCTTCGGATTTTTCTTCCCATTATAATGATCATTATATTATTTTCGATCTCTAGTTATTGTTTCTTTTCGTTGCTAGTTCTGGTACGTTGCTTCATTCAATCTGGTTAGTATGCCGATTGTGATGTGTGTCAGTGTGAACAAACACTAGGATCGTTGATATATAGATAGCTGAATATTTTTTCTGCATCCCTCATTTAAATTTTTCTCGTTGCAACGAGAGTGAAAATAGGAAGAGTATTTTTATCTTCAAAATGATCTATTTGTTTCTCATTTATTCTTAAAAAAATACGTATACTAATATTTGAATCGTGGTCATTTTCAACTATGATAAGAATATTAACTAATTATACTACATAGATTAGTTGTATCATTTTAAATAAAAAACATACATGAAGCTAAAATTAAAAAATTACAGAATTTTTCAACGGTTAGCTAAGGTTGCTAAATCTTCGCTCAGTACTTATTGGTGTTTTGATACTTCGATTTTCATATTTAATTATTTTAATTATACTTTAATACTTAATTTAAATTTCTATTTATCTTTTAAATAGACGATAACTTTAAAATCATAGACCAAATATCATTGGTCCAATATTGCATATCGAATTGCAATATCGAATGTGTAGAAGCGATATTGAAATCCTACATTAGTATTAGTTTATAGAACTACTATGAGACAATCATATTCATATCTTTCTGCAAACTATATGGGGACGGGTTCTTTGAACGTTTTTAGCTCGGTCAACTGTTAAGTTTTAAACATCTTCCTAATCCAACAACATGATGGATCCAACAACAATCATTAGAAGAGCTTGAGTTTAATAGATTGGTTTATTTCATCTTTTTATGTATTAAAATGAAGTTGTAGAGCAAGTGCTTGTCTACATATACACTCTACACAATATATACTATTGGCACGATAAAATTGTCGTCTCATTTCAAATTTCCTACAACGAGAGCAAAAGTATGAATGACATTTTTGTCTTCGCCATTATTTATCTTTATTTTGTATAGAAAATATACAAGTATTGAGATTTGAACTAATGTATCTTCAAACACAGACAAAAGTCATAACCATGATTTTCAATTCGAGTATGACTCTGTTGGTCGAACCAATTCTATCTAAACCTGAGTATCTCAGCGGGTGCCGAAGGCCCAGTTGGTTGTCTACTTAGGCTGGGTCAAAGTCGAGTTTGTCTATCTTAGTGGGAAATCCAACCGATTTAACCAACTGATTCGAGCACCTGCCACTTCAAAATGATGTTGTTTTCAACAATTCGTATACGTAGCTGCACTGTGAAACATCACAGACCATGTTCGACTATCCCATCGTCTCTTCTTCTTACTTTAGATTTGAGAGCCTACAATACACGACCCAACCATCTCAAAATCTATCATAATCTCGCAATAACAAATTTCATTTTTCTCCAGCTGCACAACCATAGAGCTAGTCGATCTCATCTCATACAAATACGACGCAAAAATTATTAAGAAACATGCATTTGAGTTGAAACTTTAGGTGACTAACAAAGGCCAAATTCCTTATTTTAATTATTATTTAATACTCAATTAAATTCCTATATATCTTATAAATAGGGGATAACTTTAAAACCGCGGCCCAAATATCAGTGGTTCGAATATTCCATATCAAATTGCAGTGTAGAATATGTAAAAATGATGTATAATTCATAAATTAGTATTATTTTTTAGACCTACTATTACACAATCGTATTCATACCTTTGTGTAAACTATATGGGACTGGTTCTTTGAACATTTTAGTTCGGCTAACCGTCAAATTTTAAACATTTTCCTATTCTGACATGATTGGATCCAACAATCATTAGGGGTTTAATAAGTTGGTTTGTTTCACCTTTTTCAATGTGCTAATGAATTTGTAGGGAAAGACATGTCTTTCTATACACTCTACACAACATATAATACTAAAATGAGAAAATTGTTGTCTCATTTCAAATTTCCTACAACGAAACGAAAGTAGGAATTATATTTTTGCTTCATAATTATTTTATAGAAACTACAAACTTCCAAAATCCAGAAATTGTTGCTCAAACTAAAAATCAGAGCATCGAAAATCAATGTTCGCAAATTTTATTTCGTATATCACTTATTTGAGAGATTTTTCTCTCTATAAACAAAGTAAAATGAAACAAGTTATAGCCAAATTAAATAGCTTTGGCTCGAAGACGATGACATGCTTCTTCGTGGGAAAAAGAAATACATGCGGTAGCGTCAGAGATCTGGAGAGCAAAGACAAAAAGGATACACTAAGAGTTCGTGAAGCGTACTGTGAAATAGATCATCAAATCACGGGCTTGGGGCTAAATAAAATGATAGGAGGTTAGTTAGATAGTCGATGATATAGAATTCACCAATTTGGTACATCTATAGGAGATCTCCAGAGTCAGCTTAGGAAACAAAGAATCGAAGGGGAAGAAAAAGATGTAGACTCTTTTATTAACAACTAATTGAGTGCATGAGGGCGAATAAACGATGCATTCATTTCTCTTTTCCTTTAAAAAAAAATAAAACAAAATAGCATCGTAAACTTTTTTGGGTTTCTATTCACCTTTTGAAGTTTGTTCTTTTTCGGATCTAATAAGATTATTTAAAGCTATTATTCTACTAAAATGATTTTATTTTTTTCCACTGCATTGATGTAATATTTTGACCAAAACATGTTAGTAAATTAAATGATATATTAATTAAAATAATATAATATTCACGCTCTTTCGGGGCACTCAAATTATAATTCTTGAAGAGTATACACTCTTACGCTCTCATTCTAGCTCCTGCTCTAGCTCCCGCTCCTCGAATTGGTAAGATAAATCCGTCAAGTCAATTATGTTAACAAAGAGACGACTGGAAGAACTCGCCTTCCATCACATATTGTCTTCCCTCGCAAACACCCCCATGCTCAATTTCCACTTGGTCGTTACTCATTAATTCCACTTCTGACACACATTGGCACCATAGGAGCGCGACCTTTATCGCGTGACGAATACATATTGTTGGAGTGCATTTTAGGAGCTCGAAGGAGGATAACAGAAAATAGTAGATAGAGAAACAAATGTAGATAGTCCGGTCGAGGAAGAATATTATTCATATGTAGATAAGATTTTATATAATTTATAAATATATGAACAATATAATAAATTTTTCATATATCCAGGCAAAAATGGACTAAAACAATTAGATCATTAACCCTCAACCCACTTAATCGACTTGCCAACAGGCTAAATCAGGTTGACAACCTTTGATACTTGAAATCCATATATTCTAAAAATTTTGGGTTCCAATTTTTATGATTGAGTCAAATCGGTCAATAATTGTGGACTTTTCAGAGAGTCGTTGAAATTCAAAAGTCGGTCTTCAAAGTTCTTTCGTGACAGACAAGTTTTTGCGTTTAATTATTGTTAGGTCGAAGGAAGAGAAAGCGTGACAGATGGAGGATGAGATTGTGACTATTAATTATTGGGAGTTGCAGATGGAGAAGATAAGCCATAAAAGGGATTAAATTTAATTTGATAATACGTATGTACTATATATTACAATGACATGTTTGATGTGAAAAATAAAAGGGATAGATTTAAGAAAAATGGATAATTGAGTCACAATTTATGCTATTAACTCCACATAAAAAGTCAAAGATTGTATTGATAGAGTAGAATTTAAGGTTTTATAATGTTGAATTTTCGTAACTTTTGTACGTGCATTAGTATCTAACACTTAAACAACATCGACTTAATAAATTATTATAATTTATACAATAAGCATTATGTTTTCGTATTCTTCCATATTTGAGATTTCTAGGCATAATCTTTACGTTATTCTCTTTATTTTTTAGGGCAATGTCTATTTTTTACCCAAACCTTTTTCAGATTCTTTTATTTTAACCAAACCTATTGAATTCCTAAAAATTATCCAAACGTTAACTCTCCGTCAACTTTTCTGTTAGTAATGCTGACTAAGTATGACCATAATGAGTTGACTTCCTACGTGACGGTCAGAATACCATCATTTACTATTTTTAATAAAAAGATTATCAAAAAAAAAAACAAAATCCCACCCCTCACGTGGACGAAATAAGTAACGGTAACAGAATGAATGCCCAGACTTTGATAAATTATAATACGTTTGGATAATAAATAGAATTTCTATAGGTTTGGTTAAAATAAAAGAATTTGAAAAAGGTTTGGGTAAAAAATAGACATTGCCCTATTTTTTATATACCTTCAATTCCTACCATTCTAGATGACATATATTTTATATACCTCCAACTTCATATCCGATAATAAAAAGTTCACAAATTTCTTCTAAGATATGAAAAAAATACACAACAGTAAATGAGGAGGACTTGATAAAAAAGTACATATTACCTCATTATCGGTAATGTCATAATCAGCAAATACCATAAAGATTACTATGAAATAATGAATTAACTATTTTAGAAACCTCAACTTATTTAAAAACATGAAGAGATTTATCAAAATAAAATAAAATTCATCCGACCAACGAATCTGGTTAATATTTTAAATATAATTATAAATTAACCAATATTAATGATAAAGCGAAACTCATTCGGCCAAGGGCCGAGTAAAAGCTAGTTAGCTACAGATAGATACTAGATTCTGATGACTGGTTAATGACTAGTGAGTGGCTTTCTGTGCTTGGACAATGGACATTATTCGGAGTTGGGTGGGCTTTTTCGTGGTGTTCGGCCCTTTGGAATGGAGCCAACATTTGTCGAATTAAAACTCTTCATGGTTCCATACTTCCATAGATTAGACAAAATAAAGTTTTGGATAAAATTAGGGTTTTATAAAATCATGATTTTACCATGGAATTGATTTGCTAAAGGTTACATAGCCTGGCGATGAAATTCTTAGTAGGAGCTCGTTCCGGGAAGTGGCAGATCTCGTGTTCGATCCCATCGATACCCGCTATGATGTTTCCGGAGCCATTTAATGGAGATACTCGTGGAGGGCCTGAAGGGCTGAAACAGGTGAACCCCCAGGTTTGGTCTCGCTCCGCCATCGCTCAAGCGATGTGTGCGTGGGGATGTTTCTAGGTAATAAAAAAAATTCATGGAATTGATTCATATTGAAGTTTGAGTACCCTCGTTACACTCCTGAGGAAGAATATGAAATATGTCTCATTTTATCCGTTCTACATCCGAAGATCAAGTTAGAATAAGAAAGTGTGAGATTAAATTTAGAGATATTTAAATAATCGGTCGAACCATGATTAATGAGATAATAATTCGAGTAAGGTTTATTAACAGGTCGATTCCCTGGTGACCTTGTGACTAATGTGCTAGTGTAGACTATAGATGTTGGTCTAACATTGACATTTGAGTCTTGTGCTCAAGGATTGAGTCACAATCTTTCAATCTCAAAACTCCAACCAACAACCTTCCAGACTTGGAGCGTAGAGTGAAATATTCCTTCATCGCTTGAAACTTGGAGCGACAATCATTTACAATCGGAGCTTCGAGTGACACTTGCATCTCACACTTGAAAGGTTTAAGGATAGTTTGTTGAATCGTGTCCTCAACTATCTAAAGCCGTCATTACAAAAATAAAAACTATCTAGAGCCGAATACCATTTTGAAGATAAATTTTACATGGAGATATTGAGCGACATAGACTATTATATCTCATAGACACCTTAAACATAAGTTCCTACACCAAGGAGTGTGACTTAGACTTCATATGTCACGTTTGTCTAGCCTCGACGGTTCATCACTAAAGTATTTTGAATCAATACGTTGTTGAGATCCTTACTGTCAATGCTGATGATCAACCGTCATATTTTCAAGGTGATTACTAAAGGTGATGTTTAGGTCGTCATTCATCGGCTTCAACAAATTGTGCCTTAAGGCTATTCGGGTGGGTCAATTCTTCGTGATTTTCTTCCGTTGTCTTTTTTCTTCTATGCTGTCTTAGATTGTAGGACAGTTAAAACAAACTGAGATTGTCCATATAAAGGTGTGAAACTGTAGAGTTACCTTTTTTCCACTTAATAGCTTTTCGATTAAGGATGTAGGGGGAGCGGTTTTTTTTTTTTTGAGTTTTGACTAATTTCTCGTCGTTTCTATGGGGGAAAAGTGTGATTAGAGTTCAGGGTTGGAAGGTCTTAGATTATTTCACTCGCCCCAGCAACGCTTCAATGTGAAGAACCTCGACCGCTCTCCCGCTGACAAGAATCCGATTCCTGATTTTACACCGTATATGATATCTATCAATCCATCTGTGGAGCTTCCGATGGCGCAACGATTGTATGACACTTCGCACTGAATTGGGTATCTTAACACCATCGTTTTCGTTTAACCAAAACAAAAAAGGTAACAGCTTGAACCCTAAATGCTCCTCCTTTACTTCTCCGTCCTTCGTCTCAAGGAAGCCATATTCAACCCTGAAACTCTTTGCCTCGCTCTGGCACCCGACACGACCTGACATATCCCTTTCTCCACCAAGTACTTCCCTGTAACCTCCATTTCGTTCTCAAAACCCCACATTTCTTGTATAGTGTCTTAAGAGCATATTTGTACTGAACTAAACTTGACTGGATTAGACGAGAATGTGAAGAATTGAGAGTGATCTTGTTCTTTCTGTTATCATTGCTAGTGCTTTAGTTGGGGGAAGGGTTGTGGGAATGTGGTACAAAGCATTAAATTTATTGATTGATTATCTTTGTATTGGGTCGTCATGCCCTTGTTCTAGTAGCCATTAGGGTTTCAGATTACCGACTATGGAGATTAATGTTGATTGTAATGTCATTGGGCTATAAACCAACTTAGAGGTCTTTTTGGGTGTAGTTTTCAGGAAAGGCATATCACTCTCCATTGAGCTTCACTTGGATTGTTCTTTATCCCGTGGTTAGTCTGTTTGTAATGCCTTAGGGTATCGACTAGTTTGTCTTAAATGATCTACATGTACATGTAGTTCAACTCTACAATGTTCTTGAGTGCTCCGGAAAAGGTTAAGATGCAGCGAGAAGAAGTTGAATGTATCTTTTAATGGCTCTTAATGATATGTGGACAGTGTAAGAATGGAGGATGTTGGAAGTGGAAGTAATGCCAATGAATGTTTCGACTTCGAGCTTGATGCGAAGGACGTATGGTCCATAATCTTCGAGTAATTATTGATCGATTTGATGATTGAAGAAGTCGGGAAGGGAAATATGAGAACTACTACTTTCACGAGATAGGGATGGCTCACCATTAAGAAGGGGCTGAAGGATAAGATCAACAAAGAATACACCGACATGCAACTGAAGAACAAACATAACCAACTTAGACAAAGGCAGAGGAATTTCAATACTTTGGTCAATGAGGCTGGAATTGATTACAACATGAAAACATGACAAGTTGCTGCCTCCCATGAAGTTTGGGATAAGATGACCAAGGTCATAAATAATAGTTCTTTACATTTGCTCACTTACCTAGAGATTTTGACTGGTCCTTGATAAATGGTAAATGCAGGTTCATAAAATTTCTGTGAGATCCAGGAAGCGAGGATGTCCAGAGTTCCCCAAACTGTGCACTATATTCGGAGATACTACAGCTTTAGAAGTGTTTGCGACTGTTGTTGTTGCTAATGCTACTGCTCCACAAAATTTGTTTCAAATGATGATCAGACGAGTAACAATCAAAACAAGGGTATCAATGTCGAAGTTATATCACACGAAAGCGAAGGAGGAGATCATGGAAATGGCTCATCGTCACATTACACTGATGCCGACTATATAATGAAGTGTGTGAAGATTATGGATGATTTGGGGATCGAAGGAAGCGCATTTGGGAGGGCATTGTAGGCATTACATAACTCTCCATTGTATAGGGAGATTTTCCTACGCATGTCAAATAAGAGGAGGAAAGAGTGGGTAATTTCCCTAAAGTAGTTAGTGTTATGAAAATGTTTGGTGTTCTTGTGGTGTTGTGTTGTTATCGTGCCATGATATAAAGCTTCTGTGAGTGCTTTTGGATTGCAGTAAACTTTATGGAAGTAACGTGTAAATCAAGTTTCTGTCCCAATGTTTTATTTTCTTCTTTACAAGGCCAGGAGCAAGCATATTTGCTCACAAGCAATGTCCAGCAAGAGAAAACTTCAGGTGACCTATTATTGACGTAGAAATCGATACTAAGTCAAGACAAAAATAACATTATTGTTCTCGATCACGTCCAATCAATCGTCCTAAAAATGAATGAAAATCAAATGATCCATAATTTTTCCTACCTTCATACGGCAGATTCCATGGTCCCCATGCCACCAGACCAATAATAGGATGCCGACCACCTAGATTCTTACCTTGGTCAAACTAAAATAGGTTTATTAGAACGAGAGGGCAACAAAAGTAACATTAGAGCCAATTTACTATGACAGTCAAAGCCGTCAAAAGAGACATGAATGTACGGTTCAAGGTTGTTGCTTGGTTGGTGGAGTTCTACCCAACTGATTGGCCACTATTATCTGTCCACCTTATTCCATCTCTTTTGAATCCATTTGCACTTGTCTGCATGTCTTCTGCCGCAAAGTTTGCATAGCTCAGCCGGTTAGAGCATCGTGTTTAAAACACTTATAAGAATAGAAATGTCATTGTCTTTGTTCGACATTCTCATCCTCAAATTCCCAAGCCATCATTTTCCACGAGTGTCAAAGAAGGAAAGGAAGACAGAATGACCCATCGTCATGATGAAACAGAGGATTACTACAGCTCAATCCAGAAGTATTTGTTGGAAGAGCCACCACAACTCGATGATTATAATCATGATGAACAGGTGTACGACAACCATAGATTAAAGTGTTTGATCCAATCTCTAGAAACAGAGATTAACTACGACCATGATCATGATCACGATCTTCAGCAGCAGCTGTTGCAGGAACAACAGCCGTTGGATCATGTTGTGGAAGGGAGTGAAGTAGGGTCGTATTATGGTGATCATGAGTTCATCATTAGCTGGAATAATAAGATTGAGATAGGGTTCAATGATTCATTCTTCCTTGAAAGATACAATGCTGATAATAGGAGGATAAAAAGGGATTAATCTCGCTTGCATTCTTAAACCACACAACTTGAGGGGATCTTTGATGCTTGTTTACCATGAAGAATCTTTGCTTGGTTTGTTTATATAAGTATAAACACCATCAGTAATAATTTTCACGATTGATTTTAGTTTCACATATATTGATATAAACTTGAATAAATACTTTATGCAAGGGATTCGAAATTGAGATCTTTCACGACAAGAGAGGCTTAGTGGAGATTTCAGGAATGTTTGAACAAGTCAAGCAATTTGAAGAAGGAAAGTGTCATTCAATAAATAGGACCCATTCAACTTAGTTCGATTAGTTAACAAAGAAATTACATATGTTTGCTTAGTCAAGCAAACAATTGAGTATCTTTACAGTTAAAGTTCACCATATCCCCATCCTCCTATAGAGCACAAAACGTGCTGGAAAACAGTAGAAATAATTGAACATATAGTGCCAAAACTGAACAAAAAGAATTCTCAGTTAACTTCCTGTACCTACTATCTTCTGCAATATGTACAGTAATCGAATTCCATTGAGCGAGTCTTGTCTTTAGTACTTTGTGTTTTTAACCCCAGATCATGAAGATAATGATGAAACTGGAGAAATTTGCTCTTCATGTAAATGCATTCGTCCTTAGAAACCTCCAAGGTCCAACACCAGCTCCTATCCTGTAAAGGTAGAGAGACATATATGTGCATAATGTCTTGAGCATAAAGGGAAGAAATGCAGTGTCTAGATTAAAGGGAAGAGCTTTATTCTAAGTGCTTACCTCACATAGCCGGCCAACGTACGCAAAGTCATGAATGTGGTCAAAGCAACCCAGATGCCGATAAATCCTTGGCTCGCAGACAGTGTAAAGAGGCAAAAGATACTTATGAATGACACGAAGATCTGAAAATTCCACAAGTGAATAACAACTTCTAATCAGGGGTTACACTAAATTTTTGGCTTTACATTTCTCATTTCATCAAGTATGAGTACCATTGAGTATGCAGAAAATGCAAAATCAGATGCTCCAAAGTTCACTCCATCGAAGACAAATGCTAAGACGTTGAATGGTTGAGATAGGGCAACAAACTGAAAGCCAATGGAGAACAAGAAAACCAAGGCCAAATTAGTTCAGAAAGCTTTTAGGATTGGAGAAGAGCCAAAGGTAATGCAAGCAATTGGTTGAAGTGTGGAGCAACATATTACCGGGACACAACGTCTAATAAGTTGCAAGACATTCTCGTCTTTGGTAAATAATATTCCACCAAAATACAACCCAGGATATAGGATGATGGCGAGTGCTACCCCTAGAACAACACCATGCTGCAGAAACCCATACCAATAATCAAACAAAATGAGAGCAAGTATGGACATTTAATGCAAAGAAAATTGTAGGGCATATTACTTGTAACACACGAGCAGAAGTGTCCACTGTCTTGTCAAAGTCTTCTTTTGCAAAAGCACTTGCAATGATTGCCTGAAGCAAGCCAAGCACCCATAAGTATCACTCATATGGACTATTTTTTTAGATATAGGACATATGATTACGAGAGTGTGACATAATTAAAGTAGAGATTCGAAAGGCCAATTCAGAGGTTGAAATTCTTGATCCTGGCACAGATATATATCTATATCTAACCTGCCCAGCCACAGCGAGTCCATCAGCAAGCAAGGAGGTCGCCAACCAAATCTGCAAGCAAACCTGAAATGCTGCCATTGCAGTTGGTCCATTGGCAGTGGCCAAAGAAGCTGCTAGGGTGACAACGATGGTTGAAGCTATCACTCTCAGTAGCAACAAGAATCCTTCACAGAAGCAACATATATCAGCTGATTTCACAATGTTCAAAAAGTTGCAATTACCGGTATAATGATATATAGAGGGACAACTTACCACTTCTGAGAAAGCGACCGAGTTGCAGATCGCTGATTGTTGGAGGCAATATATCAACTTGTTGAACTAATTTCCACAGAAGGAGTAGCGACATCACGTACCTAAAATGCCCAATAGGTTAACCGTACATATTCGCCAAATCAATTGTTTTAAAGAAATCCATTAGAACAAAAATGGATAAGTGAAATGCAGAGCGCCGATTCACTGTAACACAACTTACTGAGAAATAACATGTGCAATGGCAGCACCACTGACATTCCATCGGAATACAAAGATGAATATGGGGTCTAGGATAATGTTTGTGACATCTCCCACAACTACAGAAGTTGCAAATGAAAACAATAAACTAGTAAGCTTTCAAACAAGTAAAATTGAGGGAAGGTGATCGTTATTTACGGTAGGCAATGAACAAATTCAACAAGCAAATAATTCTCTCATGGGAAGCTTGAACCATTTTGACAAACTGGCAAACGTTAAACAAACATATCCAGCGCACCTGTAGCGAAGAGAGGTGTTCTTGTGTCCTTGATTCCCCGGAAAACCCCTTGCATAGCCAAAGTTAAAAGAACTGCAGGAGCACCAAGTGACCTCAAGACTAAGTATCTTTGTGCAGGCATTAGCATAGGAGAATCCTGTATTGAAAAAAAAGTAAAATTGACATCCCTTAGCAAGTCAGCATCAAAGATGGATAAATTTCACTCCCTAAGTTGCAGATTACTGGGATTACTTACCTTATGCACACCCATGCGCTTGAGCACAGGTTCAGCAAAGAAAATGAGGCACATAGTTTGGACCAAACCAAGTACACAACTAACAACCATCGCTGACGTAGCAGATGGGATGTTTCTTTTCTGAAACCCTTCTTTTTTCCAGTAAGCGTTTGAAGATGGTGTATTTTGCTGTGATTCACCTGTGTGATTAAAAAAGCATAGAAGACAATTATGTCACAACTGGCAAGACTTGGGAAAAAGCTACGCAAAGAAAAAGTAAGTGATTTTGGAGATTAAAAATGTAACCATATCCATTTGACAAAAACAACAAAGCACAAACAGGATGAAAACGAAATACCATTTTTGGGTAACAAGTCATCTGTTTCTTTGTTAAAAGTAGGTGAGGCATCTAGTAGTTCTACACTCTCCTGTTCATCGGAACTCAATGGTCCAATGGCATCTTCCTCAGCAACCAGAGAAGTTGTGACGCTAACGATTGGAAATATTGCAATCTTCGACACTTGATTGAACACTGCTATCGCAATTCCAACCGCTGCTAGCTCAACAGGACCTAAGACCAAAGACAACGAAGAGTCAAACAAACCTCCAAAGCTCGCCAACCAACCAAAACCAGCTACATGGTGAAAATAGCAGAACATCACAAACCTAAATGGCCAATGAAAGCAGTGTCGACCAGAGACGCAATGGGATCTGCTGCTAAAGCAAGTGCAGCTGGAATTGCGATTTCCAAGATTTCTAACCCCAGCTCATCGTTTGAGAAAGTTCTCCTGATGAAAAGATATTGAATTGACATCTCAGTGATTAACATTTTGGCCTTTTGGGGGGCGTTTCTTTCCATTTTGCATATCAAATGATCATATAGACAATAATCCCTGGTTGTTGTGAGGTAAAGATACCCACACAGAAGCTCACAAAAACAGGAACATTCGTTTGTACAAGCCATGCTAGCAGGCTAAGCATCACATTTCACCAAATTCATCAAAAATGGAAGGGCACAAAAAAAAATCTATAATCAAAAGAGAGTGATTACCTTGCTCGGTGGAAGAATATAAAGGAAGGCATCTGGGCTAAGTTTCTACACAAACAACAAAAAGAATCCCTTTGCCGATCAAAAATTCAAAACGGGGAAAATTCCCTCTACTTAAGGGCGACCCAACAACAAGTAGAGTCAATACCGTGAATGGGTATGGTAGAAATCTCTCAACACGCCACAACCAGTACCAAACCCTAACGATGGCGGTGGAAAACTGAGGCAGGAGATCAAGAGCAAGAATGGAAATGGAGGGAATCCAGATCCAATCAATTTAATTGAAAATGGTGGTTAAGGGAAGCGTGGAGGTGAAGGAGGAATGTGGATGTACCTTCGTCAGGTACCTCCAAAATCAGGATAATACGGTTTTAGGTGGTTCGTAAAAGCGACATAAATTTATAGGGGATGAAGCCAGAGATGATGACGATAATGGAGAAGAAGAAGCTCTGCAACAACGACGTCGATGACCCATTATTTCTTTTTTGGACATTTCTTGTTGCAGCCAAAATTCTGTCGAACCAGAAAAAATATTGAATTATGGAAATAATTAACAACGACGATGATCCATTTGCCTCCCCGTTTCTCCCGCCTTTTCTATTTAGGCATACCAGTTTGTTACCCGACCTTTGGCCGAGATTTTTTTACTTCTTATTTCATAAAATAGTTTTTTTACTAAAATTTCATAAATAGTTATTAGAATTGGAAGTAATATTCTTTTTATATCATTAATGAGAAAACTCGATAATTTTTTTTATTTTTTTAAGAGTGATATAGACTTATTTTTACTATTACGTATTATCACATATATACGAACCTAATATCTTCAGGTTGAAGACCAACAATATAATTGTTGGACCAAGTTTTTGTTTGCCTTTATTTAAACATTTTTCTAGCTTGGATTTTTGTACATTGTATGTCATCAATATTTGAAGAAATTATTATGTGCGATAATCAACTTTTATGATTTATTTTGTACATTAATTTCAATATTTGCTTATGGTATCCCTCGTAAGCATCCTGTACCAAATCAATTATTAGTATTTAAAATAACTCGAATGTCCATAATTTCTCCATCATATGTGACGTCTCTTAGTCAATGTTTCTCGGATTAGACATTTCCCTTAATACAATTTTCATATTTTAACATAATAGTTCGGCAGAAAATTCTGAACAAGGATATTGGCCAATAACCCGGTGCAAATCTATGTGGTAAAACATAAGAAACGATCATTCCACTTTTATATCTCATTCGCCTATTGTAATATGACAAATTCCCTTTCTACGAACCCGCGAGAATATATACTTAAATTACCTGTGTTAGTTTGTCATATAATTAAAGAATTGGAACAATCTCAACTCATGCATTGGGTTCTCGTTATAAATGAATCGAGAGAATTTTACCATTATTAAATACCATAGTGTGCCTTGCATACGCTTAATATTTGTTGGTTCTTAGCTCTTTATCGGTGTTATATATACATATTTTCTTGTTTTGAAGTAGAAAATGTGGAAAATAAATGAATAAGTTTATTTCTTGAAAGAAAGGAATATGCTAAAAAAAAGAGAATATAATTTTTGTAAAACGAACTGAAATTTTGAAGAAAATGGAAATTATGTTCTAAAATTTATTGTCTAATGAAATGAAGAAATCACTTTTACCAAGTAAATTGGAATCAAAATTTTCCCGTACAGGAGAAAGAGAAGGGAAAGACGTTATACAATGCTCAATAGAGAAATAAGAAAGAGAAAGCAAAGAGAATAAATGTGAAGTTTTTTTTTTTGTGGGGAACAAAGGGGAGGTTAAAAAAAGGAAGTTTATTTAGCAGTTACTATTTTATAGTGCCCTGTTCCATTGAGATAAATAAAAACCTTATCTGAAGGAAAGAGAAACTAGCTTTTACCCAACCCGTTGGTCGGATGAATACATCTTATTTGTTATTATTTCGTGATAATCACTTCATTCATATATGAAAATGATTTGGGACATTCTTAATAATTTATTAAAGAATCGAACTTAATCTTTGTACTACTTGCTACTTGTGAGATTGGTAATAATTAGTTTATATGTATTTTTGTTGACCGAATTATCCTAACTCACAAGGGTCTATATGTGTTTCATGTTAAAACAATTTGCACTCCTTATTGTAACCATAAAATGCTTAAAATATTTATTCATACCTATATTATTATATTTTTTCTCTATTAAATCCAAATGAAACTAAGACAATTATGTATTAAAATAGTAATTAGAAACTTCAAGGATTAGCCTAATGCTAATATGAAAGGATAACTCATCATTTAATGGGTTCAAACTTTATGGTCAATGATCATTTGAAATGATAATAATAATTAAGAACACATAAATTATTAAATACCAATTGATTAATAACTAATATATATCTTAAAACAATTGGGATTGTTAAGGGCTGACAACAATAGTTTAAGCCAATTATACTTGTCATAAATCTAAAATATCCTAACATTTTTACACTTTTATATTAAATAAAGCACTCAATGACTCAAACATACAACCATTTATTGTGAAAATTGAGTTTTCTTAAAATTTCATGATTTCGAGAAAAGAATATCATATGTGTCATATAGATAACAAAGTTTAGTGTGGAAAATGGTATATAAATCCAACACCTATTAGATTTGTATAACTATCGCATCTAGAGATCATAAAAATATATATATATTAAATATGTGAATCAACGTATGTCATTATTCCAACTTTATATACTTACATATATCATTATTCCAACTTTATTCACAGTTATATTTTTTTCTTATTCCGTCTTCAATATATTTTATTTTATTTGGTAAGAAACTGAGCGAAGGAGGGCGCCCTAGCCCCTAGCCTTTATTTATTCACCAAGTCGGGGGTTTGAACCCCAAATAATATCGTAATACAACCAGTAATTCAGTACTGATCTGGGGGATTAATGAAATGAACTCTTATATGGTAGTTATGGCCGAGAGAGGCCAAATAATCCGCAACAACATCGCTTTCTCGGAAAACATAAACAATCTTTACCTCCCAATCTCTATCAAGAAGCTCGCGGATTGTTATTCTCATCCCACTTAAAACATATTTCTACCATAGTGTTATTTAAGATGCTATAATTATTAATCTAATTGCCACGAAAGCTCATCTCTATAATGGTAAATACAATTTGGCATAAGACTCTTTACCCTCCCAGAGCACCTAATTCACAACTTTGAATAATCATGATCCATGAGCATGACCCATGTACGCAACACATGTTAAATGAGAAACAAAATAAAGGCAAGCAGTCTAAGTTGTAACCACACGGTACTTCTGAAATGTGATGGTGTCATCAAGCCATCAAATCAATCCCTATACTAATAAATCTGAATGCTGAGTAGTGGATAAAAAATAAAAATGGTTCAATATGTTAATCTCCATTGGGCTTGGAGTGTTAACTCTGTCCAGAAGGAAAGCACATGAAGCTGGATCTCCATCAACATAACTTCTGCAACAACAAAGGTCGTTTGCTCATTTATCTTAATGCTCAACTGTCAACTCCCTAGCAATAAGAGGAGTATGCATAATAGCAATTCGGTAGAAAGAAATAAGAACCATAAGAGAGTGAAAAATATAGAATGGAGCTACCTCTTTTAACAAATCCATGAGATACGTTTTTGGGTCACTCTATCTTATGTTGTTCTAGCAACGCCATGGGTACAGTTGATACCACTAATCAAAATTCAAAAGTATGCAACCAATAAAAAAACTTCAAATAAAAAAAACAACACTCTCATCCTAATGTAAACTATTATTTGTTTAGAAAACATGCAGGAAACGAATGGTTGAATAAATAGAATACTCACAATGGCTTAGATTTGATGCTCTTGATGTACATTGATTCACCGAGCATGCCCTGAGAGAAACTAATTCAGTCGCAAAATATATATAGAGCATAATAGGTAAACCTAGAAAGGGAAAAGAACAACCTAATGTTCTCCAATCTCCATTGCCCTTGCATTTTCTCTAATAAGCTGTAATCAGGTAAAGCAGAGGGTCAAAAGAATTCGGTCGGTCAGTACACAAAACTAATTCCCACAACAAACAGAACGCTACCTGTGAAACGAAAAAACTAACCTCAATTGGTTCCCTCGAAATTACAACAAAAACCAGTTCAGATTACATTCTTTTCTTCAACAAAAGACAAACTAATGTCTGGAGAATTGAGAACCATGCGTCAAATATTTCAATAGATTAATTGGATCTGTATGCTAACATTCTAGCAAGTAAAACTTGAAATGATAAAGTAAGTATAGTAGTTTAGGCAGAGAAATAAACTAAAAATGCTTAGAAGCATATGCCAAGAGTAATGACTATCGTTCAAGTAAACTAATTAAGAAGCTATAGAAAAACACAATTTGCTTATACTACTAAAAGGGGCAGTTGTTGTAACAGTAGATGAGGACCCAATTAGCTTTAGAATGACAGGTCATTAAATGGTTAATAGGTGAATAAATGACTGCAGTATACTTGTAAAAAATCAGTCAAATAGATGGAAGGATCATGAGATTGTAAAGACCAGTCTATTATGCAAAATGCAAAGAAACCAAAAGAGAAAAAAAAGGGTCTGTTATTGGGTTGGTAATGATGAAGGATCATGCATGGTTTTGACATCTAAAAGGAAGGTAGAGTAATCCAAACTAACATACGATTTGGTAAGCAGCAGTAGTGACTCGCCACAATATAGCTTTGGCATGAACCCATCGTTATAAAAACATAATGTCCCAGGAATGAACTCATTGTTATAAGTCGATGCTACTACCATGAAGAGAAAACCATGAATCCCCACACCTGCAAAATAAGTTTCTGGTCTAATAAGCCATTACTGGAGACACCACAAAGTATCAACCATTGCTATCAAATTCGAAAATGAACTGAAAGCAAGCATGATCAGTTCCACCTATCAATATCTCAAAAACTATCAATATATTCGACAAAGAAGAAAGGAGAACAGAGAAGATAGGTACCAAAAGAGAGGCAAGGACGCGCTTCAATATTTCGCCATAACCAAGCGAGACTGCGAAATCGAAAATCAACGGATGGAATGGGAGTAGTGAAAAGCATAACCTAGGAAAAAATTGAAAATCAGTATCTTCTTTGTCACCTGTGATATATGAAATTGGCTTATGAAGAAAAGACTATAGGAAGAAGAGAACTTACTATGTCAAAACATGAAAATGGCAAAGGAGAGTTTACTTGAAATGTCACCTCTAAGAAACTGGAAGGTACCACCCTGCTCAACCAACAACACCCCATATGAAATCCTACCACAAGGGTTTCAAAAAAGTATGCATTTGAAGAGGAACGCTTGACTCCACCCACTGACAACTAACTTCACAGTTGAAATGCAAGTCATGGAATCCTACCAGTCTTAAGACTTGACACACAATTCTACACACTCTTGTTCTCTTTCAGTCCTGAAAATTACAGTTATGAATTTCCTTTAAATATAGATTAACATATTGAACGGCAAACTGAAGCCCGAGGTAAATGCCAATAGATAACCAGAACAAACAGAAGCAAACGAAATTTAGATCCCGATCAGAAGGCATATGAAGCAAGCCATGGCCACCGACATGCAAGCAACTTGAACGGATCAAAATGTCGCGAGAGAAAGGCTAATAAACACAACAACTGCGACGGAACCTAAGTAAGTCGATAGAGAAGATGATATGGAAGCAAGGGAAAGAGGAAGGAGTGCGAGATTGGAGATGAGGATTACCTATTAATTATTATATCATCCCTACGGTAACCCAACGGCGACGAACCCCCACGTATTTCTCAAACCCAGTTGGAAGGAACAAAGAGCAGCGACCCCAATATCCAGTTGACGGAAGGCGGAGGCTAGGTATCGGCCGACGGTGTAAGACGATGATGCGGAACAAAGACTCTGAAATCCAAATCTGGGAAGGCGACGACGGTGGAACGGTAAGGGGGTCGCTGGGTGGTTACCCTCCTCAAATCCAATTGAAGAAGAAATGGAATCGTCGATGGGTGGTTACCGAGGGCCGGAGGTAAGGCAGTTGGGGATTCAGAGGCAGGGGAAGGCAGCTCCGGCTATAGGGCGGATGGAAGAGGGAGGAGAGTTGCAGGGCGACTGCGAGTCTTCGATGACAAGCTTTTGCGGGGTGGCGTTGGGGGTACGGTTAATGGAGGAGAATTCAGGTAGCATAATACCTAAATGGCGAAAAAGCAGTTTTGTGACTGGAAAAGAACTTGAGGAGCAATTGAAGCGGTAGCCGGAGCCCGTCAATACCCAGCCACGTCAACTCCCACAAATCACTCTACGCGCAGGGATTTTTGAATGGTGGTGGCAGTTTTAAGTTTCCACTATAAATTATACTGTAGACTAAGCGAAAAATCATGATGACACACATATATATATATATAGTAATGACTGGCGTACGTCAGGCGTATACTATACGTCAGGTGATCTAGCTGTTAGATGTACTTATATGAGCTCCGGCCGATCTCAATGGTCAATTTTTGTTTCTCATTAAATCAAACTTCAGGTTGGGGTTTAGAAAATCAGTGACTGGGGTTTAACCATTAGAGGTTAGGGTATAGTATCATACCACAAGCTCGATTTAATTCATGGTCTAGATAGAGATATCTCACTACTAGTACCTGACGTATAGTATACGGCTGACGTACGCCAGTCTGACCCACATATATATATATATATGGGGAGTTCTACGGTACCCAGGGTGAAATCTGGGGTACCGCATACCTTGAGTATGAAAACGCTATCCAGATCTTGAATTGACTGATCTTTCGGACATGATACTATACTCTAACTCTTAAAGATCAAAATCTAGGTCTTAATTCTCTAAATCTTATACCCCAAAATCAATTTAATTAGAAAAAATAATCGACGGTTATGATTCGTCCAAATATAGGCAAAAATACCAATGCACCATCTTAGGGTTTATAGTTTATGATTCATATAATTATGACATAGGATTCACTAATTAAGGGTTAGGGTATAATATCATGCCCAAAAATCCTGCTAATTCGAGGTCTATATAGCGTTTTCATACTCAAGGGTATATAAGAAGTTACTCATTCAAGTACTGTTTCAATTTAAAAAATGTGTTTTGTCAGTTAAAGTTGGATTGTTCGTTTTTGAACCATAGATATCTCTCGTGTTTTGTCGATATAAAATTTGTCTAAGCACTACTCCTCATTGAGCATGTTTTAATTCAAAGTTCTTACATGAACTCATTTTCACTAAAAAAAAATGTCTTTTGTCAGTTAAAGTTGGATTGTTCCTTTTGAACCAAACATCTCTATCGTGTTTTATCAATGTGAGATTTGTCTAAGGTGTTACATACCTACGCCTTTCTATGAAACCCAATGTTCTTGTTGAAATTTGCTCCACGGTCGTTCAAGAGCGACGCGAGAGGCTCTAATCCAATTGAAACATCTCAACTCTATTCTTACCAATATATTGTCCGCTTTTGAGTTGCCTTGTATGTTTTTACTTTTGGGATGCATCATGATGACTTCTCAAGAGGTTATCTATCTATGTACTGCTCCACCATAAGCACATTTAACTTGGAAGTTCTCACAATAACTCATCCATTTCACCCAAAAAAATGTATTATGAGTTAAGGTTGAATTGTTCCTTGTAAACATGAATCTCTCTCGTACTTTCTCAATATTGAATTTAGATAAAATGTTACTGTTACAATTCACTAAAATCTTGGTATCATGATGGAGCTAGGTGCTTTTTACAAAATTAAATAATATAACACCAATCATTTACCTTTAGAAGGAAAGTGTCGAATGTTGTACAACACAAAATTAAATAATATAACACCAATTAGCGCTCTCTAAAATCGTTTCGGCTTGATTTCGCTACAACTCATTTGAAGTGGTCAAGAGCATCAGTTACCATTAGAAGGAAAAGGTGTCCAATGTTGTACAACAATACTGTGTTTCTCTCCCCCGGGCAACTTGTTTACCTATCGAATTTGGAGTCAAACTTTTGTTTCGAGTATCTCATCCATCTAATTAAAAGTGTTCATAGTCATTGAGATTTGACAGATATTTTGTAGCTTCATATAGTCTTCCCATTTTGATGGTTAATGTTTCTAGTTCTTGCATTTATAACATAACTGAGAATATGTAATTGAGAAATAGCATTTTTTTATTAACCATAAAAAAAAAAATTTCCCCAATTTTAGGGCTATCTTGGGAACCCATGGTCTTGGATTTAAATAGCATTAAACATATGAAAACACGTTGATGTGAGAGGCTTGGTTAGGACATCATTAAACTGGTCGCTGGTAGAGGCATGACGAACGATAGATAACAATAAGAAGACTGTGATATCAAAATAAACAAAGGTACCATACAAAGTGATGTCATTCCTACCGTGACAAGTTTCTCTGTGTTTCTTGATGCACACGAAATCATAAGCGGCCACAAAAAAATCGATATATAAATGGTGAATCACAAGAATGCGAGCTTCAGTGAGGAACAATAAAAGTTCAAGGATCATAACAGCGAAAACTGGAAAATTCGAGGACAAAAAGTATCAATAGCTAATTCTTGTGATTTTTTTCTTAAAAATTTCAGTGATAAAAAAAAAAATGCCAGGAATAGCTTCCCCTTCCACTCCACCTCCACAACAATCGGCGGGATAACGGACTTCCTGCCTTAACCCATCCATCACTATTTTCTAACTGTCAACAATACTTCTTCTGTTCCCTTCCTTTTCTTCTTCCCCTTCTCCTTCTATTATTAGCTTCCTGAAATCTGCAATCAAAGCGCATCTCAGTTTCTGGATTTCAGAAGAAGGTCAGGGAAACCATAGCCGGGGAGGAGAAGGGGTAAAAGAGCAGAAGAGGCGGAAAAAACCCACCGGATTTTGATTTTCGCTTCGCCGGTGTGCAGTGGCGTGCGCTCTGGCGAACAGAAAACAAAATTTCATCGCTAATAATTGAACTATATTCTTCGGCAGATTTCAGGTAATTTACATCGCCTCACCGATTTCTTTAATCTTTGCCTTTTCTTGTTGGGAACCCTAAAAACAAAAAACAAAAACCCAATCGGTTACTGATCGAACTCTTCCTCTGGTTTTAGTGTCCAAAGGGAACGTAACTCTATTGGGTCTCTCAATTCAAAGAGATGGATAGGTGGGTCTCGCTGATTGGAAATCTAACGACGAGCAGAGTCGCCAAACACAATGGTGCGCTTATTGATCTCTTTCTCGGGATTCATGGGTGTAGTAATTAATGGTGTTTTATGTTTACAGAATTGTGTGTTTGATTTTCATTTTTGTTTATAGCAGGGGAAGGAGGTTTCGTTTAATTGGGAAGCTGCTGTCTTTCCCCTTTGCCCAAACAAGGGTTGGCGTCAGTTCTGCAAAATTCCATCCCAACTCCCAAGCATTTTTGTGATTTGGGAGGGGTTTGTGGATAATTTTTGACAAAGAAAGAAATTCTTGCAATTTGGTTTTTGTTTTTGCGATTATTGCTTTGTTCTTGTTGAATCGTTATACATAACGAAGATTATCAATGGAGTCGAGTGATGGGTTTGTATCAAAAGAACAACTGGAGCTTGCGAAATCTGCTCCGGAAAGTACAGATCCTTCATCTGTTTCTTATATGGATGGACATCCTAAGAAAGGTAATATTTACTAACTGCTTATCATTTATGAATCGGGTTACAGGTTACTAACGCCATTTGTCTTCCTGATCCACTATTTTAACTGTTCAGAAAGATATGATAGGTTTTCTATTGTTAATGGGTTGATCAGTCTGGAAATCCTGTTTGCATGGATCAATGAATGAATCATACTTAAGTTTATGGGTGGTTGTTTCGGTTTGTTACCCACTTCCCCAGGTGCTTCTGGAGGGAAAGAAACATGGGGTGGGTTACATGATCCTAAAGAGGATGCATCATTGTACAATAATGATCCAAACTATGATAGCACAGAGGTACTATGCACTTAAAGAATCATATTACTAGAAAGAAAAGATTTGGAAAAGGAGGCAAATGTAATCATCATGATGGCATTGGATGCTTAATATTGCAGGAACAAGATGGAGATCAAACAATAAAAGGAACCCCAAGAAAACTAGACGGCTATAAAAGGAAAGCTACTGTTATAGTGGAAGAATACTTTGCAACTGGCGATGTTGTATCAACAGCAAACGAACTGAGGGAACTAAAGTTGCCCAGTTATAGTTATTACTTTGTCAAGAAACTAGTGTCCATGGCAATGGACCGACATGATAAAGAAAAAGAAATGACTGCTGTTCTTTTATCCGCTCTCTATGCAGAGGTCATCGACCCTTCCCAAGTTTATAAAGGTTTCAGAAAATTGGTGGAATCTGCAGATGACTTGATTGTAGACATACCCGAGGCAGTCGATGTTCTTGCCTTGTTCATAGCCAGAGCTGTGGTCGATGACATACTCCCCCCTGTATTCTTGAAAAAGCAACTCGCTTCTTTACCTGCAGATTCTAAAGGGATCGATGTGTTGAGAAGAGCTGAAAAGGGTTATTTAGCAGCTCCGCTCCATTCTGAGATTATTGAGAGAAGATGGGAAAGCAACATGAATAAAACGGTTGATGATGTGAAGGTAAAAATAAGCAACTTGTTGGTAGAGTATATAGCAAGTGGTGATACGAAGGAGGCTTGCAGATGCATCAAGGAACTGAAAGTTCCCTTCTTTCACCATGAGATAGTCAAACGAGCCCTTGTTATGGCTATGGAGAGACGGGCAGTCGAAAGCCGGTTGCTAGATTTGCTCAAGAAAACAGCTGAAGAAGGTCTGATCAATTCCAGTCAGGTCACAAAGGGGTTTAGCAGGATGATAGATGTTGTTGATGATTTGTCGCTTGACATTCCAGATGCAAGAGGGATTCTGAAATCCTTGATATCTAATGCCGCATCAGAAGGCTGGTTGTCCGCTTCTTCTTTGAAATCACTCTCACCACCATCTCCAAAAGAATCTGTGGAAGGTGCTGCAAAGAAATTCAAGATGAAGGCACAATCCATCATTCAAGAGTATTTCTTGTCAGGTGATGTAGCAGAGGTGAGTGATTGTATTGAATTTGAGAACAGTTCTTGCTCGCCTGACCTAAATGCCATGTTCATCAAAAGGCTAGTGACTCTAGCAATGGACAGAAAGAATCGGGAGAAAGAAATGGCTTCTGTGTTACTATCTTCTTTATGTTTCCCTACAGACGATGTTGTGCATGGATTTGTAATGCTTATAGAATCTGCAGACGACACTGTTTTAGATAACCCAATTGTAGTCGAGGATCTTGGAATGTTTTTAGCTAGGGCTGTGGTGGATGAAGTCATAGCCCCACAACAGCTGGAGGAAATCGGTAGTCAATTCCTTGGCACGGAGTCTACAGGGAACAAAGTCCTCCAAATGGCCAAGTCCTTGCTAAAGGCTAGGCTTGCTGGAGAGAGGATCTTGAGGTGCTGGGGTGGTGGAGGAAGCAGCAGCAAGAATGGATGTGCGGTTGAGGATGTCAAGGACAAGATTGGCAAGTTGCTGGAAGAGTTTGAATCTGGTGGGGACATAAGGGAAGCTTGCCGTTGCATTAAAGAACTCGGGATGCCCTTTTTCCACCATGAAGTGGTGAAGAAAGCACTGGTGAAAATCATGGAGAGCAAGAGTGAGAAGCTGTGGGGTTTGCTTAACGAGGGGTTTCGTTCTGGACTCATAACGTCGTATCAAATGACGAAAGGTTTCGGGAGAGTTGCGGAGTCTATGGAGGATTTGAGATTGGATGTCCCTGATGCTGAGAAACAATTCGAGTACTATATCGAGAAAGCTAAACTCACAGGGTGGCTGGATTCATCATTTGGAATTGGTCCTACTACCAAATCAAGTTTTGTTAAGGAGAATGGCATAAATGTATGATTAACAGGTAACGAATTTCGTACTTTTTGTTGAATCTGGCAATCCATATGTTGAATGGCGTAGGCCTCAACACAAGCAGGCATCATCAGTCTAAGCTCAATCTGATTGCGTGATTTGATGGGGGTCGGCTGTACTGATGCTTATCTTATCCACATCCTGATTTGTTTCTGATTCTTTTTGTGTTTGCAGGTTTTTTGGTTTCGCGGTTGGGTTTTGTCAATGAAGATTCCATAATCCATCAAATTGCTACGAAGAGAACTAGCTGGATTTTGTTTGCTTGGTTTGTCTTTCAGTTTCAGAGTTCTTTTTTGGTCTTCTGTGACACCATCTAGGATTTAGCACACCTTTTACATTATTTCAAGGAAAAAGAGTACTTCATGGAAGAGAACATTACAAGATGGAACTGGAACCATCTCTATGTTGCTAACATTTATACAATAGACTGAGAGATAGGTACGTAGTTTTCCATTTCTTTTAGTTCAGAATTTTTTGGGGGTTCAGTCATGTATTTGTTTGGAATAACTTCACCATTGTGTGAGAGTTGTAGTATGTTAAATCTCTTTTTGCCCAACTCTCTTGTTTTGTACTGTGATGCCATGAAATGATAGTGCCACATTTCACCTTGTCTACCTTGCGCAACAAGATTATGCTTATCCATGTCAATACAGGTGACAAGCTTCTCGATGGAGGTGACAAATGCGTCGAGTTACTGGGTTGATGATAACGTGGTTCGTGGATTTTCGAAGATCAATAGTATTCTTTGATATGGTTTTGGAAGTTAGTTTTGTCTAAAACTTGAGCGCAATTACAAAACAACAGCATTAAGTGGATTGATCGCGGTAAAGAAGATATTAATTGGATTGTTTGTGAATTAGGTTGGGTTGTTATTTCCCGCTGGTAAAGAAGAAAAAGTGACGGAAGAAATAGTAACCTTTACATTCACTCGTCACCAATAGTCACCACAAGAGCATTTCCCATCTTCAAAGCGATGAAACCGGTTATTATCCCTCACAATGATCACTCTCCCACTGCACTTCGACATAAACTTGATCGCAGTATGGCAATCACCACACACTCGAAGGTTCTTCATGATCCGAAGCGGCCTATCATTGTGTGGGAAAACAATGAGCGCGAATGCAATTGCTATCCTTTCACTGTGATACCGAATCGTCTGCTGCTTCTCTTCACCACCCACTGCTCGCAGCACGAAACTCGTATCGGCAACATAACCAGCCTTCTCCATCTCCTCTCCCAACTCCTCCAGCTTCTCGTATATCTCCTTACTCCTCGCATGCCCTCTATCCCCTGCGGCAAAAGTGTGCACTTTGTTCCCTTCCTCCACCCAACTCAACCCTGTTTCCTTCTTCACGCCTTGGTCCCTAAGCATCTTCCGAGCTCTAGCTGCATCCTCGTAGCGACCAGCAGCTGCGTATGAATTTGACAGTATCACGTGTAACCCTGGGCTGACGTTCCCCAGCTGGAAGACTCGATCTGCTGCATATGCTGCCAGCTCAGTGTTGCGATGAATTCTACATCCTGTCATGAATGCTCCCCACACGGATTCCGTGGGCTCGATGGGCATTCGGTTTATGATCGAGAGTGCTTCCTGCAGTTTACCCGCCCTGCTGAGCAAATCAACCATGGATGAGTAATGCTGAGCACCTGGCTCGATCCCATATCTCGTCTTCATGAGCTCGAAGTAGAATTCCCCTTCCTTGACTAGCCCCGAGTGGCTGCAAGCATAGAGCAAACTCAAGAAGGTGATGAAGTTTGGTTTTACTGTTCCTCCACCGGTTTGCAACTTGTTGAATAAACTGAAGACTTGGTTTGTATGTGCGTGCTGTGCGCAAGCAATGAGCATGGCGTTCCACATGCCGAGGTTTCTCAAGGGCACCTCGTGGAAGACTGTGTAAGCTTCTTCAATGATTCCACACCTTGAATACATGGAGACAAGAGAGCTGCCCACAAAGCTGGAGGAATTGAAGCTCGTTTTGAAGCACATCCCGTGTATCTGTTTACCGAGTTCCAGCAGAGTGCAATCTCCACAGACCCTGATGACGCTCGAGAATGTGAAATCGTTGACGTCCATACCCGCGTACAAAGCTTGTTTGAAGAGCTTCAATGCTTCATTGTCTTCCCCAAGTTGCGCATACCCATAAATCATACCACTCCAGGAAACTACGTTTCGATCAGGCATTTCATCGAACAGTTGCCTTGCATCCACTATCCCTCCACATTTACAGTACATATCAACCAGGGAGCTCGCCACGAACACATCAATTTCATACCCAGTCTTAATAACGTGACAATGCACGGATTTACCCACATCAGAACGACCCATGATCGCACAAGCCTTGGTGGCACTAGGGTAGATATGATCATCAGGACGTGCACCATCCTCAAGCATTCGACGAAAGTACTCAATCGCAAGACCCGGTAACTCATTCTGAGCCAACGAAGATATGACAGAGCTCCAAGTAGTGGCTGACCTCTGCTGGGTTTCCTCAAAGACCAGGGTGGATAACAGCGGCAGCTCGTTCTTGGAGTAGAAATTGATCAGGTAGTGAGACACGAGAGGAATCGTTCCCAAACCCGATTTTGTGATGTGGGCATGGAGCTGAAGGCCCGTGGGAAGATTCCGTGACCGGGTTTGAGATAAGAGAAGCTCGCAGATGTACCTGTACTTTCCTTCGAAGGAGAAATGGTTGATCGGCGGCGGATTCGGCGGTATTTTCTGGTTCTGGTAAAAGTAAGCAGATTGATCTGAATTAGGACTTGGAGTTGGAAGAGGCTGCCTTAGACCACTTTCGGAAGGTTGAATCAATACGTTCTGAAGGAGATTTGCGAGAACCTTCGGGTGTTTCAGCGGTCTCTCGGGAACTTGGTGAAGAAGCATTTAGTTACAGAGAAGCACCAAAAAAAAGCTTCGAGCTTTCTCCTGGAGCGAATGGAAGGGCGGCGCTGAAAGGAAAGAGACGGCCTAATAAAACGGCGGGAAATTAAAACGACGGCGTTTTAGCTCCCGTAGTAAACGGCAATTTTCCCTCTTTCGTCCCTTCATCGAGTCTAGACTTTTTAGTCCACAGCGTGGAGCCCTAAATCAAATCATCATTTTTGCCTCAGAGCTTCAGCAATGGAGGTGGAAGAAGAGAGACGGCTGTTATGGAAATCGGAGTTGCAACCGGAATCCATGCTTTCAGTGACAGTAGGGAGAGCGATGTCTACGCTGCTTGCTGCTCGCTGCAGGAAGCTACGCGACTCCATTTCCGGCCTGTCTCTCGAAACTCTGAAGAAGCCTTCTTCGCTCGGTACTTGGTTAAACCTCTCGTTTTCCCTGGTTAAGTTGGAAGTTTGGGTCTTTGAATTTGTGCGATCTTGGAATCTTCTATGGATGATTGATTCAAGTTCTGTTGATGTCTTGGTGATGAAGGTTCCTTGGAGGAGCAGCTCGTGTTTCTGCATACTTACGTTAAAGATGCAGCTGAAAAGGACGAGAAACTGGATGACGTGCTTATTCCCATCATTCAGCATGTATGTCTCTTAATCTCTAATACATCACGAAGTTGTTGCTTTGCTCCATTCGCCGAGTTCAATATCCTGTGTGTATTCATTACTAGTATAGTTTCAGCCGTGACCTACATCCTCTACAAACTTGAGTTGAAGTGGCTGTGAAGTTATTTTTGTTCGATGTTCTTGAGGTCTGCATTAGCTGAATCGTTCTCTGTTGTTGTTGCTAGTCCTTGGCTAACAAAGACTTGAAACGTGGCGGCCAAGATCTGGTGCTTATCAACTGGCTGTTTCAAGATGAGTTTGTATTCCAAGCTGTTGCGAAGAATACGGTAGACGTTATCAAGGCGAAAGATGACCGTTTCATTTGTCTTGGTTGGTGTGTACTTGTGCGCAGTCTTGTGGAGTATGAGAATTTTATGGATCAGTATTTGTTGTATGGTAAAATATCTGATTCCTTGTTCGTCCTTCTACATCCAAAACGTTGAATTTTGTTAATTAGTTGCGTCAAATCCATGTTTGTGACATGTCATCACCTCTTGCCATTTCTCCAGGAATCAGGGATAACTACCAACCTCTGCTGGATATACTTTGCTTATGTCTACCACATTTATCAAAAATAGTAACCGCAGGGAGGTATGCTTTTCTAATCTTGTATCCTAATGATACTTTTTTCTGACATGCTTCTGGATAAGCTACACTGGTGTAGTTGTATCGAGCATGGAGATTAGAGAATAAACAAAATACTAATTCTTCTTTCTTTTATCTTCTTTTTCAAAAATTTCGACATGAAGCGTTCTCCGAGATGGTTTCGAGCTGCCAACTCGCCTATCAGTGTCTGCTGCGGATTGTATTTTAGCTATCAGCAAAGCATTGACCAAAAAGGCTAAGGTTTCAAGCACGAAGTCACAATTGTTGACAATGAATGCATCTTCTCAGTCTATGACTCCTCAATCCACTGACACTGCAGTGAAGAAAGTGAAACTGCCATCTAAATCTTCAGAAGGTTCGATGACCGAGATGTCATATTTGCTCTGGGATCAAATGGACATTCTCATTTTGCTATTGCAGAAACTTCTTGCTGTACGCTCTCAACTTCATTGGTTCTTGTCTGTCACATTTCGTACATTTACTGGTTTATTGGGATCCAAGGATATATGTTTTTTCCTCAAAGACCCAGTTTCCATGGTCAAGAAGACTGCAATAGGAAGTTCTGTATTGGATTTAATGCTATGCTTACTGATTATCACTAGCAGTGCACTTAGTCTACTGCATACAGTTCGTGAAGACTCTAGTGTGTTGATGTTCCTGTCACCCTTTGCAGTGGAGCAGAAAAAGCAGAGTGTTACATGCAAAGGGAGTGGAGTTAGTGCTTAAATGGATGCAGGAAATAAAACAACGTTACCGTGACATCCGAAATGAGGCAGGTCCTACTCTCAGGCATACTCTTCATTTTTAACTTTTGTCATAGCTTCTGATTTGTGTGGATCTTGATAAGTTTTATTGCATCTTGAACATACATCCAGACGCTCTTAAGAGTGGTACATTGCTATTATCATCTTGTTGGAAGCACTTTGGCGGTCTATTGTACTTGGAAGATCATAATTTTTATCAGAAGTGTGATGAGTTGTTGGAACAGTACTCATCTGGAATCCAGGTTAGTTGTGTAATTATCGTTTCCCCCTGTATGTATGCAATGACATGTCCCTGCTAGGAAAAGAGAATTTCCCCACTCTCTATAATCACAGTTGGAAGTGAAGCATGCCTTTTGATTGTACAAAGGTGATGATAAATAGAATTTGGCAAAAGTAAAATATTCACTTAGGTGGGTTCAAGACGCATATGTTCAAATTAATTAGCCTATACACATAAATATACAGGGAGAAGTTGCAAAATCATCATATGATCAAACATATGCTGTAATTGTTAAGAAAAAACCCTGCTTTCTGCTAATTCTCTAAAACAGTGGTACTTCAGCATAATTTGCTGTAGAACTTGGGTATTCTGCCTTTTTTCATATAGAAAGATATGTGGTTGATAAAAGATGCAACCACGGATCACAAGTTTGATACACTTTTTAGTTGTATAACTGCAACTATTAAGTTTGTTTCTGATACTTACTGCACATCTTTGTTGGGGTTTATGCTTCTTAGTCCTTACTGTCTTTACTACCTACAAGTGATTGATATTGTTTTCAATGATTTAAAAACAACATTAATGCAGTACTATATGGAAAACCAAGCTGAGGATCATGGAGAGAAGACAACTAGTGGCTTAGAAACTAGGAAGTTTTTCATCACTTGTCTATGTCTTCTCTTGGGGCGTTTAGATGGCAAGAGATTTGAAAGCTCAATGTCAGAACACTGGGTAAAGATATCACGTATCCTCATATCACAGGTAATTATGCTTTGAATTAGCAGAGGAACATTTCATATCCCACTTGTACTTATTCATAGTGGTTATAGTCTGTTGAACTGATTTAAGAAATTTTAGAGTAGATGGCCCCGTCTGGGTAGAGCCTCTCAGTATTTACTGGATATTGAATAAATGAGTAGTTTCTTACTCAAGTGTTATTACACTCTTATTTTTCCCCATTAAGTCCACTTTAATTATGGAATTCAGTATTTAATAGCTTTGAGCACCACCGCACAATCGCTAACTTATTAGCTTCCCCTTTCCAGGGGTACAGCCACTCATTATATACTGCATATTGGATTGTCAGTTTATTGCTTAGATTTTAGGTGTTTACTTCTTACATCTCTGAATAAGATTAGTTACTGATCCATTCATGTGGTGTTAAGAATGTCCATGTTGAGTAAAATGACATCTTGTGCACAAACTTATACCTCCCTTTTATTTTCTTGCTATTTCCCCTCGTGGTTGAAAAGCTTCACTGCACAGATGAAGATGTGGTCTCTGGAGCTGTTTGCATACTGAAGGCAGCAATATTCAAGAATGACTGTTCGTCTGGGAATGCTCTTGATAATAAACAGATGAATATGATGTTCCCACAGCTACTGAACCTTCTTGATGAACGGGATAGCACAGCTAAAGCCATTGTTATGCTCATAGCTGAATACTGTTCCATGTATTTCTTTTACTCTGTTTCCATATGAAAGTCCACGTCCTCTGCTCTTTGTTCTGCTGCTATAATTTATTTGAATTTATGAAATGGATGACCAGGAGCACTGGAGGTCATTGTCTTGAACAGATTCTACAGCGTCTTGCTTCTGAAAATGCTAAGCAGAGGAGGAATGCCATTGACGTCATTTCAGAACTGATACACTTACTATCAAATTCAATAGACAAGCTTCCTTCTGTGGCATGGTATGTTGCAGTATAGGTTGTTTTATCAGCTTTATTTTCCTTCTCAAAGCATCAATTTGTTCTACCTATAATCTTTTGTTATGATTCCAGGCAAGATATAGCCAACAGCTTGCTCGAGCGCCTTAGTGATGAAGAAACAATAATACGTGAACAAGCATCCAATTTGCTTGCCAGAATAGGTTAGTCCCGACACAATTTTAATATATGTTGCTTTCATTGATTTGTTAGATGCACCTTGATCTGAACAAATGCTTGCTGCTGGACTTCCTCTTTGATTTTATCAGATCCATCAGTTTCCCTGCCTGCATTAGTTGGCCTCCTTTACTCATCAGATGATAGAGTGAAAAGATCAGCTGCTACCACTTTCGTAGCTGTGCTCAATTATCATGGCCAGGAACCTGGTGTCATATGTATGCTACTTGACTGCCTTAGGTATAGTTCTCTTCTTCATCCATGGAAATATATCATGTAAACTTCCTTACTTTCTTGAAGTTCTGTGGATCCGTATCACTTATCTCTGGTACTTTCTTTGTTACAGTAACCTAAACCAGAGTCGAGATCTTCCAAATGCTACTGGTGATGTTTGGAAAGGTGCATCTCTCACTTGCCTAGTGGTTTATTCAATGTTGAAATATCAAGCTTTTTAGTGTCGAACGTGGATTTTAGACCGGAGCCAAGATTTTTCACCTCCTTGTAACAGTTACTTCCAGTTGGCATACGCCTTCATTTTTCATAATCTAATTTTTGTTAAATGATATTGTAGAGTCAAACAGGGATGCTGATCCAGTACTCAAGCTAATACCAGAGTGGTCTAAAACTGTAAGAAAATATTGCGTTTGGTCAATCAATGTTTGCTGCAAACCTGCTCGTTCCTTTCAGTTATTTGCTTTCCTGAGTGTGTTCATTCCTTTCTCTAAAGGAGCATTGGTTTATAAATGCATGTGTACGGAAAAAAGAACTAACTTCCTATTGTACTGGAACTCCACAGGTCCAAGATTGGAAACCCTTTGTGGCAGCATTAACAGAAAAGATGTTTGCTGATCCCGGCAATGCAACTATTGTCCGCTTTATGAGTTGTCTAAGCGACCGCTTAGCAGAAGTTGCAGATGTGGTCCTTTATAGTGTCTTATTGCAAATGCAAAGACAGGAGTAAGTCTATCCTCAATTGCCGACACTCTTCGAGCTTTTTGATCCCGACTGTCATTTGGACCTGTGCAAGTACTTAATTGTTCTATCTAACTGCCAGTAGAACAAGCGTGATGTTAGAATTCCAGCTCTTGAAATGTGTAATGTTTTAAATGGATGAAGGATAATTCTAATATGGACTACATCCACCTTGCACAGCTTTCCTCCCACCCTGGCCTCCCCTATGCAAACACACAAGATGCAACGAATCTTGAAATGAACAATCATTACAGGATTAAAAATGTGACTGAAGTAGCAGAAAACAGTTAACGCCTCAAAACATTGCATTTCATGATGGTTGGCTGGATCTGTGAACTCTGGTCCTTGGCCTTAGTCCTGATAAAAAAGTCAAGTTTGTTTTATTGTGTAAACCTGAGCATGATTTCTTGTTAATTTTCCCTATTCACAGGGTTGATGAAAGTTTAGTCTCTCAACGGGAATGTGGATCATATACAAATCAGGACTCCGTGAAGCAACAGTCCTTGTTTGACCGCCTTTGTCCATTACTCATTATTCGGATGCTTCCATTAAAAGTTTTTGATGACCTTAATCTCTCTGTGATGTATGGTCAACTTCTCAACCAATGGGTAATTCTTGGTATGTCACTGTATGTCGTTAAACTTCTTCCTCAGTTTCAGCTCAATTACTATCTTTGTATGATAAACTTCAGCTGAAGTTGCTCCTGATTAATTTTGTATCTTTTGATGCTTTCCTTTTTTATGCAACTATCTTGATGGTGTTGCTGGAATTTTCAGGATGTGGTGATATCAAAGCCGACCAAGAATGTATATCTGCATTTCTTGTCAAGAGGTTAGGCCATCAGTGTCTATCTTCATAAGCATGCGAACGTGAAGAAAACTAACTTGGCATTCTATTAACTCTGTTTCTGTTTTCAGGGCATTGAATGAGTCCGAATTTGAAGATGTTCGAAAACTGGCAGCTGAACTTTGTGGCCGAATTCATCCTCAGGTATGTGTTGAGTGCACCCATGAATTTACCATTAGTTATTGTGCACATTGTTCTGGAGGGGGGCTTGAAGGTCTCTGAAAATTTTACTTTATCCAATTTTCTTTTTTCATTCAAATGTTCCTGATTATTTAGGTGCTCTTGCCTGCTGTTACTTCAGTATTGGAACATGCAACAGTGCTTCATGACACATTGAAGATCAAGGCTTGTCTGTTCTCACTTTGCACTTCTCTTGTGGTAATTATTTTGATCTTTCATGTGATTCACTTTCTTCAGGGATACTACTGTCAAATGCTATCCTCATATGTTATCGACTAACTCAACTGCATGTTACAACACTGATAGGTTAGAGGTGGAGAATCTTTTCCCCATTCTGCTCTCCTCAAAATTAGACAAGTCCTTGAAAAGATACTAAGGTGGCCTCCTTTGGATGACAATGAAGGTATGAAAGAAGGCCAGGCTCTCAATTATCCGACAAGTCAATTTGCATTCTGTTTTAAAATTTAAATCATGCACTTTGTTTCAGTTTCCAAAGCACAACGTGGATGCATCGACTGCTTGGCACTAATCATTTGTGCTGAGCTGGAAGGTCCTGGGTCAGACATAGAATCTCGTCGACGAAAATTTTCTGGTTGGTTGCTTGTTCTAGACATTTTGAATGTTTGATATGGTGATCGTCATGAATGTTTAATGCTTAAACTGTACCATACAGGGAAAGCCGACACAGAAACCTCCATTTTCAATTACGTGATCCATCAGCTGATAACAAATGAGGAAGAAGTCGAAAATTCTGCATACGAGGCTAACATCTCTCGTTCATTCCGCATTTGCATGGCCAACGTCCTCATAAGTGCTTGTCAGAAAGTCTCCGACTCTAACAAGGAGTCTCTGGCTCAAAAAGCGCTTCTGCATCTCATCCCTTCTGTCAAGGTAGCCCTTTCTATAGGGCCTCATTTCTTTCTTCTTCCTTGTTTCTTACTTTCCATTTAGCAGTGTTTCTCCAGCTGACGACGTTTTCCTCCTAACAACGCAGGGAATAAGGTACCCAGAGATAAGATCTGCTTGCGTGCAGGTTCTGTTTTCAGCGGTATACCATCTCAAGTCTGCAGTTCTTCCATATTCAGCCGATCTGCTTAAACTATCTCTTGAGCTGCTTCAAAATGGATCAGAGAAGGTATATTGGATCCATGTTTGTGGAGAAATAATAAATGTTGCTTATCAATCAATTATCATCAAGACATATTCTCATCAAGCTTGTGGCGGGTTGTGGAAACAGGAAAGACTAGGAGGCGCGAAACTGATGGCGTCCCTTATGGCGAGCGAAGACGAGATTCTGGAGACGATATCAGTTGGCCTGATAGAAGCAAGATCTGTTCTCTCAAATGTATCCAGATCCGATCTTTCGCTTGAAATTCGCCAGATATGCAAGCAGCTGCTGGCTTGCATAACAACTTAAACATACTGACAATCGGTTTGTGGAATTAAGACTCCCTACTAAGTATATTACCAATTTTAATTTCCATCTAATTTTTAAGGGTGTCCCGTTCCAGCATTTGAAGGCAGAGAAAGGAATTGAGAAGCAAAGCTCGTCACTTTCATGGAGTTGGTTGCTTGGCAATTTGGCATTAAAGCAAAATTTAAGGCGGCAAGTGATAGTACAAACTACAGAACAAAGGGCGCCTTTTTGGCCGCGTAAGTGCGCACCTTTTGGCCCGTCGCTTACGAGGCCAAATGACCATCATAGGTTATTTATTAGGCTGATAGGTTGGATAAAATTTCGGTTGATGCCAATCGTTGGATCGAATACGATACTATTGTTTGATGAAATTGTCGCGTCACATAAACTCAATCTTTAATATGGTATGAAATCGACGAAATAGCATAAGCTTGGACTTTACTTTGTGAAACTGTATTTTTTTATTCCAAGGTGCGTAAGTTCATGTTGAGGTTCCATTTGTAGTGGACTACTTGGATACTCAATCTTGACTTTACTAACAAGTTCGAAGAAGATGAAGATAAATGCGAGAAAAAAAATATAGGTGGTTAAGAGTTTGGATAAACTCGTAAATAACAGAATAAATAAAATTATCTAACCCAAAGCTTACATACAATGATATCGAAATAATACTTATATCGATATATTACTATCATAAATTTGTTGTGTCGAGTACAAAACTTCAAAATTGTGGAATGATAATTTATAATCAACCATTAATGACTAACTTGTATCGATATTAGACCTAATCCGAAAGTGATTAAGCCTAACAAAGAAGAAATTTCCTTATCTCCTCCTAATTGCTAAACCCAAAGGGGAAAAGCTTTTGTTTATCCACAAGCAAAAACGAAAAAGAAACAACAAAAAGAGGTACCGTCTCGCTTTCTTTCTTTCTTTCTTTCTTTCTCATCAGACAAATAAATTCGCCCTCTCTCATCATAATCATAATCATTTCTTCCGCGGAATCAAAGCCAAAGAAAGAAGAAAACCCCCACGAGAAACCCCTCCGCCGCCCAGATTCGACACGAATCCATCTTCTTCGCCGGAAAGAGCTGGACCCCGACGGTTGCAGGTCGTCGGATTCTCGCGGGAAACTCGTAATGTTGCAGCTCTTCTTCGCGGTGGCGTTCTCGGCGGTGCCGTTGACGCTCTACATCCCGCCGATCCGCTCCCTGAACCTGTTCGTGGAGACGATCGAGGATCTGCTCCGTCAGATGGCCGTCCATACTATCCGGACGTATCCTCGGATACGCTTCGGCTTCTCTCGCATCCTCAACAACCTCCTCCATCTCGCCAGGTAAATCAATTCGAAAAACCCCCCCTCCGCCGCCCGCCGCCGGCCAGCACCAGATCGAAATGTCCGTTGTTGTGTTATCTCTGACCAGAGGCCGTTCGTACATCGCTTTTGGATCGGGTTTTGCTGTTGGAAATTTTGATTCCATAGAAACTACTGGCTGCTGCCTGCTGTTGTTTGTTTGTTCGTTGTAAATACTCTTGTGTAGCTAGCTGATGATAGATAGAGATCGAATCGGCTGAGAAGTTCTTTAGCAGATTTTCGTTTACTACTCTGAATTAGGTTTTGACCGATTAGTTCTCTTCGTGTGATGGATTTGGCTGTAATATTGTTTTTTCTTCTTCTTTTTTCTTGAGGTTTCTGTATTATCTCTGATTGAGCAATAAATTTATAAAAAACTGGAATATCTTAATTCTTCAGATTCTCGTTTGAATTTTCTTCCGTCTAGTGTTTCTGTTTTTCTGAAACAAGCTGATCAATCCGATATTATCCGCGGAATGAAAGAAAGTAGTATAAGATTCATATTTTGATCCGTCTAACAATTTAAATCGTCAGGTCGGGTCTGCGGCTCGATTAGACCATCTCCAACAAGAAATTGGGAAAATGCTAGCATGCTAAAGGGTTTTGGCATTTTGGCACTCCAAAAGTGGGTTTTGTTCCAACAAGGAATGCTAAAATGCCAAATCTTCTATTTTATGGTAATCTAGATTAGTGTAGATTTCATCATTTTAATTAGATAGTTTGTAGATTCTTTGTATGCAGGTAGTTATAATTAATTAGAACGAACATTTTGATGTAATTTTTTTTAATTTTGACAAAAAAATATACATTATTAAATATGACGTCATTAGTGACAAAAATACAATAATTGGTGGAATAAGACCGGAAATGCAAACAATAACGTATTAATGCAGGTCAATTATTAAAAATAGGTTTAATTTGATTGATTTTGTTTTAATTATGGGTTTAGAGGGATTTACATGTGTTCATGGGTTTTTTAATTGAATGGCACGTCCACCGAGAAGAGGAAGTGGGGTTTGGGATTTTTCCCATTTCTTGTCTGTTTGTGTGCCAAATTTAGCCACAAAATTCCCATTTTTTGGCTTTTAAGCATTTTAGCATTGTTGTTGGAGGGACTTTTTTCCAAAATTTGGCATTTTAGCCTTGTTGTTGGAGATGGTCTTAGTGGTGGAAATCGGTTTGGTTTGTAGATTAGTTAAGATAAGCAGTGTTCGGTTATGGCGGGGTTAGGCCGGCTGGAGTCAGATAATTATGGGTCTGGGGCTGGTTAGTGGTTGAATTAACATTGCTTCATGTAGCAATGAATACAAAAGGGGATTCCTTTTTTCCAATCATAGCAAACTTTCCAGGTCCAAAACCCCATCTTAACCAATACCAATTAGGATCAGGTCGACCTTAGCACTTAAATAACCCAGTATTTGATCATACTATCATTCATTCATGATAATCCAAAGACTACATCTTTTACTTGGAAAGCCAAGATTCACATAGGCAGGCATATGGTTTTGGGGAAGTGATGGGATTGGAGAGCTCACCGATGGACAAATCAAAGCCGTATTTGATCATACTATCATTCATAAATGATAATCCAAAGACTACATCTTTTACTTGAAAGCCAAGATTCACATAGGCAGGCATATGGTTCTGGGGAAGTGACGGGATTGGAGAGCTCACCGATGGACAAATCAAAGCCATATTTGATCATACTATCATTCATTCATGATAATCCAAAGACTACATCTTTTACTTGAAAGCCAAGATTCACATAGGCAGGCATATGGTTATGGGGAAGTGACGGGATTGGAGAGCTCACCGATGGACAAATCAAAGTCGTGATTCTTAAGCTTGCGATACTCCCGGCACAAGGTATTGTGGGTCTGTTGAAGAAAGTTAAGATCCATACATGGTGGACCTCTCCCAACTCCGTAACCCAGGTGGTAGAGGAAGGAGGAGGAGTGAGAACATAGAGAATTGACAGTTGCAGTTGTAAGTAACTAAGGCCAAGTCCAATGCAGGAAGTTGCCACTTTATGTTTTCATAGTTGGAAACAAATAGAAAACAGAATGAAAAGTAAACAAGTTTTCTCGTTTCGGTTGCCAAATTGTATAAAACATGAAAGGGGAGTACGCTTTTTCCCCCCAAAGACTCTAAACACTGTTTCATTTTTTGGCGTCTAGCGCCCAAGTATTGGCCAAGTATTGAAAAAGCTCATTCCACACACTTTCTTCTCCAGCCGTACTCCTATCCCTCTCAACCTTACCCTCAGTCCAGCAAACACAGGCCACCGCCCATACTCCACAGTCCGCGCTACAGTTGCCATACCTTTCCTACTCTCAATTTCCACCCGAAATCAAGCATTCACCGGTCAGTGGTCGGTCATGTCTATCTCTTCATCCTTCCATTCTGCAATCCCCAATCCCACTCCCTTAACCCCTGCTCACAGTCACCAGCTCGCTCACGCAACCGCCCATAATTTCTGCGCCGCTTGCTTTCCTTTAATCTGTGCGGACAAAATTGCTTTCTTCTCGCCCAAATCGTCCTCTTCGGTTCCACCTCTCATTATTTTCTTTTGCTTCCTTTTTCCTGTAGCTCAACCAGTCACGACCTCGCTTCCTATTTCCTTCGCTCTGTGCGGAGAAAATTGCTTCCTTCTTCGTGCGTTGCAGCCTGGAGAAGAATGACCCTTGATTGTCGAGATGCAATCTTCTCCACGTTCCACCAACCATTTTTTCGGCTGCGGTGCTGCGACGGAAGGGTTGCGGATGCGAGGAGAGCTACCTATGCCGTTCACTCCGGTGTCACGACAGAAGGACCACTCGCCTGTAGCAACCGGGAGACAATGTAAAGTTGAAGGTTTGGGGATGTTCGACGAGCCAGGGAGGATCTGCATCAGCGATAGCTGAGGTATTGGTTTGCCCGGAAGGATTCTCGGCGACGGTGGCGTAGAAGTTGTGGAAAAGAATTGGGGGATGGTCTTTTGAAAGGAAGTCGGGCTATTGCATCGGAGAGAAAGTCATTTGAAAGGCCACAGGGTGGATTGATCAATGCCCAGTCGAAATCAGTTAAGGGTGGGTGCCCTCACCTTACTTTTAACTCTGTTCCAGGGAGATTTGTGTTGGTTACCTATATTATTTGTTCTTGATCCTGTCCTATTGGCTGAAGGTGTGTTTTCTTTGGCTTCTTTAGGCATACCCAACACACATTCAGTTTGTTCCAAACTTCATACCTCAGATCAACCTGTAAGTTTCATTCTTTAGCTATTTGATGGTATATATGTTTTGGCTTCCATGTTCTTCTGCCGCTGGCCCTCTTAAGAAAAACCTAAGATAGTTTAAGCCTGTCATTGATTTTTTCTGCTCCCTGACATGAAAACGCTGCTTGGAGTTGGAACCTTACACCTGCATCAAACTCCTCACAAGTTTCAGCAGAATGATGAATCACAGATCGCTTCACCATCCTAACATAATTGGCTTCAGGGAGATTCCTTTCCCAGCAATCAATCTCCAAATTGTTTTTTATTTTCTTTAATGTTATTTTGTACTACATCAGTGCTTTAATGGCCCTTTTTCCCCTCCGTGGGGTGTATGCTTTTGTAGCTGGTCCTGACTCCAACCCATCAGAGCTTCATAATCTGTTGTTCCACTGTAATTTGCTTTCTAAATATGCCACCTCAGCATGATTAATTTGCTTCCTAAGACTTCGACGGAAGCAATTTTAGAACCGAAATCTCTTGATGCCACCTCATTTGTTTGTGGAAACTCAATACTCAGCATGATTAAGGTCCCTTACCCAAAGGAGTTTGATAGGATTTGGTGAACTTTCGTGCATATGTAATAGCCTGCTCAATGTATACAATTGTAGTCTCCAATTTAATATTCTGCTCAATGTAGCTTAAATGGGCTATAGGATTCTTTCCCTCATTAATTTGTCACTCAAAGGTCTACTGCACTCCTAAAGATGAATTTGGAGCCTGATTTAATAAATTTTGTTCTCTATTTCTTATTTACACACTAGCTGAAGCATCAGAACTTTGTTCGGGATGAAAAAAATATCCTTTTAGAAGTTTGTAAAATCATGCAATGTGCCCATGAGATGCCATAAAACATACATAAGTGTTTCTAAACATGCCATCCCAAATGGGAACTTCGTTTCCATCCCTTTTCTCTTTTGAGTCTTTCTCATCAACTAGCTGTTGCATAGGTTTAGATAGCTGCATGAAATTATTAATGGCATGTGTAGTATAGTTTATTTAGCCACAAAATCACTGTCATTGAATTGTTTGTATATATCTCTGTCTCTTTCAGTTCAAAGATATTGTGGATCTTCTTTTGTTTTAGTGCGGCTGCACTTTCTTTTTGCTGGTGCCTATGCACTTTCTTTCCCTCTTACTCTACAAGAATGATAGAGTCTTCTATAATGTTTGTGCACTTTCTTTGCTTTGTCATCTTCCTACTCATACATATATATTGTCACTGATATGATTTACATAAAGTGGTATGTGTTCTCCTTGCTTCAGGCACTTGCCTGTAACCTATTGTTGATTTTCTTTTATCTGTGAGCTAGAGAGTGTGTATAGCAGGGACTAAAGATTACGCTAATCGAACACATAGTTGTGGTAATGGCCATTCAAGTTGGTTGGCCAGTTGATGATTTGGTTATGGCAGTTCAAGAGTAGCTGTGGTAGTCGCTGAATAAACAAGTACCTATGGACTATGGTGATGAGAATGCCATGGAGAATTTAATAATGATGGAGGAAGACGAGCTCAATAAGGACAAACTCAGGTAGAAACTCCCAAGGAGATTGAGAATGCTAATGAGATGAAACAAGTAACACCAGTTATGAAGATGAAGAAGAGAGGATGTTTTTATTCTTTTGTTGTCTTTGTTTGTTTGTTTAGTCCAACAATCAGATGCCTATTGTTGAACGAGAGGATGTGTTACCAATCCATAGGTGCATTGGTAAAGTTTTGGATGTTTAATGTGACTTCTTCCCAATTTTTTATTTTACTTTTAGGAAATTGCCAGTAATATTGTTGTACTTGAGTTGCACACTTTCATGGAATTGATAAAGTTTATGTTAATTACAATGATCATATGAAACAATTTCACACATTTTTAGCATAGTCAAAACTTTTAAATCCTCAAAGTTGCCAGTAGCACGACAACACCAGTTTGTCATACCTAAATTAGCCACAATGCGATCATGTTGCCTGCGGCGTAGCCGCGGGTATTGATTCTAGTTTATGACATGAAAACAGGAAACGAAAATGGAATTTTATGACATGAAAAATGGAAACGAAAATGGAAGTGAACAGGGCCTTAGGGACTAGGTTTACATGAAAACAAGATGTAACTCACCATCCATAAACCCTAAACTGACAGTAAAGCCCTAAACATAGGGACTAGGTTTACAGTCACATCATAGTTCATAGTTCATACCAGTAGGAGCTGATCTGTCTCGCAAGCATCTCAACATTATCAAATGATTCCCTCCACAAGCAAGCAACAAATCAAGTGAATGGAGGTACATGAAAGGACATAGATCTCAACAAGAAGCAGCTTTGGTCAGCCAGCCCCATGATTGGCCACGTCTCGAAGTACATTCCCGTCGTGTTGTTTTCACCATTGACATCAGGTAGCACCCCAACTTTCATTATATGGATTCCACCATAGACATGGATCAACTAGGAAGATCCAGAATAATGGGCATCACTCCTGCTTTTTCTGCCACACTTCAACAGCTTCCTTTTCGATTTACTTCCTCTCCGAGGTTTACCTCGCTCCTCCAGGATACCTCAAACAGAGGCTCCTCCAGAAAAAGAGAGCTAACATCTCCTCAATTGCAACAAGTTTCCAAGCTCTCTCTTATTGGTGGCATCTTGGAAAAATCCGACATCAGGATTCTTCCAACTTAGGCCAGTATAAGGACCGGCAGAGATGTTCCTAAACACTGGGAGAAGTACTTGTGGAATCTATATCCATCTCTCAAGTGCTCTCCATGTATGTTATCCTCTGAATATTTCCTCCTTGTGAATTCTGCACAATTTTCTCTGTTGTTCGAGGAACTTGACCTGAGGGCTCGAACATAGCCATTTTTTCGGACAAGTTCCGAATCCCATCGTGGTCCTTCGCTAACTCCATCAGCACCTTGATCCTCTTAAATGAAACATGACTCGGCTTCTGTCCCTTCTCTACCATCTCCATGAAACATTTCTCAGCTTCCACCAACTTCCCCATATCACAAAGCAAATCAAACAGCACATCAGATACCAAAGTATAAGACCCGAAACTCTTATCCACCATATCCCCCCACAGCTGCAGCGCCAAGTCAACCCTCTCGTGCCTCCTACACAGCCTGATCAGGAACATACATGACTGTGTGTTGGGCAAGCAACAAGCATCCATCATTCGCAGATACAAGTTCCACGAACTACGCAGGTCGTTCGACCAATAAAATACACGGAAGAACAAATTGTAAGTGGTGGAATTAGGATTCAATTCCTTCGCCTCCATTTCATCCAACAAGTCATAAGCATCACCAAGCCTCTTGGCAATACAGTAGTTCCGGACAACAGCATTATAAGCTGCAACATCTGGGTAACAACCGTATTCCCTCATCTCCTTCAGCACATCTCTGGCTTTATCCGGCTGACCGATCAACCCTAACCCTCCAATAATGCTGGTATACGTTATAACATCCGGCGATATATCTTCATTCCTCATCTTTTCAATCATATCATATGCCTTCTTCATCTCTCTTCCCTTACAGTACACATCAATCAAACAATTATAGGAAACCACATCAGGTTTCACCCCCATCTCCTCCATTTCCCGGAAGAACGACTCCGCTTCCTCTGCAGACTTCCAACCGGACAAAAGTATGTTGAAGGTCTGCAAATTCGGCTTGAACTCCGTCTTCAACCTGTGGTAGACATTCCTGGCATCAGTCATGCTCTTCTCCTGACACAGAGTTCTCAGCAGGGCATTGAAACAGGTGGTATCAAACTCAGGAACCAACTTCCTAAACTTCCTAAAGGACTCCACCGTCATCCTTACCGAACACAGCTTGGCGATTCGACCCAACACCACCTGCACAGTCCGTGGAGATATCAAGTTCCTATCCTTCTTCTTAATCTCTACCAAAACATCCCAAATGTGATCGAATTTGCGGCTCCTACCGAGAATGTAAAGCATGGTGTCCAGAGAAAAGGGAGAGTGATAAAACCCTCTTCTGTCCCCCGTTACCTTGAAGAACTCAAGGGCGCGCAGAGGGTTTCCATGGCTAAACCGGAACTTCTTCAGAACCTTGTCGATTACATCGTTGGAGAGGAAAACCCCGGTCGATTTCAGCGATTGCCTAAGGTCATCGGGTGATGCTACACTCGTAATGACGCGGTAAACGGTCTCTACATCGTCGAAATCTTCCTGATTCGACGAGCCGGCGGCGGCGGCGCGGGAGAAGCGGGCGAGAAGAATAGGGCAACTCGCGGCGGCTCGATGATTTTGTTGCGGAAAGGGAAGGAGGAATCTATGTGAAGCGTACCTTGAATTTGTTGCAAAGGAGAGTGGAGGCTTTATTATCATTTCAGGGGTTTGTCTCGTCGGCTTTTGATCATGCTGTTGCAAGCAGCCGCCGGAAAACAGACGGAAGCAGGAGAATGAAGACGGGAGGCGGCGTTCAAAGGTTTGCTGCTGCTCGCTTTCCTCTGTTTGGAGGGAGCAGTCAGTCAGGCAGAGATTTGTAGCAGAAACTAGAAAGGGTAGGGTAGCGGTTAATGAACAATATGGTACCCGTATTCCGCTAGATAGGGCAAACTAGTCACTACATTTTAATTTATGACAATTAAGTTAACGAGGTACGAGAACCGTTAGATTAGTATTCGTTGTCACTTCCTCCTTGTTTCGTCACGTTTTTTGCAATTTGTTCATGAGGTATGAGAACCGTTAGAATAGTATTTGTTATCACTTCCTTCTAGTTTCGTCACGTTTTTTGCAATTTGTTCGCTAATATGACATTCCAATAAGTATGAAATCGCCATATTGATTGCCACGTCAGTGAAATTGTTGACTACGATGAGGTCACAAGATTTGTTTATGTGAATTAATTGAATAATTACTCGAATTTAAGATATTTGATACACTGAAATTATCGGGCAATTGAATCATCAATGTTAGGTTAAAAGGGTCGGATACTATGCTAACCCCTAAAGGGTAGTGATTTTCGACACCCTTCTTTTGATTGGTCAGTTTTATACTTAATTTTTTTTTTTTTTTTAGGGAAAGGAGGGACCGCACCTCCTGTCATTTTATTAATTAAGCCAAATGGCTAGAATCCAGGTACATTTCGCTCAAAATGAACGAAGGGGAAATGCCTATCCAACTATTACAATGATTTGAACCTATCTGAACATGAGCCAGCTTATGGGCCACAGAATTTGCTTCTCTGTACGTGTGCTTCCACGCATAGTAGTCCTCTACTCCTTCTGTCTGCAAAATAGAATCACAGATCATACCAAGTTCTGTTAAGTCCACTCTCTGCTGTTTCAAAGTTTTCACCAAAGCCAGGCAGTCTGATTCTACTTCATAGGGTCCGAGTTGCTGTTCCTTCATCTTTTCAATCGCAAAGAGCACCGCTCGACCCTCCGCTACTGCTGGGCACCAGCTCTCCGCTTCCCTTTTCGCTGCAGCAAACTTGAAAGCTCCCGTCCAATCCCTAACAACCATACCCAGGCCTGTGCCTTCTTCTCCCAAGCATCCCGGGTCAGTGTTAACTTTAAGTAATCCAATCCCCGGGGGCTGCCAGCTCTTCCTCCTTGGGTCTTGCTCTCTTCTTCTTCCCACTGCCTGCTGTTCATGTCTGTATTCAAGTATCCAGTTTTGAGCTCTCATTGCCACTTCTTCCTCATCAAGCTTTCTTCCATTAAACTGCTGGCTGTTCCTCTCGTTCCAGAGAAACCACAAGAGTGTGCATATCTCCCCTGCGGTCTCCGAGCTTGTCATGCTTAGGACCCTTTTTAGCCAAACTATCATACTTTCCCCTTCGACGAATCCACTCTGTTCCCGCCAATTCGATCGTCGCCACACCCGTCTCGACCAGCCGCACTCCATGAACCTGTGTTCCTGCGTCTCTGTCAAACCACAGTAGGGGCAGTCCGGTTCCAATCTTTCTTCCATTTTCTTGGCCAGGTTCATATTAGTAGGGAGAATATCATGAAGGATTCTCCAAACAAAGTACTTCACCTTAGGTGGAGAGTTCACTTTCCACATGGCCTCCCAATCCGGGCTTGATGGTGCCTGCAAATCTTGTATCTCCTCCTCTTCTTCCTCGGGTTCGCTTGCTGGTTCTTGAGTTGCAAGGTTATAACCAGATCTTACACTGTAGTTTCCATCGGCATTTAAATTCCAGCAGAGGGAATCTTTCGTCAGTCTTCTTTGCAACGGTATAGCTTGAATGGCCCTCGCCTCTTCAGGGGGGAACAACAAATTCAGCACATCGACCCTCCACCTGTTAAGGTCATGATCAATGAGATCAACCACGAGCTCGACACCCATCTTCCCATTCGGACCTGCCGTCAAAACCTTCCTCTGCGAGCTTGGCACCCACCAATCCTCCCAAATTTTTATACCTGTACCATTTCCAACTCGCCATCTGCTGCCTTTTAAGATTAAATCCCGAGCTGAGATCAGACTTCTCCAAGTATAACTCGGGCGGAAACCAACCTGCGCCTCAAGAACAGAACAGTGGGGGAAATATTTAGCTTTAAGAATCTGACCGACAAGGGAGTCGGGCTTTTGAATTAGGAGCCACAGCTGCTTAGCAAGCAGAGCCTTATTGAAACTTGTCAGCTCCTTTAGACCAACACCCCCATCTGTTTTACTCTTACACAGATGACTCCACTTTCTCCAATGAATTCTGTTCTTGTTCTCATTCTCACCCCACCAGTAATTTGAGATAATGCTATTTATTTCGCTCACCAGGCAGCCCGGGAGTTTGAACACAGACATAGCAAAGTTTCCTTGGGCCAATGCTACTGCTTTTATCAGGACATCTCTCCCTGCCGTCGAAATCAACTTACCCTTCCATCTATGTATCCGACTTCGAATTCTTTCTTTAATATATGAAAAGGCTACCTTCTTCGATCTCCCCACCACCGTTGGAAGCCCCAAGTATTTCTCGTGTTTAGAAACTTCTCTAATACCCAGGTTAGTAGCAATTTCCGTCTTTCGCTGCTGCCCCACATTATTGCTAAAGGTGAGTTCAGATTTGCTCAGGTTAACCATTTGTCCAGACTCCTTCTCGTAGGTCTTGAGAATACTTTTCAGTTGTTCGCTCTCTTGTGGACTAGCCCTTGCAAATACGATACTGTCATCAGCAAACAGTAGGTGCGAAACAGTTGGGGCCTTGTTGCATATTAATTATGCACGGGAAGAAGTAAGAATTAATTGTCATATTAATTATGCACGGGAAGAAGTAAACAGTGGGTTCCTCCACTCATAATTATTCATTCCCTCTTACCTTTTTTAATTTCACCGTTTCAGTTACCTTTTTTAATTTCACCGTTTCAGTTTTATACTTTAATTACACCGTACCACTAGGCGGCAGAGGAAATGCACTAGTGGAGTGGTACGTGTACCAGTGGAGTGGTATGTGTATCAGTTCACTGGTATATATATTAGTTCAGTGATACATGTAGATTTTAAATGGCATAACTCCAAAGTATATCTAACACTACAATGGGAACATTTAGGATGAGTTTCAATTTTGCTAATGGTACAAGTAGAAAAGTATGACTTGAATAATTGCACTGGTACTTGTATCAGCCTAGTGGTACATGTACCACTTCAGTGATACATGTATCAGTACAATGGTATATGTACCACAACAGTGGTACATATTCACGGCAGTGTCATCGTCATGGAAATATTGTGGTCTCCACCGCTTTTGGAGTTTGGAATTGATTTTATTATTTTTCTTTGTCGTATTATTGTGGTCCCCACCAGTGAACTGATACACATACCACTCCACTGGTACACGTACCACTCCATTGGTGCATTTCCTCTGAAACGGTGAAATTAAAGTAGAAAACTGAAACGGTGAAATTAAAAAAGGTAAGAGGGAATGAATAATTATGAGTGGAGGAACCCACTGTTTACTTCTTCCCGTGCATAATTAATATGACAATTAATTCTTTCTCTATCCATATTTATTTGGGACAACCATTAATACTTGTCTAATAATTAAGTATAAAACTGACCAATCAAAAGGAGGGTGTCGAAAATCACTACCCATTTAGGGGTAGTCACGCTAGGTTAAAGCAATATACAAATGATTTCAACTGCATTGAAATCATATATGAAGCGACAAATTCATTTGAGTAATATAGTTTAATTATCCCAACTTCACTATCACTCTATATATTTATAGGAGTACATTAGGTAAGTAACTAACTAACGATTATTCATATCCTAATTAATTACGAACCATCTGTTGAGGTAATAAAATGTAGCATAATTTATTTTTTGGACATTCAAAATAGTATAATGACTGCTTGCTTTTGTAATTTTATATAGAACGGGGCTTCTCTTTTTTTTCTTTTTCTTTCTGGCGCTCTCTTCCTTCTCGGACACTCTTCTTCACTCGGTCGCTCTTCTTCTTTGGTTCAACTTCTTCCACCCCTCTCTGGCTGCAATTTCTCAGAACTGCAAATTCTTCCATCTTTGAGTTGATTTCGAATCCATCCAATTTTCTTCCGACCCAATTCCTGGCGCGGCGTGTCAAGGGAAATGGGACACTCTGCCTTGAAGCAAAGGGAAGAAGAAGAAGAAGGGGAAAGTTCCAACGGTCGAGAATTCAAGGCAGAGGAAGAAGAAGAAGATGAAGAACAGCGTTTGGACTAATACGCTGCCGTCCCAACTTTACTGCACATATTTAGTATTTAGCCTGTGAATATTACGTGTAATTAATAGATAGGGCCACTTGTCTCTTGACAAGAGGATGAGGCCGTTAGAGGCACTCTGTCCTGTAGCTACCGCTGATGTATATATTCTGCAGCTAAGCTGCCAGTGAAATGCAGAAAAGGTTTCACAAAATTCCTGCCTTCTCTTTCCAATTATTCTCATGGTATCAGAGCTTCTGGCTCACCTCACCTAGGGTTCAGTGACCTTGCAAACGCGCCGCCATGGCTACCAACACGGATGACACCTCCTCTGCTACAACAGGAGCTGCTGCCGTCGCAGGAGCAAATCCTCAGCCACTTCCACGACCTCCAATCGACCCATACTACGTCAACCCCAATCGACCCATGCTACAACAGGAGCTGTTCCTTTTGTTCCTAATGTTGTTTCTTCCCCATCAAGTCCCTCTGGGTTCATTCCCTTTGACACCATTGATGACCAAGATGCTGAGGTTTCAGAGGAAGTTCTCGATGATGAAGAAGAGGGGGCACCAGATACCTCAAGTGAACCTGAGGAAACTCAACACAATCTAAGAAAGTCAACCAGAAAAACCACTGCACCCATCTGGCACAAGGATTACTACTTGGGAACAGGTGCAGCTGCACATAAATACCAGTATCCAATCTCTTCCCACATGGATTTTTCCCAACTAAGCCAGCAGCACAAGCATTTCTCCCTAGCAGTCACAAATCTCCAAGACCCCCAATCTTATTATGAAGCTGTGAAAGAAGAACACTGGAGACAGGCTATGAGGGATGAGAGAACAGCCCTAGAACTTAATGACACATGGGATGTAGTGGATGCCCCACCAGGAAAGAAGCTGGTAGGCAGCAAGTGGGTTTACAAAACGAAACTTCTTGCTGATGGATCAATTGAGAGGCGCAAAGCCAGAGTAGTTGCAAAGGGGTTCACACAAGTACATGGTGTTGATTTCCTAGACACTTTCTCCCCAGTGGTAAAAATCAACACTGTCAAGACCCTCCTAGCTGTTGCCTCAGTCAAGAATTGGGAGCTAAGCCAGATGGATGTAAGCAATGCTTACCTGAATGGAGAATTAGAAGAAGAGGTATACATGAAGTTACCTCCTGGAATGGAAATACCTGGCAAGGCGTGCAAGTTAAAGAAATCACTCTATGGCCTCAAGCAGGCTGGAAGACAATGGTATGCAAGACTCACAGATGCCCTGATCAGATTTGGCTTCAACCAATCCTACTCAGACTACTCCCTCTTCACCAAGAAAACAAATCAAGGGATCACTGTCATCCTAGTGTATGTTGATGACTTAATACTATCAGGAGATGATCAGGACATGATTCAGGAAGCAAAGGCCTTCCTATCAAAAGAATTTAAAGTCAGGGATCTGGGAAAGCTAAAGTATTTCCTGGGTTTGGAAATAGCGAGGAGCAGTGCTGGGATTTCAGTCACCCAGAGGAAGTACTGCCTCGACATTTTGATCGACACAGGATTCCTGAGCTCAAAACCAGCTAAGACACCCTCAGACATGAAGACAAGATTATCACAATTCAATGATGAAGAATCAGAAGACCCACATGAGTACAAGTCCCTGGTTGGAAGATTAAGCTACCTAACCACCACAAGACCTGATATCTCATACTCAGTACAACAACTGTGCCAATTCCAGGCACAACCCAAGAGATCTCATCTCAAGGCTGCACACAGGATACTCAGATACCTCAAAAACTCCCCAGGTCAGGGACTGTTCTTCGCATCAAACACTGATTTCACCCTAACAGGATACAGTGATTCGGACTGGGGAGCCTGCCCCGACACGAGGAGTTCAATTACAGGATACTGTACATTTCTGGGGGACTCGCTCATTACCTGGAAAGCGAAGAAGCAGGCAATCGTTTCGAAGTCCTCGTCCGAAGCTGAATACCGAGCTCTATCCCAGTTGTCGTGCGAAATACAGTGGATCACCCAATTGCTGAAGGACCTGAATGTTGAATACCAAGGTCCGGCCACCGTCTTCTGCGACAACAAGTCCACCATACACATGACAGAGAATCCGGTTTTCCACGAGAGAACCAAGCATATCGAAATCGACTGCCATGTGATCAGGGAAAGGGTAAAGTCGAAGCTGATTAGTCTGAAATATGTGTGCACAGACAGGAACTTAGCCGACATATTCACCAAAGGTCTAAGTGCACACAGATTCAAATGGATTCTCTTCAAGCTGGGAGTATATGATATATACTCGCCAGCTTGTGGGGGACTGTCAAGGGAAATGGGACACTCTGCCTTGAAGCAAAGGGAAGAAGAAGAAGAAGGGGAAAGTTCCAACGGTCGAGAATTCAAGGCAGAGGAAGAAGAAGAAGATGAAGAACAGCGTTTGGACTAATACGCTGTCGTCCCAACTTTACTGCACATATTTAGTATTTAGCCTGTGAATATTACGTGTAATTAATAGATAGGGCCACTTGTCTCTTGACAAGAGGATGAGGCCGTTAGAGGCACTCTGTCCTGTAGCTACCGCTGATGTATATATTCTGCAGCTAAGCTGCCAGTGAAATGCAGAAAAGGTTTCACAAAATTCCTGCCTTCTCTTTCCAATTATTCTCACGGCGAGTGCTTAGGCTTTGCTTTCCCTTTCCCCTCATTTGCGTCGTCTTATGATCGTCTACTTTACACCGATTCCACCGTCATTATTGCAGCGTAAAAATGTGAATGGAAGAGTGAAAAGTGACGGAATCAGAACCGGCTGTTTCCTCAAAGCCCTAATTCCTCCCTCAGTCGTGTAAAGCACATAGCTGGGTTGGAAGAATTTGTGAAGTTGCCGAGTTTTCTGACGAACAAGCGTTCATGTCTGACCCGCCTATCGACGGTGACAGCCTCGTATGGTTATGGCTGATTGAGTACCTAGCAAGCTTCCCAGAGACAGACTCTTTAGTTCTCCGTCGTACGTTTTTTTGTGGGGTTTCTTTCTCTTGCTGTTATTGTTACTTGGGTTTTGGAACGGGAAAGAAGTTTGTTGAATGGGTTTTGTTTCTCTTCCAGAATTGATAGAGCAAGCGTCAGCTTTCCCCACTGATTTCACCAAAAGCGCGAGGGAAAGGGTTGCTCTAAGGCGCTTTGAGGCTTTGTATGCTGTGACAAATGGGGTTCCATCTTCTTCGGAGCCCAAGGTGGCAATCGATCAGTCAAACAGCTGTGAAGATGTGATCCGAACAATATTGCAGGAGGTAATCACTCTGTAATTCTATTTGGAAACCATGTTTTTCTTCTTCTTTTGTAGTATAGTTTCATGTGTGAAGCTATGGTGAGTTGCTGGACGTTGTATTATCCAAGTTGGAAATGAACTGAGAGTGTGTTTTTTTTTAGATGAAGGAACTGAGAGTGTGTTCTTGTTTCTCCTTGATCAGCTTCCGTTGTCAGATATGAGAAAGGGTGGGGCAGAGCTGTTGAAATGGGATATCCAGCCTTTCATTATGCACAAGAATGCTTCCATGCCTAAATGTGCTTTAGAGCAGGTATAATCTGTAAGGTTGGTTGGTTTTGATAAACTCCTTGTTTGGGAGAAAAATGCTATGTTTACAAATATTGTTCTTTTTTCATCTTCTGAGCAGATAAAAGAGATGATTGTAGAAGGTTCCGACTCATTTTCTGCTTTATTGGCTAAATGTAGTGGATTGCCTAGGAGTTGTAATGTCCAGGAGGAAAATGGGCATCTATCCGAAGAAGGTACACAAAGAGATACTGGTAAATGTGGTCAGACGAGAGTTAATGATGGCTCAAAGAAAAGCAGTTTTCTGACCTCCCAAGGTCTGCTGAGTAAGGAGTTTATGGCTGCAGCTGATTTTTCAGGGTCAGATCTGTGTGTCATATGTAGCAGAAATGGCCAGTTGTTATGTTGTGGTACAGATGGTTGCCCTCTGGCGATTCATGAAAGCTGCTTGGGTTTTACACCAAGCTCTGATAATAGAGGACAATTCCGCTGCTCCTTTTGTGCATATTCTCTTGCCATTTCAAACTACAAGAAAGCTAAGGAAAGGGCATCTGTGATGTGGAAGCAACTAAGTGCATTTCTTCATGAAGTTCCAGAGAATTCATCAATTGGACATTCTAAGAGATCATCTCAAGATGGGTTGAGGAATCTGCGGAGGAGGAAAGGCAATCAAACGAATAATGGAAAAGATGTCAATGAAGGCAATGATAGCCAATTGCATAATGGAAAAGATGGTGTACAAGTCGAGGCTGTGCCTGCCCATTGTGTCAGCAATCACCCTACTAGTGAACAGGATCCAGGGGCTGTTCTTTCTGTTTCAAGAACTCAATCGTGCCCATCAGTAAGAGTACCGGAAAGACAGCAGGACCCTGATCTTTCTGAGCCCCCATGCTTTGGTAATAATCCATCACGCGAAAAGAAAGATGTAGTTCTGGAAGAAACGGGGCAAGCTAAAGGAGTGACTGAGAAGGAAGTTCCAGAAAAGATACTAGACCACAAACTTGTGATGCCTATTCGTGCTATCCCAACGGGTGTAAGAGCCTCTACCAATGAAAATGATAAAGCTATGAGCCCTAACCACTCTTTGATTTTGAGAAAGAGAAAAAGGTAATAGTAAGTTATAGTCAATTGAAAACTCTGACTTATGAGTGATTGCCATACTTGGATCCTTAATGGTGGTTGATTTTGTTTTTAATATTGGTAATAACCTTGATTGCATTTTGTCAGATTTTAGATTTTCTTCAAGTTGAAAACTGGTTGTTGAATTTATTTATTTTCTACATTTTAATCTTTCAACATCTTATCTACGTGAGTGGTGCATTGTTCATGGCGGTGATTGTTATCAATCAATCTAAACGTCATCGTCTAAGCAGGAAGGATAATATTTCTTCACCAAGGCGACGCAAGGTTCAATGGACAGAAGCGGAAGAAACGAAGCTCAAGGTTATCTTTTTGTCAAAGTTCACGAGACTTGTCCTGTTGTTTCACCTACACTTCATTTTCCTAGTTTAGCTTTCTCTTTAGCATGCTTGATGTTGTTCTCGCTGTATTTCTCCAGGAAGGGGTAGAGAAATTCCCCAACAACGGAAATCTTCCATGGAAGTCCATATTAGAGTATGGGAGGGCTGTTTTTTGTGATACTCGCAATCCCGAGGACCTTAGGAGTAAATGGAAGAAGATGTGTAAAAGATAGTAAGAGTTATCAGCCAGCCTGGTAAGATTCAACTCAGTTTTTCCTCCATTTCCCCCCGTTCTTCTGCATATATGCTTATTCTGCGATGCTTTCTAATTGTTGGTAATTCCCCGGGATAGATCTCATCTTGATTGTTGCAGAAGCTAAAGTGCCGGCTCGATGTTCACATTTGTTAACTTCTGTAGCATTAAGTGTTACACTAGAGCTTTACCAGGAAAACAATGTTGTGCTAGAGAATCTGAGCCCGGATGCAGCTGTGTGTTTCTTAATTTGATGGAGGACTAGCTTTTCTCCTCGCTTTCGTTTGTGGTTGCTTATCCTTTTTTTTTTTCTTCCTGCACACAACCTGATGTAAATTCTTCCATCCTAAACTCTATTGCAGGTTGGACAAAGATATGTTTGGAAGGCTGGCAAATACTTTTGTGGAGCTATCAGGTCGTCATGTTTCCTTCCCAAACCAATATGTACAAATTTGCAGGTTTTTCTTTTGTGATCGACCTTCGTTTGCTTGGTCAATAGAGATGGAGATGCCACATAGAATTTTGATCGAAGTTCTCGCTTCAGTTGATGGTCTGATGGGTAGGAGTCATTTTGACCAATCAATTTGGCAGCAGTAATTAGAATGTTGTCATTAGACTCGTGATACGTTTTGAAGTCTTCTTTGTATGTTTAGTTTGCTAAAAACTGCAACAGAGACATGTATATGGTGTAACTCTGAATGCACGAATACCAGCATATGTATTTATTGAACTGAGATCATTCTGTTGAATAGTAAGCATTGGTGTGCATAATTGTCATCCAGCCTAGCTTGTTCTAACTTCTACGGCTGTTGTTATCTTGACTCCACAGTCTGTCCACCGACGGCCGGGATTGTGGATAAATGAATGAATTTGGAAAAATCAAGGTTGTCAAATCGGTTTATGCCAGTGTGCCGATTTAGCAATTGGAATGGTTCAACCGGTGGCACATACCGGTTTGTGCCATGAGCTGGTCAATATTACAAATAAAATTATAAATACTCATATTTAAACACGACATTTAATGTCAATACCTTAACATTTATACTTGAATCCAACAAATAATATCAATATTTAACTTTTATACTCATAAAATAAATAATAAAATAATTTTTATCAATGAAATTCGTTAAAATAAAGTCATTTTACTTAGATTTTCATATATCGATCATGCCGATCATACCGGTGATGTCACGCCGATTTTATGATCGGTATTGATTGAACCTGGTACGACCGGTGGACTGACAACCATGTGGAAAATAGAGAGATCCAAAATTTCGAGAAATATGGGCTTAAAATGTTTTCCGAGGCCCGCGGTCACTACATCTTGTAGTATATAAAGAGCGAGGCTTGCTCAAAAACCCTAACGACCTTACAAGATAAAGCACATCCCCAAACCCCATCGCCACCGTCCCCGCTCTCCTACATAACGAACATTCCTCTTCCACCGGAGGCCGACTTTCTATGGCCGCTTTCCTCCGACACAGCGCCGACGACCTTTTCCTCCGCCAAACCACTATTACCTCCATTATTGCGACTACCATCACCATTTATTGAGATTGAAATCTCTTGTGTCTCCAAGGGCTGATACTATCGTAAACAAGTGAAATCTTGATCGAACGAGCGAACCTGTTTTTTGGGCATTTAAGTTCTGTTAGAGATCTATCTCGTCTCTAGAGAAAGATGGCTGCTTTGAAAGGCTGCAGCTCGCTCAATCTTTCCCGACCCACCGCTCTCTCCGCCGATGGCTACAAGAGGTTTGTCGATATGAATGTGGCGATGCTTATTTTAAGCTAGTTTATTCATTAGTTAACTCTATTTGTGTTGGTTTGCTGTCTTTTCCTTTATTAATTTGAAGGGTTTTTTTTGTCCTGAATGGGTTTGCTTTTTTATACTCAATATGCGGTTATGGGATCACTCGTTGCTTACTCGGTTTTTTTTTCTTCCTGGCTCTCAGGAGGAGTTGCCGATGGAGACCTCCACAGGCTGCTGTGATACCCAACTTTCATCTTCCAATGCGTAGCTTTGAAGTTAAAAACAGGTGAACTTGTAATGGATTGTCTGATATGTGTGTTCATAGATTCAATGGTCGACTCTTTCTTGGTTCTGCTTTACCGATTTGTTCACCAGTTACTTAAGATTGTTTGGTCTCCAAATCCATTTTAAAGAGGGGTGCTAGTGTTTTTGCTTTGGCATTGTAATTTGGATAGTTCCAGGTAAATGGAAACATGTGTACTTTCATTAGCAGAAATGGGTTCCCTGCTCGCATCGATGTCTTGTTTTCTTAATGTTCAAGCGTGCAATTTTGACCCGGTGATAGCCATTTTGGCATAGGAGATTAGTTTCTACTTTCTTCCATTGATGTGGTTTTGAGGCTGGGTTGTGTTTCAATATTATGTGGATGAATCAGAAGTGGACGTGGAGCTTTATGTTGCCTGTTGTGATGATATCTTGTTCCGAATTCCTGTGTTCTCAGGACATTGGCTGAAGACATAAAGGCTCTTAGATTGATCACAGCCATCAAGACCCCATATCTTCCTGATGGTCGGTTTGATCTCGAAGCATATGATGCATTGGTGAATATGCAGATTGGTGATGGCGTTGAAGGTGTGATTGTTGGCGGCACGACTGGTGAAGGTCAATTGATGAGCTGGGATGAGCACATAATGCTAATAGGTCACACGGTCAATTGTTTCGGCAGTTCAATCAAGGTGATTGGCAACACCGGGAGTAACTCTACAAGAGAAGCAATCCATGCAACTGAGCAAGGCTTCGCAGTTGGGATGCATGCTGCACTTCACATTAATCCTTACTATGGCAAGACTTCCGTGGAGGGCATGGTATCTCACTTTGAACATGTGTTGCCAATGGGTCCAACCATCATCTACAATGTGCCATCCAGGACCGGCCAGGACATCCCGCCTGGGGTGATTCACACGCTAGCGCAAAGTCCCAATCTTGCCGGGGTGAAGGAATGTGTTGGCCATGCAAGGGTTGTGCAGTATACCGAGAATGGGATCGTAGTGTGGAGCGGGAATGATGATGAGTGCCATGATTCGAGGTGGGATCATGGAGCTACTGGAGTGATCTCTGTTGCTAGCAACTTGGTTCCTGGTTTGATGCATCAGCTCATGTTTGGAGGGAAGAACCCTTCCCTGAATTCAAAGCTGTTGCCTTTGATCGATTGGTTGTTCAAGGAGCCGAACCCCATTGGATTGAACACTGCTCTTGCACAGCTCGGGGTTGTGAGGCCGGTTTTCAGACTGCCGTATGTGCCCCTCCCTCTCCCTAAGCGGGTCGAGTTTGTGAATTTGGTGAAGGAGATTGGGCGGGAGCATTTTGTTGGGGAGAAAGATGTTCAAGTTCTTGATGATGATGAGTTCATATTGATTGGTCGTTATTAGTGGGTTTTTGTCTGTCTTCTAATATGTAGTTGCAGTTTGATTGCTCTTTGGTAGCGAGATAAGTGTAGGGTGTTATCAGGTTCTGTTTAATGTTTTACCTTGTATGATATCATAATGTTGAGAAGCTTCTGTCCGTGGACGTGATTTGCAGCTTCTCGATCTGAAGGTTGTTTGGTGTTTTGCAGACAGATGGAAAATGCTGTGAGATCTCTGGTGCTTTCTTTTCTCTGTTTTCATGTTTCTCTTTTGCATTATCAATAAGATTTGCATAACAGATCAATAAGATTTAATGAGAAGCGAAAACCAAAGAAAGCTGGATCTCATCAATGGCAAATTCCATGGAGCTCTTATCTTCCTCATTCTATCAAATACCAGTGCAGTTTCTCTGACTAGTAGAAATAAAATGAATAGATAGGGGAGTACATTGTTCTTATTTAATCATTTTAATCACCAGATTCATACACTTTGATTTTGAAAATACTAATTTATATTCAATAAAAGAAAATTAGAACTCAACTGTTTCAACATATATCTAGTATTTTCATACACATTTATCGACATATATCATATTCGTTATTCATTATACAAATACAAGAACACATTCATAATATGTTATTCATGTAAATTTGTATACACACAGAAAGAAACTACCTAAACAATAGTCTATATTATATGTAAGTCTAGATTTTTTAGTTGAAAAATGTATTAGAGTAGAGACACAGCGAGAGAAAATGTCAAAATAATCTAATTTCCTCGCAAATAAGCTCGTATACGACATAAATATTATTTAGATACGAACACTCAGAACAATAGTTGTACACATGGTTCGAACCTGTTATCTACGGGTTGCAAAAACTCGTATCCAATCCTAGAAAGACGTATTCGCAAAAAGAAACTCTCACACAGTCTTATTTTAATTTTAATAATAAACACAAATAAATTATGTTGGGTTATGATTATTTTTTGTTCATGGTTGATCTCATACATGTTGAGACTTGTGACAACGCTTGTGTGCTTTGTACTTTGTTGTTGGGTTCTTAGTTTATTAATCAATAAATATCGTCATTAACAAAAAAAAAACAGCATGATAAAGGATTAATAAAATTAGAAATGTTCGATTATGATAGTGGTTAAACGCCTAATCCTGAAAGAGAAAAAAAAAGAAATGCGGGGACTAAATATAAGGAGATGGGCCGAAGCATGGACACTGGACCGACACCGAAGCAAATGCAATCGCCACCCGTCGCGCGCGTCGGCATATCTAACTGCAAAATCTATCTCTGCGGATTTCTTTTAACGAAAATCATATTTTACTTCCCTCTCTCCCTCCTTCCGCCATTTTTGCTGCTCTCGCCTCTTCAGCTACTACTCGTTTATCCACTGCCCCGCGATTTCCGTCAGCCGTCGTCGCTCAACTATCCGGTAAACTCTCCTCTTCGTTCCTTCTTCCCCGATTCCTCTTCGCTCTTTCTCCTTAGTTATCTTTGCGGCGTCACGTTCTGCTTCGTTCGATATTCTTGCAATGCTGAATGCTCCGTTTGGTTTGTCGGCACCGGTGCTTTGATTTTCCAATCCGAATTTTACCCCGACGATTTTTCTTAGCCTTGTTCTATCGTCTTCCCGTCGAGCTCTGGTATTCCTTTTCTGTCGTGGCCAGAGTCTCTTTCTTTCACTCCGATTGCGTTGATTTTATACGTCCGGTTTGGATTCGTCGCCAAATACTGTGCGAGGTTTTTGTTTTTGTTGTTGTTGTTGTTGTTGTTGTTCTGGTCTTGTGATGAACGATTCGGCAGAATGATATTGCATTTCTGGTGAAGCAGCAGCAAGTTCATGGAATTTTTTCGCAGCTACCTTTACTCGTCTGACATCATTTAGTGTAGATTTTGTTTTGTTCATCAGACTTCAGACGTTTGTGGCCATGGACCGTCCCCGGTTTTGTTGTTGTTGTTGTTATTGTTATTGCTACTGAATTTGGCAGCTGGTGGTGAAAGGAAGCCGCCATGGGGGGTGACAAAGGGCAGCTCAGGGTTGCGGGAAGGTTTCCCGAAGTTGGGGCGATCTTCATGTGTAATCGTGCTACGAAGAAGGAATGTTTTCGACGCAAACTCTTTGGCCTTCCATCGGGGAAGGCCGATTTCGTAGGGCATGTGAAGGCTGGAATGGTTTTGTTTCTGTTCGAGTATGAGAGGAGAGAGCTCCATGGTGTGTTCCGGGCGTGCTCTGATGGGGCAATTGATATTGTGCCACATGCGTATGGTGATTCCGGGATGCAGTTCTCTGCACAGGTACGCATTGGTTGTGTATCATCGTCTCCTTGACTGATTTTCATTCATGTGTAATGTTATACGAGAATGTGGGAATCAGTGAATCAATCAAGAAGGTGATGTTGAACTCCAACGTTAATGGTCGTCCAGCTAGTTTCATTCAACTGCTACTTCCTGTGTTTATTTCGATCCTTTTGTCTAGGTAAGGTTCACTACTATTTTGAGGTGTAGTCCACTTTCGGAGGATGAATTTTCTGGAGCAATCAGAGAAAATTACTTCTCCCCAAAGAAGTTCAACTTTGGATTGAGTGAAAGACAGGTGCGCACCGTCTCTGTAGCTAAAGAATATTTTCCATCTGTAGATGCACTCAGTAACCAAAATCTTTTTTGTGATTTCTGTTGTAGGTCGAAAAGCTTCTTCAACTCTTCAGCTCAAGGAAGATACAGCAGCAGCTCCATCACAGACAATCTCCACAAAACGACGTTAGAAGATCATCACCTGCAAATTATGTGAGTTCTCATCCTGAAGGAGCAATCGATGGTGGCTACAGAAGCCTTGGTAGGGAAAGATACGAGCAAAATGCTGTTTCTGGTTCTGGATCACTCCGCTCCCCTGAATATTCGGAAAACACAACCAATTTTATTAGAAGAGCAGTGGATGATGCAAGCATTACTATAGGAAATAGTCGTAGATTGAATGATAGGTCTCATGTGCCGGTTACCCCAACAGAAGACGTAGGGGACCTAATTGTCAGCAATAATGTAGCATTAGAAAGACCAGTTCATCGGGATAACTGGCAGTCAACTTTGGGGGATTCGAGAAATAAAATCAATGCAGATTTTGTCCATGGGCTGGATGGTGGAAGCCGGTATTATGAACACATTTTAGCTACAGATAGGAGAAGAGGTTCCAGAACAGCCGGTTATCATCCACTTCTCTCAAGTGAGCAGCAACCTGGTGTGTCTCAGTATCCTAGTCCACCTGTGCATGGCAGCAATTCCACTAATGAAACAAATTACTTGGTTGGGGATGATCGCCAACATATTTCTACAGACAGAAGAACAGGTTTCAGAGCTCCTGGTTATGACCCACCTGTCTCTTGTGAGCAGCAACCTGGTGTTCCTCAGTATCCTAGTCCACCTGTGCATGGCAGCAATTCCATTTATGAAACAAATTACTTGGTTGGGGATGATCTCCGACATATATCTGCAGATAGAAGAATGGGTTCCAGAGCTCCTGGTTATGACCCGCCTGTCCCTAGTGAGCAGCAACCTGGTGTGCCTCACTATCCTAATCCTCCCGAGTATGATCTCCAATATATTCCTATGGATAGAAGAACAGTTTCCATAGCTCCTGGTTACGACCCACCTCGCTCAAGTGAGCAGCAACACGGTGTGTCTCAGTATCCTAATCCACCTGTTTATGGCAGGAATTCCTTTCTTGAAACAAATTCATTGGTTGGCGATGATCTCCAACGTACTTCTTCTATCATGCATAACTCATCAACAGAGCCAAGTTACTCACACTTAATGTCCTATTCAGCTTTGTCGGTGCTGGAGTCATTGCCTAGACCATCTTTAATCTTAGATGGTCCTCACCCAGCACCATCCAGCAGACCAGGAACTGGTAATATTAGCACACAACCTTACAACCCAGAGGCTCCCAGTTTTGACACTAACCACACATCCCCCTTTCTAAGAGTCTCGAGTTCATCTCTTGATGAATCCCTTCCTGCACTCAACAGAGCCGTCTCTTTTCCATCTTATGAGAATGAGCTACCTCGACCGTACAGGGAGGTTAGAGATGACAGCAGGTTGCTCCCACGGTATGCTCAATCTAATTTGTCCAATGACAGCAATGAAGCCTCCTGCAGGTCTAACATGCTTTACCGTTCAAGTTTGTCAAGGGAGTCCTTTCCAAGGCCATCCCTCCCTCCTCTACAACTGCCATCTGAACGTCAACGTGGCCGTACTACTACAATTGACGACCGTTCCTTATTGGCTCCTCGAATCAATACTCCTTCAGTTTCAGGCCGTAGCCACTTGGTGACTACTTCACTGGAAGGCAATATTCCACAGTCTAGAAGGGCTCATGATGCAGTTCCTTGCAGTGGCAACAGCATTCCAAATTCGGAGCAAACTCAAGACAGTAGAAGAACAGATTACGGTGCTTATTCTCCAGTTGATCTGTATAGTGGTCAGGATTCTGAAAGGAGGAATTCAGATCAACAAAATCGTAGAAAGCGTTCTGTGTTTGACCGCATGGTTTTTCCTACTACACAAGAAAGGGAACAAGAAGATAGTGCTACCAACTCTGTTGGAGATGATGATGATGACGACAATCAAGATGATTTTTCTGTGAGTGAAATCATGACTTCATTGAGGCAGAGTAGCTATCGATGGCTGAATGAGAAGACACCAGCCAAGTTTTTGAATGAGATACGCAATAGTGGTTTCCAGTATCAAGTAGGAAATAAGAAAATACAAATAATGACTCCAGAAACCAAGTCAGCTGATGATCACTTGGCAGTAGGAGTGCCAGTAGAGGATTATGGTTATGCTCTCACTACCAACGAAGAAAGCCCTCCTTTTGTGGATTTCAAACGTCGTAGTAGTACAATGCGTAAAGCTCATCAGGTTGATGCCGCAAAACCTACTGGCAATGACAATGTATTGAGTGCTGAAAACAAGCCGTCCAAGAGGAGGAAGTTAATCAGGCCTAAATTTGGTGATGAGACATAGCGGCATTGACGATGTCATGGTGATAAAAGCTTGGATGAAGGCCAGCATTATCCATCATCTAAAAATTGTTGAGCTGTCAGTTGTCACACCCAGCGGCTGTTTGTCAAGTTAACTGCTTTCAGCAGTGGAGTTCCCTGTTCATAAGCACGATTTCATGAATTTTTGTCGATCTCCGACTTTTCTTCAAGAATGTGAACTGAAGCTAGATATAGGACTTGATGTTTGCTGATTGAGATATTAGCAGGTAATTGCTCTGACATTGCCTTGTTGGTGGGGCTTTTTGATTCACTGCTGAACTCTCAGTGCCCTCATGGATGAAGCTTTTTTGCTGGGATAAGTCAGGAGACCTTGGAAGGCGGACAGAGTTCTTTTGTACCAATGACTTGTTCACCTTTTCCTTCTCCAACCTTTTATTTTTGTGTACATATCTCCCGATGGGTGGTTAATGTACAAACTTGCGGATTTTCTTTTCTGATCACTCCTCGTAGCTTAGGTCAGTAGAGATTCTATAGGTATGCTTTTTTGCAATAGGGACATGTAACTGTTTCAACGCATGAATACTATCAACATAGTGAAGTAATGCAAAGCCTTTTGGTGACAGAACAATCCTTGCTCTCTTTTTCACTCGCAATTTTTTTGTCACCTTTGAATTAGTGTCTCTAACAATACATGATGTGGCTTTTAGAAGCAAGTTTGTAGTGCTGTACAGATTCAAATCCTCGGTGAGTTATCTCAGACAACAATGGCAATGGCTCCAAATAATGGCCTCCTGTTAGAAGGTACATACTTCTGATTTTCACTTGTCTATTATGTTTGCTTCATGTATATCATGAGTAATCTTCAGGACAGAAGTTGCTTTAAGAATCTGGTGAGTATGCCAACGCTGTTGGATTGCACAAATCCAGTAATCGCAGCTGTTGGATGCACGGAGTGGCGTTTCTGTATATATCCCCAACGCTCGAATCCAATGGTAAACATCACAGGCTGTTCGATCTGTGATTCAGCATAAAAATCATTCTTGCATGTTTCGTCGATCCTTCTTTCTATTTGAGAGTGTCTTGCTAGTTGTAAAATAAATGCTACAGAAACCTTCTTTCTTTTCACTTCATTTATTGTCAAGGCATGCCAATATCATATGAGTGTTTACTGTTTAGCCAGAGAGACGAGAGAAGGGGAGCGGCATGGGATAAAGGTGAAGAAGGGAGTCTCGAGAATCAGGTCTATGAATGAGAGAAGAATGGAAATGGCAGGCGGACACTGCACTACACTCTGCATGTGAATTTTAGCACGTGAATATAGTAAAAATGCTAGGCTGGTGGGGATAAACAAAACGGTAATTTATTTATTTTTATGAACCTGCCACCATTTTCTTCCAGCTCTAAGCTTCTCTGCGTGCAGAATGTGAGAGAGAATCCAATGGGCGGGAAGGCAAATCTCAGAAAGACTGCTGTTGATTCTTGCCGATTTCATCAATTCCCTCCAATATACATCTAAGTTGGCAGACTCCACTCTCGAACGGTCGCATGGTGAGAATTGGGTTGATTAAAATTTTGATTTGTTTTCCTTTTGACTGAACGTGACAGCATTTAAACAACAGGAGCTGGAGCTCCCTTTCCCTTATTCTCCCTATTTTAGCACACACTTGTTTTCACTCTTACCATCACTCTCACACTCACTTCCCAGTTCCCACCATCACTCATGGAAAACAACTGCAGGAAGTCACCGTCGTCACCGTTGAAGCCGTGGAAGAAGGGCCCGACGAGAGGCAAAGGCGGTCCGCAGAACGCGTTGTGCGAGTATCGAGGAGTTCGACAGAGGACGTGGGGGAAGTGGGTGGCCGAGATCAGGGAGCCCAAGAAGAGAGCTCGAATCTGGTTGGGCTCTTTCGCCACTGCCGAAGAAGCCGCCATGGCGTACGACGAGGCTGCGAGGAGGCTGTATGGACCTGAGGCGTATCTCAACTTGCCTCACCTCCAGCCCCCTTATATCAACCCGGCTGCTGCTGCTGCAGGTTTCAGCAGTCCTTTCGGCGGGAGGTCGAACCGGTTCAGATGGGTTTCTTCCAGGAACTCGGTTTCGTTGTTCCCGCCACGTGGACTGCTCAACCTGCACGCCCAGCCCAGCGTCCACGTCATCCACCAGAGGCTCCAGGAGCTGCAGAAGAAGAAGAGCAATGCCGCTGCTGCTGCTTCCTGCTGCAGCAGCAGTAGCTCTTCTTCCCATCAAGCTGAAGCTGCTCCTGCGATGGCTCGAAACCCGCCAGTGGAGAAAGAAGCAGCGGTGGTGGTGGAGGAACAAGGATCAGTAGAGATGGTTGAGAATGAGAAAGAGAAAGAGAAGCCGCAGATTGATCTAAACGAGTTTCTTCAGCAACTGGGGATTTTGAAAGATGAGAGGCTGAATGTTCGTACAGACAAGGATGAGTTCAGCTGTCACGACGTTGCAGGGGAACTCGCCACGCCATTGTCGTCGTTCGAGGAAGACGAGGGATTCAGCTACTGGGATTCCTTCATGTATGATTTGCAAGGGATGACAGATCATCATCATCACCAGGATTTCGCAGCGGCGGATGGCAGTAGAATGCAGCTTCAGCAGCAGCAGGATGTGGAAGATGATCAGCTATTCTCAACTCCCATATGGCACTTCTAGCTATGTTGCATTGGGCCAGGCTTCTTCTTCTTTCCCATCTTATGTCCCTAGGCAATGGCTTTATCTTCGTTTTGTTCGATTGTTGTACTGAGAGCTTCACGATTATGAATGAATAATAGCTCTAATTTGTGTTTGGGGCTAGAAGAGAGAGATGTAGATAGAGGGGAATTCTAACGGATTAGTTTAGGGGTGGGCAACGGGAAACGGGTATTTGGGTATACCCGTATCCGTCCCGTTTTTTAAGGGTTACGGGTACCCATATTACCCGTAATATTATAAACGGATGGGACTTGGGATTGTACATTCCTAATATGGGTACCCGCGGGTTACCCGCGAATACCCGTTTGGGTAATATGGGTACCCATTATACCCATTCAATACAAATGCAGAAATTTAATTCAGCCCAACCCAATTCAAAACCCATTGGCCATTTCGGCCCTTACCCTTTCAATTTCAATTCCATTTGGGCACTTACCCTTTCACTCTTTCACTGACATGTTTGGTGAATTAGTAGATAGAGTTGGGATGTGTTGAATGAAACTTTTTTTTTTTTATAATTTGGTACTTGGAATGATTTATTTCTATGTGTTGTGATTGTTCATGAATGTGTAATTTGCAAACCAAGTATTTGTGATTGGGATGTATTTCGTGTCTTGTGATTGTTAAGCAAATACAAGTTAAGTTTAAACTTTTGTTAAAATTTTAGTGGTTTAAACTTTGGGTATTTATGGGTAGTATGGGTACCCGTTATCCGTCCCGTACGGGTAATGGGTACCCGTTATCCGTCCCGTACGGGTAATGGGTACCCGTTTCCCATATAGGTTTGGGATATGGGATGGACTTTGGTCTCCAAATGGGACTGGGTACCCGTTTAAAACGGGACGGGTATCCCGTCCCGTCCCGTTGCCCACCCCTAGATTAGTTTAACTTAATTAACTCGTTTTGAGGTAATTATAATTGTCTAGGGTGGGGCAGTCGGACAGACAATTTGAATTGACTGGTTTTGCAAAATGAAAAAATAGACCAAATTGTATTGTTTTTCAATTAATCATTCTAAAAGATTTCTAAAGTATTTGTGTTTTACAATACAGATTAAATTTGTACCATAATATTAAATTAAATTATTGTTAAGTGTGTTTATTGTGATTTGGTGTTAATGATTAATTTTGTAAGACGATTTGGTTTCTTGCTACTATAATTGTAGATTGAATTTGTAAATTTATATTGTAGTTTGCCTGTGGTCGATTTGACATAAAAATTTATGGATTGTGTCAATCACAATACGAGGAAAAATGTACGAAATGTAACTATATCAGTCCAAACATGATCCATCGTCCAGGAACACCTCCTAAAATTAAAAATATCACACAAATAATTATTATTAATTAAGGAAAAATTAAAAATATCACACAAATAATTATTATTAATTAAGGAGGTGATATATTGATTTATTAACTGTTAAAAACATCAACACAATCAACTCTATAATTAATTAAACCATCCTTGTAATCCGTCTATACTGATCTCCAACCGGAAGGATAAAAAGCTACCAACATCCAAGTTGCAACAATGTGGTACAGCAACGATCCTTGCGCAACTCCCTCGGGCCAATGTGGGTTAGAGTGGGTTTATCATTGTTTGAGATGGAGGAACCGACTCCCTGGTCAGACCATAATCTGAACCCACGTTACTCGTGCCGGAAAAGAAGAAAAGAACTCATATCAGTAGTCCTCACTTGCAGAAGTTTGGGGGGGAATTCGCGGCGATGGAGAGAGGGAAAAAGGCGGCGGCGATGGGGAAGAAAGGTTTCTCATCATCCCCAGCAATGCCACCCATGTCTCTAGACCAGTTCGTCTCCACCATGGCCCCTCTGATTGATATGGAAAAGGTTTCTCTACTTCTCCCTTCCACATTTCATTCATCTTCCTTTCTTACCCCACTCATTTTCCTTGCTGGTTTCAGGAAGCCGAAATATCAGCCTCCGTAAGCTCCGGCGCGACCAGGAACTTGGAGACTGCTCAAAAGCGCGGCTCTGCAATTTTCAATCTGAAATGCGTCGATGCCCAGGTAATGATTTCCTCGGCTGATGAAGGCACAAACAAGGTGGAAGGGTTTTGATCAGTAAAGTTGATTCCTTTTTTTTTGTTTTTGCTTCCGTTATTGTGAAAGAAAAGACTGGGCTGATGGGGAAATCGCTGCTCGAGTTCCAATCGACCAAAGGAGATGTTCTTCCTGCTCATAAGGTGAGTGAGTGAGTGGTATCAACAAAGAACTGGCTGGTATTTCTGTCTCGTTCAATTCCATGAATTCATCACTCACTGCCGAACTCTTGTTTTCAGTTTGGCATCCATGATGTTGTTATTCTGAAGCCAAACAAGGCTGATTCGGGGTCTGCTGGTCTCGGGCAAGGCGTGGTGTACCGATTGAAGGTAAAAGTTTTGGTCTTCAAAACATAGTGGGGAGTACTGAGAAGACTGTGAAGCATGTGTTTGGCTGTTATTGATTGGTTTTGTGACTCCTGCCAGTGAATTTGCTTCCATACTGAACAGGACACCTCTATCACTGTTGCTTTTGATGATATGCCCGAGGATGGCTTGAATAGTTCGCTCCGACTCGAGAAAGTTGCTAATGAGGTAGCACTTCTTCTTTTCCATTTCTCCCTTTTTGTACCTCATCCTATTTTGACTCGTTGTTATGCTGTGCGAGGAGAAATTTTTATTTTCTAGTAGGATTCCTAGAAACTGCAGCCATGTTAATTGAGAATGATAATTTGGGAGGCTTCGATCCTCCTCAATTAGAAAACTGCAATTACTGAATAAATCTCAGTGTTTGCTTAATTATGCAGATAACTTATCGTAGGATGAAGGACGCATTGATACAATTGAGTAAAGGTGTGCACAAGGGCCCTGCTTCAGATTTAGTCCCAGTTCTTTTTGGTGAGAGACAGCCTACTGTGGCAAAGAAGGATGTTACATTCACTGCATTTAACTCCAACCTCGATCACTCACAGGTAGATTGAGCACTAGAGTATCTATCAACTGTTTATTTTTACGGTCAATTGTGCACCCTCGTGATCTCTATGTTCCCCATTCTTCAGTGACTGTTGATTGTTACCATATGCTTTAAGATGAGGATGGAAAGACAAGTTTTTGGTTTTCTAGTTCAAGAAGAGGTGTAGGCATTTGATTTGTTTTCGCCCATGACATCCATCTAGTGCAAACGTTTTGGAGTTCCAAGCATAAGTGTCACCGGCCATCCCTGTGATCAGTTGGTTGCATGTAATAAACACAGCCTTCGAGTCTCAGGTTCGATGGTAGCCAGAGATAGAGACAAGCTTAAGTGTATTTTCAGTTCCCTGTTATTCCTATTAGCTCCCCATCTGATCGAATTTCAGGCTTTATAAGTCCGAGACATGCACGATCCTGATGTTTTCTCTTACGTATGATTTGTGAACTAAACTTCTTTGCTTTGATTTGGTCTCCACAATTGGTCTGATTTTTTTGGTTGTTTGGTTTTATCCTCTCTGGCACTGTCAAGAAAGATGCAGTTTCACGAGCTCTATCATCGAAAAATGTGTTTTTATTGCACGGGCCTCCTGGAACGGGGAAAACTACCACTGTCGTGGAGATAATTTTACAAGAAGTGAAACGTGGATCAAAGATTCTTGCATGTGCTGCTTCCAACATTGCTGTTGATAACATTGTTGAGCGACTTGTTCCTCACAGGTATAGTTACGTCTTATCACTATAAAAATTATCATCTTCTTTTGAATCAGATTCGACTTAGGTGTATAGTACTTAGTCAGAGGAGTTCTTCTGCTAGTATACCTGTGTTCATGTTTTTGCCATTATGGTTTTTGCTCTTCTGCCAGGGTAAAGTTGGTGAGATTGGGACATCCAGCACGTTTACTACCTCAAGTACTAGATAGTGCCCTTGATGCACAGGTAAGGTATTCGGATTGTGCAACTGTTAATTCTTTCATATGTTAAAAACCATGTTCACCTAGATCAGGGCTGTGAATGGTTCCTATGTTAACTTCCTCTGGAGTTTGATTGTATTGGCTTTGTCTTATACAACTAACTTTTATAGCTTGGTGTTGCAAGCATTTACAGATGGTTTATAATATGCATGATATCACTTACTGGCTATGCTTTTTGGAAATACTCTCTAAAGCTTCCTGATTCAGTAAAAATGTCTTCTTGTTGTATGTGATTCGCAATTTGGTTTATCGAATTCCAGTTTCTTTAGTTTATGGGATTATTCTATTCCTATTTATGATACATCATTAGGGTTAATTGCTGCACTCTGTCTAAGTTAATTTTCTCCATGACAGGTATTACGTGGAGACAACAGCAGTTTGGCTAATGACATCCGGAAGGAAATGAAGGTATGATGCTGGATTAGTATTTGAAGTGACAACAGATGTCATTGTCATAAACGATTAAGTTTCTCTTACGCATGCTATAGGATTTGAAGAACTTTTGAGCCTGACAGGAAATAGAGTTTTGTATAAATGGATTGGGATTGGATAGATTTGATAGTGAACATTATAAGATTATATCAGGACCATTATATAACTCAAATGACAATACTATCCACCAGAGTAGAAACAGAGTATATTGTAAAATATAAGGATGCTTTTATCATTACATTGTACATGTGAATTCCTTATAATTGTAGGTGCTTTGGCTTTGAGTGAAGCTTTGTTGAATAATTGCATTTATCAGCGCTTCCTCCTTTCTTGATGATCTGCGACTAACACTTAACTATTTGTCCAGGCATTAAATGGGAAGCTATTGAAGACCAAAGACAAAAACACTAGAAGAGAGATCCAAAAGGAGCTCAGAACCCTCACTAAAGAAGAGCGTAAAAGGCAGCAGCTGGCTGTTATGGATGTCATCAAGACTGCTGATGTGGTGTTAACTACTCTGACTGGTGCTGCTACTCGCAAGCTGGACTCTACATCATTTGATTTGGTCATTATTGATGAAGCTGCCCAGGCACTTGAGATTGCTTGCTGGATGCCTTTGTTGAAGGTAAAACAAATAACCAGCTGTTTCTAGCTTATCACTCAAATGACATCTTTTCCAGCTGAGTAACCTTAATGATGTCTCGAAAATGGTAATTATCAGTTTGAAAGTAGCAATTGCTTATGCAGCCGAATCTTATTCAGCAGTAGGCTTGTATAAGATATGTTATTATGTACCTGACATTAAAGCTTTTACAACTTTATGAATGGCAATGTTCTTGGCAGGGTTCAAGATGCATACTTGCTGGTGACCACCTTCAGCTACCTCCGACCATCCAAAGTGTTGAAGCTGAGAAGAAAGGCTTAGGAAGAACCCTATTTGAGCGTCTAGCAGATCTCTATGGCGATGAAGTTACATCTATGCTTACTGTGCAGTATCGCATGCATGAGCTCATTATGAACTGGTCCTCTAAGGAGCTATATGACAGCAAGGTAAGAGAGTAAATTCTGAATTGCTTTCGATGAGTGCGCAATTAAATGAGCTATAACACTTTTCAATTATGGCGATAAATCATCCAGATCGACGCCCATCCAAGTGTTGCAGCACATGCATTATATGATCTTGAGGGTGCAAACAAGTCAACTTCAACAGAAGCCACACTTCTTCTTGTGGACATTGCAGGGTATATATAACAACTCCCCGCCCCAACAAATTATCATGAATTGCATCGCTAATTTTGTAGTTCTTTCTTCTCAGTTGTGACATGGAAGAAAAGAAAGACGAAGAAGATAGCACACTGAATGAAGGTGAAGCTAAAGTTGCTATTGCTCATGCCAAGAGACTAGTAAGCAGTGGAGTTCAGGCCTCTGATATTGGAATCATTACACCGTATGCCGCACAGGTGGAAGTTTCTCCTTTAACTTTCAGATTGCTCTACACTGCTTCTCTTGGATGGAGATTTTATCCCGTTCTTCACCTTCTATTTCAGGTAGTTCTGTTAAAAATACTCAGAGGCAATGAAGACAAGCTGAAGGAAGTGGAGATTTCAACTGTTGACGGTTTTCAAGGCAGGGAGAAGGAAGCTATCATTATATCCATGGTTCGATCGAACTCCAAGAGCGAGGTAAGCTTTTCATTATCTACTGTCAATCTATCATTTTGATTCCCTGATTTTATGTGGCAAAGATTGTCAGATATCAAAAGCATGGTTTATTGTTAGAGAACCTTACTGATCTTCACAAAGCATATTTCAGGTTGGGTTTCTCAGTGATCGTAGACGGATGAATGTAGCAGTGACGCGGGCAAGAAGGCAATGCTGCCTTGTTTGTGATACTGAAACAGTCAGTAGCGATGGGTTTCTGAAGCGATTGGTTGAGTATTTCGAGGAGCACGGTGAGTATCTAAGTGCCTCTGAGTACATCGATGAATAAGCACAAGATCCCTGAGAAGAACCAGCCACCTTTTCCTTGGCTGTATACTTTAGTTACAAATTTACAAAAGGGTTCTTGAAACCCATCACCAGTGGTAGTAAGCTCTATTTGATTAACTTGGGTCTTTCTTTTTCCTTTTTGGAGGATGATCTATGGAGCAGGTTGGTTCAGCTAAACAAAATTCACAAATATGAAGTTTCATTAACAGATCAGTATCGCCTTTGTCCGATTACATACCCATGAGGATCGTACTCACACACGACGTAGGTATTACGATTGGCACACTTGACCCTAGCACATCTCACTCGCCTAGTACTACACACCAACTGCATATAGTGCAAGCAGTCTTGATTCGGCATACAAGTATAACGCTCGTAGTCATAGTACACTTCATGATCAGCCCAGTCTGTGACGGCATCTGTCCCCTTCCATCGCTTCCCTCGACCCCAAATGATGTTCTCACCATAGTCGCCCGTCGAATAAATCAGATGGCAGCCCTTCCTCCTCTGGTTGGCATACCATTTAGCATTGTCAGCCACCTTGGTGGTCCACGCCAGTCGCAGGAGGCAGTTCCTTGCCCTCATTGTGCCATGAGCTGCGAGCATCTAGGTCGAAAAGACCGTACGCATTTCTCACCTAGGGATCATTGGTTCAGATGACGAAGGAGAAGCAGAGATGGAGAAGATGAGGAAGGTATCTAAGATGGTGAGGACAGGAGGTTGAGGTGTTGTGATGCAGGACAAAACTGACAAATTATTGATCTCTTATGGTTACAACGCCACTTGCCTGGCTCGTCCACCATACTTATACTTAACAAGATCTTCTAACTAAACTACGAATTATGAAGGAAGGAAGAAAGGAATTACGGAACAAGCGGGTTACATCAACTTTCAATTGGCAGAACAGAATCTACCACCATCAACATCAAGTTTGTCAATTACCTAACCCACCAATCCTTCATCCTCCCAAAAAATGCCCCAATCATTTGACAAGGTTCCAATGCGAGAAAGCCAGAATGTACTTTGCTCATTTGTAGATGAGAGCATCTCGTCCTGGGCCAATACCAATGTAATGAATTGGTATTCCGACGAGTTCTTCTATCCTTTCGACATATCTCTGAGCAGCCTTAGGAAGTTCTGAGTAGCTTCTAGCAGAAGAAATATCGGTCTTCCATCCTGGTAGGACCTCATACTCGACCTGACAACAAGAACGAATTAGCAAGAAAGAAAATCAAATCATCTCTCCTACATTTCTTTTCAATGGCTACTAGTAGGAAAGTACAAACCTTGAGCTGTTCAAGCAAGCGAAGATCTGCTGGAAAGGACTTAACTGGTGTACCATCAGGTAGCTTATAAGAAACCCCCAGTTGAATTTCAGCAAGGTCAGACAAAACATCCAATTTAGTTAGGTTCAAGGAAGAAAAGCCATTAATCTGGCAGCAAAACTTCAGTGCGACAATATCCAGCCAACCACAACGACGAGGACGGCCAGTTGTTGTTCCGAATTCTTGGCCAGCAAACCTAAGGAGATCGCCTCCTTGACCCAATATCTCTGTAGGGAAAGGACCAGAACCAACCCTCGTGGTGTAAGCTTTCACCTGCAATCATAATTATTGTTGCCAGGCAGTGGATGAGCATTACTATGAAAGAATATTACATCAACACAGGTTTCCTAAAGCAAAAAATTCTAAAAAATTCAGAAGAAAGTCACATATTTTCTAGCAAAAGCTAAAACAAACATAACCTTTATCCACTTACCACGCCGATAAGATCACCAAGAACCCTTGGAGCAATACCAAGACCAGAGCAGATCCCACCTGCTGATGGACTAGAGGACGTCACAAACGGGTAAGTTCCAAAGTCAATATCCAGCATGGTAGCTTGACCACCTTCCACCAAAACCTTCTTCTTCTGGCTGATGAACTCATTCATAACACACACAGTATCAGCAATGTAAGGCTCCAATCTCTCAGCAAACCTCTTATACTTCTCAACCTCTTCCCTGAGCATTTCTGGACCATAGTTAAACCCTTGGAATCTCGAAGCAGCATCCGACAATAAAAGATCAAGCTTCTGAGGGAAAGTATCCATGTGCCTCAGGTCACTTACCCTGATGCCATTGCGGATGACCTTGCTCGAGTAGCAAGGTCCAATCCCTCTTCTGGTCGTCCCAATGAACGATTTAGCAAGTTCGGACTCCCTCAGCCCATCCACCTCTTGATGGAAATCGAATAAGAGGTGAGCTCGATCAGAGACCAATATCCTTCCCTTGCAGGACACCCCATTTGCCTCCAAACCATCAATTTCCTTAAACAGACCAGGCAAATGCACCACTACCCCATTCCCAATAACACAGAGTGTATCCTCGTTTAGAATCCCCGAGGGAACCAGGTGAAGGGCGAATTTCTTCCCCTCAGAGTTATAGATTGTATGCCCAGCATTAGCTCCACCCTGGAATTCAAAAAGCAAGAGAAGGCATAACTAAAGGTAACTACAATATTGCACACATTCGTGATTAGTGAATCAGAATCCTAAATTCTCAAACCTAATCCAGCTTTCCCACAGCTAAGCGCAAGAAACGCGAAACTGAACAGAGAAATGCAAGCTTCAACCCCTAGACAGTCATCACTACGCTAACATTTCATGCAAACATGGAAAAATCGAAAACGCGAAGAAAATAGCATCGGTCAAACCTGGCAGCGGGCAACGACGTCGAAATGCTGAGCCAAGATGTCGACGAGCTTGCCTTTACCTTCGTCCCCCCACTGGCACCCCAGCACGCCGGCGACTTGACTCAGCGATCCGATTCGAGCGGCCGAGTCGCTGGAAGCGGAATCGGCGACGCTGAGCGAGGGGGAGGACTTGAGTGCGGAGCAGAGGACGGCGCTGCGCCGAGGAGAAGCAGAGGAGAGAGGGATGCGCTGGTGGCGGCGGCGGCGGAGCGAGTTCCATGCGGGAGAAGCGAGAGGATTAAATTCCACAGCGAAGGAGGAAGAGATGACGTCCATGGCGGATGAAGAAGCAGGCGGCGATGGTGGTTGTAGGAGAGAAAGCAGTGGGCGGCCGGTTTAGAAGACGACGACGGCGGTGGAGAGGGTTTTGATTTTTGTTTGGTTCGTTTGGAGTGACGGGTGGGTGATGGGAGAATAAATTCCACAATATAAGGATCAATTTGTGTAAATCCATTAGTACGCTGACGTATTTGTTAAAGCAACACAATACAAGGAGTATAAATGTAATTAGCCGAATAATAATAAATGCACACGGCCATTTGCGTGTTCTTTTCCTTTTCTCCACATTCAATAAACAATTTGCAGGGGAAGAGAAACGACGGAAATTCCAGAGCAGCAGCCATGGCAGAGAATCACCACGGAGTCGCAGCTCTGTAGCAGAGCAGCTTTTCTCTGCTCTCTGCTTCGTTTTTCCCCCCTTTCTTCTTCTTCCTCACAGCTATACTTCTTCGCCAGAACTCTCTTCTCCTTAACGCCATTATATAGTTTCTCGTCGCAGTTGTTGCAGCTGTTCAGTGGGCAGCCATTATCTCCCACCATTCATCAAGACGCAATCCTCCGCCATATCCTTCCCTCCAAATCTTTCCTCTCATTAATCAAATTCATTACCGTTCCTCGTGTCCGCGAATCACTCGAAACCCCCATCCCCGAATCCGTGCATTTATTCCACCTCCTTTTCTAGTCAATTATCTTCTCGCTCTCTGGTGGTCTCTCTCTCAGCTTTGCTGGGTCGTGTGGCGTGTTGCTGTAGTTTCTCGTCTCGGGGGAGGGAGAGGCCATGGCGATTGCAGCAGCTGTTGTCGTCCCGTTGGGGGTTCTCTTCTTCTTTTCCGGTCTCGTCGTCAATCTCATTCAGGTAACGCACCCCCCATACTTCTCTGATTCCATCAATTCTCCTTCATGGGGCGAGAGTTTGAGTCTGTTTTGGGTTGATTGAGAGTGAAGTGGGTGGGTGATTGATCAGTTCCGAATTGATTCTTGCTAGGTTTTTTCTTTACCTTTTTTTGGTTGGCTCGGATTTGGAATCTAGCCATGTCGCTTCTTTTTCTCTATCTGCTTCCCCTCTTTTTTAGTTTTTTCCTTCATATCTGCGGAAATGTAAACGGGAATGGTGTTGTTTCTTCAGGCAGCTTGCTTCGTTCTCATTCGGCCGCTATCAAAAAGTACGTACAGAATCATCAACAGAGCGGTTGCCGAGTTACTATGGCTGGAGCTTGTCTGGATCGTTGATTGGTGGGCAGGGGTTAAGGTCTGCACTTACCTTCTTTACTGCCCCCAAAATATCAAAACTCAGCTTCGGATTTTGCTTGCTTTTATATCTTCTTGAATTGAGCATTCATTTTGGAACACTTGAACTATTATCTACTGGTGGCATTGCGTTGCTATTGATGGCTACTGCTGCTCTGACCTGCAACTTCCTTGGATAAGTGGATTTTCTGACCCACCTTCCTTAGCCTGGCCTTCAATAGATTATCGTAATCTGATGTAGTCAATGCCGAATAAGTTGCTAAAAGCATCAGAACATTGGTCTGGATATGAACCTTATATACATGCGATTGCCAAATAGGTAAGCAAGGGATGTCTACAAAGGCTGGAACAGTAGCTACCTGTACTGTGTTTTTCCTTGTATTTGCAAATTCCTAGCAGGCTGCTTACATTGTTTCTTCGGCGTAGTATTTTGATCCCCTTGCGCACCCCTGCCCTTTGGGTGCTCTTTCTGTTATTCAAGCCTCTCTAGAAAGCATCAATGCGTAAAGGAAAATGATAACAAGTGTCGGCATGATTGTGGTTGGGTGTATTTTAGCTTTGGTCTGTAAGCAAGGGAAAGACTGAATGCATTTATGCTGTTATGTCTGCAGATTGAATTGTACACTGATAGTGACACATTTCGTCAAATGGGTGAGTCCGAATCTCTTATTAGTCTGTTGTTGTTAGCACCTGTCTCTTTTGTTTTGTTCATCTTAGAGGTATTTGTTATTCAATATATATGCAAACTTCAAAGTGGACTTATCACACCTTTGCTGGTTATGTGGTACTTTTCAGGTAAAGAACACGCACTTGTCTTATGCAACCATAGAAGTGACATTGATTGGCTTGTTGGATGGGTTTTGGCACAGGTGAAGCCTTATAGCTTATTAACATAGATGAAATTGGGTAGCTGAATTCAGAAAGTTCTGCTCTGGATTTGTTACTATGTTCTGCCTCATCTTAATGCAACTAATATCTTGTTATTCCTCATTATAGCGGTCGGGATGCCTTGGCAGTGCCTTAGCTTTTATGAAGAAGTCATCTAAACTCCTTCCGGTATGATTCAGGATTTAGAAGTTGCATGTTCTGTTAGATATTGTTATTTAGTAAATAAGAACTCAATCTGAATTCTTTGTCACTGGGAGATTTGGAAAGAACTGAAGTGCGATCTTCAACTTGTGAATTCGGAGACACATGAGCTCTGTAAGGGAAAAGAACATAACATGCGCAGAAATTTTTTACCATTCCCTTTTCAAACCAGAGAGAAACAGAACATTCTTTAACATGGGAGAAACTCTATTTCTGGTGAGGTGATTGATAATTTTATGTTTACACATCTGACATAGATAATTGTTTAATGAGTATGATTGTATGAACAAGTTTAGAGTGTGCCTTTTATTTGTTGCCCAAGTTTTGGTCTTATTTTCAATTTGACCCCTTTTCCTGTCAGTAGAATGCAACCTGTTATTTTATTTTTGAATTTCTGTTGCAATTCTTTATAGTTCTTGCCAGTTCATATTCCCTCTCTGTTAGTGCTTTTATGTTAGATACTTGCATTTTCCTGTGTACTGACTGCTATATTTATGTTATCAGGTCATAGGTTGGTCCATGTGGTTCTCTGAGTATCTATTTCTGGAACGAAACTGGGCAAAGGATGAAAAGATAATAAAGGTATGCCTTCAATGCTCACAGATATAAATAGTGATATGTAATGTACTGTTATTTGCTTGCCTACAAAAAAAAGATCTACTATTTACTGACCCCTGAACAAATACATCTGTATCTCATTTCTCTGCTACATCTCAATTTATGTGCAGCTTAATCCTGTTCTGATTGTTGTGTCATTCTAACCTGCAGTCAGGTGTCCAGCAGCTACATGACTTTCCTCGGCCCTTTTGGCTGGCTCTTTTTGTTGAAGGAACTCGTTTTACACAGGCAAAACTCTTAGCTGCACAGGAGTATGCTGCATCAGCTGGGTTGCCTGTCCCCAGAAATGTGTTGATTCCTCGTACTAAGGTCATACTCACAGTCCTTTCTTTTGCTTTTGTGTTCTAATGAAAAGGTTTTCAACAAAACTTGAATTGGCATACATGCAGTTGGAAATGTTTGTTTAAATTCTGGCATGAGGCAAGTATGAACTGATGGCTGAAATTCTGACTTGTTTTGCCTGCCAGAAATTCGGGAAACGATAATGGTGAAAGAAATTATAGAATCTTTATTTTTCAATATATGGCTGGGCTGTTTATTTGATTTGGAGGGAGAGTTAAATCAAAGGCAGTGCTTTGATAAAGAGAGTGGAGTTTACCAGTCTTTTAGATTGGGTTCCTTCATGGAAACCATTTATAGACGTGGTCTTTAGGCTGGAGGAAAACCATGTAAACAGTTTCCTGGTTGTGTATTGACTAGAGTTACATTTTCTGCTTCACAATGACACCTTTAATATGAACTTCTGAATCTAGAAGTATTGGGGGAAGAGATAGGAAGTGCCGTGCCCCATATATCTAGCTTGCATTTTTCATTCTCCAACTTCAGAGTCGTGAATGGTTAATGGAGTTCTATTTTCACATCACATTTTACTTGTACTGTGATGGGTGCACAAGAAAGCACATGATATATAATGATGTTTCTATTCTTCTCTGTGATTTGAGGTTAGAGATGTACTTAATTTATGTTGCTTGCAGGGCTTTGTTTGTGCAGTAAGCAATATGCGCACTTTCGTGCCAGCCATCTATGATGTAACTGTGGCTATCCCAAAAAGCTCACCTCCACCAACTTTGACCAGACTGTTCAAGGGCCAGTCATCGGTGGTAAGTAAGCGCAAGTCTTTTTGTTGGGTCATGATTACTTTTTTGGACTTTTGGTACATGTTCCGGAGTAGTTGTTTAGATGCAACTGACTTTTTGGTCATAACTCTAAGTTGGTGATGCAAACGTTAATTCATTCATAATCTAAAAGGCAGAAAGCTGTATATGAAACTTCTGTCGCACACACTTTTTAATTGATGGCTTAATTTGGGTATTGAAAAGTGAAATGAGCTTGACATCATCTGTAAATGAAAGAACCATTGGTAATCTTTAACTATGAATTCATGGATGTTGAGGCTTAGGATGTAAATAACTTTATGTTTATCTTTTTCCCTTGAGATTTGCTGTTAAAAGCTGTGGAACTGATTGACTATTGACTTAACCTAGTAGAGAAAATCTATGAAACTGAATGTTTTCACTTGTTTATCGTGAATTAGCATGATGGTCGAATACATTAACAAAAATATGCTTTTATCTGCTTTGTGTCAGGTTCATTGCCATCTCAAGCGGCACTCCATGAAGGACCTGCCTGATACAGACGATGCTGTTGCACAATGGTGCAGGGATTTGTTCGTGGCCAAGGTGTGTGTAGCAATCAAATTGTGTTGTTGATTTTCTGATATAGCACTATTGAAAGCATTCTTAGTTGAAAGTCAATTTTACCTTGGTGAGAAAAAGTTGTGCTCGAGAGCCAAAGGTCTCATAAGTTACTTTAATGATCGATGACCTTATGGATATGGTCCTTTGGCACCTAAAGAACCAACCCATTAATCTGGAGGAGAGGGATATCGGGGGTAGTGGCCAGTGGGGAGAATATTTGCTCTATGTACATTAAAAGTATCCATGTTCTGACATCACCTGTAATTACTGTATCAATCTGGTTATTCTTATTATTGCTTTTAACTTTGCATTACACCAGGATGCACTGCTAGACAAGCACGATGCTGATGGTAAATTCACAGACCAAGGATTAGTAAATATGGGCCGACCTATCAAGTCTCTTGTGGTGAGACGCTGAATACTCTATTTAAAAGGATTCTTCGCACTATTCTTCTTCTTCTTCTTCTTCTTCTTCTTCTTCTTCCTGTGTCCGGGATCAAAAGGGTGGGTTCTACTGATGAGTCATCATTGTTTTGTCTCCCTGCCCTACTTCCCTCACATGTGTTTTCATCGTGTGTGTGTGTGTGTCAGGTTGTCACTTCATGGGCATCTTTACTTGTCTTTGTAACCTTGAAGTTCCGTCAATGGGCCTCCCTTCTATCCTCCTGGAAGGGTATTGCACTAGCTGCAGGTTGTCTGGTCGTCGTCACAGCATTGATGCAGGTCTTGATTCGATTCTCTCAATCCGAGCGTTCTACCCCTGCCAGAGTTGCTCCAACAACGAGGCCCATAAATCAAGCGGGAGGAGAGCTTTCATCAGATGCTGCTGCAGAACGTGAACAACACTGAACTCAGACAATCTTTTATTCGCCCCTGGACTTTACTGTGTTATCGCTCTAAATTAGGGTATGTTCCGAGTTTTCCCCCTCTGAGAAGTGTGGATCGTTTTGTTGTGTTGCTGTGTTAGTTAGTTAGTTAGCAACATATACAATAGAACCTAAAGAAGAAGAAGAAGACTCAAAAAAAATACCGTTTGGATGGATGATTGGGCAGTGGAATAGGGCAAATTTATGTAGATTGTATCTCTTAGATTTTGAAGTCCAGAATGTATGTATCAGTGCTCAATGTAGGCAAACATCATTTCTGCTCTTATTGAGTATCAATTTCCCTTTTAGCTGCTGCACTTGCATTTGTAAGCGGATTCTTGAATTGGCCTGCGTGTATTACTATACACGAGCATCTATGTATTCACTTGCCATGCAAGAAAGATGTTAAACCCAATTAGCATATCGGCTCAGTTACTTACATCAATTCAACTAACCTATAATTACATGTGAACCTAATTTATATTATTTTTTTTATAAAATAAAAGGTGTATATGTTTATTATTTTATCCATAAAAAAGAAAGAAAAACCCCAAGTAAAAAAAGAGAGAAATTGCAAATGAAATTGTATTTTATGGTAAGCTTGCATAAATGCAATTGCATTTCCATTGTCACATCACTTTGCAATTCAATGTGAAAGCTTGATGTGGATGTTCTAAGAATTAAGCGAGAAAACACTAAAAAAATCATTAAAAGGATATAAGCTTCACTCTATGAAGGCCGAATTGCGAATGGACTGCTTAAGATGCCAACGACGACTATTAACTTGTTAGAATATATAGCCATTAAAGTTTAGCTTTGCACGTTTCAATAAAACACGTTTCGACAAATAATAAAGTTGTCATTCCATCCACTTTCATCTCAAAATCTGTCAACTAAACACCATCAACAGGCCACATCAACAAAATAAAATAAAAAAATCACTAAACCAACTAACTGAACTCAATTGTTCTTATTCTTATTAGTTATTTATTTCCCCTGTTCTTTAATACCACTGGAAAAATGAACATATTCTGCCAGCACCAGAACTTCCCCTTTCCGCAAAATGCCATCTTTCTTCCATGTGCAACGGTGCTGAACTCTCAACTTTGGTACCGATTGGTGGCGGGTCCAACCCAAAACAAACAGGTGAGCGAGGGAAGTGCCAGCGCTAGTGAGATATTAGCTGGAGCTTTGACAAAGGCCGAAATTCAGGTCCATTCATTTCTTTACGCGACAAAAGTTGGTTCCTTTTGGCTGTTGGGTGGTGAAATTTGTCAACTTTACAGAAAGGAAATTGGATGCCTCTGATTCTGCAGAGTGTAACGGAATTGCACGACGGCTGAGCTCTGGTTGCGACGGTGGCCGGCGATTCACAATATTAGACCAGGTTGGGATAATTCTATAGCTCTGCATCACCATTTCACCATGGCCCTTATAATTCTTATGCAATTAATTGCAGGATTAAGCAGATACCGCCATTGATGGAAGTTCAGAACTCAAGAAGGTACAGAAAACCCCAGCACAAATACAAAGGTGAATCTTATTATTATACAATGAATGGATATCTCATATATGATATGTATAATAGATCAAATGAATCCGAACCAAATCGCCTCCACCTGCCCAGAAAACCAAACCGGCTAGTACAACAAACCAAACCCCAATCTGTAACTAAAAAAAAATCCCCAAAACGAGATGGTGATTAAATGAGAAGCAAAGGGGGGAAAAGAGGAGAAAGAAATTCCCTCTTTACATCTTCAGCAGACCCATGAGCGACACGACGACAGAGACGGCGACGAAGGCGCCGGAGGCGGGAACGGAGAACCCAGCGCCGGTCACCTGCGACGGCGAGGGAGCTGGGGCCATTTCCTGGGCGGAGACGAGGGCCGCCATGGACGCGACCAAAAGGACCATGGAGAGGGCAGCTGCCAAGCTAAATTGGGCCATTGTTTTTTTGCTGGGCAAGAAAGAGCTGAATCGAAGGGTAGAGTTTGCAAAGATTTAGATATTTTGATAGCTTGAGCGGCGGTGGTGGGATGGAAGAGAAGAAGGAGAAGAAGTGAGGTTTATATAGAGGGTGAAGAAGCGGCGGGTGGGACCCACTTCCAACTATAAAAAAACAATTTTTTAAGTAGTTTCCTTTGCTTAATTATGTAATTAATTAAATTAGATTGTGGTGGTTAACCGACCATTAATAATGCGATGGCACACTCTAATAAGACAGCCCAGCCCAGCAAAGCAAAGTCCAGCCCATACAGATGGAGGCCAGGTGGTGGAGCGAGGAGATCATTCTCTGTATGATTACCGTGTAAAGTTGGGGAATTCAATTGTGAAGCTGTAAAGCATCCATAGGTGTCAAAAGGGCATGGTTGTCACGCCGGCCGGCGTGCCACCGGTTGTACCAGGTTCAACCGATACCGGTCATAAAACCGGCGTGACACCACCGGTATGACCGGCATGATCGATATACGAATCTCTAAGTAAAATGACCTTATTTAAGCGAATTTAATTGATAAAAATTATTTTATTATTTATTTTATGGGTATAAAAGTTTAATATTGATGTTATTTGTTGGATTCAAGTATAAATGTTAAGGTATTGACGTTAAATGTCATGTTTAAATATGAGTATTTATAATTTTATTTGTAATATTGACCGGCATGAACCGGCACAAACCGGTATGTGCCACCGGTCGAACCATTCCACTTGCTAAACCGGCACACTGGCATAAACCGGTTTGACAACCTTGCAAAAGGGTTTAGTCAAAGTTAAGAACCTTCCTTCATACTTGCCTCCTAAGGTTCCATTGTCGACATTGTCATACTTAGAAGATTCATATATGGAAATTTTGGACAAGGAGAATAATGGAATAGAGCTTTGTGGGGGAATAAGATTGCATGAGAAGAAGAAAGAAAGACAATTTACTGTTTCTTCGGTTTGTGGACAACAACGGTACGTATATTCAGGCGAGGCGGGTCGCAGTTTTGGCCTCTGTGTTACCGTCTAGAGTTCAGATTTGAAAACTGTCAAGAGAATTGAAAAAAAAGTTGATAAACGATTTCGTTTTACGTCGAAAATTTCTATCATAAATTATGAGTCGGTAAGGACAACTCATAAAAATTATGATTTTTCCTTAGACATGTAGACGGTTTTATTTAGTTTTTGTTTGTTTTTCAAATATAAAAAAAGTAATGACTTAAACAATTAGATTTGGGATAGTTTTTTCTTTGTATGAATTGTTAACTCTAATTTTAAGGTCAAGTTTTTCGGTACACAACTCATATCTGCAAAATCTCGAGTCTTACCATTAGGGTTGGTGGTTAGATTCATATCAAAGCTAGTAAGACACAAAGTTTTGTAAGTTTTGAGTTCTTTCCAATTTTGAATACATAACTCTTCAGCAATCTATTATGTTATATTCTTTTCTATTATAGTAGTGATTATGTTATTTTACATTATAATTCAATTATATTATATAATTTTCTAATTTGTGGATTTCTTAATGTTTAATTGTTGGGTGCAACTTACTGTGAACGAGTGATGGGATGCAATGTATTGAGGTTCATGTATCAAGTTTTTCAAGGATGATGATGGACGGTGTTTGTTCTCCATTAAACTTTTTATCACCTAAAATTAACTTCAAAATAGACCAAACAAAATGTATTAAGCTACATCTTATGCATTTATTATCGAGATAGCTGTTTCATTCATCTCGTTCGTCATGCTATAACGAGGAGTAAGAGTACAAAGAGAAAGAATGACGCAAAACTTTTGTAGAGGCCACCCTACCTACTTCGGTTTGAATTTGTGTTAACACTAATCACTTCATTATTTGCTCTTTCTAAAACACCGAAAACGACATTCAAAATATAGATGAACTTCATTATAGCCTTTGTCACCGACTCGAGAGAGTCGATTTGGACTCGCGTGGGGTTCTACATAATCTCAAAATTGTGTGAACGAGAATTCCAAGAATAAATTTTACAGATTTTATTCCTCGTAAATGGCAGTGAATTATCATCACATGATTGGGGTTCCACATGATCTCGGATATATATATCGTCTGTCAAGAACCAGTTGATCCCAATAACTCGAATTGTTGGAAGAGGTTCAATCGTGGATCATATACCACAACACTAACACGCCCCCCGCAAACGAAAGCCACTCACAAAGGCTTGAAGTTTGCACAAGTCTGAAGACAATAATACAATGTGCTTAACAAATGACGGTCACCGGGAATCGAACACAAGAGCTCTCGGTCACATAAGGTTCTGATACCATGTCAAGAACCAATTGGTCCCAATAACTCAGATTGTTGGGAGAGGTTCAATCGTGGATCATATACCACAACACTTATGTAAATTAAGGTAAATCTTTCAGCAAAGTATTCTCCTCCTTAATTCCCTTCAATGCCAATGTCAATACTCAATTGTGCTAAGTGGCAATCAAATGAGTGATGTAACAAATTAGGAAACTAATAAGAACAGCAGAACCGAAGCCATAAGTATACACTAAAAATGAATAGTCATATCATATTCATATTAATATTAATTAATATATATGGGATCAACGAATTCGATACAATGATGCGCGTCTCCAACTCCAAAATCCCACTCAACCGATACCCAATCAATATGAATCCAAACCCAAAACCAGAACAGAGAAAAGAACAGGGGAGGGGCAGAGGAAAAAAGAATGACAATGAATCCATCAATCAATGAAGAAAGCAGGGGGGAAAGAGAAGAATCCCTCTCTACATCTTCAACAGACCCACAATCGACACGGCCAGAGAGCAAACCACAACGGCGCCGGACACGGAACCGGAGAACCCAGCAGCGCCGGTGACCAGCGACGGCGAGGGAGCAGGGGCCATTTCCTCCTGGCCGGAGACGAGGGCGAACAGAGTCGCCACCAGTAGGAACATGGAGAGGGCAGCTGCCTTGGAAAAGCTCACTTGGGCCATTTTTTGGTTTGAGAAAGAAAATGGAGGCTTGAAGGGGGTTTTTGGGCTGGAGATGAACAGCCGGGAGAGAAATGAGAGCAGAAGGAGGAAGAAGAGAAAAGGGGCTCTGAGATTGTGGGTTGGAGAAGAGAAGGGTTCGGGTTGGATTTATAAAGAGGGGTTTTGGAGTCGGATCCGGCCGTTGTGGGATTGGGACCCGACTCAAACGGTAACCTAAAATAAAAATAATTCAATCTGTAATGAGTGAACCCATCAACGGGAACATAAAAGAAGGTGGGGTTGGTTTTTGGGTTGAACCGAAATTCTAGCCTTGGCAAATTGAAGGAGCGCTTATAGAGCGCCTCAACCTTAATGAATTAATAAGTTGAGGAGTTTGGGTTCTGATGATGACAAAAATACAGTAGTCAGTGACTCAGGAAACCCCGTGGGTGTGTCGTAAACACGGGTACCCACTGGGAAGGAACATGACCTAGAGAAGCCAGATAGTTTGGCAACATAGTTAGTCAGTCACCTGGGACACATGAACTGGTTGCACCTGTTAGGGGACGGCTCAACCAGCGCGTCTTATCTCTGCAAATACAAGTGGAATGCGGATGGTATGGGTAGCTGTCTCGATGAGGGTGATAGTTGTTGTTCTCTTTCTAGCCCCCAATTTCCACGCGAGTTTCGGACCTTGTACAATTCAATTCGGTTCCACACGCGTAATCGAAATTCTAGTTGTGTTTTTTTTTTTTTTGTGGCTCCATCCGGTGGTCATGGTGGTTCTGACATTTGGAGGGTGCCACAGAGGTATGTATATGGTGCGGTTGATTGAGCAAATCGTAAATCTGATCAGTATATGTGAACAAACTCAATCCACAAAAGCGTTAAAGTCTTCTGCAAGAAGTATCTCGTTTGTATTATTTCTTGTTGCATCGAGTGAAACCGAAATTCCTTTGTATGGTGTGAATAGATGACCACTTGTACTTCTTTAAATTTCCAACAATATTCTTTTTAAATGTTTTGGTCTAATTACAAGGAAACTTCTTACTAATTTTCTCACTTTCTCTTTGTCAAATGTAGTAGTGATGCTTCAAACATAAACAATTGTGCCTTATTTTTCTCACTTCTAGAATTATATGAATGAGTGTAGTTGTTAGGTCCACTTCTCCTTTTTGGTAGAGACAGCAAATGATAGGGTGTAAGTAATGTGTATAAGATTCATGTATCAACTTTTGTAAAGGATGATTGATGATGATAGACTGTATTTGTCACACATCCAGCCACACCTTGTATCTCCTAAAATTATTGTATTACATTGCACAGTTTCATGGCCTTTTAGGTTAACAATAAAAATATAATAATATGTAAAGAAAATACAAGAAATTATTTATTAAATAGAATAAAAAAGTACAAGAATGTTGAAGGGGTGATTTAACCTACTCTAAAAGATATCACCTCAAACCTTAACATCTTGATCAAATTGTTTTATTCAAAAACTTGTATTCTCTAGTTTTCTTTTACAGCTCTTCTAATTTATCGAAATTATTAGTTTGTATATGTATAAAATATTATTTAAATCTCGTTGGATGAACTTTGAATATTTTTTAGTGTACACGACAACACAAACAAATTTACTTTCAAAACCTAACAAATTTATTGTTTAAAAATCAGAGGTTACTTTCAAAACTACATTTATGGTGGTCAACAAGAAAACTCATACATTAGCTTGTTTTTCAGAACTACATTTATGGTAGTCCTCAATTTTATTCATCATAGCATTTCTTTTGTTCGAACAAGTCATATTATGACAGTCCAACCACTCAATGTTGTACAAAAATTTCATCACATCCTACTACATGGACAACTATGGTACTTGTTTAGAGATCAAATCATTTGGTAAATATCCGACATCACATAATCCAAAAATTATTTGTCTATCGGTATGAGATAACATATTAATTAACATCATCGTGTTGGCATGTTTATGGCTTAAATTGTTGGACTGACCTCCTAGCATGATTATTTAAGAATCAGTTGTTCCCCCATGATCCAAAATAACATTTATAAATTATACATGACAATTGCAATATTGACGTATACAGAGTAAGTCCGACATGGCCGCTACAGTTATAACGTAAAATGTTTGAGCGTGAAAATTACAACAATGGTTTTACTCGTCAGAGTTACATTTTTTATAAATAAAGTGAAAATACCTTAGAATGTCATACTTCTCGCGATCAACATCCGTTAAGTACTTATTCGAGTTTAATTTTCAATTATCGCAATCGAATGAGTGATGGTAACAAGTTTAGAAAGTAATGAAAACAACATAATTGAATTCATTACTTCATTACTATACAATGAATAAATAGTCATATCAAACTCATATTATTATAATACATGGGGATTATTATTATTATACAATAATGTGTCTCTCAATCAAAACTCCCACAAAAATCAAACCCACAACCAAACCGATACAAACCCAATATGGATCGAAACCAAACCCAAAAAAAAAAAAGTAAAATTTGCAGATAATGAATCAACGAAGAAACAGGGGAGAAGAGAAAACCATCCATTCATCCTCTTCTTCTCTCTACAACTTCAACAAACCCATAAGAGTCACGGCCAAAGAGGCGGCAGCGACGGCGCCGGAGACAGGAACAGAGAACCCAGCTCCGGTGACCAGCGGCGGCGACGGAGCAGGGGCCATTTCCTGGCCGGAGACAATGGCGAACAGAGACGCCACCAGCAGGAACATGGAGAGGGCAGCTGCCTTTGAGAAGCTCACTTGGGCCATTTTTGGTTGAGAGAGAAAAATGTAACGAAGCTGAAGATTTGAAAGGAAGGGTTTTAATTTCTGTGTGGAGAAGGGATTTGAGATTTGTGGGTTGGGAATGAGAAGGATTAATGGTGGATTTATAAAGGGGATTAGAGGTATGATTATGAATCTATAGCTGTTGTTGTTGGGTCAATTTTCTGGTGGACAGCAAGTGATTGGGTGTAATGTGTGTATAAAACTATAAATAAAGGTTCATGTATAGTCTTTTGTAAATGATATGATTGATGATGGACTGTATTGGCACATCCAGCTAGATACACCTTTGATGTCCTATATATTATTGTATTGCATAGTTTTTTAATCGCCGAGATTATGATCCAATCAGAAGCGTATGAAGAGATTACCTGATGTAATTAATTCGAAAAGAAAAAGGAATGATGGAAGAAATGATTCGGCTGAATTAGGCGACATTGTAAGCAAATTGCTTTCTCCGAGAGCTACATTCTCTCGTCCACTTTTCGTAGCTCGCTTAAATTTTGCAGTTCTTAAGCGCGTTTACATGATGATGGGGGTTTTGCATAAATTTACAAGAAACGAGATGAACGATGTTTTGAAAAATATTTGAATATCTTTGAGTTTTCGTGTTATCACTTAATATCAGTGACAGAGCTACTTTAGTGGCAGGGGAAGCTATAGATGATAAGGTGTTATATAGACTTATGTAATTGAATATAGACTTTTTGAAAATACAGTTCCCTCGCTAGTTCTGATTCTCTATACGTAAATTTTTAGCTCCCCTCATTCGAATTTCTAGTTCCGGCACGACTTAATATAGACTTATGAAATTGAATTGGCAACCACATTCTACCGTGTAGTTTAACCCAAACAATTTTCAAAAAATTATTATCTTAACATCAAAGCTTATTTCCAGAGCTTAATAGTCAACAAGAGAACTCATACGTAGCTTATTTGGAAAAACTATATTCATGATTGTCAACATTATAAGTCATCATAGCTCAAAAGTCACATTCATTGATATAACTATAACCTTCCAACCACCCAAATGTTCTACAAGATACCATCACATTCTACCACATGGTCACCCTGTGGTACTGGTTTGGTTCAGAGAACTCAAGAAAATATGAACCGTCCATCATACATCCCAGATCCCGAATCGACAACCCACCTTACACGAAATCGTGGCTCGACGACGAAAGTCATTCAACCATACTAAGTAATCGTCAATTGTCCATCGTAGATGAAATCATGGCTACGCCATTGACAATAGCAGCAAACTTTTCACAGCCCATGTTCTAAACTGTTTTCACAGAGGATCTAATGAATCATTCCTCTAGTACATTCCCATGGCTAATAAACAATTTTGTCCTTCAGCTTAAGTCAATTGATTGAAGAACCGGCGAACAGAGTAAATGAACAGAGCCAGCAGCTTAAATTATTAGTCAATTATAATATTATCATACAATGAATATATAGATCAATGGATCTGATACAATGGAAAACCCCCAGCTAACACAAGATCCAATATGGATCCGAACCCACAAACCAAAACCCGGAACAAGACAAAAGAGGCGAAGTGAGAAAACAGAGGAATCAAGAAACAGGGGAGAGGGAAGCACAGACAAATTCACAAGCTCAAGAGACCCAAAAAAAAGAAGGTGAACTCTCTACATCTTCAACAAGCCCATTAGAGACACAACCACGGAGACGGCAACGAAGGCGCCGGAAGCTGGGACGGAGAACCCAGCGCCGGTGACCAGCGACGGCGATGGAGCAGGGGCCATTTCCTGGGCGGAGACAATGGCGGCCATGGATGCGACCAGCAGGAACACGGAGAGGGCAGCTGCCTTTGTGAAGCTTACTTGGGCCATTGGTGCTGGATTAAGAGGAAGAAAATGGAGAAATTGATCTGAAGAGCTGTGTGGGCTTGGAGGAGCTTCTGAGAAGTGAGAGAAGTAGTGATGGAGATTGCAGAGCTTGAGTTATAGCGGCGAGTTGGAGATGGGGAAGGGTTACCCTCCAATTTATAGAGAGGGTTTTCCTCCATTAGTGGGAAACGGCTGTAACTGCGGCTTGGTGGGACCATTATTGATACAGAGTTATTTTCTGTTTCTTTCTCCTTTTCTCACCAACGGTAAGAAGACATTGTTGCAGCAATAAGTTAAAGTTTTCTTCTTTCAGCACCATTTTCTGCCGGATTGGGCGGAAAATTGACAAGTTGGGGTTTCAACTTTCAATGGGGGAAATTCATCTATGCAGAGGACTCAAATAAACAATCCCTGTTACGACGAATCAAACCCATTTGTACGATATGAAAAATATCGTCGTATTCTAATTCACTAACAAAACTCGTAGTTCGACAGTATCAACACATTAGCGCGCGAGATAACAGAGTGTTTTTACATGTTTAGGTTACCAATCACCCCCCTAATCCGACTCCGAATCCTATCGGTTATCGAAGTTAGGACGTCTTAACTCGATCGCCGACTAAAACCGTAGTCCGATCGTAACCATTCGGTCTAGACCGAATTGTACAGTAAAAAAGAAAATTTACAGACTTGGAGTGGAAGGGAAGGGAGAGAGGGTGGGCTGGCAACGTTTCACAGCTGTGAAGTTGTGGGGTTTCTTCTTCTTTGGTAATGTTAATTACAGGCTGTGGCACGTTGTTTGTGAATTGGACTGGTGGGGTGGGTGAAGCTTTGTCGTCATCTTGTCCATCCAGCAAAGAGCCAGCAAGTGGGAAGAAGACACGTTAGCCAAGATATTGAAGATCGCAAAGACTGGAACAAAGTTCCTTCTGGAAATCATGGAGTTTGTCGGTCTACCAAACGTCCACATGATCACAATCATCATCAATGGCCCAAGCCCCATGTGAAGCTCCTTCTTTGATGATCATCAGTGTGCCGTTGCTCTGTCACCATAATTATTGCAGCCAGATTTTTTCTTTTTCTTCCACAGGTCCAGCCAATATGTCAAATTGAATACTGCAAATTCGATGCCGATTTCATTAGCACGGTTGTGGTTATCGAATCAAGAATCGCACGCGGTGGTACGTAAACACACCACGATCACTCATTTCGTTTACATGTCTTCACGGCCAAATTCGCCTAGTCACAAATTTTGTAGACTCGATATAAGATTTGAAATACATTGAGAGTGCGTAGTTGTCATCTTTACGAAGAAGTGTTATCACATTCAAGAGTTATTTTTCGCTCAAATAGGGCCAGGGCATGTCATTCAGTAATTGGCCTTTTGAATACCTGACCACCACACTGGCAAACTGGAATTTGTCTGCCACTTTGAAAAGAGATTCTTGGCGATATCATTAGGGATTTACTGATTTAGGGTGTTTGTCTCACCTACTTCTCCACCAAGAAGCTGTGTGTTTGTTACTTAACCGCTGTTCATGTACAACTAAAAGCCCATAGTTGCTTATACAGTTAGGGCTTATCTGGCGGGTCTGCTAGACAATAGATATCCAACATTGCACTTGCAGCAACCGAATGCGAAACAACCAAAACCATGGCTGACAACCAAGAAGCTGGTCAATTAAGCTCTTTGTAGAGAAGACTTAACAATTTTCGGCACAACCATTACACCAGAAGCTACATCATGGAAGCCAAGGTGGTTGAAAGTCTGGTTTTGCCTTCTAATGGTGTTTCTTCCTTCTCTTTTCTTCCTTCCTCCTCCTCTTCTTATTATCTCTCGATGATGATGATGATGATGACGACGACTTCTCTTTGGACTTGTGCTTTCTTTCCGACTTGCCCTTCCTGTTGGCTTTCTTCCTCCGATCCTCATCGGATTCATCTTCCGAGGAATCACTTGGCCTCAAAGAAGAAGGCTTCTCAGGCCCCAAGATTACACGATGCACTCTGACTTCCCTCGTGGACAGATTCTCCATTGTGTCTTCTCCGGAAGGACGATAGGGACCTGTTTCGTCCATCCTTGAACCAACTGCACCTCGACCACGCTTCACCCTATAAATCAGTGCATAAGATGTCATCTCAAAAGGAATTTGAATTTCTAAAGCTGAAATTAAATCAAGTCGTGTCAAGGTAGCAACAAACATGACAAAATGCAGCAGTAAAAACAGGGACAGGGAGCCTTCACAGCACCTGGAATGCAAGAATTCTTCAATTTCTTCATCCTTTAAACCCTCCTCTTTGATTGAGCCGCTGGCCCCATGTACCACATCACTTGATGAGCATGAGGGTCTTGCATCATTGCCTTGTAGAGAGAAGCTCTTACTTGCACTCCTATGGTATTCACCCATGTTCCTGTCCTTGGTAATTTCAACTTTCTTACCTCTGGACCTCTCACTAAGCCGTTTGTCCAATTCCTTCTCTTGCTGCCTAACTCGCCACATTTCACTTACTTCCACAGCTCGATTTGCTGGAAGCTAGCAAGTAACCAGAGTAGAATCAGTATTAATAAAATAAAAAATGGAAAATTATGTATTTTCTTGTAAATGAAGGAACACAAAAATGAGGGCAAGCAGTAATTAGTATCAGCTCGATTTGTGCTCAAGTCTCAGTAATAAGAGTAATAAGGGCAAGCAGTAATTAACAAAAATGTGTGTAATTCTCACCCTAAGAGAATACTTGGGGTCCCATTCTCAATCAACACGGACAACAATTTCCTTTATGTTCTGGTTGGGACCCCTGTACAAACACACAAGCATCTCAAGTATACTTCCAGCAAGAACAGATGATAGCAACACGTCATCCGTTAATCACGGAAAAAGGTCCAAGCTCAAATTACATGCCCTTATAATCAGTTCTCAGCAGGCAAAAGGGGGTTTGGCTGACTGGATGGAAGATACCAATATAACAGCAGTATGAACTAATTATACTTCTATCATCGTGCAGTGATTTCAACCAACCATGTAAGAAAACAAACTAAGAGAAATGAGAAAACGCTATCAGAAAGAAGCTCTATCCTTTTAAGTTGCATACCAAGTCCTCTCAGACTTGGAAAGAGATCAACTTTCACAAAGAAAAAACTGAACCCGGCAACAAGCATTTGGGATGGTATAAAATTGCTCTATAATGCACCAAAGAGCATATAATGTCGATGATTCTCATAACAGATACGCGATTCACATGCCATCCATATCCAAAACACTTAATAGAAGTCGATTTAATTTCAAATGAAAACATGAGGAAGTGACTACTGAATATCTATTAAACTTGAACAATAAGTATTACTGACCTTGCTGTACCCCAAGCACAGTTGCAGTAAGGAATCGTGAGTTCGGCCGAGCCCTGGCAGTAGGTTTATTATCAAGATAAGCACGAACACCTTCTTTTTCAGCTTGCCGCCTCAATTCTGCTGCTTCTCTCAGAAGCATTGCAGCTATTCTGTTCTCCGTTTCCAGATCCATCGCAGCCCCCAAAATGAAGTGGTCCACGATTCTCTAGTGAAAAAATTTCCCTACCTATAAAATAGATAACAACGCCAATTTTCAATTAGGGTTTATAATTCTAGACAATCTGACTCCCCAGTTCAATCTAGATACAAATAACCAAGTTATCAATTGGGGTTTATGACTTATAGCAAACAAAAATTGCACCAATAAGTTATGATAGAGAGGAGGCCAGCTAATTTTCGAAGAAGAACAGTGGCCGGGTCAACCTCCTCGCCGGCGCCGAGGACCAAAAAGGATTTTGAATCACAAACCAAATAAAAGAAGAAAAACTTACCGTGAGGGAGATACAGGCGGCACCGAAGTCGGGAAGAGAGGGATCCGGCGGAGGGAAACTGAGCGGCGCCGGCGGATGTTCTCTGGGAGCGAGAATCAGAATCAATTGAAGAGGAGGAAGAATTTTTCGTTTTCCCTCGATTAAAGTGGTACATTTTGATTTCCTTTCTGAATCCGGTAAAGTTACATTTAGACCCTCATTATTTTATAATTTCGTCAAATAGAGCCCCGTAATATGAAGTCTACTTAACCCAGCCCCTCAAACTATGCTTAAAAAAAAAAAACCTTCCGTTCCGTCTAAACGTTTCTCAAACCCTAACGTGGGACCGTCTTTATTTGCTGACTCAGCCGGTTCCCGCGCCATTTAAGATGAGTTTCGTCGTCTCCCTTCTTTTCTTCAGCCGATCACTTCGTTGCATGCTGCTTTGAGTCCCATCTTCTCGCCGGAGAAAATTCGAGATCCAGCTCCGACCAGTACGAATTCCTTCCCGGAGATGGCTGTAAAGAAGTTTCGACTCCGTTGATTGCTTCGGAGTCCACCATCGCTGGAATCAGGTAAATCGGTTAGTCTCTTGTTTCCGTTTTTGGGGAGAGCTTTCTTCTCAAATGGGTTCCTTGTCGATGGTCGCCTTTCCTTAGGGCATCGCATTGTCTTCATGGTTGGAAGAATCTTCCGCGATCGAATGTAACTGCGAGCTTTCATGCCTAGGGTTTTTGGGAAGCCGTCGATTCTGTGCCCTATTTCTATTTCTCTGTTTCTGAATCCCTAAATTTGCTCTTGTACTGATACTGTGTAGTCTGTTAAAAATGATTGCTGAGATGTTGAGAAAACACTAAAAACAAGATTAGGATCAATTCTCTTGTTTCCTCTAGTTTTGGGTCCTGTACAATTGATTGAAGATGGCAGCTTTTCAGTTTCTTAGTAAGCACTTTACTTGTTATTCTGAACAAAATAGGTCAAGCTTTTACTTGTGAGAGGAAGGAGGAGGCAGAGATGGCAAGTAGCTCAAAGGGGTCCATGAGCAGCTATGATGATGTAGTGGAAGAAGGCGAGGAGAAAACGATTGACAGATTGAGTGATCTTCCTGACCCCATTTTGCATCACATTCTGTCATTCCTGAGCACCAAGTGCGTAGTGCGAACCAGCATTGTGTCGAAGAGGTGGCGATTCTTGTGGAGAGAGGTTCCTACCTACCCTCAATTTCAGCAGGTCCCTCTGCAGGAGTGCAGCCTTGGCCGAATACGTTCGCAATCTTCTGTCTCTCCGCTCCAACTCCTTATCTGTCGTCAGCATCTCCTTCAACTTCGGAAGTTCTAAGGGGATACGACCGGATATGCATCTGTTTGACAGTGTCATGAAATATGCTGCTGCCTCTCGTCAGTCTCGTGGTAGGAATGGTCATGATCTTAACCATTTGTCCATTTCTCATGCGAACTGCGACCACAGATTCGGCATTTTGGCTGCCAGCAGCATGGCGGCTCATCATCTGGAATCTCTCGAGACCCTCAAGTTGATTACATCCGAACTCAGATGGCAGCGAATTCGCAGTGGGATTCAGTTTCCTGACAACCCTTGAGCTGCGTGACTGCTACTGGCTTCACTCTGGCAGGGAGCAACTACCCGTTGATCCTTTTGCAGGTCTCCCTTGTTTGAACTACCTCAAACTCGTTCGCTGCTTTGCCAAAAAATCTCGTATTCAAGATAACGGGACCCGAGCTGTTGGACCTCCAAATCCAGAAAGAGTATCACAAGTCAGTGAAAATTCTAGTGTTTGCTCCCAAGCTGAAATCTTTCAGTTATTCGGGTTTCATAACCGAGCTGGTCGGGTTGTGTGTTCCTTCTCTGGATTGCGCGGACATATGCGTTTGGTGGGATCCCATCCAGGTTGAAGAGCTGCAGCTTCGTTATAAATATATGAAGCTGTTGAGTGAGTTGCATAATGCTAAATCTCTCATCCTGCGCTTTGCCGACATATGCTATGCTAAATCTCTCTCTCTCAGCCTGCGCTTTGCTGACGTATACGACGAGGTATGTCGTACTTCTTACATCAGTAGTAGAATGTACATGTTTTTGTGAACTTCTCCATGGCCAAACCAGCCAAAAAAACATGCCACCTTATATGTATGAAGCTTAATCGTCGTGTTTTTCGCGTGTAATTAGTTCGGGGTTCAGAAGAGCTGGGAAGAACACGAGTTTCCTCTTACCAGCATGAAGTCGTTAATGGAGCACATAGCATCTCCGTTCACCCGACTGATGGCTTTGAGAGTGCAGTACCCTCAAACTCCACCGAAGCCGCCTCGTGAAGTAATCAACTACTTTTTTGGACGCTCTCCTCGTGCGAAAGGCAAGTCTGTTCAGTTCGAGAAGAGACAACAAATGATGAAACAAACATGGTTCTGCGACGTGTAGTTTGTAGTTATAGCAGAAAGCAGTTGATGCGGAAAAGAGGCTAGCTTGGACTCTTGTTGTATTTCTCTCTTCTCTTCAGACTTCATATCCTTCTTTGAGAATTGAGAAGAGAAAGCCAATGTTGGATCGGACATGGTATTCATGCTGCAATAGGCGTTGTGAAATTACTTGTTAGCTGCAATCAAGCAAGCCACTGGTTTTTCACTGTTTTTGTGAAACCCAAATATGAGTTTTTGACTGACATTTTTTGTAAAGCCACAGACAGTTTTTTATGTCTCTGGTAACTTAACATCCAAACATACGGTCTTTAAAGTTGGCCTAGTAATAACGTGAGACAGAACATTCATCCATCCCGATTTCAAACTTTTCGGCCAACAATCAATGGACAAAAAAAAAAAAAGAAGGTAGTATAGACGGGATAATGACGGTTAGTGGCCAATAACTTTTGTGAAATCGGATTATGATGTTTTGTTCTTCTCATATATGGTTCTTGAATTTACAGATTCAGTAGATATTTACCTTTAAATTAGACCGTTGAATTTTATGATCGTTTTATGTCCTAATTTTGCTTTTCACTTTCTTGATTATGCTAGAGGCTAGAGCTCTTCCATTTCGCAAAACTTCAGAGCTCCACATTTTCTACTATTCGTATGGAAGGACAGACTATAGTAAAGAGATTGTACATAAGTTGCAATGACTCGACTACCTTCATAAAAAAATCTAATCATAATCTCAAAAAAGTTGAGATGGTCCATTGAATCACTATTGAAAATGCTTGTTTTGTTTTGCAAACAATGAATTATAACGGATCAAATGACTTCGAGTCACCCAACGTTTAATCGAAACATAAGTAACTTTAAAAAAATAATAATTAATTAATTTCAACAAATCCTCTAAAATAGAATTTCACTCCTATCCATTATTTCCAAAATTCATAATTTTAGGAGTAGAACTTTTTCAAACAAACAAAAGAAAAGGAAACCACCCGTGGTTAGCAAAAACCTTTAGCGTCCGAAACTCGAGCAAAATCCATTAACTTTGTAGTTCGCCATGAAAACTACCCAAGATTAGTTCCAAAGCTTCCCTATAAATTGTTCACAAACCCCATCGCCATCACCAGACCTGCTCGAATAAAAGCAAAAAAACAAAAAAAAAAGAGAATAAAACGAAACCCCAAAGAAACACAAAGCAGGTCCCGTATCCAGGCGCCGAAGCCAAGTCTTCTTCTCCGTCCAGCAGTTTTTTTTTTCGCTTGAAAGAAACGTTTCGAATCTTTCAACCATGACCATGAAGAAGATCTGCTGCGCCGTCGTTTTCGCCGCCGCCTCCCTCAGCACCGTCTTGGCCGCTGACGCAGCCGTCGCGGCGACAGTCGCTCCTTCCCCAGGCCCAACCGGCGCCGAGGCCGAGGCCGCGACCGCGGCCGGTGCAGCTGGGCCTGCTGCTGGTGGACCTGCTGCTGCGGGTGGGCCTGCTGCCGGGCCCAGCAGTGCCGCCAGCTCGGCGTTGCCGGGCTTTGCAACTTTGGTTGGAGCTTCTCTCGTCTCTCTCGTTTCCTATTATTTCCAGTAAGCTATATATAAAATTAAGAGAGGACACGTGGGCATGAATAAAGATGAAAAAATGAAATAATAAAAAAAATTAGGAAAAAAAAAATACCCAAGACAATAGAAATTGGGGGAAATGATGGAGATTGGAGAGCATAGTAATGTAATTTCTTGTATTTGTTTTTTTTTTAAATTCCCCCCTTTTCATTTGTTTCTTTTGCAATTTGTAACACACCATGATTGGTGGTATTATATTGAAATGAAAGGGTATTAATTAAATAACTTATTGCATAAACACATTTTCTTTAATACACTTTTCTCCTGTCCTAAATAATATTTTTTACAATTTTTTTTTTTAAATAATAGCTAAAACTAAAAGAAATTATAAATTTGATATTTAGGTTGGAGTAGATAAGCTCACAAATCATACAATACAAACACTCTTTGGTAAACCAGTCAGAACAAAACCCTACAATAACACCATCAAACATTAGAAGAAACCTAACAATAAAATGGGTGATCACTTTTGCATGTATACACATATATAACACAAGTATTAGACACAGTTTCTTTTCTTCTTCATGAGGACCCTTCTCCATACTTGTGCTGAGAAAGAAGGCTCTTAGTGAGCCAGATCGCGGTCTCCCTCGACGACACAGCTTCTTCTCCGAATGGCCTCAGCACGCCAGCAAGCTCGTCGACCTTGTCCTGTTTGAGCAGACGCGCGCACAGCTCGAGCAACGACTCGAGAGCATCTGCCCTTTGCTGGGTTGGAGCCCCCCACTCCCCCTTCTGATCGTTGATTGCTGCCAGCGTTCGTAGCAGCGAGATGTGGTTTGCTGTAGGTGGTAGTGGCCCTGCCTCGTGATTCGCTGCTTTGCCACCGTGATGATCATCGTCATTTCTAGTGTTCTCAGGATTTGATCCACTTTCACCTTTACCTGCTGGATGAAGATCGGAAAGAGTCCTTTCTTCTGCATGAACTCTGGGGGACGCTGGATTTTGATGCTCCAGCTGGTTTTCAGGTGGCGTTGGCTGTAACAGCATGGAAGGAGCTTCATGATTCTCAGCTGGCACCAACAATGTCTCCTCAGAAACAGGTTCTTCTCTGCAAGTTTCCTCTGTTGTGTCATTTGGCATTTCTAGTTGATCCTTCTCAGAAGCCTGTAGGTTGAAATCTTCTTCTCTTTCAGTCACAAGGTTGATCTCAACATCTCGTGGATCCTGCAAGCACTCAGGTTCCTGCTGAGGACTCGGTGAGGCGAATTCAGTTTCAGTGACATCCTTTTGATGAAGACCTCTTGAATCATCAATTTGCTTCTCTCCTCCGCCATTGCAAACACTTATCTCGGAGTCAGTGGAACTGTCTTTTGGGCCAGTGATTGTATCAGATGTTTTAGAATCAGCTGTCTTCATGTCCAAGTTATCATCTGCACTAGAAGTAGATGATGTTGCATTGCCATTTGATCTCTCAGGTGGGACATGATCATTTTGTTCTACAGTCTCTCTGCTGACCGCAGGATTGCTGGCCCCTCCACCACTGAATCTCCTAGTTAGCGATTTTCGTCTTGATTTCTCAGGAGAGTTGTTCAAAGGCAGTATTGGAAGAAAAACAGCTGATGCATTACGGCAATGGAAGAGATATGGTTGGAGATATGGGTTTCTCAGAAGTTCTGCAGCCTGGGAATGTAATATTGTTGTGTCAGAATCAGATGCCATTGGCAAGTTCAGAATGAGTGATTTCATGTTTAACTTACTGTTGGTCTGTGTTCTGGATTCTTCCTGAGCATGCATTTGATAATTTGTTTCCTGTGAGGCGAAAATTCAAATAGAAAGAAGGAATGCTAAGTTAGTGTCGACCCTTCGACGGTACAATACTCCCTTGCTACGAGAGCAGATATAGACACTCACAGTGAAGAAGAGTGAACAATCGGAAGAGGAGATATCAGCGATCGATTTATTTTGTTGATAAGTCCAGCCATATCCTGTTCAATGAATCAGTTTTACTTTATTTTTCAAGTTCTTTTTCCCAAATTCAATTCAGATTGACCATACTGGCGCCCATTGACAAAGATGATGATACTAGTACTTACAGGAGCCTTAAAGGCTGGTTGATGGGCCGCGATTTCGAACATACAACATCCTGGATACAAGAGACAAAATGTCACTCAAATATGATTGAAATATTCTACAGCTTTTCTTCTCTTTGTGAATACATCTACAGCTTTACTGAACATATAGTCCTAAAGGCTTACCGAGTGACCAGATGTCAGATTTATACCCGTAAGGTATGTCAGCTAGTAGTTCCGGACACATGTAGTTAGGGGTTCCAACAACCTACGCTCACAAAACAGAAGGCGGGCAGGGAACACAGAAAGACACGAATAACCAAAATTATCACAAGTAACTGGCTTCAGTTCATGTTTGGAATCAAGATCTCTGGTAAATTTGAACAGTGGGATAGCAGTGACACCAAGTTGGTTTGCAATCAATTCAAAAAATAAAGCAGCAAGATGATGAATACATACCGAGGAAGCTAGTTCTTCTGTGTTCAGAAGTTTTGCCAGTCCAAAGTCGCCTGTTTGTTTCCCCAACAAGGCATGCACTTCAGAAGAAAGAAGGATGATATGGGGGGAAAAAATCACATCTTCCTAACAATTAAATCTGCACTCTTACCAAGGCGGATGTCATTCTCCTTAGTGAGGAATATGTTGGAACACTGGAATTTCATAGCACATATTAGCCAGCAATTCAACCAGACAAAAAGTCCTGAACATATGCAAAGAGAATCTGTGTACCTTCAGATCCCTGTGAATCACTCGATTCGAGTGCAAGTAGTCCACAGCTAGTAATAATTGAGTCAGCCATTTACATACTTTCTGAAAGAGGGAAGAAAAGGCAGATGAGGAGCAGGTAAAAGTGAAGAGCTTCACCAATGTACAAGTTGCTGGCTTACCTCCTCCGGGAAGATAATTCCTCTAGCCTTTTTTATAAGTACAGCCCTGAATAGACAGTTAGAATAACCAATGAGCTCGTAAATCTCATACACTTTAAAGTTAATTTTATTACCTAATCATACAAATGCTACAAAGATGAACTTCTGAAAGTTTAGACGGATGATATCGAGCTTATGGACATGTGAACATGTATTGATATCATAATAATATAAATACAAATTGCATTTGATTAGGAATATTAATATACTTACATGTCTCCTCCCTCACAGTAGGAGGTCACTATGCACACAGAATTCCCCTAAATTAAGAAATTAACAAAGGTTTTTAAAGGTCTTCCCTTAAAAATACATGGAATAAGAAGATGGCAGCATCGAACATGGACCGAACAAGAAGTCAGGTGAGGCAACACACCTTGTCTACCCAAGAATCCTTGAACTCCACAATGTATGGATGTTTTAGCTTGGCAATGAGGTTCATCTGCAAGATAGATCAATTTGGTGACCATAACATATAGGAGAACAATGTCTCTAGTGCTTCCATCATTTCAACATCCATCGAATTCATTAGTTCAGCAAAGCATTGAGACAATGTGATGAAAGGAACAAACTTTCTCTTCTCATTTTTGTTTTGTGGGTCATGTTCATTGATAAGCATAAGAAGAGCAGGAGAAAAGGAACCTCTTGATGAGCTGTGCGTTTGAACTTCTCGGTTTGCTTAGCCAACCGTGTCTTCTTCAGCACATACCTAACGAGAAACGCAACAGGAAATGATCAATGATTTGGAAGGTTGGGAATGAAAAAAAAAAAACTAACAATGATATGCTAAAAGACAGACAACCATGCCGACATCATTGGCAGCCACCAACCTTCCACTTTTGAAACCCATATGAGAAACCAAGAAGAAGCACACAAAAAGAAAAACCCCACCAAAACCACTAATTCCATTGATTGCCTGATTGCTTACTGCCTTCACAAGTTGCAAGTGTGAACCAAGTTCGCAAATTCAGCCACAGATGAAAGAAACCAGAGAGAAAAGGCAAAAATTTCAAGGGACAAGAAGTATGAGAGAGCGAGAATTAGGCGTGTTACTTCTTTTTCTCAGCTTTGTGGAGAACAAGAAAAGCAGAGCCAAAAGCTCCTCTCCCAATCTGCTCAATGACCTCATAATCTTCCATCTTCGACTTGCCCTCACCATTCTCCAACTCCATCACTGCGTTACAAAGACAAACCCCAGAAAAACAAACATCAGTAAAACCTCATAGCATCTCCATCTCAGACCGAGAAATGACACCAACAGCAAAGAAATGAAAGCGCCTGATGAGAAAGGTTGGAACTTTGGAGCAAACCCAGAAAGGGAAATTGACTGAGAAGCTGATGGTGCAAGGTGGGAGTCGAGTAAGCGAGAAAGACCTCAGAGAGACAGGAAGGGTTTTCCCCCCTTTTTGGTGGGCTATGTGTAGGGAGTAAAGCTACATTCCACAATGATGAGCGCACGGGAGAGAAAGAGGAGGACAAGTCAAGAGAATACAAATGAAAGCAGCAGCAGCAAATTAATAAAGAGAGGGTTTTGATTCGTCTGTGAGTGACGACTTACCTAAAAGAAAACAAAGAGGAGAAGAAAATACCGCACCCAGAAAACAGAGGTTCTGGAGAGAGCAGTTAGTAACAGTAGCAAAGACTGTAATTTGGTGGTTGAGTGGTCTTTATTTGGTCTTCTCCCCATAAATTGGTGCAAGAAAGGGCGCAAAGTGACAGCAACGAACAATCACCAGTAATTAACGAAAGAAGAAAAAGGTTAAAGTGGCTTTTTTTTTTTTTTTTTTTGACAAAAGGACACTGCTTTTCATTACTCTTAAATGGAACCAAAGGTTACAAGAGGGGGGAGACAACATCCAGGATCTGAATCCATTCGTGTGGTAACGAATTCCTGGCACAAGATCTAGCTACCCAGTTCGCTTTTACATTCCTCTTACGACCTATATGCGAGATTCGGACCAGAGGATTGCCTAGCAACAACAGCTTAATGGCGCTTATCCAGGCAGCCGCTCTCCATGGCCATTCCGTCTGGCTCTCCTGGCATGCTTTGACAAGCGGCAGGCAATCCGAACGAACAAGACATGACGAATGTAGCTCCACAGCCAAACGAACCCCCGTGAGGAGTGCCTTGGCTTCAGCTTCAAGAGGGGAGAAACAGTGCAAAGTCTCAGCCTTACCATCGCAAACTTGACCATGGTCGTTCATAATGATGACTCCATATGCCGCCTCCTGGGAGTCGTTGAAAAACGACCCGTCGCAGTGTATCTCAAAGTTATGAGTACATGGCGGTGGTGAAGAAAGTTCTGGTGGTGGTGTGGGCTGAGAATTCTTTTTATTCTGGCGAATGTTTCCTACCAATGTAGTTGCAATGTCATCATCCTCCCCCCACCATTTCAATTGTTGTAAAATTAAAACAAAAACTATCAAAGAAATTTCCTATTCATGTTTTTATTCATCTTCTCATCAATACAAACTAGTTTGATACCAATCCGTTAATATGATGTTGTCGTTGGATCGCACCATTCGTTAGTGCTTTATAGATAATCATGTCAACGATTAAGATAAGGATTTGTAGAGCATGATAGATTGATAATTACCATTGTAGTAAGATACTTTTTGTAGTCGGATTAATACGTTGACAGGAATACTACTTATTCTTTCAATCAATTTTATCCGCTACACGAATTTCTGAAAAGACTTTGTGATTAGTGAAATGGGACTGGAGGAGGACGACGTTCAAAGAAGGCAAGTCCCGAGGGCTCCACACTTCCACAATGTTTAATCGTTTTGTGCTGTTAATGGCAATTGTCATTGATTTAATTATTACTGGTGTCTTAATTAAAAAACACTTTATTGTGAGACCAAAAAGCAGATTATCATCAAATCACACCTTCCCACCAGTATTATTAATAATAATGGTGGGTTTGGATACCTAAAAGAAAATTGATGATGGAGTTTGGATATGCTTTAGATGGGGCATAGTGATCACCAAATTCCTAATTTCTAATAATTAGGCACAAAACTTCAAGGTGATGAATGATGACAATAATATTACAACCACCTATTATTAGGGATAAGAATCCATCCCGATAATCATAAGTGTGTTTCTTTGATGGCGAAAACGAACTGTTAAAAACGCGCTGCTACGGATCGGGAAATTGCCGGAATCGACAAAGCAAGAATACGAAAGCGAGAATCGAAAACACGACACACGATTTACGTGGTTCACTAACACGATATGTGTTAGCTACGTCCACGGGCGAGAGAGAACCAGTTTCACTATATCAAAGGAGATTACAGATTACAGAGGAGTATGAGAAGTATTTATAGTACTTCTCCATGAGACCCCCGATTACCAGTCGTAGCGGCTGATAGTCCGATTCAAGTCATATCAACACGAACATTTTCTATATATACGATATTGGTAGCCTCAAGGTTCGAACCAATAATGAGCATAATGTTATCATCTCGAAGGCATCTGATATGGGAATTAACATGACTAAGCAATATCTGTATGACAATCTGAATGGTTTAAGCCAAACTTAAATCATCCTACATCATGGTCCTACTACTTTCTCCCAGCCTTCTTGGATGCCCTTCTGCTTTCAAGTTTCTTCCTTGTGGCTTCAAATTCTTCATCTGTAGGTTCCGATGGTGTACTAGGGCCGCTACCCCCACCATATTTGGAGACAAGAGAAGAGAACATAGAGTCGAATCGATCTTTCCTCTGGCTTTGCCGCTGGGATATAACCGCAAGTAGATTGCTTTCTGACCCTTCAGTTGATGACCTTGTGAAGAAGTCATGAAACAAGTTGTAAATGACAGTTTCATACAACTATGGACAAGAGCAAATAACCATGTTAACAAAGTTCAATGGTGTTGAGACTCACTTCCCCCTTCTTCTCAGGGGACTTGTAGGCGGTTTCATTCGAGAGATCTTCTTTGCCCATTTTTCGTAGGCCTTCGTGGCTTTCAGTTCTCCTGTACGAAGCAAATTAGAATACTTAGTGTGCGATGCATCAACTGAATGTATTACTGAACTTATCCCATCACAATGTAACAAGACATTACTAGTAACTACATTTGCCTAGCCGGTAACTGTTACCTGCAGATATTGCCTCATCCAGAATGTCTTTGAAACGGTGAGAATCAAGCTTAGGTTCAGAGCAGAGCATTGAACAGAAGAGCCTAGAATATGGAGAAGGGTTAAAGACCAAGTGTAGAAGCCTGAAGATGGATTATGTCAGACTGAATGCTTATATACCTGTTCATATTACCCTTGCACTGCTTATAAAGGTCAATCAGATCATTTTTCTCTGAATCGGATCCTCTGTAATTTGCTTGAAACTCCTCAATATCAGCTTCAGTAACCTGACATTACATTTATTGAATCAGTTATGGAGACTGGATTTACAACAGTGAGCAAAACTACGGCATAAAACTAAATGCACAGACTGTACTACCTTGTTGTACATAGCTCTGAAAAATTCCCTCAAGTTCTGGACAACATCTCCTGCAAGGTCCTGAAAACAAGAAAACCAGAAAAAGATCAGAAGCAGGCTCCCTCAAGACTTACTGCATCAACTAATTCACCTAGCTGTTAGTTCTAAGTACTTACTGCATCATCGACGCAACCAGTTTGGTCATAAAGTGCACGTTTTTCCTCATCCCCAAGGATTGATATCACCTTTTGTAGTTGCTGAAACTTCTCTTTTGCCTCCTATCAGAAGGCAACATGGTATTACTATCAAACAAACACGATCGAATTCCCTTATCCCCATGACAAAAGTAATATGCAGTGTTCCTCAGTTAGTCACCTCATCACCAGGATTTTTATCTGGATGGAGTCTTAAAGCCAATTTATGGTATGCTTTCTTTATCTCTTGCTGGGATGCTGTCTTCTGTACACCAAGAACCTGCATCCAGCGCAGCATCATTTTGTAAAGCTAGCACCCAATCCCAACTCAATATACACAATCTACTAAATAGAGCAAATAAGAAGGGCTGAACTCAACAATTTAATGGAACAGAATCATGAAGGTGGGACAATTGCTGAGAAGTAAGCAATAACCATGTAGTACATCCATAATAGCAATTGCCTGAAAACACAGTTGAAATATGGATAGCGTATTGCAGGACCTCATGCATTTACATCTCAGTATCCCCTGCAACTAAACCAACCATTCAGAATATGTCTCCCGCAGCTTTGAACTGGGCACTATAAGCCAGTTTCTATGGTTCAGCCTTGGCGAAATTATTGAATTCCACAGAGCTTCAGTTTAATTTTCAGCACTAAGAGCTGCTAACACAGCAGCAGGTCCAAAACCCATTTGCATGTGTAACACATGTATCACTGTGAAGCTAATTTTGGGTCTCTCCCACTCTCCCACAACCAAATTCAGTACAAATCATAATGGTCAAGTGGTCAGTATCAAGCCTAAAACTTTCACCATCGCAATAGATTTACAGATTCTCAGGCACAATACAACGCATGATACAGAAAGGAATCAAATGACGAGTCGGCGAACTCGACCTAAGGCGGCAGCACATGAATCTATGGTGGGGGAAAGGGAGAAATGGAAGTACCTCGTAGAGGCTCTGCTCGTCGCCGGAGGACTTATCGGCCATCTCCGTATCATCTTGATGCTCATCCTCCTCCTCCTCCAGCCGTTCTTCTTCCATTTCGACTTCCTCTTCTTCGCGCGAAACCCTAGACTTCTTTCTCTTCCCCATCTTCACAGAAGCTTGCGCAGTTAGGATTGAAGCAACTACGAGACTGAAATGGGGTAGCGAGCGAGAGACTGAAGAAAGCCGAGGAGACGTAGAAGTTCAGAGCCTGCAATTTCAATTGTTGTTTCGTTTTAGACGTTTAGTGCTTAAGCCATGGGTTTCGCTTTCGCATCTTTCTCTTTGCTTGCGGTTCTTCTTTTCCCAATTCCCGCCATACCGCTCCAGCTTTCCCGCCAGAGAAACCGATAAAAGCCCATTTGTGAAGTGCGAGCAAGTCCAGGGCGGATGGGCCCATCATTAAAGTCAGGCCCAGGATTGCAGATGACCGGGCCGGTCCACATTGTCCATCCAAGTTTTACTTTTAACACAAACTAGCTTTATCCTTGGCCGGTTAAATTTCATGTCTTAATCAAATAATTCATCATATGCTTAATTATTTTAAGTTTTAAAATCATTTATGCTCTTTAAAAATAATTTTCATGAACATATTTGTGGTCTCTTATTATATCTTTAAGAGATCGTAAATAAGTAACTATTTATTTCATAAACTAAGTAGACAACATTTAATCAATAATTTTGTAGTATTTGATTTAAACAATACAGATTTACAAGTTAGCATTCAAATTTTATTTGGTGAATGTTGGCTTGCGATTAAGTCTACCATATGTACATGTTCCTCTTAAGGGTTTGTATCAATGTCATGGTTTTTTTTGGGTTTGAGCATAAGTGGTAGATAAGGGTGTGTGGACAAACATGAGTAGATGGCACCATTTTATGTCTAAAGACACTTGGCTGGAAGGATGCTCTGAAGTTCACTTGCAGTGCTTTGCAATATGTTTATTTGAAAATTTCAGAGTGGTTGAGAATGCTTTGGTTGAAATTCATATTTTTACTGGATTTTGTAATTCTAGAGATGGAAGAAGACTGAAATGTTTGTCTACTTAGTTAGGTTTATGAAAATCAAAGGAAGTATACTGATTGATGTCTAGAATGAGAGGCTTAATCTGATTGATGTCTCAGAGTCAAAATTCTTTTACCTATATTATTGTCATATTCATTGTCCATTGACATCTAAAGGACAAGAGACACTCAAGGTAATGTGACAACATATTTGAGCAACATATAGGGCATATAACATAAATCGTAAGTGGACAAGGATTGTCAATTGAATGGTTACTTTCTATGGGTAAATCACATTGACCTCTTTAGATGTTATCTATCTTAATACTACTCTTCACAAAACCGTTAAACTACAGAGTACGGATGTTGCCCATCGTACTAGTGCTGACGTAGCATCGTAAATTGATTAAATGATTGCTTACGTCACCTACAGAATTCATTTTTCTAAATAACTTTCTAAAACATCATTCATCCACAAAAAAGGAAGTTTGCAAAGACAAAAAAGGAAGTTTGCAAAGAATGAAATAGCATTTACATACTTACGCAAATCGTAACTTTCTGTATTTTCACAATGGCAAGTTATATAATTAAATCGTGACACTTTCCACGTCCGCCCGGGGTGATTATGGAATATCACACTTTGTAAATTTAAGGGAACTAATCTAATACTTTTTTCAAAAAAATATAGTAACTTACTATCACCTCATCAACATTATTCATAATCTTCCATAGATGATGTAGGATATTGGAATTCTTACCATGGTTAGGCTTTAACCTCTCTAAAACATTATCAATGATATGCCAAATATCAACTTCACTAACAATGCTGTTTCCTCTGACTTCCAAATATCTGCACATCCATGATGCCTATAAATAGAGCTCTCATCTCTTGAACCAAAAGCACCAAGCAAACTTGCAGCAGTACAATCCCATTCTGAGCAATACAGCCATCTCCATATCTCTCTCTCTCTCTCTCTCTCAGGCAATACTTCCAACTCCCTGGTTTGCTACAAGCCTACAACACAAATTCCATTGCTTTCATAGACTAATAATTCCACTCACCCTTTATGATTTACTGTTCATTATATGCATATGCATCTGCTAATTCATGGTTATGTTTCATTACTGATTCATTCAGGGTGCTCACCATGGAAATTATGGCTGCTGTGAATGAATCCATGCGCCTGATTGATGTCAACCAAGTCCCACCACCATCACCCTTACCTGTTGCTGCCACCATCCCAACCGAGGTCCCGACTCTCCTCCAGCACACCTTTCAGGACCCTTTCGATGACAATTTACTCCGAATGAACCCAACTCAACAGAGATCCATCGTCCAGGGTATTGCTGCTGACAACAATACCATCGCCTCGAACAATCGAGGGAACAGCACAAGGTATGGCGATTCTGTAACGAAGCGTTTGTAAAATGTATGCAGACCTTTGTCTCTGGTGATGAATGATCATTTGGCAGGAGGAGGACTAAGGCTAAGGCTAGGACTGCTGATGCAGAGAGCACTAACGAAGCGATGCAACGCAAGATCCTTCGAAAGAGGCACAGGACTAAACACTGTGGCGAAAGCTCCCGGTTCAGGGGTGTTGTTGGCAGGTATCTTTTTTCTGTTTTTCCTTCATTCTATCAGCATCCAAGAGTCCTGTTTTGGGGAAAAGCATTAACCTTTTACCTTATTCTTCAACCCTTTCGATTTAGGTCCCTTTGGGGGTATGAGGCATTCCTGTGGGACAATTCTGATCCTACTAAGAAGCCTAAATCAGGTTACTTGAGATGCAAACAACACACATTTCTACCTATTCTAAAATTATGATGCCTCTTTTCTGCTGTTACTGACACCCAATTTCCCTCTGTTTTCTCATGTCATATGACAAATTATGAAGTTTACATTGGGACATTTGATCATGAGAGAAAGGCTGCTAGGGCTCATGACTTGGTTGCTCTCAAGTTATGGGGAACATCTACAATCCTCAATTTCCCAGTTAGGGATTCTCAATTCCCTTTCCCCCCTTTCATGAGAACTTGCAATCAGAACGAAATTCGCCGTTAGAGAGACTCAGGGACGGGTTTTGTAACCATCCTCTCCTTTTCTTTTCCAGGCGGAATTCTACCAGAATGAAGTGGAGGAGATGAACACCATGTCTGTACGTGAATACATCATGGCAATTCGAAGGTAAATCGATAACGAAGATCTGGAAAATAACTCCATCTTAATCACTGATGCAAAATCTCACATCTCCATATTGAAATTCGCAGAACGAGCGATGGCTTCGTGAGAGGCACCTCTCGATTCCGTGGGGTCTTCAGGTCATTTTTCCGCTTCTGTCCTCAGTCTAAATAGGCTCATGGTGTTCTGCATTTCAGATTTTCCCTGACATTTTCATTTTTACTTGTGTTTCCTTTCTTCCGCAGGAAGCCTTCTAAGGCGAACCCTAACGTGATCAGGTGGCAAGCGACACTCGGCAGAGACAAGAACTACCGTGGAATCTACCTCGGAACGTTCGAAACCGAGAGCCTAGCTGCGAGGGCGTATGATGTAGCAGCGATCAGGGTGAGAGGAGCAGATGCTGTCACCAATTTCAGCATTCGACGCTACAACGTGCCTAGTATTCTCCGTCGTCAAGAGCTGTATCTTGGGAAGGGCACTTCCAGGAAGTTCAAGATCTACACAGTGGACGAAATCCTTCAAAGGCTGCGAACCGATGCAAACCAGACCGACTCCAATGAAGGTTTACTAGCGCGAGTGCGACATCTCGTGCAACAGCTGAACATGACCCGAGGACCTGCTGCTGTGTTCCAAAATCCTGTCCCTCCTCAACCCGTTACCACTCCTGCTCCACTTATGATGAGCGGGCTTGGTGGTTCGACATGGCATCTGAACCAGAGCTTGAATCTGTGCAAGGTTGAGTCAGTGGAGAGGCAGGGAGAGAATTTTGGAGCTGCTGTGAACACTGCTGGGCTTGGAAATGCTCGCTTCGGAGGATCCCAAGTCGCCCGCTTCTCTTTCCCCCCGGCTGGTGGAATTCAGACTCCAATGTATGACAGGGGTTTCAATGGTCACAATGGAGCATTTCAACCTCCCCTCCAGCTACTCCAACAATTCCCTGTGCACTTCACCACCCTGCGAATCCCGGGGGCCATGTTCCCGCCGAGCAGCGACCAGTCTCCTCATGGAGTTGCAGCTGCGAATCCAAGGATTCCTAACATTGGACCATCAGCTGCAAATGGAGAGGGGTGGCTCGATCTCTGAGTCGCCGAATCTTCAAATCGTGTCCTGCTCTTTGCTTCTTTTCCTGTTCTATGTTTACCCCGTAATCAGTTTTTGGTCTGTTAGAGTGTCAGTCTATCTATGTCGTTGTAATAGTGCATCTATCTCTCTGTTCCATTTCAATGGAACAAAGGGAGAAAGGTTATTTAGTTTGTGTATTGCTTCTTCACTTCCATTACACCAAATGGAACAAAGTGAAAGGCAAAAGTTTAAATTTTGGCATCAATAAAACATAAGCAAAGAGTCAGTCAGTTAATCAATTAATCAATCTTTCTTCCCTGCATCGATTCCAAACCCCGAACTAGTGCCTTGTAGTACAAGAAAGATGACACTTCTGCTACTCTGATCAATTTTCTTTTTGACAGAATTTTCAGCTTTCATTTCTTTTCTGATATTTACTTCGAGTTGCTAAAGACCCAAGAAATCACAGAGGCAAAAACAACAACGAGGCAAGTTGTTCATTATCATACAGAGCCTGTGAAATCTACCAGTATATATCCAAATCTTTTGGCCATGTAAGCAATTTCAGCCTGACCAGACCTCGCGGAGCAGTTCGTACCTCGCATTCGTGACCTTCTGCTTGCAGTGCTCTCCGTTAATCCAACTCGAGGAGTATTGCGAGCTGTCGAGAATTGAGCCAAGAGGAGAGTCCAGCTCTTCCAATTCGTCGTCGCTGGTGTATCCTTTCCTCTGTACAACTGAAGCATTCCTTGACAAGCGAGACTTCAAACCACCGCGGCCACCATTTATATCACCTACCTCTGCAACTTTTTCTGATACCGCATCGCTTGAAGGTGGAGTGTAGACTACTGGTGCAGCTGAGTAAGGGAAGCTTCTCGGGGGTTGTCCCAAGAGCTTGCGCTCCACAAGGCTCTTCTCACCAGAAAACAAAGACATCCAACAAACGTAAGACCCAAAAAACAAAAAATCCAAGGTGGAAAAATTGAAAGCTATGTGTATACCCCGGCGTTCAAGGCCTCAAGTACAGCTCCAGGGACAGCATCAGGACAGAACTCGTCTGGTGTAAAATTACAGAGTATCCGCTTCACCAGTGGAAGATCAATTGACGGGCAAACCTAAACAAACAGGCCACATCATCTTTTCCCGCTGAGAAGTTTGCAATAGCCATCAAGCAAGGAAAGAAAGGGAAAGAAATACTGAAACAAGTCACCTCTTGTCTCACTGATCTGTCTATCAGCAAGTCTTTAGGAAGCATAAGTAGATCGCTCAAGTCATTGAGAAGATTGAAGCACTTCGGTTTGGCGTCTCCTCTATGGTCATCATCAACCTCGCTACTGGTTTCTTCGTCTTGCTTTGGGGTTTCCTCATCATCCATCGCCACTGTATCTACAAGCCATCTAAACCAATTTCCAACCTTGTACAGCACACACATGTTAACAAGTGAGCCAAAGTTCATTATTCAGAAACTGGTGTGAAATTAATTGGTTTAGAAGATAGGTGGATGTAAGAACTGTACAGAGTTCTTGAGTTGTGCTCCAGAGCCAAAGCTCAATTCCCCTGCTGGTATAGGCAGAACCCTTGAATCCAAAATAGGGTCTGATACTGGATCAGTTGGGATCTCATTGGCCGATTCTCTCAGAATAGCATTGAACATCGCTACATCGAGCCGTGCCACACACTGCTCCATAACCTGGCAGCAAGAAACAATTCTCAATCAAACATCTATGGAAGGAGGTGAAAGAAATTACTCATTTACTTTAACTTGCAAGAAAAAACAGAAACACTACGATTCCGTACCATTTTGGCCACGACTGGCAAACAGCCACACTCATGCCCTCCTGCTCTAACCGGACAAATTCGTCGAAAAGCTTCTTCGAAAGCTTTCTTCCACAGGTTGATGGAAAAGTCGCCTTGCTGTTGGTCTCCCAATGCTGGGCCTAGTAACCGAGAACTGCTTTTGCTGGATAACAATTTCTTGCTTGGGGCTTGCATATGTGGAGCCAAGGCCTGAAAATTTAACACAACAAGGAAGTGCTTGTGAAATGACACATACAAATGAGCTGATGAAAAAACATCAATTTGAAAGTAGTTTGGACTAAATTTACCTGCCACCAAACAGACTCAACTATTCGAGAGAACACCCACGACTCAACTTTCTCCAGGGCAGCAATGAAGGTTCCAGTCTCCTGCCAATCCTCAACAAAGTGGGGATACCCATTACCTTGTTGACTACCACCTTTCCATTTCAGTGATGGACACTTCCCTTCACCTTTTTCCATACTCCCGTTGGACCTTGTGAACCTCGACATACTAGAGTTACCAGAACATCCAAATGCTTGGGAAATTATATTCCTCAGCACAATTGTGTTGGACAGCCAGAAAGACAACCTACAAAACATGGAGGAAAGATTAATTAGTCTCAATTCATCAAGACGGTTTCAGCAGAAATAGCCTGTTTATATATGTACCTTGCAACATCAGTTCCGCATGATTTAGAGATCAGTACCAGTCCTGAAACTGTGTTTTTCGCAATTGTGGCTCGCTTATCCAGTGTCCAATGCTTGCCAGCATGAATGTAGAGTCTTGAAAGGCGACGAGCAGGTGTATGCACCTTATGAGCTGAGCTCCCATGTTCAGGTACAACAGAGTAAAGGGAGATTTCAAGTACAGCAACTTCTCTCAGTTCTTCTTCAAGTTTCTCAACTTTTGTTTCCATCTCTGCAATCAGTTGATTTTGGAGTGTGGCATCCTCCCCATGTTCACTATTTTCTTCAGCTTCAACTGTTTCATTGTCACTTGCAATACTCCGAGTAGTAGCGTTTGAGGCATCCTCGAACACATCTGGCTCTTTACCATCATCAATGATCATATCTTCTACTCCTCCTTCAGAAGTTTCAGAAGGAGGTTTAGGGACAAGTTTAACCTCCTTAACATCAATCTTTTGGACAGAAGCATTTTTGCTGGTCACCGTAGATGGTTCTTTACTAGAGACTGCTGGCTTTCTGGGGGTGTTAGTTACTGCTTTAGCTCTTAATTTACTAGCTTCTGTGTCCCTTACTACTGATGTACGTTTCCTAGTTCCACCAACAGTTTTAGGAGATCTAGAAACTGATTCTACCTTCTCATCATCACCTACCACTGAATCCACACCGTGGGATGACACAGAATCTTTTATTGTCTCAGAATCTGACTCCTTTTGTTTCCCTAGCTTCTGATCTCTCTCAGTGTCATTAGAATGATCAGCTAAAACCTCACCCGTGTTCTCCTTCGACAGCAAGGTGCTGTCTTTTATTGCACTGTCCTCACACCTGTTCACATCATCCACATAATGTATAACCAGATTTTCATAAACTTCAGAGGCCTCTGAGCCCACATTCGAATCACTTACTACAGCTCTGGGGACAGGCTTAAAAGCATGCAAAACTTTAGATTCCCTTTCCTTAGGTCGGAAGCGGGCTTTAGTTTCAGTCATCCCAGGTCGCTTGGCCTCGTAAAAGCTTGGGGTTTTCTTCTTGTCCGTCTGCTTCATAGCTCAAGTTGTATTCGTGTCACCTTTTCTTCCAAATGACACAGCTAACTGATCCAGATGCAGCTGCTGCAAGAAAAAAGAAATGTTACAAACAACTAAACCCCAATTCAACAATGAAGGGAAGCAATAGTGTGCCAAACCAGAATCTGCTTATCCGACCCACTACAGTGAGTCGTGATCCCAATTTATCAATAACCAACATGCTTTTTTCAGCATTTTGTTTGGGCAATCAAACTATCTAGAGAGCAATAACAAAAAGAAGCAGTTGAAACTTGGAACTGTCAGGGATGCCACCAACTAAACATATGAAACTTTTTTTCACTAAATTTGAGACATTGAATCAGAGGATGAAACTTGGAAAGCAAGACTTTCCAAACACGCAGCAGTTCATCCTGTAAATAGTCCATATCACTCAGACTACTAACTACAAGCACAGAGTAGAATTGAAATGCAATTTCTACACCAGGAAAAGCTAAGAACCCCTTACACCAATCCTGAATTCCTGAATCGAAGCACTGATGATTCTTATACCGCAGCACCACAAATTCCATCGCCCTGGAAAGTCAGATCTTAGAATCCAGATCTGTTCAGGACACCGCCATGCACTCAAGAAACCGAGAAGAAACTAACGGATATTGTAACAAACACACTGAACTAAGATCCAGAGATTGAATTCTCCGGTAACTCAAGAACCAGAAGATTTAATCGGAACAGGAAAATAGTTAATGCGTCATAATTCTGTACTAGAAAAGCAGCAAGAAGAAAGAAATTCCAAATCCAGAATTCCTGAAAAAAGAAAGTGACCGAGAAACCTCCATGAAACGGCTCTCCGCTGAAGGCCAAGCCCAGCGGATTAACGAAAGCGAAAACTCAGTCCAAAATCATTCTTCCTCTACACTACCACCACGAACGAAACTCGTCGCTGTCATACAAAACCGCGCAAAAAAAAAAAAACAACAAACAAACGGGGACCAGCGATCGCAACCGCACAAAACGACAACCGGAAAAATCTGTTCATCGCAACAAAAAAGAGAAACTGACCGCCGCAGTTGGCAGAGGACCGCCTGGCTTAGGCTTGAAAACGCAAATGCCGCTCGTTGATTGACAGCGGGCGGAAGAAGGAAGGAGAATTCCGCAGTGCGCTTCGGGATCGGCGGTTTCCTCTCTCTGTCGGCCGACGCGGGAAAGATCAGAGTGGTAGAAATGGGAATTGGGAGGGATTTGTTTTGAATCGTGGTATTTTATATTGATCGGGGACGGTACGGACAGTGACCGGAATAAATGGGGGAAATGTCGGTGGACGGCGGTGGGATCCAGTCACCGGCAATTGACGGTGACCGTGCTCTTTTTCACCCACTGAGCGACGGTCACCGAGTTACATCCACCCAAAGCGTTACTTGCAAGTTTTTATTTTTTACCGGTGCACCTAAAAGTAACTGCCCCTTCCTTCCCAGTTAATCATCGAACTAATACCCTAATTTCTCAAAAATAATAAAATCATCTAATACCCTCACAACAAGGTGACACCGGTCAAATTTGTGTGGTCTGAGATTTTTCGATGGTTAAAAAAAATGCACGTCGTGGAATTTGTAAACCAAAAAGAAAAAAAAAACTACCACATTATCGCCATCGTGAGAATCGTGCGGTTAACCAGATTATCGCAAAAAATCATGTCCTCGTCTCTAAACTCGAGGGGTTAGGGATGATCTGGTTTTTAGCAGAGTGTCGTTGAAAACTAGTGCCAAGCAAATAAAGCAAAAATTTAAAGTATTATTGAACGGATAGATTAAATAGATAAGAACAATAGAAATTGGGTGTTTATAATTGTGTTTTGCTTTAGAAAAGTGAGAGCAAGTTGGTGTTTGAGGGTGCCAAATGCCAAGCCATTGGGATGTGATGTGGTGGATAATACAACAATACAAACTTAGTGCCTCCTTTACGTATGATACGATTATTCCATCGTAATCCAAGCGTGGACTTTTGGAATATCATCTGCAATAAAATTATAACTAAATTAATATCATAAAAATCACAATAAAAAGTAATACAAAACAAACTTACGAAGTAACGTTAATCGCAAAAACTCAAAAAAGTAGTGTGCAAATCAGAAATTTGAAGAAGAATAAGGAGAGGGGTGAAGAGCTGAGGTTTTCGGAGCTGCCTTTTATAGGCAAAAATGTCCACTGAAAACCGCTGGGAGAGGGGCGGTTTTCACCTGACATGCAACCCCACGTCTGCAACCCCCTGCATGCCGACATGTACGCTGTCGGGGGATGGAGACTACAAACCGCCCCCCACTAAGCGGTTTGTGTGTCGTCAGCTCAAACCACTTGGTAAGGAAGCGGTTTCTATTGTCGACAAAGAACCGTCGTTTTAAAAAGCGGTCTTCATCTTGGTCAGCCATAGTTACGCCCATGGAGGGTGCGGTTTGTGATGAAATACAAATTACCTGTGTACCAAGCGGTTCACGAACAAACCGCCTTCCCATGCGGCAATTTTCATGAAATGGTGGTAATTTGGAAATTTTTCGGAAAAGTGGTATTTTTGGAATTTTTTTAATGGTGATATTTCTGGAAAAAATCCACTTAGTGCTGCTAGAAGTGGGTATGTGGGAATATTAGTGAAAATATATATGTTAGGGATTATAATAGTGTTTTTTTGTGTGTTTGTGGAGATGATGTCAAGTTTTGTATGAGTTCGAGGAATTAGGGGTGTTCAGATGATTATCATAGTAATTACCAAACTTAACAAGCAAAAATTCTCTTAACCATGAAATAAAATAGCATAACCAAATCGTCCAAATTAATATAATAACCAAATTAATCAAATTTTTCGGTTTGGTTGATTGGTTAACTAGATTAACCAATATAACATCACATTATCATTAACTGAGATTTTTTTGTTAATGCATCAATGAACAATTTATATGATGGATAAAACATTGCAATGAACATATAGTTGTAGACTTGTAGTTAACCCTTACGGAAATACATGCAACTAATACATTATCTTACAATCAATAGAAGTATTCACTTAACAAAAATATATGTCAATAGTATGAAGCTAATTGATTGTTGTGATTTTATGAATTGAAATGGTCTCTTAGCAACTATCATAGGTTGAAAAAGACATTCATTTCAAGTTTTCATCTAATATATTGGGCATTCATCTAATCTAATTATTATGGTCTGCACTTTACAAATATACCGTATAAGAACAATATTGAGCTATATTATTGATGAGTCTAAAAAGAAGGAATGTCTAGCTCTTGAGTGGTTATGCTAAGTATTAAGTATTTGTATATAATATATATTAGATATATGGATAATTACTTAAATGGTTAATTTGGTTTGATTGGTTAGGTCCTTAGGAGTGTCTGAAACCAAACCACCTAAACCAAACAAGTTAAAATTTTGAACCAAACCAATTATACAAATTAACCAAACCAAATTAGTCAAATACTACCGGTTAAAATGATTACCACGGTAACCACACCGTTTGAACACCCCTACATGGAATGAGGACTTCTATTATTATGTTATAAATTATTTGTGTTTTAAAATACAAATTGAAGTTGTACCATAAGGGAATTTGACTTTTATGTTAAGATACAACTTGAGTTATGTACCATAACATAAAAGTACAACTTTAGTTTGTACCATTAACAGATTTTACAAAAAAGTGTAGGTACAACCCGAAGTTGTACTATAACGTTAAAGGTACAATTTCAAGTTGTACCATAAAGCAATAAACTAAATCACTAATGCTTTAAAGCATTGTAAAATTCCACTCGAGTGGAATATCAGTGAAAACAAATGTTAAAGATTTTTTTTTTGTTTGTTTGAGTTTTTACTTTTTAGTATGATTTATGAATTTTATGATGTGGTGAGCTTTTGATATACTTTGTAAATTCTTTTTATTTTTGTTTTGATTTGTGTTTTTTGTTTGTATTTTGTGTTCTATTTTCGTGATACTTGTGTTCTAATTTGTTCCATTGCCATTGAGCAAACAAGCAACGTATTAGGCAAGCTCTGGCCTCTATTCTTTTCACGAAACAGGATGTTCATTTAAGTTGCCAGTTTGATATAAAGTAAAGTGATTTTGATTGTTAGTAAATGGTTTAAGATAATGATACTAAATATATTTCAACAACTCTAATTATTGAAATCAATTGGTTTTTGACACTGTATTAGAGCCTTTTATGACCTTTAACAACGAAACCGTATTAGAGCACTGATTTGTGTTTTTTGTTTGTATTTTGTGTTCTATTTTCGTGATACTTGTGTTCTAATTTGTTCCATTGCCATGGAGCAAACAAGCAACGTATTAGGCAAGCTCTGGCCTCTATTCTTTTCACGAAACAGGATGTTCATTTAAGTTGCCAGTTTGATATAAAGTAAAGTGATTTTGATTGTTAGTAAATGGTTTAAGATAATGATACTAAATATATTTCAACAACTCTAGTTATTGAAATCAATTGGTTTTTGACACTGTATTAAAGCCTTTTATGACCTTTAACAACGACACCGTATTAGAGCATTCTATGGCAGTGACGCCTTTTGTTCCAATTTCGACGACTGCATTTGTTTAACACATTGTACTCCAGACCTGTGCAAACATCAAGCCTCATATGAATGAGTTCGGTTTGACAAAATAAAAGTAAAATAGAATGGAGGTGCAGGGAATCGAACCCTGTGCCTCTCGCATGCGAAGCGAGCGCTCTACCATATGAGCTACACCCCCAAGACAAACCAAATTGGCCAAAACATCTATAAGTAAGGAGGTAGACGATAGCTCCTATAGATCAAGACTTGGAGATGCTGGCTGAACCACTGGTTTTAGATTATGCTCCACAGAAAGTTTGTTGATGTGTAACATGTGTTGTAGTGTGCATTCACGTAGAAAAGGTGGCTTGACCGGTTTTACCGCCGAAAGAAGAGGGCACGATGAAAAGAATAGCCCATATAGAAGAGAGTAAATATTTGTCATTGTTAAAGGTGGGTTTTGGGCCATTTTTTGCCCTATCTTGCTTACAAGGAAGGTTGTCAACCTGTGGCTCGATCATCCGGTTGGGTCATTTTGATCTTGACCCGATGAGAAAAACGGGTTGTATACACCCACATTGGCCCACTTTGACTCTGATTCGATGAGAAAAACGGGTTGTATATACCCGCCGGGTCGACCCGCTATAAGGAATTGGATTGGAAGTCAAATGGTGTTGTTTTTCCTTTGGTTTGTGAAATACGCTTATTTTATGGTTTTTCTTTTCTTTTAATCCAATCTTTGGAATTCTATGTTGAACATTTGAACATTGATGTTACTCTCCTTATTCGGAGAAGAAAAGATCGAAAGTGGTGATTAGGGAGATGAGTAGAATAGTGTTGAATCGAGGTCCCAATATCTGTAATTTTCTAAACAGAACATAAGGTCGTTTACAGACGACAAGGCGAAGTACCCTCTCCCACATAATATAATGAATCACTCACCAAATCAGCGTGCCCCATAAAATGATAGGTATCTTATGAAAACAATTTAGTTTTCACCAATATCTCACGAGAAAGTGTCGAGTAAAGCAAACAACGAATTGAAATTTATATAGCATCTCTATGTTGCTTTCGACCACCAACAATACATCAATATGTTCCTTTGTAAAGCATATTATATATGTAAGGAATCATTCACTTTACATTGAAACATTTTTGTTTCGCAGTTCATAGGACGTTCAAATTTCACAATGTATGCATGTGCTTTACCATTCTCCCACCATTTAAAGTATGTTGTTCGTTTTTGGGTTAATGGCACAAATAGCCTTAGTATGTATTCACTATATTTAGAGCTAGTTTGGTTTTGATGATAGTTATAATGCATGGTTTTTTATAATTTTTTGCGCAAACAATACATGCATTGTTTGCTTGATGTGACACAAACTATCACTCAAAATGAGTGATAGTTAAATCTCAAGTTTTCGGCGAGATTGTTTGAATAAGATTGTTGTGATTTTTTCTTATTTCAACTACGTTCCTACCTTTTTATGTATGTTGTTTTTTTATATTAAAATCAAAGTGTAAAAGTGATATTTCACCCAAAAAGTAATATAATTTATTTATGGGTAATGTCTATTTTTTATCAAAACCTTTTTCAGATTCTTTTATATTATCCAAACCTATTGAAATTCTATTAATTATCCAAATCTTTCATAATGTATCAAAATATTCCATTTTACGTTATCATTAATAATTTTGTAACTCTTTTCTTAGTTAAAATACTAAAATTTTGGAATGTTGACCTTCATGAGTCTCTTCTAAGTCAGTATCATGTTGCCAAGTCAATAGTACTAACAAAGTTGCTAACTGGAAGTTAACATTTGGCTAATTTTTAGTTTTCGATAGGTTTGGATAATATAAAAGAATCTGGAAAAGGTTTGGATAAAAAAATAGACATGACCCTTTATTACTACAATAACTATCACAGAAACCAAACGATGTAAAGTACAATACACCGATTTTCTTATATATATATGTATATTATTATGCATGCATTGATGACAATGTATCAATTTACCAAGCTTCCCTGGGCTATTGTGGCTTGTGTGTTCGTCACATAACCGCGTGGTCGCTGGTTCAAAGCTTCGATACTCTCTTTCTCTCTCTCTCTCTCTTTGCCAACTGCAACTCAATCCAACCAAACAATGTATCAATTTAACTATCAACAAAACCAAACCACCCTTTAGTTTCCATTTTTGCACTGGAATTTCAATTCATTTGGTCTTTATTGATTGGCCTATTGAATAAGTATCTTGTTTTTTTTTTTTTGCCAAAAGATCGCTCGTATTATCAAGAAAACAGCCAGATACAAAGAGTCACATAGCTGAAAACAACCAAGAAACAAAATTGAACCCCACTAAGGCACTAACGAGGGGGACAACGAAAGGACTTTTCTTGTCACCAAGTGGGCAACCCTGTTACACTCACGACCAACAAAAATAACCTTAAAGTCATGGAACAAGCCTCGCAAATTACGTATCTCCTCCAAAAGCGTACCGGCAAGGACATCTGCTTCTTCGCCCTCCCGGATTTTCCTCAGGATCTCTTGACCGTCACCTGCGAAAGTCATCGACTGCAACCTGCACCCCAAGCACCAACAAACTGCATCTCGTAAGGCCAGTAGTTCCACAAGAACCGACTCTGAAATCCTCTCGTATAAAAACAGAATAATTATCTTGTTTTGATTCACTTAATATCTACATTTATTAACCAACGGGTATTTATGAGCTATGAAAATAATAAAAACGAGCTGCATAATAACTTTCTTGGTTCGCCCAACCAGGATATTGGAATCATTTTTCTTTTTTTTTATTTCTGAGTGATATCAATGAGATAAAATAGTTAAACTTACAGTTCTACCCAGGACCCCTTAAAGACACTCTGCTGAGGCTACCCCCAAAAAATCAAAAGATTCTAACTCTACAAGAGATAAAAGCAGTGCTTTACGCGCCACTCTATGGGCAGCACTGTTGGCGGACCTAGGTACCGCCCTAAACTCTATACAAATAGACAAAGAGCTAAGGATCTGGAGACACTCTCGTAACACCGGACCACCAATCGAATCTTCTGAGATGCCTTGACGGACTTGGTTGACAACCACTTCGGAATCGCCTTCGACAATCACGTGGGACAAGGATCTTGAGGCTACAAAGGAGATAGCATCCCTGAAAGCTAGAAGCTCTGCCAGATAAGGGTTGTCTATTCCTTTATGCTGCAACCCAACCGCCAACCTCACATGCCCGTCTGAGCCTCGGATAACAAGCCCAGTCGAACACCCGGAGGCACTAACCGCTGCGTCGACGTTGATCTTCAAAAAGCCTTCTGGAGGGGGGATCCAAGCGGTGGCTGAAAAATTTGGGAGACGAGAGCTGCGGGGGGGGGGGGGGGGGGGGGGGGGGGGGGGAGGGGGGGGGGAAGGAGACTGGAAAATTCGAGGACCTGGTTGTAGAACTGTCTGGCTAAGGAACGGATATGAGGTTGGGTAAATTCAAAGGTCACTTCATTTCTAGACTTCCAGATTCTCCAAAGTAAACAGACGCATTGGAGAATGTGGAATGGGGAGGTCTCGGAGACCATGACATGTCGCATATTGGAATCATTTTTCGTGAATATGACTTTCTCAATCTACTTCATGAACTTCTGAGGTTCCGATAAAAAAAAAAAAATCTACTTCATGATCTAAAAGAATTTTTTCTTTTTACCCCAAAGTGAAAATCTTAGCTTCACATAGCTGGATCTACCTTTTCCTGGAAAGCAACCCCTTTCCTTTTGTAACCAACCGACGAATTAGATCTGAACCAACAGTTTTAGATTTCATTGCTTCCATTGCTTGTTCCAATTATGATCAAGGCTACCTTGAAACTTCTAAATTGCTAAGGTGTGTGTGTCCAGAGGCTTGATTTGAATGATTCTGCACGTCCCATTAGGTCTCAATTAGGGATGGCAACGGGTCAAGTCATGACGAATAGTGTGTATCCGTTACCCTATACAAACTAGTTCGGATGTTATCCATATCCATACAAAAATTGGATAGAAAATCAAAATCATACACATACCAATTCTCCCTAAGATTTTCAAATCTAACAGTAACCTGACATGGTGGAAACTACTCATCAACCCTATAGAACAAACTCAGAAAATATCTCTGAACATGCTGCACTATAAACCCAATTATGTGCGCATTTCCGCCTCACAGCATATATAGTTATTACCTCATTCCCAAAACTGGGTTGCCTTTATCCAGTCACCACACAGATTGTAGCTTCAATAACTAATCACTTCACCTCTGGGGTTGACCTAATGGTACTGGATGCTAAATTATATCCAACCCTTGTTAGTTCCAAACTACATGACCTGCTTAATAAATTCAGAAACCAGTAAGCATATCCAAATTGTGCTAGTCTCCTTAGAAAGCCACAAAATGATTACCAGGAGTAACAGAGAAACAAAGAGCACAGATTACAGAGTCTAACTAACTTAACCAGAATGTATATGCCACATTATAACCTAGCCGAATATTGAACTCAAAGGACTCTTAGTAGACATCAAACTAGGAACATAGTAATTGCACTAAAATTTCTCACTTCAGATGCCAGGTGCCAAGAGTCACAGAAGACCAAGAGATTAGAGCTTAATTGAGTCTAACTGACTAGATCGGTATGGTAGTACCACATAACAAACCAGCAGAACACTAAACTCAAAAAGGATTCTGAGTAGAAATCAAAATGGTAAGTAGCTGTGCTAAAATTTATCATCCAGAGGTATATCAGAAGAGCAGTCACCACTCACCAGTATAAAAATGTTCAAGCCAACAGATAATTTGTTCTAAAGTTAACAAGTGCTCAAAAAATTTAAGAGGCACCTCTACCAGTAAGTTAGCCAAAGAGATATACAAACAGGCTACATGTTAACTAAAATCATAGCCCTCATTCATGTCCATGACAAGGCAACTATCCGAAGCAGCAAGCACGATGAAGGCATAAAAGAGAACGTCTTAAGCTGGCCAGGTTTCATCTAAGCAACAAACTGTAAGTCATAAACCAGCCTGAATTACCCCAGAACAGGATCAGCTTGTCGTTCTACTTAGACCTTATGCGACAAATGAAACACTTAACATCAAACACCATCCAAAAACAAGTAGGTCAGCGATCGGAAAGCAACCCAATTTCAGCAATTGAAAGCCAAATCAAACCCAGATAACCAGATTCATCAGTGCATTTAGCAATGCCATTAGATGGGAAACATTCATAAGTAATAACGTCTCTTTCAAAACGTCCAAAAGTAAACAGCTAGAAGTGTAACACTCAAGCAAAAAACCTCCAGATTGAAATCCCCCAATTGTCATCAAAATCAAAGGTCCCAAATACTTTTATTACTCGGCTACACATTATCAACAACTAAAGAGCAGAAAACCAAACGAACCACTGTCTCGATCAATCGCTGGCTGAGGGAAGATTTCACAGCCCACCAGGAAAATCCCCCATTCCCGGTTCTCTTCGTTTCAATCGGAATCCGCGGAGGCCAATTTCTCCATCTCGAGGCGCTCGAGGGCCTTCTGGTGCGCCCAGGTCTCGATGGTGAGATCGGGCTTGGCGTTGAGCCCGACGCCGAGGATGACGATGGTGAGGAAGCTGGTGAGGTAGCAAGGGAGCTCCCAGTCCTCCCACTTGCGCGACTGTCCCGGCGGCGGCGGGGTCCGGTTGAACAGGTAACCCTTGGGCCGCTCCTCGTGCCCTGGTGTCGTCCATCCCGACGCGCCGCCGCCTCCGCGCGTGCGGAGCGACCCGGAGAGACGCTGGCGGAGCATGCTCGCCGCCGTCGTGAAGGGCTGCAGCTTAGGCATTTCGTCCCCTTCGCGTTTATTTGGGGTCGAGTCGAGAGAGAGTGTGTGTGAGAAGAGAATTTTCTGCGATCGGTTTTGCTCTTCGATTTTGTAGAAATGCTGGGCGGAGCGATCTGTTTCCTCCGGCCGAGAAAAATGACGGGCTTCTGAGACGGAAAACGCTGCCGTCTCGGACTGGAAGTTCCTGTGAGTGAAACACTAAATTTGGCAAATGGGCCGGGTGGAGTCCGGTTCAAGGCCCAAGCAAGCTACGATGGCGAGCTTACCCAGGGTCTTCAACAGGGCCCATTCCTTATTTCAGTTTGGAAGGGGTGAAAATGTGGTAAAAAAACATAGCACAATTGATTATGTTCTGGGTTGGTTTTGGTTCATGGCAGGTGAGGTGGAAGAGCAGCTGAAGTTACTAGCTGGACTAGTTCCAGAATGGATTTCTGAGAAAACGGCTTTCAATGCCGATTTGGTCTTCTACATCGATAAAACGGCGAGCCCTGAGGCCATGCGATGCGAGCACGCCTTGAACGAGTGTTGCAGCATCAGCATTCTTGTCAAGGAATATGCAGCTAGATAGATAGATAGTCTGTTTCGTTTACGCCTGAGTTACATTGACGACTGCTTTGACTCATCAGACCAACAAACTGAGTAAGCTTCAATGAAACATGTTCCGTTGAAAAATATAACTGGAAAAATTGTCCAACTGCAGTCTTAAATTCAAAAGGGAGAGAGAGTACAGACTACAGAGTATAATCCACATCATGTTCCTACAATACATTTCTTATCTATATACGGCGCAAATCAAATCAAATCAAATCAAGCGACCCTACTATAATTGATCGAATGACTTCTTCAAGTTAGTGAGTGCTGGTATAATCCTCCAATAATACATCTATATATATGACAGACAACTAAACATTATCATCATCAACTTGTAGCGGCAAATAGCTTTGCAGCCACCAACCAAATTTCTCACCCTTCAATTGAGAGAGAGAGAGAGAGAGAGAGAGAGAAATCTTTGGGGGTCGACCCCCCAAAGATGAATAATTAGAAAGACCACTCCCCAATAATTGAGAGAGGTCCCTCCTCTAATCACTTCCATGTCTGCTAACTGCTAATACTTGCTTCATATTTACATCTACTATAACTGCTGCTTCATAGCTCCATTTTCAATTGAGATTGACTGGAGTTTAGAGATGCTGCAACCCAATTAAAAAGGGGGGAAAAGACAATGTATAACTAAGAAGAATCCTTTTGGGTAGATGATACGCAAGGAAAATGGTGGTGAAATCGTCGGAGTCGCTAACCTGAATCTGCTGGGGAGACGTAACTCAAGAGGGAGTTCTCTGGAGTCATGAAGTTGTGGCCGTCTTCTCTTCCCCAGCCTCCTGCAGGAGGCTGGGGAACCACATCGAAGTTCCATAGCGGCTGGTGATATTGCTGCCTGTTCCCATTTGGTTGCACTTCTGGCCACATTACCGGCATCATCATAGCTGGGAAGTTGCTATCCATTAGAGATCCACTCTGCAAGAAATTTTTTTGAAGTATTAGACAAAAAGTAAAACCAATTCCCTTGACAAGCATAAAGTATAATCACCAAAGGGCAGGAAACATGGACAAAAGGGCACAGATAGGAGCGTAGTAATAATGCATGCAGGATCATTTCATAAGCCTTTTTCTCCTTTTCTCTCTCCATGCCTACATGAAAATGCAACCATCCATTTGATCTACACATTATGTTAAGAATAAGTCCACTACTTAACAACCACAGAGCCAGCTATGCCTACAGTTCGGTGGATTGCAGAGACACAGAAAACCCAACACTCAGATGTGCTTCTCGATAAAATAAAGCAACTGAAATGGTTGGAGCTGAACTTACATCTGCAGGCAACATATTGTCCAAATTGAAATCTAGTCTTGGGTTCACCGCTGCAAGTTTCATTGACAAGACCTGAGACAAGTACAAAAGTGCGTCGAAATATATTAAGGCAGAACCATTGTACAATCAGCGGAAACTGAGATCCTCAAATACACAGAATCTCAAAATGCGCAACAGCTCAGGATCCCGTAACTAAGACGCTGAACAGGTAATGAAAGATATGCAGTTCTGACCTCCACTTGCTGTTGCAAGGTCTGGACATGATTGATGATTTCATCCAGTACAAGTGCTGTACCAGAGATCTGCATACAGAACGTTTTTGTACAATTAGTTCGGGATTCGGAGAGTTCTTAGCAATTATCGAAGCATATTCCAAAACAATTTTTCAGGGAGCTCATAAAGCATCAATAAGAAGAGCAATCCATAGCTATCATACATTACATGTATGTTAACATCCCCCAAGACAAGTTGAATGCTGCTGCAAATCTCAACCCATCAAAGACACATTAATAGACCAGTGAACCCTGTCTACTATAAAACAAACCACGCTCAGGAACTCCCAGAGTGACATTACCATAATAGCACATACTTTTGGACATTCAAAAACTGAACAACGCTTAACAAGAAAGACATAAAGGCAGGATAAAAAATGAAGGGAAAGTTAACTTTTCAGTAGGTGCAATCCACCATTGTTTATGTATTATCTCTTAATATACCATTAATGAGAAGAAGAAAAATGAATATTGTCATCAACCATCACACCATGGTTCAGGCCGATCGGGTCCAGAAATTTTGTCATATGAATTTATCACAAGGAAAAGTCTCCATCTTTTCTTTCCCTTTCATTTTCCAGTATCTTAAAAATCTCAGAGACAGATGCCGAACTTACAAAAGGAAATTTGTACGGTGCACCTTTCCTAGAAGGCACACAATTCTCACGTCTGCCGGATGATGGGACCAAAAATTTGATCCATCACCAGTCACCACTACTAGAATATTAGTCCTTCGCTGAGGCATATCCAGCTAGCATCCTTTTTATCTTGAAACATAAATAATTCTCTTCTCAGACGCCTAAATATTCAACTATACGAATGGGAGACAAAATCTGCAGTGCAATTCCAGTGGCTCATCACTGTATCATGAACACAAGGGCCTACTGTCTTCCTGGATTTTTCAAACGCTTGCTAAGATACAAGCTTCTGATCAATATCAAATGACGACACTAGCCCTGGAAAGGGACCTCTGGCTTCTGAAACACCTGTCTTGCAAAGAGGGGAAACACAGTGACGAGATGGAGAAATGACGAGACACCCCACTGGCCACCACCTCCATTGCCCCACAACTTTTCTTGCTACGAAGTACGAAAGGAAAGACCCACAACTTTATTGGGCAAAAAGGTGAGGCGACGAAACTAAATCACACTTCTTTAATCAAGCCCCTAATCTCAATCCAAATGATTGACTAATCACATTCAAAACCCTTCTTCCCCAAATGATTATTCATTATTGTGATGATGATGTGCTTGCAACACAGAACATTCAGTAATGAGTAGTAGTATTAGTACTAGTACCTTGTTGCAGCCCGGGACCAGCTCTTGGAGCAGCTTCATCCTTGCATTAATCTTCTCTCTCCTCGCCTAATCAGGGTATTTAAGGAGAATTTGTTAGCAATGCTAGTGACGGATTAATTAAGCTTAACAAGGATGATTAGTTGATTGATTAGTGATAATTACTCTCTCTGCCAAGCTGTGGCTATCGGTAGCTTGACCGCGGCGAGCTCGGACGTGAACGTACGGCAGCTGCTCGGAATCCTCGTTTGCAGCACTTTTGCTCTTCTTCGAGGAAGCTTTTCCCTGCGGAGAGACCGTTTGGCGGGATTAGCAGACTGAAGGTTCCTCGGGAAAATTAAACAAAAGGGGGGAAATCGGAACCCTAGAAATCCTAATTTTGAGTTTATTGTTCTTCTTCCTGTTGCTACCTTCTTCTCCCGCTCCTTCCTCTTGGAGCTCGGCCTCTGATTCTCGTCCTTGGCGGCGACCGTCGGGCAAGACGCGGCCTCGGCGGGCTCGGCCTTGACGACCTTCTGGAGATTCGCGCTGGAACTCGACGGCGCCGAGTTGGCGTCCGGCGAGGTAATCGCGTTGCTGCCGTTGTTCAACTCCTCCTCGGCGGCGAAGACGGAGAACTTGGCGGCGCGCTCAATCAAGGCGGCGTTGGTCGGGAAGGTGACCAATCCGGCATTGAAGTGCTGAGGCGGTTGCTGGTGGCGGGAATCGGGTCGGGTCGACTGAGGGGAGCGGTGGTGGAGAAGCTCCACGGCCTGATTGGGCGGCAATTCGAGGAGAGCGGTGAAGGAGCTCGCGTTCTCCGTCGGGACGGAGATTAGGTGCCGGATGTCGTCGCCGAATTGGACGGAATCGAGCGCCGTCTCGTCGGCGGTCGGGCCGGGTCTAGCTCCGGGTCCTGATAGCGGCTCCATTTACAATGAGTCAACTCTGTTTTAAAAAAATTACTAAAAGAGCCACCACTCCACTGGAGTTCAATTCGCAGTTCGGGCTCGCTAAACGGCTTTACGGCCCGCCGGCGGTGTTCGAGGGAGGTCGGAGTCGCCGGGCAGCGGCGACGGAGTTCTCGTCTCTGTTCTGTGGCTGTGGAGAAGATTTGGAGGAGGAAAATGAAGTGAAGGGAAAGCAACGTTTCAAGCTGGGAGGGAAGAAATCTCTTGGGCGGGTTAGAGAGAGAAAGTGGGAAAGGGTGTGATATTTAGAGAGAGAGAGAGAGGAAGGAGGGGCTTTTTTTGGTGCTGTTATATTAACGGCACAGTTCGTTGACGTGAAGGGTAAGTGGAGAGAAGATAGCTCATTGAATTATTTTCATCCTTTTCTTCCTTATTTATTGGAAACTAGAGAAAAATGTTTTCTTAACTGGGCTTGGGGGGTTTTCAAGCAGTTGGGCCTAGTCCACAGAAATTTCCCGGGCCATCATATAATCATATGAAAATAAGATTAGCTTAGATACTCACTAAAATGCTACATGGTAATAGTCGAACCAACATCTTAAGATTGGCGCAATTCATAAGTTTTACAAAAAGTACACATATTTGATCTGTTGAGCCTGCAAATCAAATAAGTTTTACAAAAAGAAACTCGTTCAACACTCGACTCGTTACTTAATCGAAAAGCTTACAACCAATCTCATATACTAACACGAGAAGAGTTCGAGTCAGGCTAGCAAGCTGACTTGATAAAGGGCACACTTAAAATAGAGTTACAGGCCAACTTCCACTTCGGAGTGATATAAAATTCGAGGATATGTTAAAATAGTATAAAAGAAAGCCTCGGTTGCCATACATTTAAAAAAAAACACAAAATGTAAGGAGGATAAAGTAGTATATAGAGGGAAGTTATGTGTTTTACTCGGTCGATAACTGAGATCTATGATAACTTGATTCATTGAACTAATTTGTAAAGTTTTGCCTTGTTGACCTCTCACAGAGTCAAGTTGGAGCGCTATGATTTTTCACAAACTAGCCGAACTTAAATTGATCTCAAGAAGCCCATCTCGAGCTCAAATGCAAATGCTTTTTTTCCCGTCAATCTGCAATCGAATCATTGAAAATTTGACTCCGCTCGTTAACGATTTTGCTCGGCTTCTCAGATCGCAAGTCAATAATGGTTTGATTGCTCTTATATAATAATAATTATTATAAGCAATACAAAATTAACAATAGAGGGAGCATGGGTTATATTATATTTATGTAGTTAATTAATTATATAATGATAGAGGTCATCCATCAGTTAAGAATACAAACTGAAGGGTCAATGTCTCAATGAATTAATAAAAACAATGTCGGACAATTGTTCATGTCTGGTCCCCTGCTCCCATTGCCCTACAACTACGGGACACCAAGTCCCTGACTTTCGCCCCACGCTTCGTCCTTAGCCAAAGATACACCAAGACTGACTAGGAATTCTGGATAGAGCATGAACCTGGAAAGGAGTTTGGTTGGATAATATCTTCCATGGATTCTCTCGAAATCAAGTACCGGAAATCGAAGCTATGAGGAACCCAGCAGATTGGTTTGTTATTATGCATTCTGCGTCGAATGCTGTTCGTGACAGATGCAGGCAGAAGATGGTCCAGCTCCGTTTCGACAAGAGCAGCTGGACAGAGCTGAGAATCCTTGGCAAAACAATCCACAATCTTTGGGAGCATCACTTTGTTGTTCTTTTGCCTGTGTAGATTTAATGATGCCTGGATGTAGTCTTGCTTTGCGGCTTCCAAGTCCTCGAAAACTGTTTCTGGACCGTACACTCGGAGCTGATACACAAAAGGGTTGATTAGTGGAAGAAGATGAAGCTGTTAATGAAGAGCAAAATGTATTTTGTATGTATTACGTACCGGTGGATCAGAATGATTGCCTGTACAAAGTGCGAAATAGAGACGAGGTTCCGGGGTAGTGATGGAATATGATCTCTTGGAATCTCCAGTCTTCAGTTTCCTCCTCGGATAAAGGAGCACTCCAAGCCACTGTAACGTTACAACAAGCTTACAGCAAGTTCAAAAGGTAGCTAAAACCGTTTCAACGTTTTACCTGTGCAGGACGAGGTAAGTGGCATCCGAGGATAGAGGTCTGGATCATATCTACACTGACAGCGCGACCACCAACATTGTAGGCAGCCTAACCAGTAATACATTAAACAGAGAAGCATATGTTAATGTCATGGGAAGCTGTATCCAAGTATAAGATGAAACAGTGAACTACAGGGAGCTGAAGGTGAAGAAGAGGGAAGGAACCCACCCACCTTGAGCACTAAAGACATTCTTCTAATGTGGTTCCTTGGAATGCCATACTCCAAATATGCCTGCGCTTAACCCAAACCAAAGAAAGCAAAATATATGAGAAAGTGGACGGAGATGTTTCGTTTTGATTAAGACTCCTCAAGTTAGTAAAGAACTTCATTAATTAATTACATTACATGCATAACTAGTGAATTGTGAACATTGATCCAAAATGCCAGCTTTTCGCCATGTTTCATCTCTCCAGCTTCCACTCTTTCCAGATTTGACACAAGTGACCTGCAAAATTCAACCCAAAGCCCCCCTTTTCTGTTTAAGTGATCCAATTGCATGGTGACTGCATCCTGAAGTGGAATAGAACCCTTAACTTAAAAGTAGAAGGAGAAGTGGCAAAGACGTTCAAAAGGAATAAAGGACCTGAAGCGCTGAATCTTATGCTGTACTTGTTGTAGCTTGTGGACATCTATACTCATCCATCCAACCTCTCTCAATTGGTATGAATATGATGAGCCTTCAACTCCAAGTCTTGAGCTTGGCTGTGCAAGTTCACAGTATATACTGGAGATGCACTTAACCATCTCCTCAGAAACCCAATTTGGCCTGATCTCCATACCATTGCCACAGCCACCACCATTAAGACTTGCATCCTGTGATAAAGAACAACAAATCAAGCCCAAACCTGTAAACCAAAAGTACCGAAAGAAAAAAAGTAAGAAAGGGACAGTAAGCCAATACCTCGAACAAGGACAAGGGAAGGGAATGATGGGAATCAAGGGCTCTAGAAATAGCTGCAGCAGAATTGAAACGATGAGATAGCCACGAGTAACATCTTCTGATACTGCTGCTGCTACTTGAGCACTGCAACAAATTCTCAGCTTGGGGTAATTCCTTTGTTCCAGCCTCCACATTGTTTCTGGTTTGGCTAACTCGTTTCACTTTCATAGCTTCAGGGGATTCTGCCTTGTCGTAATAACCGTACTTTTGTTTATAAAGAGACACAAGATATCTCTCTAAGTACACAACTTCAAGCTCCAGTGCTGATATTTCCTTGATCAGTTCCTTGGCAGACTGCCATGAAAGAAGCAGTTTTATCAATACACAAGCAAACACATGTAAAAAATGTATCATATGGTCTGATTTTCCTGATCAGTCATACCGAAGGGATAAACACATCATTATGGGTCAAATGATGATGACGATTGGGAAGACTCTTCCAGTAACCCACTGCAGCCTTCTCAAGTGCATTTCGTACAAAAAACTGGTCCTCCAATTGCTGTTGCAGCTCCAAAATCTGGACATTTAATGTGAAATTAGTTCACAGTTGGCAGAATTATATGTTAAGAGTACAACAATACAACAATGAATGACAAGGTTCTCCCTTGGTGCTTCCCCGAGTTTACCTCTTGCTTTAAGCTACTCTTAAGAGTTTCTTTGGTGGAATTGGATAGCTTCCAGTCATCAAGTAGCTGCAGCTGCTCCATTTTTTCTTCTGTGAATCACCAAAGTGTACCAATTCAAACCTTACGACACTTTTATTTGCATGAACAATGAATCCAAACGAAGGACTTCATAAATGTTCAAGCACCAAAACTAAAGCAGTACGAAAGAGATGAAAAGGGAAGGCAATTTATGGGAAATTTAACCTGATACAAGATTTCTTATATCCTGAAACTATGGCTTGCAATCCATGAATATTATATCGAACCATCGAAGCTAATTCTTCCTCTCATGAAAAAGCAAGGAACTTTCTTTCCCTGTCCAATTCACTTTTCATTCCATGCAACAAAAGGAGGTTGGCTTTTCTTCAATGCATGACACCTCACTCACAGGTTGTGGGAAAGCACAGTTCACTGAATGAGTATTATCAAGTGGTTCAATCAAAAGAGAAAGTCTTTCCTTTTTCCTGGCACCATTTTGTTTCAGAATAGAATCTAAGAGAATATGATGTGTTAGCAAAAATTTTGGCTACATACTCGCGAGGGGTAAGTAATAACAGTGTAGGGCAATCAGCGCTTATTAAAAAGCAGGGGCCTCTGGCGATGGCTCATTTGTTTGACTAGTCCATGTGTTTAGAAAGCAAGTCCACCTTTGAAGCTTTTTCGCAAATGGTTTGGCCTTTTTGGCCTCTGCATGAAAAGAAGCAAATCTGCTCGTGGATTTAAAAAAGACAGGTAAACAACCTTTTAATTCCAATAGGAGACTTGCAAAAGGAAAAGAACGACACAAGAAAGTGAAACAGAGGATAGAGGTCACTCGGAAATCAGAATCATCTCTTGGATTATGCATGAACATCTACTTTATTAGCAGCTGAAAAAGTGATATTGATTAAGGTGAAAACCACAATTTTGAACTTCCCACTTCCTTTTGGTTCAATTCGAATGTCACTTAGCTTTGAGGACTACGTGCAGTAAAAGGCCAAAACTGTGACCAACATTTGGGTAGTAATTTGTTCAACTAGCTACTACATTATGCTATAATCACTATAGTTGTTAACCATACTAATGTTGTACTCACCTTAGTAACACCTATAGTAAGAACCAAATGTGTTTACTTTGTGCCGAAAGGATTTTCCTATGAATCATAATACGTTCATTCTTAGAAATTAACATGACATTGTCATTGAATTCATGAACTAATGCACACAAAGAGATTAAACTTGTATCATTAACAGAGATTGTTAACAAATGCAAGAACTCAGATGCATCAGCAGAGTTGGATTGCTCAGTGCCTCAGTCAAATGTCATATGCTCATGCATTCAAAAAAAGAAGTCCTATATTTTCACTATTCAGTGCCTTAAGTTAGTGCCCCTCCCAACAATGCAAACAATAAAGGGAAGGCAACCACTAGTATATGACTATATGCTAATGCTAGCCAGCCAGCCAGCCAGCTACAACATTCTCCATCAAATCACAACACAAAGTAGTGACCAACTGACCCTTAAAAGGAGACATGTCGCCCTTTCTCACCAAAAGCTTAAAAGCAAACAAACATTCTCGAAAGGGCTGAAAGTTCAAGACGAGAAAATGGTGCGTGGGCACCTAGCTAAAGCCAAAATCATCGAAGGAACTATTCCACCATCCATGCGCTAACTAACCAGCCTTTAAAAACTTGTTAGTTGACACTTGACAGAAGAATCAAACAATCAAAAAAAAAGGACCCCTTGTTTCAGGGTTGGTCAAAAGCTTCAAAATTGCCCTTCCTTGCGGGTATATTAAACGTCAGGTTGAGCTCACTAGCTCAGCACCAGAGCTTCAAAATGGTGACATGGAAATAAACCACAAAACCGAAGAACACGGCCATCAACCATGATCACACTAACTTAACCAGTAATCACCATAAAGCTCGTAGAATACCTTCTGTGATACTCTTAGAGAAAGCAAGTGTACGCTGCTGTAGATGGACCCACCACCGTTCATTGTCATTTCGTCGAACACCTTCTCTGCGTCCTCGAGTCTCCCCGACGAGCAGAGACAATTCACCGCTGAAGTATAGGTCGCGATGGTTGGCGAAATGCCTTTCTCTTCCATCGAGTTTATCTCCGCCATAATCAACTCAGGTCTATGCCCCCCTGCTGGACGTGAAACAAAGAGAATAAACTTGGTGACGTCTGGCGTCGCTTGCTCTATGACGCATTTTGTCGAACACCTGCTCGGCGTCCTAAGCTATTTTCCTGTCGAGCCAGTATCCCATAAGGTTTGCGATGGCCAGTGTTGTTTAACTAAACCCGTTATAGCAATTATTCTGGAGAACGGGCTCACTTGCTCGGAGGTCCATACTTCGGGCCCAATACAACAACAAGGCCCATAAACAAAACGAGATTTGAACCCCGTCTTAGGGGTCGTTTGGATGTGGTAATGTTTTGTGGGAATTGGGCTAAATTTCAATAGTTTGTCGTAATTGGGTTAAAATACTGTGTTTGGATGGGCTAAGTAAACATGGTAATTTGGGCCTTGTAATTTACCCACATTACCACAGACATGGAAAAGGGAAAACCGGCACCCTCCCCCCTGAATTTCACATTCCCGCGTTTGAGGTTATTTTCCTTCCTATTTTGTCCCTAATAATTTATTGTAAACCCGAAATTGCCCTAGTTGTGTCTTCGTCATATGAGAACCCCAATCTACTTTACAGATTCCTTTCTCTTCACCTGTTTTTTTTTTTTTTTGCTTCTCTCTCCGACTGAAATCGAGAAACCAAGGCGCAGGTAATCGGAGTGGTGGGTGATCTTGGCTGTGACTTTTCTGGATTCACGGCGCCAACGACCAACCGAAGAAGAAGGAGTGGTTGCCCGTATCAACCAGGTAACTGGTCTTCTCTTTGGGAGCATAGGTTTCTACTGATTATGGGTAAGAAGTTGGGGTTTTTAGCGCTTAAAATTGGGGGGTTTTGTGTTCGTGCTATGTCCATGGAATTTTTTGTGGAATTATTAATTACTACTTACGCAAAGGGTTTTTTTGTTCTTGCCGTGTCCATGGATTCTTGTGGGGTTATTGATGTTTACTTATGGAAAAGGGTTTTTTTGTTCTTGCTGTGTCCATGGCTTGTTGTGGGTTTATTGATTACTACTTATGCAAAGTATTTCTCCTGCATCCTAGCGTGACACACTCTTCAACCGGTTTAAGAACAAAAAGCATAAGAAGTTCAGAATGTCAAGACTGTCAATTATGAACCCAACGCGTAGGCGACAGGTTGTTGAAGCAGTTGGATCGTTCATCAACCTTCTAATAATTTACGTCAGCCTAGGAATGAAACTATCTCAGCTGCTTCAAGCAAGGAGCTTAAATCGTAGACTTGCTAGGCAGCCAATGGATAGCTACACTGTGAGGCATTACGATAGGCAAAGACACCTTGATCGGCGGATAAGAAGGAATGATACTATATGCTTTTCTCGGGTTAGAATGGATGTGGCTTTATTCAATAGGTTTTGCGAGATTCTTGTTAATGAGGGTCGGTTGAGAAGAACTAGGGACGTAGATGTAGATGAAATGGTATATACTTTTCTGTGTACGATTTCACACAACGAGAAAAACAGAACATTGGCCATCAACTTGCTTCGACTCTAGATGGAAACACTTTAAGGTTAAAAATTGTAAAGTTTTTAATTGTTAAGCTTTTCCAGTTGAGTGCTTCAGGTTATAGATGTTTACAACTAATTCATATGAGTTAATTTTTTTTTTATGTTTTCGTAGAATTGTCTCGGTGCTTTAGATGGAACTCATGTGAATGTACGCCCTAGGAGGGAGCATCAAGCTAGGTTCCGGGATAGAAACAGACATCTTTCAATGAATGTGCTTGCTGTTTGCACTCCTAATTTGGAGTTCATTTATTGCTTGTCGGGTTGGGAGGGTTCGGCCCATGATTCAAGGGTTCTTCGAGATGCTCTTACTAGGCCTAATGGCTTTAGGGTGGCTGAAGGTAAAATCCAGTAATATTTCAAAATCACAAGATATTTGGCTGAAGGTAAAATTAAACTCATAAGTGTTGTCCATTTGATGAAGGGTGTTACTATCTGTGTGATGGTGGATACGGGAATAGTACTGGGTTCTTACCTCCCTATCGTGGGCAGAAGTACCATCTTAAAGAGTGGGGACCGAGAAGGCCATCTATAGCTGAAGAGTATTATAACATGAAGCATGCATCGGCTAGGAATGTTGTAGAACGCATTTTTGGAATCTTAAAAATGCGTTGGGCTATTCTTAGAGACTCTAGCTGGTTCTCTCCTAGTGATATGGCAAGAATTGTAGTTGCTTGCACCATAATTCACAACTTCATCAAGAAGGAGCGAGGAGCTGACAGATTTGAGAGGGAGTACCAAGATGTTGAGCAAGTTGACGAAGAACAATATGATCCGGATGAGGTTGAGACCATTGCTGCCGATGACGTTCATTCTTGTCCTGCTTGGACTCGTTTCAGAGATGATTTAGCGAAGGAAATGTGGGAAAAGTGGCCTTACAAGCCAGTTGTTCCAACAGTACCCTCTGTTTGATTCTGCTTTATGAAAAAATGAATAGCAGAAGCATGTAGTAGTTGCTTGCTATCTTTGTATGTTTTTGCTGTTAAGTGGATGTATGAACATGTATGCTTCATAGTGAAGCTGTTACCAAAGCAACCTGTATGCTTTGTAGACATCTAAACAACATGTATGTATGTATTGGATGTTAGTATCATATTAGAAGATCAAGTTGTTGTCTAGTTTGCAAAGAGATGTTTCTCTTTTTGTTCATCTGTCATTGCAAAGCACTTACAGTGACAGTCTTTGCAAACACATGGCAACACCTTTTGTAAAGCTTATCTTCAGCTTATTTTTGTAAAGTGCAAACTCTTATGTAGAATGTTGTTGTTGTGTACTGTTATAGATTGTAGAAATTCTAGAACACAGGTCATCCAATTAAACAGGTAGCTACTAATAATGTTGTTGATGTGCTGCTCTTGCTTATGTGTTGCTGTTGTTTTTTATGTGTTGTTGCTATTGTGTGTGATGTGATGCTGCGGTTGCTGCTCTGTTGCTACTACACACTGCTACTCTACTGCTGCTACAGCTGATACTACTATTGTTGTTGCGGTGATGCTGCTTCTGTTATGCTAATGTGTTGTGTTGATTTATTGTGTTTTTTTGTTGTTGTTGAAAGGTTGTGAGAGTTCAGTTAGGAGAGTTATAGTTTGCTAGTAGTGATAGCTAAATTGTAGGAGTTGACAACCGAGTTTGAGAGCACTTGTTGTGCTTTGTACTTCAACTCTCTTATTAATTCAATAAAAACTTGACAGGCTCTTTACAATTTGAGGATTGAATATGAGAATTGATGATTGGAGATTTCCCTATAAGCTTATTCGTGTGTGTTAGTTATAGGCAAATTTCTAATGATCATGATAATGGCAAACTCAAATAGAAAGGGGTAAATTTGTATTTTAACCGAATACCACACCATCAATTTCCACATTCTTTAACCCATCCCAAACATGGAATTTTGGACAATTTCCACATGACAATTACTAGGTTTTCTATAACATGGAAATTAAGGCCAATTCCCACATTTTTAGATTTCCACATCCAAACGACCCTTAGCTTTGTGAGGATGGACAAGACGAAACGTTGTCGTTTCAAGCAAGCCCCAGCGACGAGGACGAGGTTGCAAGTTGCTGCAACTGCAACTACGATTTTGTTAAAAATAAAAGATAAATGGCTATTTTGTTAGCAACCAAAAACATAAGTCACCATTCATGTAATTAACCCGACCTTTTCCAGAACCACCGACTTCGCTAAAACAATTTCCCCGCCCTCTCGTACTGATAAACCCTATAAGCCACTTCCGTCACTTTTTGCTTCACCGTCCGTCGCCCAGCTCGCCTAAACCTTTCCCGCCGTCCCGTCGCCGGCTCGCCGTCCTCTATCCTATCTTCTCGTCGCCCCTTTCCCCTCACTCCCGTCGGGAAAATAGTCGCCGCTGTGTCCAAATCGCGAAGTCAAAGCAACGGCAAAAGCCCTCCTTCCCCGCAGTTCAACATCCACCTCTCGACCAACAGGTAACGTTTCATTTCTCTTCATTTTAGGTCATGTAAGATAATTGTGCCCTTGGTGAAAGGGATTTTGTTCATCGCCCTGCATAGTTGAGCTGAAAACCCCGGTGCTGATTGTGTAAAAACGATGTGGCAGATCTGAAACATGGATGATAATCTATACGACGAGTTCGGGAACTACATTGGACCAGAAATCGAGTCTGATCACGATAGTGACGAGGAAGAACAAGACGATGACCTTTCGGACAAGGCTCAGGAGGACGATGCTGCATCCGATGATGAGGAGGGAGCTCATGGGTCCAATGGATGGCTTACAGCATCTGGTGATGTTGATATGGAGAACCAGATTGTTCTTGCTGAGGACAAGAAGTACTACCCTACAGCGGAAGAGGTTTATGGTGAAGATGTGGAAACTCTGGTGATGGATGAGGATGAGCTTTCGCTGGAGCAACCGATCATTAAACCTGTTAGGAACATCAAGTTTGAGGTTGGGGTTAAGGACTCGTCGACTTATGTGTCTAGCCAGTTTCTTGTTGGTCTGATGTCGAACCCAACGCTTGTTCGTAATGTGGCTCTTGTGGGCCATGTGCATCATGGAAAGACGCTTTTCATGGATATGCTGGTTGAGCAGACCCATCATATATCGACTTTTGATACGAAGAGCGAGAAGCATATGAGATACACGGATACGAGGGTTGACGAGCAAGAAAGGAGAATATCCATCAAGGCTGTCCCGATGTCGTTGGTTCTGGAGGATAGCAATTCTAAATCTTACCTTTGCAACGTAATGGACACTCCTGGTCATGTCAACTTCTCTGATGAGATGACTGCTGCACTCAGGCTTGCTGATGGTGTCGTGTTGGTTGTGGATGCTGCTGAGGGAGTGATGGTGAGTAGTCCGCATATGAATTCTTTCTTGCTTAGGAGTAGTCTTATCATCTTGTTATTGTGTATGCAGTAGTGAACAGCACTTTGTGATTTCTAATTGGCAGTGTGAGCTGAAGAGTTGCTGTACTGTGTAGGTAAATACAGAGAGAGCGATACGTCATGCGATCCAGGACCGACTGCCAATTGTAGTCGTCATCAACAAGGTAATTTATCAAATGTATTGTCTTTTCCATGTCTTTTCAAAGCGGCCTCTTCCACCTGTTTTACCGTGTTACTAATTTGACCTCTGTTTGAAAGGTGGACAGGCTGATAACAGAACTGAAGTTGCCTCCTAAGGATGCTTACCACAAGTTAAGGCATACCATAGAGGTCATCAACAACCATATCTCTGCTGTCTCTTCAACTGCAGGGAAGAGCACTGTTATTGATCCTACTGCTGGGAATGTTTGCTTTGCTAGTGCTACTGCTGGATGGTCATTCACTTTGCAATCATTTGCTCGACTCTATCTCAAACTCCATGGTATCCCATTCGACACCAGTAAGTTTGCAGCTCGCCTATGGGGGGATAAGTACTATCATCCACAGTCAAGGACTTTCCAGAAGATACCCCCTGAGGGTGGAGGAGATAGATCCTTCGTTCAGTTTATACTGGAACCTCTCTACAAACTATATAGCCAAGTGGTTGGAGAACACAAGAAGAGTGTGGAAACTACTCTTGCAGAGCTTGGTGTAACTCTTCCCAATGCTGCCTATAGATTGAATGTTAGGCCCTTGTTGAGGTTGGCTTGTAGCAGGGTTTTTGGCTCAGCTTCAGGTTTCACTGATATGTTGGTTCAACACATTCCCTCTGCTAAGGATGCGGCCAGTCGGAAGGTTGATCACACATACACAGGGCCAAAAGACTCTATGCTTTACAAGGCAATGAAAGAATGTGATCCCTCAGGCCCCTTGATGATCAATGTCACAAAATTGTACCCCAAGCCTGATTGCAGTTCCTTTGATGCTTTTGGTAGAGTCTATAGCGGTAAAATTATGACAGGGCAGTCTGTGAAAGTATTGGGGGAAGGTTATTCGCCAGAGGATGAGGAAGATATGACAGTGAAAGAAGTTACAAAACTGTGGGTGTATCAGGCACGGTATAGATTGCCTATAAGCATGGCTCCACCTGGCTCTTGGGTTCTTATTGAAGGTGTAGATGCATCCATCATGAAAACAGCTACACTGTGCAATGTTAATTATGATGATGAAGATGTGTTCATTTTCCGCCCACTACAGTTCAATACTCTTCCTGTAGTGAAGACTGCTACTGAGCCTTTGAATCCAAGTGAGTTGCCAAAAATGGTGGAGGGTCTTAGGAAGATCAGCAAAAGCTATCCTCTTGCCATAACTAAAGTTGAGGAGTCTGGGGAGCACACTATTCTTGGCACAGGAGAATTATATCTGGATTCAATTATGAAAGATCTTAGGGAGCTCTATTCTGAAGTAGAAGTCAAGGTATCTATTATTACTCTCCTTTTTACTGTGTTTTTCGTTTTTCCTTGTGTACAAGCATTTCCTGACTATGCTGCTAACGTGAAACTTCATTTTTAGGTAGCAGATCCTGTGGTGTCTTTCTGTGAAACTGTGGTAGAATCTTCTTCAATGAAGTGTTTTGCTGAAACACCCAACAAGAAAAACAAAATTACAATGGTAAATTTGCTGACCTCGTTCTTTTGGCAATCGTTAACATCATATTTTGAATCCTATTTATACCTTTTCTTCGCCAGATTGCCGAGCCCTTGGAGAAAGGTCTTGCAGAAAACATTGAAAACGGTGTTGTGAGCCTTGATTGGAACAGGAAAGCTATCGGTGAATTTTTTAAGGGGTATGATTGGGATGTGCTTGCTGCTCGATCTATCTGGGCATTTGGTCCTGATAAGCAGGTAAATGAAAGGCCTGATCCTCTTGCACGCTTTCATCTCCTTCCTCCAGATTGTATTTTGGATAGTCAGATTGTTTTGTCTTGTTCATAAAATTCATTAGTTGAACTCATAACAAATGGTTAGCTCATAGCCTCATACCCCTCTTTTTCTGCAGGGACCTAACATTTTATTAGATGATACTCTTCCTACTGAAGTTGACAAGGGATTGCTTAGTGCTGTTAAGGATTCTATTGTTCAAGGGTAAACCAACATTGTTTCCTTTTCTCATTTATTTTTCTTGGAAATTGTTTGAGCTTCCCTGGTGTAAAGGGTTCAATGCTTTTGACAGGTTTCAGTGGGGTGCACGAGAAGGACCACTTTGTGATGAGCCAATCAGGAATGTAAAATTCAAAATCGTTGATGCGAGAATTGCACCTGAACCGTTGCATCGCGGGTCGGGTCAGATTATTCCCACAGCTAGGCGTGTGGCATATTCATCGTTTCTTATGGCAACTCCTAGGTTGATGGAACCTGTGTATTACTGCGAGGTAATTAATAGCTATCTGCTGCCACAGTGAATTTGTTACTTGCTAGAGAATGAGTATGCTATGTTGGAATATTTTGGATGTTACTGCCAATCAAAACTTTGTTGCAAATTTGTCTAACTTTCATTTTTTGGGTAGAAGTCTAGCTACCACATTGATTTTAATGTGTAAAATGCGGTGCTCAAACTGAATCTTTGGTTGTGTGTTTTTCCATCAGATCCAGACACCAGTTGACTGTCTATCAGCAATCTATACCGTGTTGTCACGTAGACGTGGACATGTAACAGCAGATGTTCCTCAGCCTGGAACTCCCGCTTATATTGTTAAGGTTTGTCTCCTTGACATAATCTTACTGGAACAATCACTGGGGACACAAAACCCCTATTCCTGGTCCCTTTTTCATTCCTCAAATCTTGACAGCTGCTCTAAACTACTTCTCAAAGCAATGACAATCTGCCTGAGCCTTGTACTTCCAAGTGGACCATCAATTACATTTCTAGGATCAATTGATTGCATACTGAACACTATTGTTTTGATTTTGCCTGACATGGATTCGTATCAATGAGAGAGTGTAACAGCTTGTAACTGACTTGGTGATATTGTTTAGCTCTTGCGTGATTTGAATCCATGATCTACGTATATGTTGGTTGGAGTGGATCGTGGCTCATGAACTCAATTTAATCCTACACTCCCGAAATGTTTTGTTTATATTTTTGTTGATTTCTTTTTCCTGTGTGGAAATTGGGGCTTTTTCAGGCGTTTTTACCGGTGATAGAGTCATTTGGGTTTGAGACGGACTTGAGGTACCACACTCAGGGACAAGCATTCTGCCTGAGTGTGTTTGATCATTGGGCTATAGTACCTGGGGATCCGCTGGACAAGAGCATAGTTCTAAGGCCACTTGAGCCCGCCCCAATCCAGCATCTTGCTCGTGAATTCATGGTCAAGACCAGACGTCGAAAGGTATTTGACTTCTTCCCATCATTCTCTGACAATCGAGACGATTTAGTTCATGGATAGAGTGGAATTGTGATTGCAGCAATCTGAGCTTTATAAAAAAAACAATCTTTACAGGGAATGAGCGAAGATGTGAGCATCAACAAGTTCTTCGACGAGGCTATGATGGTAGAGCTGGCTCAGCAAGCTGCTGACATTCACCAAATGATGTGATCGATGATTGCTCCGGAACGAAAAAAGAAGATGCAAATCCCAGCCCTGTAGTTGCTTGCTGTCTTGTGTCGTAGCTTAGCTAGAGATGGTATCACAGTGTACCTATCTATCCATCTTCGGTTCCTCTTTGTTGTAGTTAGCTGCTTCGAAACATGAAGAGCAAAGTGAAGAGTATCTGTCTCCTTCAACCACAGTAGGCTCACCAACATGAGATCAGAGTGTGTATAAATCTTGCCAACTGTATTGCTCCTGCCTCCTAGTCCTCCTCTAGGTTTGAGAAGAGGATGCTGATTTTGGTAGTGTGTTAATTCGACTCAGATGCGAACATTGTACTGTAGTAAGCGGAGAACGAAATCAGAAATGGAGACCAACACTATGTAAGAAACTGAATCCACGTCTCTTAAACCGTACTTCTAGTCTGTTTGGGTTGTGTGGTGTTAGCTCGAACAGCCCGTTGGTTAAAATTGCGCGAAATGTTCTATCTAGTTTGATTGTGTCTCGTATTCTGAATTGTTATTATCGATGTCTCGTGGTTGCTCTTCGTACATTGTCTGACATTGTCTGTACTTGATAAACAAATGTTTACATGATGTTCTCCAAGCTTAAACCCGTTGTTGAGCTGAATGAGTCAACAATGTGTTCCATGGTCCGGTTGGAAGTGTTTGTTGATTAACCGGTTCGGACTGGCTGAGTGACAGACCTGCCATTTTGCGGTCCAACCGTCCTCTTCGATCCGGTTTAACAACACTGCGTGCGTATTATGTATTAACACCCACGAGCGACGCACGTGATCTCAGAACAGAAAGAAAGCAGAGACAATCCTCTTCGAGTTTATCGTCCCCTTCCTCTCAGGCCACAGCCGTCTGTAAAACGACTTTTCCTTGTAATCCAGCCGGACAACCTCCTTTCCCGCCGTCTATTTCGCTGTCCGACGAAGAGTCTCCCGACGACCGAAGTCCTCTCAAGTCTCAAGTCGTTCCGCCGTAAGTTCTTTCCTCATCTTTTTTTTTTTTTTTTTTAATTCCCTTGCGAAATCCATAGATTGCAGATCCTTCACTATCAGTCTTTTTTTATCTGGGAGACTATCTTTCTTCAGCTAAGTCCGATAAGGGAGTTTGATGATCATGTGTCTCTCTGAAACTTTGGAATTATGCCATTGTTGTGTTAGAGTTGGTCAGTTGGATTTTTCTCCTGGGAAATTACGTGGGTCTCATTTGAATAGTTGAATGGCACTGTGAGCAGAGCATCCACATTTTAAGAGTTATATAATGTTATGGCAATACCTGAATTATGATCTCCTCTGCCCAATTTAGTAGACCCAAGGAAGATCTGGGGAAAATGCTATTGTCAACGTCCCTGCGTTTACTCTGTCCCGCTATCTCATTTAGTTCACTACTTAAGCTCAAGTCTTCAACTCCAAGGTGTTTTCGCCTTCAAGAATCAATGGTTGGTTCAGGTTTGTGTGCATGTGTGTTATCTTTGGTTGGGAAGAAATCTGGAAAAAAAAGTTTGTATCTTTGAAGTTATAATTATGTTGATCTTCAGAGGTTTAAAGAAATTGTCAATCTCATCAATGCCGCAGTGCTCTTTAGTTTTAGAATTTGGAAAATTCTGTTGGAGAAGATTAGTCATGATCATGGAATTTTCATTTCTCAAGACTAAAAGTTACCTTTCCTCTCAGGTTCGGCTATGGATAGTTCAAGTTGCACGTTGGTGCTATGTGGAAAGTCGTTGGTGGAGAATGAAATTGCTGCATCTCTGAAGAAGAATGATACTATTAAGCTTTCTGAAAACACTGACCTGTCTGTGTTCTTGAAATCAGAAATTGATAAGTTGTACAAACAGCAAGAAAAATCTTTCGATATGGAGCTTTACATGAATTGTCTTTCGACACTGAGATTCGGAAGACTTTTAATTTGGTCACCCCTAATAACTTCCACTCATGATGTTGTTTCCAGGTAAGCATCATTAAATCTCCAAAGCTCTTCTCTACATGTGCTTCTTGTGAGTGTCCACAAGATCCTCGTATTTTATTCAAGCTTTTGGCAGCAATTTCAGTGAGCTTCCAATCGGCACAGTTTGTGTTGCTGACATACAGTATAAAGGACGGGGTAGGGGTTCATTTTTTCCAATTAGAGTTCCACCAGTTTATCGAAATGAATGAATTCTTCCCATCATTTTGCCAACGAAATTCTGTAGGTCGGTCAAAGAATGTTTGGGAATCTCCTGTTGGTTGCTTACTATTTTCATTCACGGTTCAGATGGAGGATGGGCGAGCAGTTCCTTTGCTGCAGTATGTAGTTTCACTTGCCGTTACAGAGGCAATAAAGGAAGTTTGTGAGAAGAATGTAATTTATCCTTCATATGATGAAATTGTCTGCTCAAGTTTTTTTTCAAACATTTGGGTCATTCGTCTATGTGTTTGATTCTGGAGATCAAATAATGATGAGGAGTCTTTTGGATCTTCCATTAGGAGATTTAAGGTTGACATTACTTATTCTAGAACCGCTTTTTTCAGGGCTTACCTTATATGAGTGCTCGAATAAAATGGCCAAATGATATTTACTTGAATGGCCTCAAAGTTGGAGGTATATTATGCACATCGACCTACAGATCGAAGAAGTTCAATATTAGTGCTGGTAAGGGCTTTCTGTGTCAATTACCATTTGTTTCTTCAAGTGATATTCTTATAGGACTGGTGGTAGTTCGTTCTTGACAATGACAATGACAGTGACAATAACAAAATGACATTACCTACATCTCTATTGTCGATGTTGCAGGTATTGGTTTGAATGTTGACAATGACAAGCCGACTACATGCTTGAATGCCTTCCTAAGAGAAATATCCCCTGCGGCTTGCCACTTAACCAGAGAGGAAATTGTGGCTTCATTTTTCAACAAATTCGAAAAGCTTTATGATATATTTATAAACCAAGGTGAATATCCTTTCAAAAATAAAATGAAAAATCACGGTGAAGATGTCGCATGTTGGACTTGTCTGTTTACTTCGTTCTCTAAAAAATTATTAGGTGAGAAGTAAGCAGAAGTGACTTCTTATGGATGAACTGATGAAGTAGTACATCATATGTTATATCCGGTTTCCACTTTTTTAATTTTTGTTTAAAATCGGAAGACTTTCATCTAAAGCTTTTGTTCGTGTCTTTTGGTTAGAATGATTGAACTTTCCTGCAGTTCGCTAATATATAGTTGAAGCCTTGCAGACTATGGTAGATAGAAGAAGCTGCATTCTAGGACTACACGAGTCCCAAAAGAATAGGCTTTGTCGACCTAGTAGTACAATTGGAAATTTAGATGCTAGTGTGTTGACTGTTATGGTACTTATTGATCACTTTGATCCACAGGATTTGGACCTCTCGAGGAACTCTACTGTGGAACATGGCTGCACAGGTCAGTTTATTTCCTAAGTACAAATTTTCTTATGACCTGAGCAAATTGAGGCTTTAATACTTCAATTTTGAATTCATGTAATAAAGGAAAGGAAAGAACCTTTAAGTCCACCTAAAAAGTTTAGTTAGGTTGATCGTGGTTCAAGAAGTCAGAGGCTGCTAAATCTTTTCTGTTGATTGCATGGTTTTGAGTTTCAAAATTGGTATGAAACAGATTTATTTCTATTTCAATTCACTGGCATTCCTTGAGGCGTTGTTTATGGATTACATTACATTGATAAGTACAATTTGATATAACTCCCATTTTTTATGATTGTTTTTAGTGGACAAAGAGTAATCATTCAAGAAAAGGAAAAGGATCAAGTCACGGAGAGTATGGTAACCATTCAGGTATGATTAATTGAAGCGGATCTTGGTTGCAGTATATTCAAGAATGTAGAACATGCATGATGAAACCTGATGTTCTTAAAACTTCATTTCATTCTGTCCATAGGGTTTGACGTCCTCAGGATATTTGTTGGCTATGGGTGAAGACAATCAAATGTACGAGCTTCATCCAGATGGAAATAGGTAAACTGTGGGGCAGTTGCTCCTGTTGCTTGCTCTATGAACAATATGAAAATCAATTATAGTTGCTGACCTGCTTTTTTGCTACGGTGGGTGGAAGCTTCGACTTCTTCAAAGGATTAATCAGACGGAAACTGGAATGAAAGATGCATGCAGTCAAGGAAAGTTGGAGGTTATGCTCTGCCAGCTGACAAGCAGTTTCACGATGGTATCTTTTTGCATCCTTTGAACAGTTTTTGTGGCATGATATGTAGCTATTCAAACTAGAGGCAGTCCTAAAATCCAAAGGCTTTCAAATTGAGACAAGTTCTGGCCATTAGTTCTGTTTGAGGCTTGTGATTATGCTGCTGCAAATGTGAAATGGTACATCTCTTCTCTTAAGGACCCGTGTTTAGTCAGGATCTTTGTGTTGATCAAATCAATAGAAGGAGCTCTTACACACTATTAGCTATAGTTTCTGTGATTTGACTGAATTAACGAGCACACATAATGTGCTATACATAGATAAGCATGTTAATCCTCTTGTTCTGTGAATGTTGCCACATCTCCCAAACCTTCAGTGACTAGACTACCAGACCATCTACACCACCTCACCAGACTTTCTCAAACTTGAACAATTTCTCTTTTGTATCAGGAGAGCCTTTGAAAAAATAATGAACCACTTGGTAAGGTATACTTGGTGGTCGCTCGAAAAAGTAATGAGATTGCACCATCAAGTTCTGTAGTCTGGTAAAAGGAGACGATTCCAATTCCATCAAGGTCTTCAGTCTTGTGAGAGGAAATTGGCATTGTTCCTTTGGAATGGACCACCAGCTTTCCTAATAATAACCATTTGATTAGTAGTTATTGTATGAGTTTATTGTACTAACCATAGTAATCTGTAAGTAATTACTCACCAGGTCGAAACGCAGGATGAGAGACTTCGTGTTATGCAAGCCACGAAATAAGTTCATACATTGCCTCTCTGTTGTGTCATTGTCCAGGGAATGATCATATTTCTGCTTTGTCCACCAAAGACGAATGTACGCGTGATCCAGCAAAGGAAGGTTCAACTCCGGGAGCTTCTCTGTGCTCGCCTTATCACCAGCACGAAAATAGAACGATTTGAGCTTCGGAGCAAAAACTTCGACCAGCTCGAATGTTCTATAAACTAGATGTTGAATTTCGAGGTCCAGCAGCTTGGGTCCCGATACTTTTAGTAAGCATCTCGATGTTGTGCAATTGATTACCTTGAGGTGGTACAGACTAGGGAGATTAGAGAAAGGATCAATCAACTTCCCTGAAACAGAACAGTAGAACAAACACTGTCGCAGTTCCAATGTCGTCAGCAATTTGAAGCCCGGATCACAACCAAGCGAACTGTTTTTCAGATTCGATTTGTGCAACTTGAGAGTTTCAAGAGATCCATGGAGATTGTGCTCCACCATTGCACAAGCCATATCGCGGATATCAGCTGGATGACACGATTCGCTGATGGAGACATGGCTAATGCGACCCTGTGCAGCAGCTATGTATTGCATTACGCTGTCGAATATTTCTGTACCAGCTGAATGTCCACGAAGTGCCTCTCCCCCAAAGTCGTAGCTAATGCTGCTGACCGCAGTTGACTCGAATCGAAGAGACAGGAACTTGTCCACGTGTTTCTGGAAATCGGACTTCTCTCTGAAGCTGGAGTTCCTGCTGAAGTTGAGGACAGGGACATCTTTCCATAAGCATCTCCACCTTCTGGACAGAACGCTGGTCTGGACGGTGGATGTGGTGTCGAGGAAGGACAGAATGTAATGCAGAATGTTGTTTGGAAGATGGCTCACTCTGTCTTTTGCTCTAACACTAGAGTTAACACGGCTCGTTTTCGGGGTTTTCTTCGAGTACTTTGACGAAGCCATCATAGTAGGTATAGGCGTATAGCACTGCAAACAAATATCGCTTGTTTGGTGCATACAGAACGCTACGAATATATATATATATGCATGTCTTGATCACCATGGTCCATTGAGTTGGAGAAATCAAGCGTCTACTACTGAGTTAAATGAGTTTACAAGTGAATCGTATCTGCATGTCTTTTATCACCAAGATACAGAGAATTGCAAGACTTGGGATCGGGAGCGCCACTGGCAATTCAAAGGACCGACAAACTAATGTGCACGCTTACGGGCCGCATTATACGAAAAGGCTCTTGATTTAAATGCGATAATAACTTGGATATGACTGCATAATTTAGAATCATCCAGGCATCTGTTAAACCGTCACAAGATCGACTTGTTAGCGGATTCTGCTCACCCAAGCACTCGTGGGTACGCTACAAAGGAGAATCCGTTGATGATTTGTGTTCTCTTGACAGAATTGTGATGAATTTTAAGAAATGAAATCGCTTGCATAGTAGGTCGTCGGTCCATGCATTCGCCGTCGTGGCAATGGCCTGAGGCAAGACTTTAGGCCACACGGTTCGATGTGCACAGCACATGAACCTCTAGTTTGGCTGTGGCGCCCTTGCAGTCTCCTGGTAATTTGAGATGATTGCCACCAACTATCGACAATCGAAGTAGTTCGCCACTGTGGTGCATCTTGCTTCTCCCTCAGTAAAAGAATGGATGAATGCTCTCCTACTCTAACTAATAGGGTCAAGCTGAAACAAACTTCCTGTAAAATTACATGACTGTGCCACATTAACCAACAAATGAAGTTATCTTCTGCTCGAGGGGACAGCCACTCGAGTTGAGAATTTACATATCTACTACTACCAAACAGTACCCGAATCAAAAGGCTATATACAAATATTTTCACCGCCATAATTAAACAAATAAGAACACCAATATCCAAGATGTTTCTGACAGGCCTAACAGCAAAACGCCAGCCCCCCTTCCCCAAAATGACGTGAAAAAAGATTTTAACTGAGTTGTCTAGCACAAGCAAGCACCTTCTGTGCCTGCCTTTTTACTTGAATCCCCACGAATGCATGACTACTAAGTCCATCCATGGTCAAAAGAATATGGGTGTGTCCGTTAATACTGTACAACATGCATTCTCTGTAAGAGAAATCTTTGAAGAAAAAGCTAGCTGAAGCTCAGTTCCTGTCTATGACCTCTGCTGGCATATTTAGATCAAAGAATCCACTGACCTCCTTCCTCGTCCGCTTCCTCAAAGAGCACTCGCTGCTGTTGTCATTCGACGAACTCCCAGACCCTGATGGTCGGTCTCGTTTTAAAATTGTTGTCCCACCTGCAGTACACACCCACCCACATCAGCTCTTCTGACTCGATCCACACATTTGTCTCCCGGGTAATGCTAAGTCTCTTTTTTACCATCACGCTACATCATGCACAATAACATGCAGCTTCACAACATTTAATTTTCTACGGACACCACATGAACAACACATATAGTTAGTAGCAAGGATTAAGCAAGTTACAAAAAGTTACGAAAAAGATGACAAATATACACAGACAGCTACCAGAAAGCAACACCGGCTTAATTGAGTTATGAATGAGAAAACAGTAGCAATACAAACAGGGAGGGACATGCATTGCAAGGAAGTAGGAACATTCTCTAAGAAAGAGTTGGAACTGAATATCAAGCAGGTAGAAACTTCAACCTTGAAAAGAGTATCGAGGACGCATAGTTGCCAATTGATATCTTTGAAACCTGATTTGGATTCGTTTTCATTTAACATTCAAAGAGGTAAAAGTCCTTGGTAAGCCACTACAATCATGGAGAAAAGGGGGGTGAAAAAGAATATTGGCATCAAACTTATTCCTCTCAACAAATAGGCACCTAATCAGTTTAACTAATATTACCATAATCCAGCTAACGATGCAGTACTCAGCAGCCCTTAAAAAAAATTGTAACTTGTTCATCCCTTTTAACTGGTTATTAGTATCATTACAATTTTAACTATTGGCCATTTTGACCGTTCACCATTGATGATAAAACTGTATGTTGGATACTTTCCATATACGACATTGATGCATATTGAACCAGATTTAAGAAAAAGAAGTGGAAAAGGTCAAAACTGCTGAACGTGCGTATAGTATTTGCATCAGAAGGATGGAAGTACCAAGTAGAACAAAACCAGCGAGGAACTACTTTGCTAGGGAGGAAATGACAGTTAAAGGTTAACCAGCTAGTTGAGAAGGATGGATTGGTGGCTAGTTTTCAAATTGTGCTATAATTAAAGTAATAATCAGCCAAAAGTAAAAAAGATAATGTACTCATTTCAAGGTAAGAAAGACAAGTTTGGAACCAATACTCTTTTACCCCCCAGAATTTTTGGAACTCATGTCTGCTCAAATGTTTAACACGTTAATTTTGAACTCAAAATTACCACTTGATATGTCATCGGATGATAGGTAATTGCTAGCATCGCTGGCTTTATTGCTCCAACACATGGAAAGTTCTGATGCTTTCTCAATGCCCTTCGACTTGTATGGGGCTATGTTATGAGTACCCCGCTGAAGAGAACCCAACAAATCATTCTCAATGCACTCATACCTGCACAAAGAAATAAAAGCTTTAAATACCTGTAATGACTAAAGAGTTCTTAGAACATGTGCATTCTTCTTAATTAAGCTAGAGCTGACAAACTCACATTTTTTTGCAGAGGTTATCTGTTACAACAGACAGATTAATGATCTGCATCCTTATCTCCGTTATTTTATCATCGCTGTACTGGTCAAAGGGCTCTTCGAGGAACTTGGAGAGTTTCTCAACATTTGCCTCAAGCTGTTGCTGCTGATCTTCAAATAGATTCTGTTTTATTTCTCTTTCCTCCTTTGTCATCTCATCGTCAAACAACTCGTCCCCGAACATATAATATGCAAAGGGGTACGAGTAAGAAAGGACCCGCCTTGATCTGAAGAGTCTGTTTAGACCATTAATAACCCAGCTGAAGTCTCGTAATTCTGATTCCCTCTGCTCGGATTTCGACACCCTCCCTTTGATGGTCTCCTCAAGATTATTTTCAAGTTTAAATGAGTCAGTATGAGCTTTGTAACGATTGTGATAGTGCATATAGCGATAGAGATCCCGTTTAGCTCGCTCAGTTTTTTTCGCCGCATCCTCTTTATAACGACCACAACTGTGACCAGCTATTCTAGACCATGTATGGTCTCTCCCAGTAGCTCCACCACAGAGCCAGCTGCACAAAAAAAGTAGGCAATATAACTATGTCAGCCACCTAAATTCAAAATGTACATGGAAGATAAAGTTAAAAAATCTTCCAGCAGCATTCTTTCACATCAATAAAGGCACAGCAGTTAGTTCGGTACTGAAGAAGCTTTTCTGCACTACAGGTTAGTAGTATGCCTGAAACATTTCCATCTTCATGCATTCTTTAGATGAAAAAACAAAAATAAAAAAGGCAGGGCTGAGGAAATCGAATTCTCACCAAAATGCTTGGCCACAGACACAGGCCACAAGGTTGCAGCCACCATTTTTCTCAACTGGCTTGTGACACTTTGGACAAGGCTTGGTATGAACTGTGATCCAATTAACCGTTTCAGATTCATCTCGGCACTTCTTAGTCCAAAGCTCCCACATCTTACACGAACAAGGTGAGTGTGTTGATGACAAGCAACTGAAGCAAAACTGTAACCCACAGGAGCATTGTACCTCACAAACCTCATCTTCCTCAACCCTAATAGCATTCCCGCAGTGGGGAGCACTAGGGCACCATTTTACCATTTTATTATCCTCGATATATGACTCTAAAAGAAAACGCTCAAATTTCTCTGCCAAGTCAGGATGCCTTTTGCTGACCAGATTTCGTACAACAGCTTCATCACATATAGCATGGCATTTGTGTGCCATGCACCGGATACGCCTGCTCTGACCTTCGTTTATTTTCACAATGAAATGTCCGGTCCAACCTTCAAGGGAGAAAATAGTAAACAGTAAGAAGAAGAAAGAATGTCTTACATTACATTAAAGGAAGCCATCATTTCCCTGAGAGCTCAATAGTAGCAATCTCGACAAAACCTTACGAAGTGGTTATTATAATAGAATGCAAGTCTAGCTATCAAAATTTTGTAAATAAACTACAAAAAAAACTCAGTTTGCATTCATAATTCGGAAGTAAGAAATGAATTGTGAGTCCCTTTCAACAGAGACTAGTATCTCAACCCATCCGTCATGTTATGTTAAGATGATGCAAAACAAAGAGACAAGACAATGAATCAGTACTCACAATCGTTACAGAAGCAATGACTGCAGTCCATTCTCGTGGCATTATCAGCAGGCACGTCCTCCATACATATTTCACAACTCACTGAAGAAGATGAACACCGATGAATGTTGCTATTTATATGATCATCCACCATGACACCTGCATTTGAATACAAGTACGCTTTCCCCTTTTCTACCATCACAGAAAGCAATTTCTCCACGTCCCAACGGTAGTAGATCAACAGAGTCCGGGCATGGTGTTCTCTAAGTGATAGCAACTCCATTACTCTCCGCAGGTCCTCCCCCTGAAATCAATGAAAAAACCCCAACTTTAACCGCTAGATAAGCGAAAGATGGAAGATTCCAAACATTTCACATGGGAGGGGTGAGTTAAGAATTCTTTACCTGTGCAGCAAAGAGAGACTCTTTTGTAATCACCTGCACAAACCCAGAACAGAGTCAATCATACCCAGACAGCAACTATATTCAACAGTAGCAATCAAGCACGAGCTGACTGGAAAAGTACAGTTACAGACCATAATTGCGAAACCCAGAAAAGAACAAAGCTTCCAAATAAACCGAACCCACGGAATTCCGCCACAAATCAAAGAAACCCCCAATTGAAAAGAAAACAAACCCTAACGACACATACAGACTCAACGCGAACCTACCTTCGTCGTGGAATCCTTGCGAGTTGACACTAGGACATCGGAATCCTCATTCTCGATGCCTTCCATTGAATCCTCCTGATCGTCGTCATCATAGTAACAGTACTCATCGTCGCTCCCGCCGTAATCCTCCATCGCGGAAACAGTGATTGATTCAACTATAACGGGGGGAAACACTGCTGTATATAATTGCCTGCTGGCGATTCCTATTGCGGAACCGAATTGCGGCAACAAATCGACTGTTCAGCTGTATCAGTCCCGATTCTGCAACGATCGGAGGCGGATCTCCGGTCGGATCGAGGTGGCCGGCGCCGGGAGAGAAAGGGGCTTATCGAGGGGAGCTCGTTGCGAATAATTTCGTATTTGGTCGTTTCATTTTTCGTTATTAGTTTAGGAAAAGGAGAGAGAGAGAGTCTTGTAGCAGTGGGAGAACGCCGTTTAGTTATAAACTCTCCCACGTCCGCAACACGAACGAACAAGGAAAGACGCAAGTGAAGGGAAAATATCAAATTAATACTCATACTCTTTACATTCTACATCTTTGGAACCCTTACTTTCAAAACCCAGTTAAGTCAGACCTTTAGTGTGCAAGCCATGGTCATTTCAGTACACAATTTTTTTTTTTTGGTCTTAGATAATTAGATATCTTTTTGTGTAGTAGGTACAAGTGTTTGTTCACATGTCTTGAAGAAAACTCTAAACATTAGGGGTGGCTATACGGTCCGGTCCGGTTAAATTGGCCCAAATTGATCCGGTCCAGTCCGGTTTTTTTGAAAATATAAGGACCAAAGATTGGATTGGATACAGTCCGGTCTTGATCCGGTCTGGTCTTGACCCGGTCCGGTCCCAATTCGGTCTTGATTTTATATTGAGATTGTCGGAATTTGAGTGGCCTAAGGCCTAAAAGGGTGAGGAGTTGGTTAAGTTTTGTACTAAGTGTAAAGGTTTGTGACCGTTTATGCAAATTACCCTTAAGTTTTGGGTGTTGAGCTCTCTTATCCGGTCTTTATCCGGTTTTTTACCTCAAATCTAAGCCCAAAAATTGGATTGGATTGTTTACTATCCGGTCCCGGTCCGGTCTCGGTCCGGGTTATACGGTTCGGTTTCCGATTTTTCATCCGGTCCCGGTCCAAATGGCCAGCCCTACTAAACATGTAGGAGGGAGGGTGTTGTACATGTCATTCGATGGACAATTTCACAAATCGTGGGATAACGCAAGCGATGCGAGAGAGCACATGACGACAATCACAAAGCACATAATCTCCTAAAGCATTCACATCAACCCCCGTATGCAGCTGTCGAATGACAGTGAGAGTACCCCCCCCCTCCCCTCAAAAATGACTTGACAAAGATCAAGCCAGGCAACAAGCAATAAAAGCCTCGCGAGCTGCAGATAACTCGATAGATTTGGGCCGAAGATGCAGTCACGTTGCCGAGTTTTTTAAGGCTCGGTGTGTTTCGGAGTTGAGGGGGAAATAAAGAGAGGAAAACTGATGAACAAGTAGTTGATCTATTGATACTATCCTTAGTTTTGAATTTGAGATTTGATATTCGAATTCCTTAAATAGCATCCAACCACCAAATTACGTGTAAACTTATATCACCCTTATAAAATAAAATAAAAAGGAAAACCCTGCTCCTTCGGAATTGGAGACTGGATCTAAGACTCTATTCCTTGGGCCCATATGACTTGAACCGGTTTGGGCTAATGATTATCACCACGGCCCAAACCCAATTTCCTAAGTCCTAACACAATCAGGATTTCCAAACCTCTGAAGGTGGTTGTTATACAGACATACTACATTGCAGCTCTAGCATTTCTCAGTCAAAGCTCACATCAATCCAATGTTTATGTTACCACTATTTGTTATTTGTTAGATGCTATCATTTGATTGAGCTGATTGTCTCGTCCTGTTTTTTGAAGGATGAATTCGTGACAAATTTTCTTATTTATCACAAGCGTTATACAAGACAACTTTAATGGCTAACGTATGATGGTCTTTTGGAATCTCAAAATCCATATTGATTCATATTTCATAATACAAGTTAGGAGGGATATGTTACGGTTACCTTACTTTTTACAGTAAAACAGAATTTCCCCTGTTTGACGCTCGTAGTTACACCAATGATGTACTCAACAGAAGAGATTCTTCTCATAATGATGTTGCTTCTTCTTAAAAACTAAAAAGGCAGGGGAAATCCTTTTTTAATGTAAAGAAGACGATACATTCTCAGTATTTGATTTCAGAGTGTTGTAACAAAGCAGGGGAGGGTGATTCATCCGTACTATATTCAAATCCTCGTAACTGTCAAGAAAAACTGACGATTTAAAAAAAACCAAGATAGCAACCTAAAGAAAGGCTAAACATGTCCAGAAAAACCAATTGTTCCCAATAACTTAGAGTTGTTGGGAGGAGTTCAATGGTAGATCATATTATCATTTACCAACAAAACCTCCATATGTAGTGCAAAAACTTCATACCTCTCAGGCCGGTAATAAGACAAAAAGACTAATCATGATTAAGATGCGTGATTATTGAAGTCATTAGACGTCAGTCAATATTGGTGACAGCGGGCAGCCCAAAATCTTCCAATTACTTAGCCATCGATTATGAATATAACACAAAAAAACTTCCAAATTCAAAGTATCAGCAGCCAGCCAGCCAGCCAGCCACGAAATATTAAACATATTTTCTGAAAGAAAAAAAGCATCCAACGGGAGATGGATATAAACTAACAACTACCAGTACGAAATTGCTATTTTCGCTTCTGCTGCAAACAGACAAATCCGCGCTCTTTATAACGATTTCCGCCAGCCACACTTCTCGCCGGCCGTCTCCCCCATCATCTCTCCACAGTCTCTTGTCCGCTGCGCATCATTGTTGTAGCCATGGCTATCTCGCTCCAGTTCTCTCGGCTCTCACTCCGCGCCGACGGATTCATCACGGAGAATCGCCCAGCCGTTTTCAGCAGCCGGCGGCGCGGGAAGCCTGCTTCCGTCCGATGCTCCGGAGACGAATCGGGATCCTTGGCCGTGGATTCCGAATTCGACTCCAAGGCGTTCAGGCACAACTTGACCAGGAGCAAGAACTACAATCGGAGAGGGTTCGGGCACAAGGAGGAGACTCTCGAGCTCATGAGCCAAGAGTACACCAGTAAGTTCCCTCCCCTCATCTGGGTTTCATTCCGATTGCTGATTTTAGAAATTTCTCCGGTTGGTTTTGGGAATTGAGATATGTGGTGATCAATTTGCGAAATGGAAAGATGTGTAGATGGGTTCTGATTGTGGTATGGGGGAACATTTTCAGGCGACATCATCAAGACGTTGAAGGAGAACGGGAACGAGTATACATGGGGGAATGTTAATGTGAAGTTGGCTGAAGCGTATGGGTTTTGCTGGGGGGTTGAGCGGGCTGTACAGATTGCCTATGAAGCTAGGAAGCAGTTCCCGGAGGAGAAGATCTGGCTCACCAATGAGATCATTCACAACCCAACTGTTAATAAGGTTTGAGTTGATTGTTGGAGTTTGAAATTCTTTGCTTCACGTTTATGGAGCTTGTTTGAGTTCACTGGACTGAACCTTTCGTTGTGTGTTTTGGTTCTGGTAGCGGTTGGAGGATATGCAGGTCGAGAACATTCCGATTGAGGGAGGGCTGAAACAGTTTGAAGTTGTGAACAAGGGGGATGTGGTGATTTTGCCTGCTTTTGGGGCTGCTGTTGATGAGATGTTGACCCTCAGCGACAAGAATGTGCAAATCGTCGATACGACTTGCCCTTGGGTGTCTAAGGTGCTTACATTTTCCCCCTGGGGGGACGATTTGCTTGTGTTTATCTGATTTCGTTTGCTTGTTTGGTTTTGTGTTCATACAACTGACGACGGGAAGTCTTTTTGCAGGTGTGGAACACTGTTGAGAAACATAAGAAGGGAGAGTATACTTCAATTATTCATGGTAAATATTCTCATGAGGAGACCGTAGCAACTGCCTCTTTTGCTGGAAAGTACATCATTGTGAAGAATATGACCGAGGTAGGCCTAGGAGTCTAAAGATGGTCACTTTTTGTAAGCTCCAATCAGCATACATTACCTCGAACCTACATATACTTGTTTGATCCATGGTTTTTTCATTCTAAGAAATTCTAGACTTTGCACAGGCAATGTACGTATTTGACTATGTTCTTGGAGGAAAACTCGATGGATCTAGCTCAACCAAAGAGGCGTTTTTAGAGGTATGCCTTTATTTCTTGCCGAACTCGGTTACATATAGAGCTGATTGTGACAAAACTGAATTATGTCATATGCATGTCGTCTCATTATACTGTTTTGCTTGTTTGCAGAAATTTAAGTATGCTGTGTCTGAGGGATTTGATCCAGATAGAGATCTTGTCAAAGTTGGTGTTGCAAATCAAACTACAATGCTTAAGGGAGAAACTGAAGAAATTGGTAAAGACCAATGCAATTCATTCTGTTGTTAGAAAGAGTTGCATGTCCCTTTGTGTTTATGAATGTGGTTCCTTATCTATAATTTTCAACTGACAGGAAAATTGGCTGAGAGGACCATGATGCAGAAGTACGGAGTTGAAAATGTCAATGATCACTTCATAAGCTTCAACACTATTTGTGATGCTACTCAGGTAATATTTCAGATCAATAGATCAGACACTTCACCTACTGATTAGAGCCTCTTTGCTTTCAGTTGCAAAGAGGGATAATATGTCTTTCCTAGTATTACATTGCTCCATATAAGGCTTAATTCCCTATCAACTGCACAAATGCACTAATGGATTGTTTGGAGTACGAAATGTTGTTGTTTGTACTTTGGAAATGTGCTTTTGGAGTGTGAATGGTTGATAGTGACAACCTCTCCTCCTCCAAGGAGATTGCAAAATAGGCATCGATCGAAGCAGTTTTACTTACAATCAATGACTAATTCTCAGCTCTGTTAGAATCTTCCTGGCGATCATGTAGTGTTGTAAGCTAAAATTGCCTGCAATTCTTTTGAAGGAGAGACAAGATGCTATGTTCAAATTGGTGGAGGAAAAGTTGGACCTTATTCTTGTTGTTGGCGGGTGGAACTCGAGCAACACATCGCATCTTCAAGAAATCGCTGAGCTTCGCGGGATCCCTTCATACTGGATCGACACTGAACAGAGAATAGGCCCAGGCAACAAGATAGCCTTCAAGTTAAACGTAAGTGCAGAAAACCATTCGTTGTAACCTCGTTCCTTCCTCTATGGAGTTCATTATTTCCCTACCTGACTTGTTATTGTTGTATCCATCAATTTGGATCACCACTTCCTTATCTCCTGTTTTGTTTTTGTAATAGCATGGGGAATTGGTTGAGAAAGACAACTTTCTACCAGAAGGACCAATTACCATCGGCATAACCTCAGGTGCTTCCACCCCAGATAAGGTAACATTCCTTGCCTATGCTCCCTAAACATAGCTGAAAATGTTGTTTCCCCACTAGGCACTAATATCAGGATTATGTGGTTTGTATCTATACAATCAGGTGGTAGAGGATGCTCTTAAGAAGGTTTTCGAGATCAAGCGCCAGGAAGTCCTGCAGATGGCGTAGATTTAGACGCTTCAGTGTAAATAGATTATCTGCATAATCAGAACACGAGTTGATTTCATTAGCAATTTGTTGTATCAGTTAGTAGCATAAATGTTGGGAAGGGTTGTATGTTATAACGTGAAACCACTCTGAGCTTACGATATTAAAATAATTGAAAGAATGATTGTGTCCTGTAAAATGTCCAGAAATTTGTGAGTCGAAGCCAAGGGGTTGGAGCTGCAGTGAACGATTTATGGTAACTATTGAGAGTAAACACACTTTCTAAAATTCACTTTGGCCAATTTGTCGCCTGAACTACATTTAATGATAAATCTCCATCAACCTTGAACTGAGCAAACAGGGCATTCTCTCCAGGCAACTTTGTGTTCGAAGACCCGGTTCTTTCCTTCGACTGGAATGAATTTTACGCAGTAATTCATGCACGAGTTACAACCACAAGATGTAACTTCCTCCTAGCATATAAACATAAACCTAGAAAAGAGGAGTACACTAGGAACAGCTAACGTTTCTTAGAGTGAAGGGTCAATGACCGACTGTTGAAATCGAACAAACTGCAAAATTTTGGGACTAATAACGAAGTGCTCGTGGCTAAGCAAACTAAGCTTCTTGTTGCTTGGGTACTCTTTTAAGCAACTTGTACATTCCAAACACATTCTTTTCCTGCCACAGGAATGGGACGAAGAACGAACGGTAAAATGGAGGAGACAGCTCCCTGTCCAGATATGGCAATGCTGCAATTGGCTGAAAATGATAAGGGAAAGAGCTATTGAGTATGTTTGAGAGAAAGGATGGGGAAGAAGAAGAAAAGGGGTTAAATTTGCAAATATGTTGGCATACCTCCCACTTCGACAAGTCACTACCACGAGAAGGATAGGGACGATTAAGCTGCAGCTCTACCAAGAAAGTGCAGGCATCGATATCATTGAGCTGCACAAATTTCGAAGTTGGTCATTCCGTCAGTGCGGTGATGAAAATGGAGTCAAAGAGTCTGAAGAGGAGGGAAGATGAATTTACATATTGCTGAGCCAATGCCTTGTTCTTATTGTTGAAATATGGAGGAGCTGCTGATGTGCCACCGAGGGATGAGTTGAATGGTAATGGAAGAAGACCTCGAAAACCATCATCAATCCATCGGACTTCTCCCACATAATCAGGCACAAAAAATGATGAAGGGAAGCGATGCCATTCACTTCCAACACAGAGAACAGCTCCTGTAGTGCACAACAACAACAACCACGCGGAATAAGTCTTAGAGCAAAGAAGTCTACCTAGCCCATCCATGAAGTTGGAAATCGCGATACATGGAATAAAAAATACACCCCTAGATGAGAGTTTATGGAATTCAGCCCTAACATTTGTCTATTTTTCCTTGTATCTTTCTATTCTTGATTACCGAATGCCCTACACCTACAACATCATTTATATGGCGTGGGTATTAAGTTCGTTTAACTTTAAAGTCGCAATCCCATACTAAAATCTCACATCCAAACAACAAAATTCTGAAATCCACACCACAAATGTCATACTTATCATATTTCGAATACATGGATTTGCCATAATCCTTGGTTTATTAGATCTTACAACCAAACAAACCCTAAGATTTGGCCTCCAATAAATTAAACGCTCAAGATCTACCTTTGCAAACTAAAAGCAAGTAGATAACTCCTGGGAGGAAAAAAACACTTTTTGGTACCTGATCCTGCATCATGATAGTGATCTAAAATCTTGTAGACCTCCATAGGAGCAGCATACCCGTTAATCAAGGAAAATGTCCGAGCATGTGAAGCACATAGTATGAGACTAAGAACCAGTGGTCTAATAACTTTGGCTATCTGCAAAAAAAAATCCGGAAAGAAACTGTTAAAACAGGGCACCAGGGGTTGTCATATGGCCTCAAAGGTACAGAAGAACAGATGAGTATATACCACAACTATAATAGAATTGTCATTCAGATTGTGCTTATCTCTAACAAGATCAGGAAAGCTCTCGATAACACTTGAAGCAGCAACACAAACAAGAGGATAGACAGGATAGAGGAACCTGTAAGTAGCAGGTCCACCATATCTTAGTAATATTTATGGAGTTGTTCACTCATCCAGATCTTAACAATCAGGAAGCATATATGGAAGGAGAAGGGAAGCTCGGCAGTAACTTAAAAAAAATAAAAAATAACGAAGGCGAGATTGAAACTAACCTTTCTTCTTTGTGTGGCTGCAAAGACATAAAACCAAGCCATATATAAAGAGGTGAAACCACCACCAGTAGGTCGGGAGCATACTTTCTCCTTACAATTGGCAAGATAACCAGGAAGAGCAAAGAAAGAACCATAGAAATGTTGAAATTGTTAAATCCATTCCTTAGGTAAAAGAGAGGCCCTTCAGTCCCATACAGATGGCTCTCGCCACCTCCTGCAACATTGTACACCAAGATATTCAAAACAGACGATGTCCACCTCCCATAGTAGCGGTAGTCAACAAGTACAGAAAGTACCTAGAGAAGGATTCAAACCTTTCAATTGTTTAGAACATGAATGGTAATAAGCTGAATTACCTCAAAACAACTAGTTACTAGTGTTTAGTTTCCAGAACTCAATAAAAAGGCTACAGACATTGACTTACAACGAGTGTTAGAGATGTGACTGCACCAGCAAAAAATGACAGCTTGAATCTCTTGGCCAAGGAAAAAAGCACAAGTGGCAGGAAAGCCAACATTGAAAAGGGCCAGCCAAGGAGTACACCAATAGCTGCTACAGAAACAGCCATGGCAGGCTTCTCAAGAAGAAACAATCCAGAGGAGAGACTCATGGCATACATTGAAAAGGAACTCGGCAGGAAACCTGGTAAGAAATGAGAACAATCACACATTGTAATTAGGAAACAGGACAATTAAATGTTAACCTGGTGGAATCAAACTGCTGAACCTAATAGTTCCCCCCAGAATGGCTGTCTAGACTAAGATTGAAAGTTTTCCGTTCACCACTAAATCAAAGCAACTTACTTGTGCTAGCAAAGAAACAACCACTGGTTAGGCAAAGCATGGCAAGTGCATAAGAAGCAAGACGCTTGCCATATCTCCGGGAAAGGGCCACTACTAGAGTGGCATCAGCTATAACAGAGATAACTCCAAGAAACAGTCTTACTGCATAGAACACTCTCACCTGGGAGACATATACATTACTGTTTCAGACTTCAGACAAAAAATTACGAACAATATCCAATGGGTGCGAACCAATGTTCAACAGAACGGGAAAATATGCTTACTTTATCATCTCTAAACAGCCATGAAGCTGGTAGACCCACTAGTTCGTGGAAATTAATGTATAAGTACGATCTAAGAGCGAACTGCGAGCTGCAGCAGAACAAACAATACCCATTAGAGCACACACACTATCCAGATTTTGATGTGGAAATTGATCGATGACCCAGAACACAAAACAATCTAGAAAAGAAAACTCCATTAGTGGGTAATGCGAGTAAGAGCTTCTTATTTTATTTGCCTGTATTCCCAAGTCTGGAAGCCGGACTTGTAGAGAAGAAAATGGAGAGGCTCCCAGTAGTTGAAAACCTCGTCGCAATCATGGATGATGTTGGATGTGGCGCTCATGTAGCGCAGCAGTCCCAAAGCGAGTATGGGCATAAACCATCCAAGCGACTGCTCTTCATCGGCGAGAGAGGATCGCCCTGGTTTGTCGACCTTCGTGTACGGCTCCGAGGAGGAGGATGGTGATTGGGCCGGCCGCGATGTCTCCGCCGACGGCAGCTCTGGACGCCTCTGCCGCGTCGATAAGGCCATTGGGGTTTGCACTGGACCACGGCGTTTTCTGACTTCTGTCAATGAGAGGAAATGGTGATGCTAATTCCTGCTCTTCCTCTTTGTTCGCCAGCTCCGGCTTTCTGCAAATTAGGTGCGCGAGCCGCGACACTGATATTCCTTCCTTCCGATCGAAGGCAGAGTCGTCTTTTTGGGTAAACTTCAAAAAAGCTATCCAAATTTGTGGTTAGCTATACAAACGATCCTTAAACTTACATAGAACTCACCTATTGGTCACTGAACTTTCATCTTTATCAAATCTTCTTGTGGGCTGAACTTGGACAGAAATTATTCTAATCCAAGCTAAAATATGGACTCATGGATATACTTTAGATCTCTAAAAGTTATACTAAGTTAAGTACAATAGCACGAAAGTACAGTTAGATCTCTAGTTAATTGAAGCATCTCACACCTTCGGTTTTACGTCAATTATTTTATGTTCATCAATGGAACAAGTAGTCGTGTGATATCTACACGCGTCGTAATGCACAAACACAATGGCGTTTTTTGTATAAAGACTATCAATATACCATGGAGATCGAGTGTCTATCGGGCTACATGAACATCAAGTTGTATGGCAGACTTACCGGTTGGCAAAACTTTTACCATCATAGACAAAATTTCACATCTAACTTGATCATTAAAGGGTTTGATCAAGTACAATACTTGAATACTTCTTCTAAATCGACTTTTTTCAACTAGATGTCAAGCCCATATATCTAAATGAATGCAACCAATTTTCCCGTCTGTACTTACATATACCATGTACAAATTGCGTGTCCTGTATTCGTACCACATGCTTCATTATCGAATAAATCGTCAAATTACATTATATTCGAGCTTCTCCAAAGTACAACAAATATTCAGAAATTAAAAAAAAAAAATCAAAGATGTCACGGATACATTTATATATGAAATTTATTTCCCGACAAAACGCCGAAAATCATTATTATTGTCCCTTAAGCACCAAATGATTCCCAAATGATCAGTGAAATTAAGCACTCTTCAAATTGTAGCCGCCATCCACCACGAGGTTCAACCCGCTCACAAACTTGGACTCCTCGCTCGCCAGGTACATCGCCGCCTCCGCGACGTCGTTTTCGTCCAGCATCGTCCCCTTCAAGCTCGCCCTCTGCGACCCGAGCTCCTGAACCGCCTTCCGGTCCATCCCCATCGCCTTCATCGCCATCGGGGTCGGAACCCCGTCGGGCGAAACCGAGTTGACCCGAATCCCGTACCCACCCAGCTCCACGGTCAGGTTCTTCATCAACCCAACCACCGCGTGCTTCGACGCCGTATAGGCGTGCGGCGCGTTCCCAAACGTCGTCGTAACGCTGCTCGCGGTGAAAAGAATCACCCCGCTCTTCTCCGGGATCATCACGCGCGCCGCGTGCTTGGCGCAGTGGAACGCGCCGCGGACGTTGACTTCGAAGACTCTCATGAGATCCTGGCCGTCCGCTGTCGAGATCTGCATCCCCGCGAGCTGGCCCATGATCCCGGCGTTGCTGAACATGATGTCGAGTTTCCCGTGGGATGATACGGCGCCGTTTACCGCGTTTTCGACGTCGGATTCTTTGCTGACGTCGCATTGGACGTAGGCGACTGGGAAAAGGGAGGTGGAGGTGATCTGCTCGGCGACGGAGTGGCCGAGTTCGGATTGGACGTCGGCGATTATGACCTTGGCGCCGTTATGGGCGAAGAGCGCGGCGGCGGCGGCGCCGATGCCGCTCGCTCCGCCGGTGATCAGTGCGACCTTGCCTTGTAGCCTGTGAAACCAAATTAGTTAAATCAATTAAATTTTGTTAGATATACTTATAACTTAACGTGTGCACATTTTTTTCCCCCCTTCCCGTAGATACGAAAATGTACAAGACCTTTGACAGGTAATGTCACAAAATATAAATTGGAAATTTCATTGACGGTGTACCTGTTAGAAGCGGGTTGCTGGGAGGAAGACATGGCTGGTCTGTGGAGAATCGGGAGCTCGATCGAATCGACTTTAGAAAGTAGAAAGGATGTAAGGCTTTTGATGGTTTTTGCCGGTGGTAGAAGAAGGAACAGAATGGTGGCTTTTTATAGGCGATTGGTAGCCGCCGCCGGCGGCGGCGGCGGGTGTTCAATATTTGTGTATGCATTGATTTACATTACATGGGTAACCGACTAATTTGAAATTTTTGACCAACTTTCCTGAAATGGGCTCAGGATATCAGGCCATCGTAGAAGCGAAAATGGCAACCAAAAAGGAGGCAGGATTCTGTAAATCAAGGCCGGCGGCTGGTTACGTTTGTCAAGGATATGGCAGCATGGGACCGTTGTTTCTTGTTTGGATAAAATTTTCAACTTTGGAACCGGGCCTCCCCACGTGGCGGCTATCGTCGATCGGTCAATTGAAGTTCTCATGTACGTTGTTGCGTAGTCTTGTCGTAGAAGCAATAATATCGTGATATGACAGTAGTAGTAAGATGTTATATCATAATTTATTTTTAAGTAAATATTTTGATAGTATCGTATCATTGTAATGTTAGTATGTTACTGTTATATAACATTATGATATTATAGTGATAAGATTATAACAAACATGTGTTTTGAGTCACTATTTTTATATATTTATAATGTATAAAAAAATACATAGCATTATGTGGATTGTGAATGTTCTTCGTATGCAATTTTTGTTATTGATTTTTTTCAGTTAAAACAAAAAAGATATATCTAATGTAAAAAAAAAAATGAGATTAGAACAAAAGTAAACTTTGAGCATTTGACTTATCAAACAGGTTCAAATGGGCTGCATAAGTAGTACAAAAAATGGTTCAAATTTTGTATGCTCACGATCCAGGAAGTTATTTATTGATGTCTTGCGTCCGGATTTTTGGAGGTGCAACTAGAAAGTGACGCCAAGGTGGTTATTGACAAATTCAATCAAAGGGGTTACAAGGGATAGTCGGATTGGCGCCTTGCTTGTCGAAGTGGTGGATTGTGTAGCGCTTAAATAGAGGGTTTAATGTACGGTTTGTAGGTCTGAGTAATAATAGGGTAGTCCACCTGGTGGCTAAGAAGGCGCTTCATTTCTACCCGACTATGAGTCGTTCTTTTGATTTTTTGGCCTGATTGCGCTTCAGGATGTAAGTATCTGTTTTATTGATCAATATATGATTACCTTTTGTAAAAAAAAGGCTTACAAATTTGTATTGTGTAATTTGGAAAAAATACGTTGCATAGTGTGTCACATTTCACATTTCCCCTATTTATATGTCTAATGTGGTACTGAGAGACATAAGAGGTGGTTTAGGCCTTTAGCTAAACAAATCGAAGCAGTTACCTAATTACTTAATTAATTAAGGTGCATAGTCGCAATTACGAAATGGCCTTGTCTAAATTCAACGCCAATGCATGACCACAATCCATACGACGAAGCCGCCGTAATAAGATAGTTATCATAAATGCTCACAAAACTATTCACTTTGTACAAAACAGTCACAATTCTTCAATTTTGCACGTTTCGGTAATACATGTTTGGACTAATAACAAATTGGTCAATCCGTCCACTTCCGTCCAAAACTCCGTTACTTTTACCTAGTCAGCATGACACGTAATTAAAATTATTAATAAAAATTAGATAATCATTTCAATGAACCCGCAGTGCACAACCGAACCGGAACTGCCCGTGAGATCTCTTGGGTCGGAGATACCACCGGGCATCAGGCACACTCGGATTTCGCCGCCGTGGCTCAGTACACATCATCAGTCATCACCGCCAGACTCCGTTGTTCCTCTCCACCATCACGAGAGCTGCAGATCATCATTACACCACCAATCGCTGGTCGTCGCTCGTTGCCCCAGCCATAGTTTGGGCAGAAGAAAGGAGAAGGAAAGAGGTAGGCATCGGAGCTCCTGCACTCTCCTACTTCCATCGCCGCCGTCGCTTCGACATCGTCGATCCGAGTCGTTCCCAATCCCGTCTCGTCGCTAGAATTCTCCATTCCATAGGTAGCTCCCATGCCTGGAACCAAATCAGAGAAAATTTCACCTAACCACAAATCGCCAAAAGAATTAGGTCCCTCCAAGATTGACCACCGCAAGGATCAAGAACTACAAGATATGTAGGGAGGAATTCCAATCGCAGGCACTAATCAAGGGGTTTGAGACATCATCATCGCTCCCAGTGCCAACCCGTCGAAGAATTGTTCAATCGCGCACCCAGCTGCCTGCGCCGTCTCGGACTTTATGATGTTAAATTGCCGGCCGGCTTCCGCGGCGACGAACAGTACGGAGAGCGCCAACGCCTAGAAGATTATGAATAGAGCATTAGAATGTGGATGTCATCTGGGTTGCCGTCGGATTTCCTTTTGTTGTAGTGGATTGCAGAGAAGGAAGAGCTCTGTCTCTCGAAGGAAAGGCAGAGGAAGTTTAGGTGGGTTAGTTGGTGACAGGGTGTTTTTGTCCCCGAAATCCGGATGGGTGGGTAAAAGATAAGGGTTTTCGGTTTGGTTCATTTCAATTGGGTTTGCTCATTAGTTTTTTATTAATATTTTAAATGACGTGGTATGCTGACTAGACGAAACTAACGGTTTTTTGGACGGAAGTGGATGGATTGACCAATTCGTTATTAGTCCAAACATATATTACTGAAACGTGCAAAATTAAAGAATTGTAACTGTTTTGTACAAAGTGAATAGTTTTATGACCATTTACAATAACTACCCGTAATAAGATATAAGCTGATAGATTTTGTTTACAATATTTGACCATAATGGCAAGGAATGATTGTAGTCTCATTAAATCGAAAGAATATGTTAAGATTGAGTCGAGATGCTGCTTGAAACAAAAGCTATTTACATATGAGATTACTATCTATATTTATGATTTTCCATTTCCTCTCTCTTCGGCTCATGAGAGATGAAAAATATATTTCATATGTATTTATAACGATTATTTATTTTTTATAGCCAATTTTTGTTAGCCCTGAATCCTGATGGTCATGGTCACCATCACTATAGGGTATGCAATATAACCTGTCCAGTAGGAAGAATGTTATTCTACTAACTCGACCATCGTAGAACAAAATGTCCTATATCTCTTAAGAAACTGAGACGTAAACCATAAAATTAAGAAGAAAAGGCTTTTAGTGACGCCTCTAAATTTTCATATACGATCAAATGATGTATAGAAACATCCTCTATGGGTGAGTTTATTTGCTATTTCATTTCATCGTAATTGGTTTCCTTCTCCACCAAACGATATAACTTTTACTCTCATTTAGAGAAAATAATTCAATTTCCTAAAGTCGTATTTTATCTTTTAACTCAAAACGAAGGATATAAAGAGTGGCATTTTGTATTTTTGATCAATATTTTCTTAAAGTACGAAATGACCAACTTATCTCAATAATAAAACTCAATTGTCTTATTATTGTCATTAAAAAAAAAAACTCAATTAACTTTTCAAAGAAAGAAACCAGAGAAATGAGTTTATAGCATTTGCGATGTTGGGCCCAATCCAACTAAGCACTCCTCACCGCCAGCCCACCATCAACAAAAACATCAAGCCCACTAACAAACTTCGCTTCATCACTCGCCAGGTAAACAGTCGCCTCCCACTTCCAGAACCCCAAATTTCAGAGCCGCCTTCGCACCGAAAATCCCCTGCAGCGTCGCCGCATCCATTCCGGACACCTCAACGGCCATCGGAGTCGCGATCCCGCCGGGAGAAATCGCGTTGACCCGAATCCCATACTTCCCCAGCTCCACGCTCAGGCTCTTCATCAGCCCCGTCACCGCGTTCTTCGACGCCGTGTAAGGGTTCCCGGCGTCGCCGTACTTCGCCATCACGCCGCTCGAGGTGAACAGAATCGCCCCCTTCTTCTCCGGGATCATCACCCTGGCGGCGTGCTTGGCGCAGAAGAAGGCGCCGAAAACGTTGACTCCCATCACTCTGTCGAGATCTCGGGAATCTTGCTCCGTTATCTTGAAGCCGTTAGGTTCCCCGTGACGGCGGCGTTGCTGTACATGATGTCCAGCCTCCCGTGGAGCGAAACGGCGCCGTCTACGGCGTAGCGGACGTCGGATTCTTTGCTGACGTCGCATTGGAGGTAGGTGGCGGGGTGGGGAGAGGTGGAGCTGATTTCTTCGGCGACGGAGCGGCCCAATTCGGAATTGGACATCGGCGATTATGACCTTGGCGCCGTTTCCGGCGAAGAGCCTGGCGGCGGCTGCGCCGATTCCGCTGGCGCCGCCGGTTATCAGCGCGACCTTGCCTTGTAACCAGCATCAAAGACAAAAAAAAGGTAGATGAATCGGCTTCAGAAATGGGGGGAAATGACGAGTTTGGTGAAATTAGGATCAAAGTTGGTAAGGTGAAGTTTCCTATGGTCTCCGAATTCAGATTTGATTACCTTTGGGAAGGGGTTAGGGATGCAGAGGAAGATCCTTTCATGGTTTTGTTACGTTGGAAAGAAGACAGGTTACTTCCTCTTCTCAAGGTTCAGATCAGGAACTAGATGGTTGAGTCCGAGAGGAGAGGGATGCACAAAAACAGAGCCTCCAGATTTGAAAGTTGCAAGGTTGAAAGAGAAGAGTCATTCGATACCTTCATTTCTCTTTCATGTCATTTTTAATTAAAAATTTGTCTTTCAGGGGTCATTTGGATGCAGGTTTTTAATTTGTGGGATTTTGGCTCAAATCACTGGTTCAAAAACCTAGGTTTTTAATTTGTGGGATTTGTGTGGGATTTTAAAATAGCTGATCACCATCAGCTATTTCATAATCCCACAATTGTGGGTTTCTGAAATCTCTAATATTTAAAATCTCTCATCATATAATTGTTTTCCAAACGAGTGATTTAATTAAAATCCTACACTATGTAGGATTGTGCCCAAATCCCACACCAAAAACCTGCATCCAAGTGATTTAATTAAAATCCTACACTATGTAGGATTTGTCTTTCAGGGGTCATTTGGATGCAGGTTTTGGGTGTGGTATTTGGGCACAATCCTACATAATGTGGGATTTTGTGCTTAAATTATGATTTAATATTGGTTCAATCATTTTAAATTATGGTTATGATACAATTAAACAATACTATTTACAACCCATATTCGTATGGGTTGATTTGATGCAATCATGCAATGTATGTCTCAAGATAAAATATCCGATCAACAACATAACGAATATGAATGTCAAGAGATCCGTTCGGACCTACCAATTACATTTATGATTAGTTGTGTGGTAACTTAGTAACAGAGAGATAATATAGATACACAATTTCGTGACCATAGTTAATAAGGAATTAGGGGTCATACGGGTGGGCAACCATTCGGTTTACTTCAAAGTGATACTTGGTGAATCGAACCCAATCAAGTATATTTATATTCAACTTTTTTTTTTGTTGCCAAAAGATACTCCGTATTGAATGAAAAATTGAGATACACTAGAGTCAGCTAGCTGACCAGAGCCAGAAATGAAAATCGAACCCTATCAAACTAGGGAACAATGAAATGGCTTTTTTGTCACCATATGGGCCACCCTATTACGAGCACTACCAACAAACACACACATTAAACTGATGAAAGCACTGTCTCATCAACTTGATCTTACTCAATATCGCCCCACCACGAGTATCCAAACACAAGTCCTCGTTAACCTTGTCCAACACCACCTGAGCATGAAAGAAAAACGAATCACAATCTCGAACCAAATGAAATCAAACATAATTTTGGTTCAGCTATCATCCTCAAATTTTGTTTGAATTCGGTATGGTACTATCTCGGTTTAATTCGATTATGGAGCAAAGCGTCCGTTGCCCACCCAATAGGGGAAAGTGAAGAAGTTATGGATGTGAGTAGGGATGGCAATTTCGACCTGACCCGTTTTACCCGACCTGTTTGACCTGTTTTGGGGCAGGTCCGACCCGCCCCGTAGGCGGGGTGGGGCGGGCATGGGTAGTCTCATCGACCCGACCTGCCCTGACCCGCCCCATTCTCGACCCGTTCTTGTCTAAATTAAATATAATCTTAGTCAAATTACTTACAATTTTCCTTTTATTGCTTCATATTTTGGCTATAATAAAGTTGTAAATTAGTAAAAATCTCAATTTCTCCAATAATTTAACTACAATTGTCATAATATTGTTTGTTTTCTTAGTCTTATAATAAAAATAACGAATATTTCTAATGTTTTCATATAAATTGCATACCCATTGGGTCGACCTGTCCCGACCCGCGACCCGTGATCAATTACCCGACCTGCCACGGGGTGGGTCTGGGTACCAAGAAACCCACCCCGGATCTGCCATTTGCCATTCCTAGATGTGAGGAGGGTTCGGTTCATTCGGTTCCGTCCGTTCATCCTATCGGTTAAATCAGCTAACCAGTTCAAACCAAAACCCCTAAAGCCCGAATCTGAAATCCCGAGATCTCTTCTTCCTCTTCCTTTCCTGCTCCATCTTTCGATTGATTCCAGCTCTTGCCTGCGATTCCCCTCTCCGGCGACCTCCGCGGCTCTCCTTTCCTCTTTAGTTGCGCCTGCCTCCTCCACTTCTTCTTTCAAGGTCAGTCTGCTGCTCTCTCTTTTCCCTAAATTCTCTCTTGCGTTTTGATTGGCAAAATGAAATGGGGGGGTTTTGTCTTTTTGTTTTCTACCTCAGTATAACTGGTTTAGGTTCATCGTCGCCGGAGTTGCTTCAGCTCACTCTCACTCATTAGCTGGTTTACTTTACAGGTCCACTGGCAATAGCCCTCGGAAGAGATGGCTGCAAGTTTCGCTTCCAAGTTCTCTCGCGGTGGTAAGATAACCCATTTTCCAGTTTTCCTCTCCGATCTGAATGCGCCTTCTGTTTGGCGAATTGGTGCTCTGATTCAATTTGGACGCCCTTGGAACCTTTTGCTCTTGCTTCACTAGAAATTTCCTTCCATTTGTAACCGACTGTAGATGATAATGTTGATTTAGATTAAGCGATGGCGAATTGTAGCCTTCCTTGCTAATGTGGTTGATGAAATCGCAGTGGGACGATCGCTGTTTGGAGGGCTAGGAAACAACATCTCTTCTGCAGCAGCCAACTTATCAGCTGAACTCACTTCCAGCAGCAATTCGCTGTTTCAGGTTCGCTAAAGTTTCCTCCTTTCGTCATGTTTCGAGTCCTTCGGTGTAGATACTAGTTGCTTTAAAGTCCTTCCCGTAGATAGTTGTATTGTCTTCCTTGTTACTCTTTCTGATGGGAGAACCCTTCGTCTTGGCTTTCTATTCTGCATCAGCAACATAGGACATTCATTCAAATGAGGACGGTTCTCAAAGTTGCAGACAACTCCGGTGCCAAAAAGGTGATGTGCATACAAGCACTCAAGGGGAGGAAAGGTGCAAGGTTGGGGGACACGATCGTGGCTTCAGTGAAAGAAGCGATGCCAAATGGTAAGGTGAAGAAAGGGAAGGTCGTTTATGGAGTGGTTGTGCGGGCTGCCATGCAGAAGGGAAGGTGTGATGGGAGTGAGGTCAAGTTCGACGACAATGCTGTGGTTTTGGTCGACAAGCAAGGTCAGCCTATTGGTACCAGAGTGTTTGGTCCTGTGCCCCACGAGCTCAGGCGGAAGAAGCACGTCAAGATCCTTACTCTAGCCGAGCATATTGCCTGAATGTTTGTTCTTTAGATGTCATAGATGCTTGATGTTTCGCTTCCCAGTATCAGAGAATGACTTTTTTTTTTCTGGTTAATCATCAAGCTGTTCACGGCTGAGCAGAAACTTGCACTACTTTCACATGAAAGTGACTGGAAATCGAAAGCTTTCCGTTGTAACATTATAGAGAACAGGATCCTTGGAACAGTCTACTCCGTGCTTGAGTAATTTGCTTAGGAAGAACTCAAAGGAGAAAAAACTGTTATGCTAGGTATACCAAAATTGATTGTCCTCGCTTGCCATGGATGACATGGTCGCGTTCGTTGGCCTTCCTGTAGCTCTCATGGCTGTTGGACCATGTAAACTTCTTTCATGAATTCATCTTCGTAAAAATGTATTGTTGATAACAAAGTTTTCGACTTGTACCAAGTCTGATAACATTACGCGGATCAATTAGGCTACTTCTTGATGAAATAAACGCAATTGCACCAAACGGCACTGCGAAGAAAGCAGTATAAACGATCCTGGATTTCTCAATACTTAGTTGCAATTTAGAAGAATTGAATTAGACAAAGAGCATGCAACTCCAGGCTCTATACAATTTAGCAAGGAAAAAGCAATAGTAAAATATCTGTGCGTGTAGTAATAACCACAATGATCATGAGATTTATTCCCGCCAAAAAAGAGAGCAACGTTAAGCAGAGTTTTTTCCCCCTTCTTTCTTTGAACTTGATGCAAAAATTAACTCCCGTCCTCCTTATCTTCAAAGGTGGTCGCAGATGGCCTTTGTGAAATCAGATGTCGTAGATTTGCCTCCGAGATCTGCTGTTCGGTACTTTCCTTCGGCTATAGTGTCGAGAACAGCCTTCTGAATCCGGTCTGCCTTATCGTGGAGTTCCAGATGCCGCAACATTGAGACGCCACTCAGGAGCAATGCAGTAGGATTGGCGAGGTTCTGCCAAATTTACGAAGCGTCCAACGTGTCAGAACGACAGCCAGGCCAGCAGGAAATCAAGATTTCTAGACAAAAGAACCGAGCTAGAACACCAGTGGTTCATACATAACAACCAACTTTTGGGATGTAAATGAATTAGCAACGATATTTACACATACTATGAAATTGCTCTATGATCTCAAAGCACTTTGGTTAAGTTCCCATAATCATCTTAAGTTTTACTAGGTATAATGGGGAGGATAGATAACAATCAGCTAACCTTCCCAGCAATGTCAGGGGCGGAACCATGGACAGCCTCAGCAAGAGCTATTCCTCCCTCACCAATGTTGCAGCTGTAATTGAGGAAATTAGTAATGCTGTCAGGTCACATGGTTAACATTGACTTAGAGAATAAAGTATTAGGGAAAAACTGGAAAAGAACACTATTCTAAAGGGTATAACCTTGGTGTCAACCCCAGACCACCAATTAAACCAGCGCAAAGATCGCTAATGATGTCACCATAGAGATTAGGCATAACTAGAACGTCAAAAAGAGCTGGATTCTTCACAAGCTGCACACAACCGTAGAAACAGGTATGAGCAGGGGTCTATGGCTTTTCTTTATCAAGAGTCTTACTTTCCTCTTAGTGGTATAAAATATGAAAACTTCAACTATCACGAGACAGTTCTCCATGTCTTTCAATTAACTTGAAGCGAAAAAGATAGGCAGTGATTGTGTTCACATACCATCATGCAACAATTGTCAATGACAACCTCCTCGTATGTGATCTCAGGATACTTCTCAGCGACCTCACGGCAGCACTGCAAAGCCCATTACACCAGTGTTAAACAAGCTAACAAAAAAGAATAGCTCCGCAACATATAAGAAGGACCCAAAGTATCCATACCTTCAGGAAAAGACCATCAGTTTTCTGCATGATGTTAGCTTTATGAATTGCAGACACCCTCTCTCTACCGTGGGCCTTTGCATAATGGAAAGCATATTCAGCCACCCTCAAACTGGCCTGGCGAGTAATGATCTTGAGACTTTCAACCACACCTCTCACCACCTACCCACCAAAAATCACCATCATGTCAAAGTTTATGAATGCATATAATTGGCTAGGTGCATGTTGCCCAAAACCAGAAAGAAAGCTTACTTGGTGCTCAAGGCCACTGTATTCTCCTTCAGTGTTCTCACGAATGGTGATGAGATTCACATCATCATATAGGGTTTTGTAACCAGGAAGGCTGTAACAAGGCCTGACATTGGCATACAGGTTAAGTTCTTTCCTGAGAGTAAGGTTCAAAGAACGATGGCCCTTTCCAATTGGTGTAGCCATTGGCCCTTTAAGACCCACTCGGTTTCTTCTCACCGACTCCAAACTTTCCCATGTTAGAAAGCTCTGGGTTCTAGGATCAACCTCGGTCCCAACATAGTGTTCTTCCCATTCAATTGGTACCTCAGCTTCCCTGAAAATCTGTATGCAACAATACTCATCATATAGATATAAAAAAAAAACACAAAGCATTATAGCTACAAGCAAATGAGAGTAGAAATCCACAATAAGGCACATCAACACAACCATCCACCTCATTTTGACTTATTTTTAGGTTGAATGGTATGGAAGTAATTAACAAACAAATAACTGCTTCGAGAATTCTCTCATTGATAATCTATTTATATTAGTAATATTTCCAGTTTGATGTGCTAGAATTCAAGAGCTCCTAGGAATTTGTTCAGGCTAACCAGCAGGGTGAAGAGTGATTCTCCTTTTGCCAAATACTTTTAACGAATTCGACTGACCATTCAGCTGGATGGGCACTCCAAACTTGTTTTCAGGTGAAAAGATAAATCAGAGAGGGCTTCTTTGGATCTCATGCTCTGTCCATAAGAATATTAGAACCAAAGGACAGGCAAACCATCATATTCTGATATAAATTCTACTTTGATAGTCCTTTCTCAGCACGTCAGTGCTCCTGATGAAAGAAAACTAACCTCTTATTGAAAGGCACGAGCTTTATTTTCCCCATCCAGATGTTCATGGTCATACGTAAATTTTTCTGACTGAATGAGGTCCGAGTGAACTCAGCTAATTGACGATTATTTCATACAGCATAGTTATATAGATGGCTTTTCTACTGTTGTTGATGCTTCCTTTAGATTAGAACCTTCCCTTCAGGCTTCCTAGACAAGATATTCACAAGCTTGACCAGACAATGGATGGAACGCCATGTTCATTCATCACCGACCAAACAAACATAAGGAAGAAACGAAAGGAGGAAAAAAAAAAGAAGGCCAAATGACGACTTTTCACCATATGCTTTCTCACGAAATCACGAAACAAGCAAAAGCAATTTCAGGGCGAAGAAAGACGAGTGCATCCCACAAAAAACAGAGCCTCAAAGAAAATCCAACCACACTCATTTGGTCATCCCAGAGAAATCTAATTGAATCACAGCTAGAATTTCGTACATATCAGCACCACATCACGCCGAGAACTGAAAGAAAGGATGTCAACTGCGAGCGTAAAGAAGAAGAAGGAGAGACCAGCGAGGAAGAGAAGGAGAAGGAAACCTGTTTCACGGCCTCCGCGATCTCGGGACCGATACCGTCGCCGGGGAAGAGAGTGGCCGTGATTGGAGCGGAAGAGAAAGCTCGAACGGCAGAGAAAGCGGACGGAGATGAGAGGATCTGGTCGGGGCGGCTTCTTAGAGCTCGCGTCAGGAGCTGGAACGCCATGATCGCCCGGAGAAGTCTGTGGTGTGTGTTCGAATTTTGCCCTTTCGAGTTCGACGAAAGACGGAGAGGAGGAGAAAAGCGTTCCACTGGAAAAGAAAAGAAATCAAAGCCAACGCGACTCTGTGACAATAATAAATTTATATATAAAAAAAAAAATCGAATAGGTTCCGGTTAATCGGCCGAACCTTTCTTTCCCATTTTATGGTAACTAAACCAATAACCGGTTCAAATCAAAACCCTACCTAAAATCCTCAAGATCTCTTCCTTGCCCTCAACTTCCCTCATTGATCCCAGCTGCTCGCCTGCGATTCCCTTCTCCGGCGGCCGCTTCTCCCCTCGTCTCAGTGGTGACTGACTCCTTCGCTGCGTCTGAGTGGTGGAAGCTCCGGTTGCGTGGCGGAGCAAAGATAGAGAAGAGCTTGTGGATCCCCGCGCCTCGCTATGGTAATTGTTTGGTTCAGTGAAAAGCTCATTCCTTTCTATCAAACTGTGTCATTTCATTGGAATGGCATTTGAAACTTGAAAGGGTAGTGGTTCGTAATGTTCTAATGCTTAGGGAAGTCAAACTGCTAGCATTTGATTGATTGAGTTTAGTTTGAGCTAATCTCAGTTTTGCGACTGAATGATTCTTCGTGGGAGAAGTTTCACGTCTTTTTGAGTTCCGTTGTTGGAGGGATTAGCCTTCTGATTTAGTTGATTGATGGATCCTTCTATGAGTGCTAAGATTAGTGTATCTTGTTTTCCCTCTGCGTTTATTTGTTTGGCAAAGAGACTTTTAGTGCGACTGAACTTCTTGGCCTGGTTGAACTTGCACGCAAACTGTTTGATGAATTGCCCATTTCAGTGTCAGGAACTCTTTCAGCATGAGTCTGAGTTGGTTCATAAGAGTATGGACGCAGTTGATGCTAACTCCGGTTCTAATATCTTCTTTCCTCCTACTCGCAGGTTATAATTAGCCGGAGAAGTGCCACTGAATTGAACTGAGTTTTCTACCTCAAGGTAATTGGAGTGTGTTGTAAACACAAACACATGTTGAAACACGTGCTTGGCAAAGTCCTGGGCGGCGAAGTTCTGTCAAGTTCAACCAGAAAGCTTGGACCTTTCTCAAATGCAGCGATTGTGGGATTCCATACTGGACAGGTACTTCTTCTTTCCTTCAGCTGATCATCCCTTGGCTTATGCCAATTGCGGTAGAAATCTGCAGTGAAGGAACGGCTTTTGGTTGATGAATTTGGGACTTTGAGAAGTAGATGGATTTCAGGAAGTAATAGGTTGTTTTTGGTTATATACTTTTGCGATAGATTGTGATATGTAGATTCTGTATGGGTTTATTAAACAAATCCATGAACTCATGAATTCTGGACACGATCAATCACTGCAACTTTGCAATACATCAGCCAAACACGACCTCGAAGGAAATTTATTAAACCAGAATTGTATGGGAATGACAAACTTTCTGCGTTGATTTATAACGGGAAATTTGTTTCACATGTTACCCACAGGCACACAATGCCCCAAGAAGCTTCTTTGGGGTAGAGGATTTTGTGGACGATGAAAACAGCAGGCCGTACACTTTCCAGAAGGGCAAAGTATCAAAGAACCCTAACAAGAACATATCTTTCAAGCAAAGGACGCAGGCATTCTTGGAGCCATTCACACTGGACGTGTTCATCTCGAAGCGATTCGTGTCAGCGTCGCTCACTCACAGGGTGACGAGCAAGCAAGTTGCAGTGGCTGGGACGAACTCCAAGGACATCAAGGCCGTGCTGCAGTCGAGGTCGGACATTCCTGCCTGCCTGGCCATTGGCCGGATTCTGGCCGAGAGGGCAAGGGAAGCTGACGTTTACACTGCTGTTTACACTCCCAGGGAGAGGGACAAGTTTGAAGGGAAAATTAGAGCTGTGGTTCAGTCTCTTATTGATAATGGGATTGATGTTAAAGTTTATCTGGACTGATTGACTCTGTCTTTTCTTTGTTTTCATTACGAATTTTGATGTCTGCAGTGGTTGGTTTGTAACTTGTAACCGATGATTCTTGTAAAAATCGTATTAGAGGTTGTAGTAGATAAGTCAGTGATGGAGTAGTTTGTTTCTAAATCGTGATTTAATCGTGTCACATCAATAAAATAGCCCACCAACTTGAGTTCCGCAGTGTCGTTTGGATGAGGAATTGTAACAGATCAATTTGACACAATTGTCTCGTTTTGAGATAATTGTACCAAATTACCTCGTTTGACAGCAAAAAATTTGGATGGATCAATCTGCCTGAGGTATTTTAAATTGATATGTTTTGAGTCAATTTCAATTACCTGGGGTGGGGGCAGGTAATTCGAATTAACTCGTTTTAATTGCCTCGTTTATAAAACGAGTCAAACTCATTTCTAGATTGATCCATCCAAACGACCCCAATTATTTCCTATCGGATCAATGGTATGGTACGGTTTTGTAACTAGTTGGCTTATCATATGGAAGAAACAGGTATTTTCACGACTCTACCACCCAATCAATTCTGTTCCACTTAATCCCTATTTCATGGCCACATATCTTGTAGACTAAGGAATGGGAAACCGGTTCATCCGGTTAACAGGTCGAACCGGTCTTACCCTATTTTGGCAACTGAACTATCTAACCGTCCAAATCGAAACCCTAACCTAAATTCCCAAGAAGATCTCTATCCTTCCACTCTTGCCTTTCCTACTCTTTCTCCCTCTCCATCGGTCCCATCTGCTTGCCTTCGACTCTCCTCTCCGGCGGCCGCTCTCCCTCGCCGTCGTAAATCTCCCCTCGTCTCAATCAGTCGTGACTGCCTTCTTCACTGCGTCTCAGTTGCGGCGGCTTCAGTTGCGCGGCGGAGCACAGATAGAAGAGCTCGTGGATCCCCTCGCCGTCTCTGGTAATTTTTGGTTGAGTTCAATGTTTGTTGAATTTACATTAGTGAAAAGCTCGTTTCTTTGAATCAAATTATGTTATTTCATTTCGATGGCATTTGGAAGGGTAATGGCTCGTAATGTTCCAATGTAGCATCTAGCGATAGAGTTTAGTATAGGCGAAGCTGACCTTTTGGGACTGAATCATTCTGTATGAGATAAATGTGATGTCTTTGTGAGTTTTTGTATAGGGGGATTAGCCTTGTGATTGTTGGATCCTTCTATGACTATGCTAAGATGATTATGTCTTGCTTGCAGGTTACTTTTGAGCTTCTGTTGTGGTGCTGAGATTTCCATCCGCTCCATCCAGGGCAGATTACTGCAGATATGCACGCCATTCACCGCGTAATATCTCGGCTATCCTCAACTACGCTATGCAATAGTACACCTGCATCGAGATTTCTAAAGGAAACAAGTGCTACCTCTGCATTGGGTACTGAAGCAAGCCAATTCATTTGGGCTCTTGGCTTTTCTTCACAGTCAGGCAGTGGTGGAGGTGGTGGTGAAAATGAAGGAACAAACGAGTGGGAAAATAATGCAGCTGGTGGTTCGTCCTTCGGTTCGACCGGGTCTGATGATCTGGGATGGGACACTGTTTCATCGTGGTCAACTGGATTGACCAAGGATCATTTTGATGGTGAGATGGTGGGTAAGATGGCAAGTCCTGCTGGCGAGGGAAACACAGCTTCTCAATCTTTGAAGATATCTGAGTTGCAGGATGTTGATGATAAGTTAAACGAACTCGATGAGGCCAACAAAAATGGGAAGGCTTATGTTAATGGATGGGTGGAGAGATTACGTGAGATTAGTGGGTTGTTGAAGCAAGTAGAGGAGCCTGGTGCCAGAGGATCTTACCTTAAGGATTCAGAGAAGGCAGAGATGTACCGGTTGCACAAGGAGAACCCTGAAGTTTACACTGTTGAGAAGCTTGCCAAGGACTACAGAATAATGAGGCAGAGGGTGCATGCCATTCTCTGGCTCAAGGAAGAGGAGGAAGAGGAAAGAAAGCGTGGTCGCGTCCTCGATGACTCAGTTGAACTTTTGCTTGATACCTGCCCAGAGTAAGTCACCAATTTCTGATGTTTCATGTGGTCAAACAGCACTCTTAGATTTGCCAAGAACATATGACTAGTTTTCAACAGTGAGCATGAACATTCATCGTCAGTAGTTATATGACCAGCATTGTTGAATTGCTTCTAACACCATTTTGACCTGGTGCTTTCTTTTCTTCCATTGTCAGATTTTTCAATTCCCATGACCGGGAGTTTCATGTTGCATCTCTTCCTTACAAACCCGATTTCAAGGTGATGCCCGAGGGTTGGGATGGTACCACTAGGGATCCAGACGAAGTCCACTATGAGATATCCATGAAAGAGGATGAAATGCTGTACCAAGAGTTTGTCCAGAGGATGGAGTTCAACAAAATGAAAGTAAGTTCTGTAATGCTTTCCACCATTTTATTCTGTAAGACGAAAAAGCTCTTTCCATCTGCACTTGTTTAACCATTTGGTTTTTAATTTCTTAGCCATTTGGACTTAATTCCTCTACTTGTCGTTCCCCTCCACTGTTATGCATAAAAGAATGCCCAACTCATCCCAAACTGAAAAAGTAGGAAAAGGACCTTGCTGCCCTAACATTTCTTATGCTTGGACTTAGGTAGTAGTTAACAAGGTAGCGACTTCCATGCTAATGGGACATGGATCTTCTGTGGTTTCATCGTTGTGTTTGTGGCCCCGCGAATATGATGTATATTATTTTATGGTAAAGATGTTTTGGCACATTGAGTTCACAGCACATGAACTCGAATGCTCGTTTTGTAGCTATGAAGCCACTTGGTTACTTCTTGTGCAATTGTGATGTCCAGAATGTTTTGATTTCTTGTTATGTGGAAGAATTATGCTTTCTTTTCATTGTCTTCAGCACGATATAATGACGACGATGATGATGATATTCCTCGTTACAGATTGCTGGGAAGGTGAAATGCCACAAGTATAGCCGGCGCCGCCCATCTGAAGGGTGGAACTTCACGGTGGAGAAAATGGGGGCCCAAGGAAAGCGTGGAGGGGGCGGTGGCTGGAAGTTCGTAAGCTTGCCAGATGGCTCGAGCCGACCTCTAAACGAGACGGAGAAAGTGTACGTGAAGCGAGAGACTCCACGGCGGAGGCGCAAGATTTTCCCATGATTCGATGATCATCAGATCTTGTACGGCAAGGGTTGTCGATTAGGAGTAGTCAGAAGAATTCTCCAGTGATAGGAGATTGAGATAACCACTCTGTATAATAAGAATGAAGGGACAGCAGCTGGAATTGGGTACTTTTGTTTTTTCTCTTCTTGGCTGTACTGTTAAATGGGTAAAATCTACCCTCTTGAACAACATCCAATCAAAATTCCTTCAGTTCTTGGTTTACAGTTGATATAAACACGAGCAGAAGTACTCTTCTTCCATGGCCTTTTTCTTAAGCCGCCTTGATCTCAGGATTGAAACTTGTGTATGGCGTAATCAGTATTTTGTAGCACCCTTCACGATCCTGCATGTTGTCAAGCTGAGACTTGAGGAACATGCTCTATAGCTTTCTCTGCACAATTTTGAGGTCCTGTGTCATCCATCGCCATTAACCATGTTTGCACGCATGTTTCCTAGCAATTTGAGGCCAGCCACTTATCCTTAGCTGGGGGGATGTGATCAACTGGGTCTGGCACCTGGATCAGTGAAGGAGGCTGCAGCCATAGTGTTGTTAGATTGCATAGCGACCGACGATGACGATGGTGATGATTCGACTAGCTCTGGTACTTGATCGAGCAATCGGTTAATCTGCCCTTCGAACTCACCCTTCGCCCTGTTGCTTTTGCCTCCAATAACCAACGACGTTCCATCTTGAAAAGCCCATATCTTTTTGAACAGACAAAGAGGAACAACAAAGCGAGACAGCCAATGAATATTTGAAGTCAGGAAAGGAAATAAAGAGATGAAGAACATCATTAATTTTCATAGAGCCATCTGCAGAAGCAGATCAAATGGTTTAAGCAAAAAAAATCAGATAGTCTGCAAAAGCAGAATTCCAACCTGCGCATGTGATAAGATGCTGATGCATGTTGTGAGCATTAGAGCGCCGAATCCGGTGTACACTACTGGGACTCCAGGATCAGTCTGATTTAAAGTAGCAAGTGGGCAAAGTTTGGTTTTTCAAGCTATAGCTAGAAAATATTATCAATTCCACAATGCCTCAAATAGCTCCAATCGAAGTCATACCTTCAGCTCCAGACCACTGCTTCCAATTGCATCTTCGATCATAATTTTCATGCCATCTATCTCAATCGGAAGCTTGGAGTTAGGTCGTCGAACTCCAACAAATTTCCCTTCTTGATCATACAATACAATGGACTGCAGATCACGAGCAAGCATTGATCTGAGAAAAAAGCAAATCAAGCAGTATACCATTTACATTATCAAGTTAAGAAAGGAGCATATTAAAAGGAAAAGGAAACAAAACAGAAACAAACAGTTTGAAAGGGCATGCATACATTCCCTTGACATTAGGAGCATCAATACTCCCAACTGGTAAGATTGTCCCATAGAGTTTCTTATCCCCATTTACTTTTAGAGGCGCCATTGGCAGATTAAAAGGCCCTTCCCCATCTTTGACTACTTGCAACGCCGAAATGCTCCAGTCAGTCTGGTAAATGGTAAACCCGCCATAACGTAGAGGATCATTCACACTGATTGTTTTCCTCATAACTTCCTTCCCATCAAGATTTAACAGAGATAGATCCGTATGAAACTGTGACACCTATGGAAAACAAAAATGCACATAATTTGAGTTACTGCTAACTATTAAGTACTAATAGTACTCAACAAAATCTTGATCCACGAAAAACAGATATGGATGGCATCTACCTCTCCACTCTCATAATAGTCCATGGAGAACTTGTTGACGTGAACCTCGGTGCTGAAGGCTTCAGTAGGAAAGGAGAGAAATCCACTCGGTCCCAACACATCTCCCACAACAAAATTCAGCCCTTGTGGAACTGTTACTGATCCTCTGAAGCTTCCTGTGGCGCTAAGAGTTGCTCCTGCCATTATCAGAAGCATGGCTAAGTGTACTCCGATAGGGGTGTAACGACCCACGAGGCCCTTGAAGGCATATAGACATGGCCCCTTCAGAAATACCTACATTGATGATCAATCAAACCCATGCTCAGTAACAACCACCATGCAACTGCACTTTGACAGGTCTCTACCATACACACAACAAGATCACTATTAGTCATTTATAGATTGAAGAAGGGTATTATACCTCATATCCAGATCCCATCAGGATTACACCCAAATCTTGAACTGATCCCCTGGGCAATGTTTCAGAAAAGTCCTGCTTACGAACTGCCTCAGCCGAGTCCAAGAATTTCCATCTGCACATCCCGAATAATGAATTGAAGTAGCAGTCTCCAGTCAGTCAGTCAGTCCACAAACTTGCCTCAATGTTCCCTTCTTTACTAGCATGCCATCATCATTTCACAACTACCAACTAACCAAACCTTCTTGCGACTTTAACGAGGGGAATCTGAGTTGTGTACGTGCAAGCCATTAGAGAAGCTCCGAGAAGCGCCAAAGTTGCCAGGAAAACAGGAGATGAGAACATGTGATCAAACCCAAGAGCGAGAACCCATCTCCAGGTAAAGAACCCAAACGCGGGACTGTCTTCTGGATACATCTGGAAATAGTACTCGGGAGTTTCACCTTGATCAATCACCGTACCTGCAGAAAAATCACCACCATTCCCACTATTGATTAGTCTTCACAAGCTCAACACACTTCAGATTTTAAACCAAAACTAGACCCAACTTCGAATTCAGCAACAACTCTGAGCTGTTCGAAGCAATCTCTGTGAAATCGTATCGGAAATGAGAATCGCCCACCAACTATCCAAACACAATGGTTAAATCACGAGCAAACAGCAACTGAAGTCCCAATTAAAGACTACACTGATTTAGCAAAGAGTGAAATTCAGACAGTACAAAATGTGGCGATTACCAACAGCCATAAGCGCGGCAATCACGAACATTTCTCCGATAGCCAGAGGCAAATTCGACAGCAGAGTCAAAACCTTCCTCGACAACTTCTTGACCGACCGCAGCACCGCACTGTTTCCACTCCCAGCCTTGGCAGGCTCCTTCTTCCCACTGCCGGCGTTACTTTCCTCTTCCGACAACGGCGGGGCGGAATTCCATAGCTCAATCTTCTTAGAGGCGTTCTGCTTCTTGATTTCTCCAGAGGATTTTAGCTTGCAGTTTATTGAGGTTAGGGAAGGAAGGAGCGGGGTTCGGCAGCGGTTGCGGAAGGTGTAGAGTTGTTGCGGCTTGAATTTGAAGGTGGAGTTGACGAAGTTGGGAGAAGGCTTGAGGAATTGGAGTCTGGAGGGAGATCGGTGTACTGTTCCCGCCGGAGCCATTACAGCCTCCATTAATGGAGCTCTGAAGCTTTTTTCTTCTCGGAGTCGATAAGAAGCACGTAATTAACAGCCAATTTTTCAAATTCCTTTTATCCGGAAAGTAAAGTATATGAATGAGCGCTAAAAATATCTGGGGTACGTGGACCATTCAGCAGTTGCCATGTTGGAAAAGAGGATATTTAAGTTGTAGAATAATGAAAATTGGATGGTTGCGAAAAAAGAATTCAAATATCAAAATTGGAGATGCGGGGAATCGAACCCCGTGCCTCTCGCATGCGAAGCGAGCGCTCTACCATATGAGCTACATCCCCATTTTGTTAATTCGTCTATTATGAGTCTATATATATATATATATTTACGTCCCCGTCGGAGCTTTGAATCTAAACGTTCCAACTCCAAAGCACTTGGAACGCCGAACGCCCATTTGTTCGAGTTGGGAAGTTGCAGTCAGGTGGTATTCTAGAGGAGCATCGGATTTTTGGAAGAGGAGGCGGCGAGGTTGCCTGCTTTATTAAGTATAATAATGTGGAGAATAATTTGCGAAACAGGATGTCAATTGTTGCTGCTTAAACTACTGGTTCTGTGAGCTTTCTGAATACACTATTCTCTGCAAGTTCTCAACAAGAAAGCATGCACAGAATGTTACATGAAGCGCAGAAAAGGCGATATGAGCCAACAACTTCGAGAATCCGCTCGCGATAGTAATTTCTGGCCGTTGGAAGAAGCTCTGTTTCTCTAATTAGTGCACGAGTGGAGGTTGTTAACTCGTACAATGCCAAGCAAGCCAAGAACTGGGCTCTAAAGTGTCTCGTTGTCGACCAATTGAGGTACTTTTCCATCTGCTTAACCTAAATCATAGAAAAAAAACAGGATCAAGAACAATCGCCGAGGATCAACAAAAGATGCTGGAGATTACTGCATTTACTGCTCTCACTTTCAAAGCAGCAGTTTACCTGGGAAACACAGGTTTCATGGCTGTTTCACAAGCATTTCGATGTCAGCTCCGGCTTCAGACACCTTGGCATCCTTGGAAGATTTTGCTGCTTTGGCAATCTTATCGACATCGAAGTCCAAAGCTATTCTTTTCACCAGACCATCAAGCATCTGTTTCACAGCGGTAGACCACCACTTATTAAAACAAAGATGCAGTGTACAGTAAAATTGAAAACCTAATTGTGAGCATTTAACACATATAAATAGAAAAATTAACACATTCGAGAATGCATCAAGAATCTGCAAGGGTCAACTAAAGTTCACATCAGCTCCACAAAAGCAAATATCCGAAACCATTGGCTTCTATATCTGAGATTACTCAAACATCACAAAACACGTCACGGGAAAATCCACACTCAGAACACTTAGTAGTGCCTAGCTACTGGTTGGTGCTAAAAGCAACAAAAGAGCCCTACAAGAAGGAACAATTTCCTTCACAGTTATTTCGTGAATGTTGTATCTAAGCAGCAGAAAATGAGAACAAGACTTGCCTCATTCTGATGCTTTAGTAGCCAGCCATGGTACAATGAATTTTTAATGAGATTAGTCACGAGACGGATACTGGTCAAAAGGTTTGGGGCAAGAGGATGACATCCTGTAATTCTCCTGAATATTTCCATTAGGATATCTAGCAACAAACATAACTATTCTATCTGCACCTCAAAGTCAATGAATGATGCCCTGAAAGAACAGAGTAATTTTATAGACCTATTTCCAGCAATGCGACTAACTCTATCCTAGTTTTGTAGCATCCTAAGCATACACTCGAGCATTTTCGAGTTACTGGTTGCTTTTGGATGGACTTTTGCAGTTTCCGTAGTTTATTTTGCAGGCTATTCAACCTGAGGGAAAGAGAATCATGCAAACAATATGAAAAATGAAGTGCTCAATATTGCAAATAAAAGAAATGAACAACAGGGACATATTACTGCACCATTGTCGTCTTTGAAATGCTTCTGAAGAACCTTAGCACCATCAGGATATAGGACAGTCATCCTAAGAATATCAACCACTGAACACAAAAGAAAAAAAGAACAAGGGCAACATAAACACTTGACAAAAAATTAAACATGCATCCAGGTTAACAAGTTAAAATTCCTAGGATTTAAAAGTCATTGTTTGGATAGATGTGTATTTCAAATACCAAAGATTAAAATTCTACTGTTTGGATATTTTATTGCAACTTTTAGGTATTTCAATTAATAAAATTATTTTTTTTTAATTTATTTTAATACCACTAATATGTACAGTGATCTCCTTAATCACTTCACTATATACATAGAAAGACAACTCTCCCCTTGCAATTCCATACCTACTCGTCTTGACTAGCCATTGTACATCTGTACAGAGGAAAATGGAAGTTGGGGAATAGTTGCAGGAGAAAGAATATAAGAACAAATATGTATGTAAGGTTAAGTTAAAAGTTGGCATAGAATGGCAGCAATCTCTGCTGTGGATGGGGGGCAAAGTTCCCACCCAATTCAATGATGCAGAAAAGACATGTCTCGTGAGATTTGGTTGGGAAGGAAGAAGAGAAAACTGACCTCATGAATTGAAAGCAAGTCCAAATTGAAAACTCTTATGAACACATCTGATATTGCAATCCCAGGACAGATAGACTTCATGGATTAAAAGAAGCAAAGCAACCATAAGGAAACTACCAGCCAGCTACACTACTATACAAAGAAACCCTACCCTTCCCTTCCCTTCCATGTTCCTGCTGCTGGCATTGTTGCATCCACATCAAAACAGTACAGGCTGGGGGTCTCATCTTAAAGAGCTAAAATACAACCCTGCGCCTTGTATCATTTCTTTCTCCTTCTACTTAAATCTAACCATTAAAAGAAACCTGCGGTTCAACTATCCAACTCCCTTATTTCCTTGAACTATTTGATCCAATAATAAACGACCTAAAATCTTGTCCATCTGCGAATCCCATTGGCAATAAACACGAGATTTACCGGGTACAATACTTCCCTGTCGCTTCATTCCTACAGCAATAAGAACAAACAGGCATATCACTTCAGCAGGCCACTCAAACAAATGAACCCTGAAACATACTCTTCTAAGTTCCAATTCTTTACAGACTTCAACCTAATGGCTCAGAGTTTAATTGCATTCAAGTTAGCAGCAAGCTTTTTTAAACATAAATAGCTACTACACTCGGTCAACTTAGCAGCAAAAGGGGGGAACTTAAGATAATATTAATGCTGCCTGATGCTGGTTTGATCATGAAGCTTTTCTAGACTACTATGGTGGGTCTAGCTATAGAACTCCTGCAACTCCCTTCTCAAAATGATCATATATATAGACTGATGGATATACAATCTAGCAAGAAGTAAAGGTGGGATATGTCCTGCAGACTACCAAATTGAAGCTGGCATAACTACTGCTCAAATTCAAAATAGCAGCTGACATCGCAGTTTAGGGGTTGTTTCACTTAGGCATTTGGTTTCTTTTTTCACCTAGTGTAACAGTTACAGCACGACAAAACAAGGAATCCGAAAACACAAATACACTACCCAAATAAAAAAGAAACTAAACAAGCATAGCAACAGTTCAACACGACACAAAGAGGGAATTAAATTCCAGTTCAAGAAGTAGAAGCAACAGATGTAGTTCCCCCAACTACGATCAGAGGCTTTCATTTTCAAGATGGATTGGCTCTCAGTGATTCAAGCCTATGCAACTTTTTCAGATTACAGAACACCCACTGGAGTCTGGAGATAGTCATCTCACTTGTTATTTATTTGATTTTGAAGCTTTCACACAAGAAATTACCACATCTGGAGTTGCCCCAGTTAGCTACCGAGTTTTGATAGAGATCAATCATGGAGCAATTCTCTTCCAGCATCCTTAGGTAGTACCAGCTAAGTTGAGGTACAATGAAAGGTTTCAATAATATGCAGACAAACGCCACAAAGTTATACTATTCAATAATATTTCAGCTTCGCCTATACTAAACTCAATCGCTAGACGTTACATTTGAACATCACGAGCCATTACCCTTCCAAAATCCAAATGCCATTACAATGAAATAAAAATAATTTGATGCAAAGAAACGAGCTTTTCACTGATGTAAATTCAACAAACGTTGAACTCAACCAAAAATTACCAGAGGCGGCGAGGGGGATCCACAACCACAAGCTCTTCTATCTGTGCTACGCCGCGCAACCGAAGCAGCCGCAACTGAGACGTAGTGAAGGAGGCCGTCGCGACTGACTGAGACGAGGGGAGAGTTGCGGCGGCGTGGGCGAGCGGCCGCCGGAGAGGGGAGTCGAAGGCAAGCAGATGAGACTAATGGAGAGGGAGAAAGAGTAGGAAAGATTTTGAGTTAGGGTTTCGATTTGGACGATTAGATAGTTGAGGACTACAACTGTCATTTTTCCAGCAGCATACAGAACAAAAGGCTTAATTATTCAAAATAAAAATAAAAATACAGAAGGCTTAATACGGAAAGATTTTAAAACATTCTAAGCTTCGCGCGAATGTTTTATTTCTCTTCCTGTATTTTCTCCCCCTTTTCCTCTCCGCCGTCTTCCTCCGCCCGCCGCCCAAATCTGCCCGTCGCCGTCTGGTTGGCAGCTCACATCATCGACCCAACTGTCCTCCGTCGCTCTCAGGTCTCAATTCAGGTAATTAACATCCTCCACTCTCTCAATTGGATTAGATTTAGTTCATGGGGTTGAGCTTCTTTCTGACGGAATTTGGTGAACCAGTCGTCTCTTCCTCTCCTCCTTCTCCACTGGGAATTCACAGAACCATCTTTCTCAGCCTCCAAAACTGTCTTTCTGCTTCCTCGCTCTTCTTCTTACTTCTCTCCTTCATCTTCTTCTCGACTGAGCTGGTTTTCTTTTCTTCCATGGAAACAGAGTTTCCTGCTTCTTTCTTTCTTCCTTCTCCTTCTCCTCATCCTCTTCTTCTTTTTCCAATCTCTAGCGCCTATAAATGGAGGCTGCTTCCGTTCTTCTTCTTACACCCAGAAAACAATATGGTTTATTTCCCCATTAACGACGACACGGATGGTACTTCGAACGACGGAGACACAACGGCAGGGTTTTCCCTTTTTCTGTTTTTCTACGGCACCATACTGATGATCTTTCTGACGCTTTTCATCTTCCTTTTGGTGAAGGACCATTGCGGTCCTTCACCCGACTCCAAGGTCTACCCGGTGGACACCGACGACGAGGAAGGCGCCGGAGGTCCAGCAGCCGGCGGAGTCTGAACCGAGGTTCCTGTTTGTTGTTCCCGAAAAGTGAGGATTTGAGTACCGAGAAGAAGTAATGTGATGTTGGATTACATTGTATGTTCCTTTTAATTTGGGTACCAGCCTAACTATATATTCTGAATCTGTAAGTGAACTATGTAAGTTCCCAGTTTCATTAAATAAAAATCGACCGACTGGTTTCCCTCTTCCTTTGCAATTTCTTCAATCATGCTCCCAACAGACACTGTTACCTTGAACCGGCCGAAATTGGTATTGGGGGAACATGAAAACTAAAGAGTGGTGGATGGAGGGGCTTTTCTGCTGATGTTTTCATCTTCCATTTGGTTTTAAGGAAATGTTTTTCTTCATTCTGGAAAGATGGGTTCCTTCTATTGTTTACTCATTCATCTTGGTTCTAGAAAACAAGGTCACTAGTAATATGAAAGGAGGACAAGGGAAAGCCAAAGATGGAGTCTTTTTTACTATTTAGTTTCTTCCCGAGTTGAAATTTAGTAGCTAATTTGGGTTTTATATGTGACGCCTAGTGAGAACCAGATTGTTTGGTTGATTCAATCCTCATGTGGTCGCTGTTGATGTACAACTTCATTCTATATGTCAAAACTTTAGGAGGGATCTGCAGTATTTCATTACTAATAATGGAGAACGAGTTGGGTCAATTCCAGGTTCTGGCAACCGAAATGACCTTACAGCTTTAAACTTCAGCTGCATTGTTGACTGAGCTTAGGAGACTGACGCTCATGTCCAAGGAGACACTGATTCCGGCGGTATGCTAAAGTTGTTACCCCACATTTCTAAACAAGAATCACATATCGACTTCAAAAAGTATTAATCTTCAACAAGTCATAGGCCTTTTATATTAGCTTTCCATTCTCCTTTGCTTTCTGAATTGTATGATTATACAGTCGATTGGCCACCTCATGCTTCCTTTCTTTTGTATGCAGTGTGTGTTTATTCCATACTATCCAGAGGTTGTTCTTTACGGCATGTCTCAGCTTCCGAAGAAGAACGAGGATATAATATCAAATAATGGAAGTTCAAGATGATAAGGTATGGGCAAGATCTGTGATGGAGGCGAATTCATCCATGACAAGAGCATATGTGCTTTGGGCCCTTGTTACACTTCTAAACCAAAATGCAGTAGTGGGAAGGATGAGAAGCTGTCAAGAAATGTTGCTGTATCAAGAAGTTGCCAGCAACCAGAGTCACTAGTTTGTCCCATTGGCTTGGCTGAGACAACTCAATGATAGTCGTTATAGTTATATGCTTCCGGATTAGTTGAGCAATTCATGATTGTGAGGCTAAACGATGTGATGAGTATGGAGAATAGGTCATGGCTTGGTGGGAGCAACGAGCTCGAGTGTTTGGATGGAGCAGCAGTGGCACAGAACCGTGATTTTATTTTGCAGAGTTACTGATAGGTGAAATGATAAACAGAGATGTGTTATGTTGGGCCGGCTCCAATGTATAGAAACACACTGTAACGCCTCGGACTGAGTTCTACCTTTCTGTCTAGCTCTTTTGAAGATAACTCATGTCCTCTGTAACTCAGTAGAGTTTTTTAATGTGATAAAACCACAAGCAAGTTCGCAAATCACACTTACAGCTTATAGTTTTAAGTTGCTAAATGATATGTATTCCATTCCCACTGCTAGAATCAGCAACAAGAGATCCTTCATACTTCTCGTTTTTTTTCTGGTAATTGTCGTAATCTTTATTTAGCTCTTGCTTGTTAAACCAAGTCTTTCGAAAAACATCTGTCCAAAGACAGCACAGCAACTACAAAGTTTCACTCTAATTCTACTCAACTACACAATTAAGTTTCAACTAACATAGCCAAACTACATCCAACACTCTACTACCAGCTAACTTGGAATCAAACTCAAGTAGTTTACAGAATACACAGGGCTGCTTGTTAATACTAGACTGAACTTAGGGTTGCCATGACTGTAGTAAGCCACCTCTTGCTTGATCTGCATAAGTAGTTCAGTACTACTTCTTCTTACTGCTGTAAATACTCGATTGCATCGATCTTCCCATACAAGTGCCACATACCAGCACCACAAAATAACTGTCAGCTTATGTCCTTCCTTGACTAATCTACAGAGTTCCTGAATCACATCCATCCACTGTCGAGGCCATATTACATCTGGAAATAGATCAGCTAGCACTATAGTTAAATAAGCACTTCTCGGCTTTTACTTCACCATAGTTCCTCATCACCTGCAAGCCAACGAACTACGTTAACCAGCCAGGCATGAATCATCTTCTCGGCGACTTCTCCATTGTGCCTTACAACAAATTCACACAGTTACACTTGTACAAATGATATCATGTATAAGAAGTAGGGGCATAATAGATGAACAAGTGAAAGAGAAGCTCACCAAACTTCTTCCTATGAAACATGCTGATCAAAAGGACTCTAAGGACCATTAACAAAACAACCCTAAGGGATTAACCTATACACTCAGTGCTCTGTACTTCGGGGCCAACCCCAATAGAAGACTAAAAATAAAAGTAAAAAATAAGACAACAAAAGATATCACCCAAGCAAATCACAAATAAACTGTTGAGACTGTGATTAGTATTTAGTACCACCAAAATCAACTCATGAAGCCTGAATATACAACTATCAACTAAATGACCCTTTGAGCTTCAATGAATGACAGCAAACCTGTTTTGATGAAGTACCAGGATATTAAACCAGTCAGAAACCTCTCAACCTTCTTGAACTTCAGGACTCATCCATTGTACAACAAGTGGAGTCTGAAGGATAAATTAAGCACCTAACACTTTATGGGTACCCTTTGACATTTGAAATTGAGAAGAAGCTAGTTATACTACTTGCAGTGATGAGAATGAGAGAGAGTGTAAACAGCTACCTTCTCACCATTTATTCTCCAACTTGAGGTTTCTGGGATTCTATACAATATAGGAAATTCGAGCTCAAAACTTCCCTTTGCTGATGATGTTTCATATGCCTCCAACTACTGAGCTACAGCCTACAGGTAAGCAGGACACATGGGGCATAGAGGAGCAAGAACAATGCTTCGTCACAAAGCACAGGTGGACAACCTATTTCTTGCATTCACTGTAAAAAAGAACAAGGCAGAGAGATAAGCACAGGAACAAATACATCGACACCCAGCTGCTCGTTAAAACCAGAAACAAGGAAAAACACACACCCATCATCCCATTGCAGAATCCACGACATGCTATTTCGGACGCCATAGGAAACTAAACGACCCACAAGGGTGCGTTTGGATAGCTGAATTTGAAATGCATGCATTTGAAATACCTAGGATTTAAAATTCATTATTGGGATAAATGTGTATTTCAACTACATGATTTTAAATACCAAGGATTTAAAATCTATTGTTTGGATATTTTGTTGCAACTTTATTACCACTCACAAAGGCAATACAGTGAATCAAAACTCTACTCATCTTGACTAGGCAATCACTGTCATGTTCAACCATATATCACTGAATTATTTTACTTCACAATTCAGTATCCACCTGAACTATGCCAGTCCTCATCAATAACTCTAAGAACTTGAGCCGAGACACTGATATAAGAAGAGTAAGAATCAGAAAGCAAGGAAGGGTCTAACAAGCTATATATAATCAAGGGTTTTTGATGACTCGATATTTGCACAGGTTTTCCCCTTTGTTCCTTGATCGTTTAAGCTTGCATTATTGCTTCTTTGGCCTATTTTACGCTAGGTTGTGTTCCTTTGTCACATTTCAGGTCCTAGCACATAAAGTGAAGCATAGGCGCAAGTTTCAAGTCAATCAGAGATCAATTGGCGATTCGGGAGAAGAAACTCTGGCATAACCTGAAGAAGAATGGATTTCTACCTCACTTAATGGACAAAGAATCGTGCAAGTTTGACATGGAAAGAAAGAGGACGAGACTACGAGCGTCTGGGATCAAACGGCGACTGATTCGGAGTCCGGACGAGGGAGAAACGAAGCATTGAATATAGGAGAACAGGTTCGGAAGTAAAAACACGGGCAGGAGGCCTTCAAAACACGGCCGTGTTCTGTGACCGTGCTTTTACTGCCGAGAGCAAATCCGAGTTTGGCAGACATGAGCTGATTACACGGGCGGGGCCGAGCCAAAGCACGGGCGTGTTTTCCCAAAGCACGGCCGTGTTCTCCCAAAAGCACGGCCGTGTTCTCCCAAAAGCACGGCCGTGTTTTCACCAACATGTGGCCGTGTAATTAACCCTAGCCAAAGCACGGGCGGGCTGAGGCAAAGCACGGCCGTGCCCTCGACAGTGCTTTGGCCAATGATGCCCTTTTAGGCAGATTTCAGCCAAATTGAGAGGGGATTCGAGTTTTAGAGAGACAGAGCGATTCCTAGAGAGAGAAAGCGACGAACAAGAGTCTCCAAGTGCCCTAGATCGATCTTCAACACCATTGGAGCTTGGTTTGAGCTTGGAGAAGTGCCGATTCAACGTCCAGGAGCAGAAATCCATCTTCACAGTATGATTTCCGCATCTGATTCTGCTTTTGCCTCTCTCTCCATGGAGTAGTTCTCCCATTCATCTGGGTGTGGGAAACCCTAGTTCTGTATGTTGAGAATGATTGTATGAACCCGAGTACTGTTTCTATGAATTAATTATATTCGATTGAGGTTTGAATGATTGAATGACTTGAATCCTGATCAAATTCCTGTTGTTTCTGCTTTAACCTAGAATGAGAATATCTGACTAGGTTGATAGAGCATCCTTGATTGAAGGTAGGGAGTTGGTGACTTTAGTCGAGGAACCAACTCACTATTCTGTACCGGTTTTACTCCGGTAGTGGAGGTTTTGTTCTTAGGGCCTCAATCTGTTTACTCTGGTGTAGGTTAGTCGCCAGCTAGAGACTCAGATTGAGAGGGTCTGAAGACCTTTAGTCGAGACTTCAGACTGATTAAGAACCTTCCGCAGTATAACTTTCATAGAAATTGAACTTGGTAATTACAATCCGGCTTAACTGCAGATTAGGGGGAACCATATCCGGGTGACCTCTCTTAACCTGAATACAAACGTTTAGTTGCTTTGCTTGCTTGTTAGTTTAGGCCTTCA